GTTTTTTTTTTTTTCCGCTTTCTCATTGATATCCTTGCTAACTTTGTCCCCCAAGGGCATATCGATTGGTTGGATCGTCATCATCCCCTACTGTACGTCTTATACCCACGACCGAATCGAACAATGTGCTGACCCGATATAAGGGATTAATCATGGCCTTGGATTACATATGGACGACATTATCAAGATGAAGGGGTCGAATTTGATGGATGAATTATACCAGGCGAAGCTGCTTCTCTTTATCGCCGAATTGTTTTACGCCTTTGGCCTTTTCTTCGCCAAGGTCTCCATTCTCAGTCTTTACTGGCGCATGTTTCGCGTTACAGGCATTCGACTACCGATTCAGATCCTCTTTGGATGTTCGCTTGTCTGGATTACCTTCCGAGTAGGTACCACCTCGATGTATACTGCGACTCGACTAATTGCTGGTAGATCTTTATGGGTATCTGGCATTGCGTGCCCGTTGAGAAGTTCTGGGATGATAGCGTTGAAGGGTACTGCGCGATTGAGGATAAAAAGTTCTTCTTTGGAACAACGTTGGTGCATGCTGCGATCGATATCGCTATTCTGATTCTGCCCATGTGGCAGATTGGACGACTCCAACTTCCTGCGATTCAGAAGGCTGGTATCATGGTCATGTTCACCTTTGGCTTCTTTATCTGCGCTGCCGCCATTCGACTAATTGTCGCCGCCCGCGTTTTCGACGATAAATCCTACGACATTACATGGAACATCTGCGACATTGTCATCTGGGCAACAGTAGAAGTCAACCTCATCAACGTCTCAGGTACGCACCCCTCTACCTCCATCACTACCTCAAGTTCTGACAATCTATAGCGTCCCTCCCTACCATCCGTCCAGCCTGCACGTTCCTCTTCATGTGCCAAAACCCACGAACCCGAACAGGCGCCAGCTCCGGCAGCTACCCCAACAACTACAGCCGAAGTCAAACCAAGCAATCCATCCGTCTCGACACCATCAATAAGACCAACAAGGCCAACGACGAATCAAGCTCTACGCATCAACTTGCAGAGTCCGACGACGGAAACAACCATGCATCTTCAGACTTTGAGGCTCATGCTAGGGACCGGTTCAGACCAGGTGGAAACGAGTACACTTCTACGGTTACGGGTCAACGCACGAACTCTGGTGGTGGAGAGTATGGAGCTAATTTTGGTGGTATTCTTGTCAAGAACGAGACTACGGTGCATGTTTCTCAGCAGTAATAAGCCGACATGGGCACATAGGCCTGGCATTAGGAAAGCAAAGCATAGCAAAGCGTTGGTTATTGTAAAACTAGACTTAGGAAATTTAATGAGCAGATTAGCCCCAAAAACCTGTTGAAAATTGCATTGGAACGTGATACAGAGATGCAACGTTGACAGTCAGAATAGAGTCGCTTCTCCACAACCAATGCGTCTCTTCCCCACGGTAGCATCCTCAAATGGTTCGAGTATCTTCGGCATCTTAATTCTACTCTCTTTTCGGGATCTCGTACGATCAAAGAATGAAAATTCTGTCATAGCGTACGCCCGCCTCACTATTCCCCGTCGGCGAAAAAGCTCACGACGATCCAGGGGTTCGTGGGTTGCTCCCTCTGTGGGGTGACGTTGCACGGCAAGTTCCGTTGAAGATAACGAGGTATCATCAAGGTTGTAACATCACTCAGTCCAACACTACGGAATTTCCACCAGCGTCGCAGTTTGTAATTTAGCTGCGCGACATTGACGGCAGACGCCTGACAAGCGAAAGTTTATTAGTGGTGATGCCCAATTGCAGATCCCAGGCCCAGAACACGCTAGTTCAAGTCTAGCGGGCGACGCCAGTGACCTCGGCAGCTGGGTCGAAAATAAAAGCGAGACGATTTGGGTGAGGGGACGGGCTATTGGTGTCTCGATTATTATTCGGACCACCTGCCTGTGCCGCGTCGGATATGGAATTGAGTTTCGGTTGTTGGTATAGTTCTGTTTTATGGCGTGCTACCAAGTTAGGTACTTGGCAGGTTTGGTCATTTGTGACCATCTTGGTTATGATCGTCTTAGCTGAGACAAGATCGAGACGAACTAACAGCCAACTACCTACACGCAAAACAAGGTTCATTGGCGCAAAATTAACAAGCTCTGAGCTGAGACATCTGCCAACAGTGACAGCTTGCCAGATAAGGAAGGACCCATAGTAGCGAACCAACGACTGTTGTGGCTTCTGGAAACTGACTTGAGGTGAAGCTAGCAATTCTAGATAGTGTCAAGTGCTAGTTCAATCGTAGTTGTGAGTGTGCATATTGCATATCTAGCGGCCTTCTGATGATTGCATGTCTTGAGTCTGGGGAAATGCCTATGGCTTCCGCGCTTGTTAAACTCGTCATCTTTAGAGTTTACGGGAAGAAGGACCCTTGTTGGAACAGTAGATCACGAATTATCTACCCCAGAGGATGATCTATGGACTGCAATTCGCGGCCGCAGAGATTGATAAGAAAGAGCAGCAGCAGGGAATAGTCCCTTGTAAACCTTCGCTTTGATACATAGTTTAACAGTGCCTACATCCGAAGATACCGAAAGGTCATGGCTTTTGGAATCATTTGACATTGCGATGGGTTCCATGGGAAGTTTGGAACTTGCTTACTGGGGAGTGAAGTCGCAAGCTTTCCTGCTTCAGACTATAGACGAGGGGCATGCATTAATTCCATCAAGTGGTGATGTAGATCATTTTCACCTCAAGGCTTGGAAGCGAGTATCCGTACATCCGAAGGCAAGTGATCGCCAGCAAGAAACAGCATATGATTCCTTTTGGAAAGTAGAACAAGTTTATTGTTGTTTCAAGAGCGAGGCTATGTTACCCAGCCAAACCATTTCCAACCCTGATAGACAACCCTTTTTTCAACTACCCATCTAGCAAGTGCACTTGGCCAGGCAGAGAAGAGGAATGCCAGGAACCTGCTCGCACGTTCCCTGGAGGGCACAAGTACCTCCAACACACTCAGACTTGCAGGGCTCAAGGGTCTTGGGGTCAGAGTAGAAAAGACCACCGTTGTTGCAAGCGCTATGTCGAATTAGTACTTCTATCCATCTTCACAGAGCCAACGGAAAAGACTTACGCCTGAACGGCAGTGGCGATAGCCAGGATACTGATGATAGAGAATTGCATTTTGGATAATTTTTGAGATTGTTTTGTTTATTTCCAGAACCGGGTCGTCGGCCTCTTCTTATAGAGCTTTTTCATCAATATGACCTGTTCGAAATCCAGGATTCAATCCTTCAACGACTTCCACATTCCTATTCTTGACGAACCGATGCTGACAGTATGCACAAATCGTAAGCGTAGCATAAGAGTTGTCCGTCGGAGCTTATGGTACAAGAATAAAGCAGTATACAAGCTTGTTTAAAGCTGCATAAACCGACCAGAGTATTTCGTCGCCCATGCTCACCTTCTGGCACCCTGACTGTACCGTACTGTAGCGAGCTTATACCTGCCAAATACAGTCTAGAGTCACCTGAAGAAGGATGAGTTTGCATAAAACCCTTGCCGGGCCGTTCCTTTATTTCCGTTCATGTCGTGTCTGGTTGACGCGTTCCGATAGGTCCGGCAAGGTCTGACGGGGCCGAACAGGGATAAAGCACCTTTCGGATGGGTTGCCGGTGGCTATACGAGATGCACTTCTAAGCGCGGATTTATGGATAAGTGAATCAATTGGTTGAATTGCGCATATTGGGATTATCCGAGTATACATATCCTGTTATGATATCTTACTGTACGTGAAATGTATTCTGGGCTCCTGGCGGTGTGAGGTTGCCTATGCATAGAGTTGGTTATTGTTAGATGAATGAACTAAAATACTAAGATCTACATACAATAGCTCTAAGTTCTGGTCATCTTATCTTTTCTTTGTCAATTTGTCACAAGAGCGGCAAGACTTTAGCTTTTTTTCGGGCCGTTTCTGTAGTATCATTGAAGTATTGAAGTCAATTGGTACAAGTTGTGCGAGACGTCTGATATTCATCCTTTTGACGGCCTGATTCTACACAGTTATAAGATTTACCTACTTGTGAGCATCAGGCTCTGCCTCAGTTGGCAAATCTCGCAATGACGTGTATCTTGTGTCTCTCATCTCAGTAAGGTCTCATGTTTCCATAGTTCTCCACGACCTACTCATGCCATTGGATAATTGCGACAGGTTTCTATAGACTAAAGATCTCGAAATATGGAACAGAATCCTCGAATATATTTTCGATAGCTCTCAGCATCGAGACTGTACCCTTTCGGCCTTCTGCTTCCCGGTCTCGCCTCGGCTGGCTTCCGAAGTCCGGCCCGGCTCCATCATTTCGGAACCGACTACCCCGCCGGAGCCGGCACCGAGCCCTTCCATCTGACATCGGTTCCACAAAGCTGACACACAAAGCATCTTCAAAAACATCATAACAACGCAACATAGTCTGTATCTCTGTATCTACCATCTTCGTCTCATCCCAAATATGTCCTCCACTACATACCAGATTGAAAAGCCCGTCCGCGCCGATTTTGAGGAGTGGGCCAAGCTCTTCCGCGCATACATCGACTTCTACAAGTCCAGCATCGACGAAGACCAATATGCGAGAACCTTTGATCGCATCATGGAACAAAAGAATGGTCTTCAGGCTTTAGTTGTCCGAAAAGTCTCTGGAGAAGAGAAGTCCCTGGTTGGAATTGCGCATTTCTTTCCTGAGCAGTCACCTTGGAGCGAGAAGGAGATTCTGCTGCTGAATGGTAAGCTCGGATTTTTCAGTAACTGAGACCTTGCTAACGACGCAGATCTATTTGTCGACCCTTCAGTGCGCGGTGAAGGACTCGGACGAAAGCTGACACAGGCTGTTGCGGACGTTGGGAGAGAGATGGGTTGCATGAGGGTTCAGTGGGTCACCAAGCATGATAATGCTACTGCGAGAAAGCTCTACGATACAATGGCCGAGACCCAGTTTGTTCAATATAGAATGCCTCTTTAGAACAGTCCTATCTACGACAGCCCTAGAGTCTTTTCCTCAGCACGCATAGACCTGTATGCATCAAACCACCATTTGTGAATTTCCTGGCTACCAGTCCATGATCCATCGTCACCTAGCTCATCCCAAGGCTTCGGACTTAGGATATAATGAACATTCTTGACTCGATCGTCGCGCCAGATCTGTCCATGAACGTCAGGCTTGCGCATTGTCTTCAGGGCGTTGTAAATGTAAGGTAGAGCCACCCAGCGGCCCTCAAATAGATCTGCCAGTAAATCTTGATCCGGGAACTTGTAGTCCTTGCAATCCGGATCTTCCATCTTGGCAAGGATCTGGCTGAAGATGTTCTTAGACGGATTGACGACGAGAAGGCCGCTGTTGAGTCTGCCTAAGCCGGAGGATATACTGGCTCCAGTGTTTTGAGCAACCTCGGGTTTGTCATGTTGAGACGTGAGAGAGCAGTTCGCTGGGATCCAATTGGGGGGATAATGCGGCTTGCGAAGTGGGTTGCAGGTGCAGGCATGGCATGCAGCAAACAATCTCTTACCCTCATCTCCCATCGAAGGGAAGTCAAGCTCGAGGTCCATGAGTTCATCCATGTTGTGCAATGGCAGCATATCAGAGTCAAGCATGACTATTCTTGAGTACTCAGTGAGTGAGAAAACGACTAATTTAGTCCAGCATTCCAGGAAACGTGGATCGTCAAGGTATTCCTGTGAGCTGGCTGGCGCGATCTTCTCAACTTCTAGTGTCTGAATGCCCCGTTTCTCAAGGATATCGAGGCCATCTTGGGAGAGCGTATTGGTGTAGAGAACTAGCAATGGGTATTTCGACTTGACGCAGCGAAGACGATAATTGAGTGTTAGGACACCTTTGAGGTAATCGCTATTTGTTACCAAAGTGGCCCATACTGTTCACAGTCAGTGACGGCTCTCAGGCTTGCATATCGAGTGTGTATGTATACCTTTGGGTTGTTTGACCGTGTCTACTTTAGCAACCATGACGCTATCACTGTGCAAGAAACTATTCCGTCTCAACAAGAGATAAATAAAGAAGCACAAAATAAACAAAGAACAAAGTTAGAAATTTACTAAAAACTCGGGGAATGTCGTAGATGGCTGGCTGAACCCCCACTTAAGTCTCCTTGACCGAAGCGGCCGCTGAAGACGGGAAGATTGCGCTATTGGCTTGAACCTGGGAAAGTCTAATATCGAGATCGGTGCCCCGCCTTCACATGCAGTCTACTCTGTACTTGGTCGTGCTTTGTCATAATGTCTCGAATTGAGATGATGATTCGGGCTTGGCATCTGCCGATTATCTTAGCGGCAGGCAATTCGAGATCGTGCTACTGACATTGGTGGGATTACGCAAGTAAGCGGGCAACTTGCGGGTTGAACCTTCTGTAGCATCAAACTAGCCTCACACGCCATTGTACCGCCGTTGCCAGCAATCTCTTTATATGATATGCCCTTACCATGGCAGACGCAAAAGCATAAGATATGGAATAATTTAGTTACTTTATGCCAGCTTAGACTTGTACTCCTGCTCCCTACAATAGTAGCCTACCTAAGCTTTAGAAGAGGCTGCTTCTTTTATCCGCCTGCCCGCTGCTCTAGGATATATCTATTGCCCAGCACCCCTCACAAGATCAACAGTAGCACAGTGAAATGATCCCCCGATACTATTGACATGCTGGAAAGGACAAGGAATACACTCCATCCCAAGAGACTCAAACCACCGCATCGACCGTGCATCGCTTGCTTCCACAATGGCCTTCTTCCCATCCAAGACCAAGACTTTTAGACAAAGCCACGGACTGGTCATATACAATGGCGGGTTATCGCGTTCTTCCGGGATGAATGGATATGGTTGCAAGTCCCAGTCTTTGAGGATGGCATGCTTTCGCAAGCTAGCCTCAGTGACCTTTTCCGGATTATACACCAGAAGACCTTCGCGAAGAGGAAGAATCGTTGCATCAATGTGCATTGCATGAGGATCGTCAACGTCCAATAGTTCGATGTTGTAGCCTGGGGGAAGATGCTGTTGAACGTAGTCGATTCCAGCTTGGTTCGTGACATGGCTTAATTGTCCGATGATCGTTTTGCCAAAGCGCATAAAGTCTGCGACGTCGAAAGCGGGACGGCTGTTATTGATAACCCATCTGTCGTTCTTGGTCCCATCATCATCCAGCAGCGTATTGGCGAAGGAGCTCTTTGGACGGCGAACGATTTTAATCTTATCATCTAGGCTTAATCGATCAAGAATAGACGAAAATCCAACTTCGATCTCCTCCGCGCGACAGGGCCAAGCGAAGCATGCCTCTATCAAAGTATTCCCAACGCTCATTAGGCCATCACGCGGCATGGCGCCAGTATATCCGCCAATATCCTTCCAATTGATGTTCTTGGGTGGTCGGATGACCTGAACGCCGTGCTCTCTTAGAATTGAAGCAAATGTATCGAGGTCTTCTTCTGCCTTTTTGATGAGGGCTGATGGGAAGGGATTGTGTGGCTTGAACTTGTCGTGGTACTCTTCTGGCATTGTGGCTTTGATCATCGCGGCTGGGGCATTGGGAAAACATGCGACGCCAGCGCGGCCGACAATGATGGATTTCAGAGGAGACCATTCATTATCGGCGTGAACGGTTGGGAAATAGGTGATTGTCATGATGATAGATAAATTTGAACTGTGGTTAAGTTACAAGCCTTGACCAGAACTTCCTTTTCTCGGACTCTTATACCAGTTTCCCTCGACTCTCCTCAGCCATGCCTCTCGACGTCATGAACAAAAAGCCCTAGTAAGCGCTGAAGAATGACACGATTGTACAGATTTCACCACATCTGGGAGCATGATTAAGTTTCCTGACCCTCTTCCCACCTCGGTTCGTGTCGATCCGCACGGGGAGATCTCCAATGGTGTGGATGTGCAGGATATTCTCCGTCATAATATTGTCGTCACATTTCAGCTCGGTCAGACTTTCAGCTAGCCACGGCAGAGCTGACAGCTTAGAATTGTACGTAATTGCAGCTGATGGAATGTCGATCTACCGCCTGGGCCTCAGTAACCGAGACAGGCATGTTGTTGGACACGAATCTAGACATTTTACGCGTGTGGCCTGTCACCGCTTGTACTTGTAATGGCTCATTACAGACTTACTGCATGGTCTCGAAGTCCTTGGGGTGCGTAACGTGTCGTGCTCTCTTTCCTCGTTTGAAGGCGACCGGGTTACGATAGCCCTATATTTGCCTGCCAATAGCCGACAGCCTGAAGGCTGTTGTCCAATTCCCATGAGCATAGCCACCCAAAGCAATTCCAGATTAAAAGGCGATTGGCGAATAACAAAATTGTTAGTGGAGTTTGTTGGTGGTCAGCCTGCCAAGACTCAGCAGATCCAATGAAGCCCTGTAAGCCTTGCAAACAGCCCTACCAGGCCCCTCATCCCTCATAATAAGCGTCAATTTGAAGCCTAGTCAGCACCATCTAAACCCTCATCAATTGCTCAATCTACAACGACGCCTCAATGGAGGCAGCAGGTCTCGCCATAGGCGTCGTCGGTATCGCAGGTCTTTTCAACACATGTCTAGACTCTCTATCGCGCTTCCAAGCCTACAAATCCTCAACCGCTGACCATCACGTTCTTGACACGAGGTTCCGCGCTGCTAGGGCAAGATTTGAGAAATGGGGAGCCGGCGTTGGTATTTCAGAGGGAAGGCTTCTATCAGATCATAATTCTGGCCTCGATGACTCAAAAACTTCGGGCGTCATTACAGATATTCTGACTATCATCGCCAAGGCTATTTGCGATGATGGAAATGTCTTGCAGAATGACCAGTTTGCCGGGTTACAGTCCAGGCGCAAAAGGTTGAAGTGGGCGCTTGGTGGTAAGGAAGATCGGACTGAGCAGGTTGACATATTTGAGAAGTTGGTGCAGCAGTTGTACAACCTTGTACCGGTTGGCGACAAAGGCCAAGATCAGATTGGAGAGCAGAACGGGGATTGGTCCGATGTGAAGAGGATTTTGCTTAACATTGAGCAAAGCATGAAAGGTAAGTCACTCTGACAGGCATGTGTCAGAAGAATTCTCCACTATGAGCCTAAGAGACGAAATCAAGTAGCCTAAGTGCTGGTCTAAGCCTGCGTAAGGTAACTAAGTTATATCGTCCCTTATGCTCTTGGCGATCAATTCTTCTGATACCCTAATATCTGTTCCGTCTTGTCGTACCCAGGCTGACATGTTCAAGATGAGATGCGACGGGATGTATACTCATGGTTAAGCGTACCTGCATACAGCGACAAGTACCAAGATTCCCTGGACGAACGAGTCGACAGTACATGCGAATGGGTCTTTGACCGCAACGAATTCAAGACCTGGGTCTCACCAGAAGATTCGTCTTCTCCAAACCTCCTCTGGATTAACGGCCCAGCAGGGTTTGGCAAGACAATCTTATGTGCTCACATCGCACAACATTTGTCAAAAACGCTCACTACACCTGTTGCCTATTTCTTCTTCACCTCCAACCAAGATACGCCTTACCTCGGGCTCCGATCATGGATTCATCAGGTAGCTGATGCGCGAGACGAAGCTTTTGACTGCGTCCGTCAGGTTCGGGACGCTCATCCTACCGAGACAGCCTCGAGGAGGAATCTGCTCGACATCTTCACTGCTGTGGTGGAAGCAGTTCCTGGATGCACCCTCATTGCCGATGGATTGGATGAGTGCTCACAGCTTGGAAATGGTGATTCCTCAGTCGCGAGATTTCTGTCAGATGTAATTGGTGCGGTTTCGAAGAACGATGTTAGGCTCTTATTTATCAGTCGAGATGAGCCTGAAATTAGGAATGCCCTTGAAGAGAGCGTAGGCTCATTCTCAGAGTACAAGATCGCTCCGGACGACGTACGATCTGACACAGCAGTGTTCTCTCAATTCATCGTCGACAAAAAGCTCGCCAACAAGAGTGAAGATATCCGATCGACTGTCTCCGAGGCAATGACAGATAGATGCGAAGGACAATTCTTGTGGATAAGAATGCAAGAAGAATCACTCAGAAAAGGCATGAGTAAGAAACGACTCCACGACGCCGTCGAGAATACGCCCCCAGGCCTTGACCGTCTGTATGACCACAATTGGAACAGAATCATGGCCATGTCTGAATTTGAGAAAGATCGAGTCTTTGCCATTCTTCGATGGGCCGCATTCGCGAAATGTAATCTTTCAGTTTATGAGATCACCGAAGCTACATTGATGACACAATTTGAGGAACTAGATCCTGAAGAATATCCCGACGAGATAAACGAGGATTATATCAGGACAGAAATTGTCGGTCTTTGCAGCCCTCTGTTGGAAGTGAAGGATCTTTTCGTTCATATACCGCATTTCTCAGTGCGGCAGTATCTTGGTCAACACCTCCCTCTTCCCAACTGGCTGAACCAAAACGGCCAATTGCAGACCTCCTACGAAAGGCTACACCATACAGTCCTTGCAAAGGCATGTTTACTTTATCTGGGATTTCCGCAGACTTGGGAGCATGAATTCGATTATGCTACTCGTCACCAGACTCTTCGTTTCTACGCCGCTATGCAATGGGTCCACCACTCGAAGATCAGCGAACATAACTCTTACATCTGGGAATTAGCTATTGATCTACTTCGAGAGGATAATCCGCTCTGGACGTCACTTTCGGGGTACACGGTAGAAGCCTTGTCGCATGACCATGCCGAAGATGAGGAAGCGCACCAACCATTCCACCCCCTTGAATACACACTAAACTTTGGGTGGCGGGATATGGCGAATTACCTTATCAGTGAGAGGAATGTCAACAGGGTTGGTTCGCTGGGGCTAACACCGCTGTTGCAGGCTTCTAATGAAGAAGATATGGCTGAGACCGTGGAAAGACTTCTTGAGGCAGGAGCTAATATTGAGGCTGTAAACAAGAAAAAGTATACGCCTTTGCATAGAGCAGTTAGAAGTCAAGTCGAGGAGAATATCAGGATCCTAGTCAAGCATGGGGCGGACTTGTCGGCTCAGGACGATGACGGCTTCACACCGCTTCATGTAGCTGCGGCAACGTGCAGCTTGAAAATCTGCGAAATTCTCATCGATGGAGGTTCGGATTTGACTATGAAAGATCGTAGGGGTATGATCCCTCTGCATATGGCGTGCTACGAGGCTGGCCGAAGCGAGCTGGCGAAAATGATGCTGCAACACGGTCCTGATAGTATGGTATTGGAGGGGTCAACCGTAGGACCTCCGGTACATTTTACTTGTACCACGGGCGATTTGGAGATGGCTCATGTCCTGATGGAACACGGAGCCGCTCCTTCATTGGCCTTTGTTGACGAGGGGGGTGCTACGGCACTCATGAAGGCTGCACTAGATGGACACGTCGAGCTTGTTAAGCTGTTTCTTGAGCATGGAGCGGATACCACGTTGTCATTTGCTGCCAAGGACATCGGATCAACAGTGCTTCACATGTTGTGTGTACAGCAAAAGAGAGAAGAAATGTTTGAGACGGTCCTTCGAACAGGAGTTGAAGAGTCGATGCTTATGTTTGATGAAATGTGGAGGATTCCGCTGCATATTGCATGTCACAACGGGATGATCAGGGCAGTTGAGTTAATCCTGGGCTACAAAGGTGGAAATGTAAAAGCCATGCTTGAAGCCAGGACGGAGGAGCTCTGGACTCCGTTATGGATGGCGGCGTGGTATGGTCATTTGGAGATTGTCAAGACTTTGTTGGATCATGGAGCTACGGAGACTATCGCAGCTGTTGACCGCACGGGTAAAACCGTATTGTGGGAGGCTTCACAAAATGGCTATACCGATATCGTGCAGGAATTACTCAATCGAGGCGCAGAAGAAACTATCGCCATTACTTCCATGCGTGGGGACACGCCACTATGGGTCGCCTCGTATTACGGCCATGCAGATATCGTCAGGGTATTACTCGAACATGGTGCTGCATCGACCATTGCAGTGGGCGACGTGAATAGCAAGACACCTTTACACGCTGCGTCGAGCGAAGGCTATTTAGAGATTGTGAAGTTGCTTCTCAGCCATGGAGACGGATCAGCTCTCGAGATGCTGGATGTTCACAGCAAGACACCACTTTATGAAGCAGCAGATAATGGCCATGTCGAGGTCGTCAAAGAGTTACTAGCGCACGGGGCAGGCTCAACTATCAATATCGTCAACATGTGGGAATGGTCCCCCTTGTATGCGGCCTGTAAAAGCGACGAAGTTGAGATTGTCAAGCAATTGTTGGACTACGGTGCTGCACCAACTGTTAATCTGGTTAACAAACATGGGTACACGCCTCTTCAAGCAGCGATATATGGAGATAACGCCGAGATGGTTGAGCTGTTGCTCGAACATGGCGCTGAGAAGACTGTCACGACCCTTGACAGCAATGGTGAAAGTCCTTTATACATGGCAGCAAGAAACGCAAATGTTGAGATTGTCGACCGGCTACTCAAACACGGCGCGGAAGCCAACATTTCGATGTCTACCAAGAATGGTAACCCATTACTCTACGCTGCTGCGGAAGGAGGTTGTTGGAAGATCTATCAGACACTGCTTGCGTACCCTGATGTTGAATCGACAATCATGTTACTGGATGTTAAGAGCAGGAGTCTCTTAAGCGCCGCCTCAGGTGGAGGCTGTGTCAAGATTGTGGAAGACCTCCTCAATCGTGATGCCAGGAAATATGCAGCTCTTCCCAGTAAAGCAGGAGAGACACCGTTACTTTATGCAGCGAACTCTGACTATGCCGACATTGTTCAACTGCTAATATCGATACCGAAATATCCTGTGAACTACGCGACGCATTATGGCATCACGCCATTATTTCTCGCTTCTCGTTTCGGTAACATCGAGACAGTAAAGCTCCTTCTGTCACAAGATGACATCGACATAGATTGCAAGAACTGGAAAGCCCTTACACCATTATACGCAGCCGTAGCCAACGGCCATATCGAAATCGCAGAACTACTCATCTCGAACGGTGCTACGCTTGACGCATGGCCTACAGTCGGTCGACCGCTGTTATGGTGGGCTAAGCGCTCTGGCAAGCCTGATATGGTGAAGCTTTTGGAGAAGCATGGCATGACGATGGATACTATCGGTCCTTATCGACATTATCGCAGGGTGGAGCCACGAGATGATGCTGCATCTGTGTCGTTTGATGGTTCGTTGGGGTACTGTGATGTATGTACTTTGACTGTTAAAGATGAACAGGTATATGGGTGTAATAAGTGTTGGTATGAGTTTGCGGAGAGTTTATGGGTTTGTGAGGAGTGTTTTGGGAGGGAGTATGATGTTTGCAGGAGTGATCATACGTTGGTACCTAGAAAGGAGCTATACTATTAAATTCATGCAACTATTTCGGAGGATCAAGATCGTCCATTTCTTTTATTTGTGTCTTGAATACTCTCTATGGTTTTGCACCAAGTATCGATATCAAAATCATTGGACTCTACGTTACGCACAACAGTGCTGTTCGGTTTCATATCCTTTTTTTCTTATCCTACTCTGAGCCCGAAGCCTTTCTGATAGTTCTACTCGGGGTTTGCTATTGATACATCTGGTGATACGATACCCGGCACGGCGTACTGAATAATACATCACTTTTAATTACACAAACTGTCATTCAATAGTTATTTTTTATAATCAACTTCGATAGTTCAAGTAATAAAACGGCCATCCATGCTCTTATCTATGCAGTAGACACAGGACACTGTAACAGCCAAGTCCAACATATCTCATTGCACTTTTCTCCCGTACAAAGAGTCTCCATACTCTAGACAACAAACATCTCCTCCTCCTCATCACTGCCCTCATCATGTTCCACAAGATCAATAACAAGCGCAGCCTTATCATTAACCTTATCAAGCTGAAATCCCGCAGCAAGCGAATCAGCGGCATCATTAATACACCCCGCAACGTCCAATCCGATATCCAACTCCTTCAACGCAAGACATATCGTGCGGAAATGCTCATGATGCACATCCGTATCCTCCGCATCGAAAATAAGCACAGCATTACGGTGGAACAGACAGAAGTTTTCGCTAATGCTGGCGTGTTGTTTGAGTGAGGTGAGCTTTTCGGGTGTTGTGCTGGCGCTGGTGACGAGGCGGGTGAAGGTTTTTGCTGTCATGAGGTTGTTGATGGAGGAGGGATTTTGGGGGGTGAAGAGCACCACGTTTGGTGGGAGGCCTGTTTCTGAGCTCATTTTGATGTTTGGAGTCGTGATGAAATGTGATGTTGATCTGTTTCGCTGGTGCCTGAAAAGTTTTAGATGAAAAGTTGATATCTGCCAAGTGTAATTTTGGATGAGTCATCATGTTTAGGGTAATTAAGTCTTCAAAGATGCTCGACGGCAATAGAATTTCCGTTGGCCGCAACGTCTTGGGAAAAGAGTTGAAACATGATTGCTGGTATGTGTGAGCCTATCGTCAACTAGGTAGGTTGAAAGTGAGTCCTAAAGTTTGACGCTTTTACGGTGGAAGCTTTGCCACTCTGGATTGTGCACAGTGAATGGACTTTCCCGAAATCCCACTGTAGAGCAGAGTCTCAACAAACCACGCAACATTTCGAAGACGCACAACACAACAGACAAGGCTTCCTTACGTCGGACACAATAACAAATCATGCAATAAAATGTTAATTGACCGATACTTCCAACAATGCGAACCCTCGGATAATCCTGGTTCCGCGACCAAGGCCAGCTGCCCTTTTCGAGCCGCATAGCCGGGTAGTCTCTGTCGATCCCAACCCAACCCCGCCTCTAGAACGATAAGCTGATAAAGCTAGTAATTTGCTACCACACTAACATTCTCTCACCTTATCCCTCTATCTTCCTGATAAGGCTCTAATCTCACTCTATCATATTCATCCTCCAACCACATCCCCGAAAGCTCATTTTCTATCCAGCCTTATCCACGATTGGAAGGAGATCACACGAGCAGAACCATGGACAAGGGAACTTTTGAAGTCTTGGCACTTGCGATAACGGACTTTGGCGACTTCCGTTGTTGGGTTGTAGATAAAAGATCGTCTGGTCCTCAATTGAGTTTGTGTTCTTTGTCCTCTCTGCATTGTCTGTTCTGTGCGCGTACATCATCCGTGGTGGTATCCTGTGACGAGTCATGCGTCTGTCTACTCTCTTCGCTGGAGCAGCCTTGTTCTCAGGCTCGCGAGGCCTTAACATCCTTCTGAACAACGATGATGGATTCGGTTCTGCGAATTTGAGAGAGACGTATCGTCTTTTTAAAGAGAAGGGTCACAATGGTAAGATATCCTGGTCCTCTAGTTGAGAGTTTCACTGACGGTTTTCAGTCTGGCTCGTTGCACCAGCTACAAAGCAGAGCGGCAAAGGCGGTACTTCTGACTTCACCACCGAAGGCAATCTGACTGGTCCTTCTCAGTATGACTTGATTCCCAAGGGTGCACCTTCAGTTGGAAGTGATCCAAACGATAGCCAGATCTGGTACTACAACGGCACACCCGCTGCATGCACCTTTGTAGCTCTCGACTACGTCCTCCCTCGCTACGCCAACTTCAGCGTGCCAGACCTGGTAGTCACTGGTCCCAACTACGGTACCAACCTAGGTGGCTTCGTCTGGACGCTCTCCGGCACCGCAGGCGCAGCGTAAGTGTCCCCAAAATCTCCTCAAAACAAATACTTACGCTCTTAGATACGCCGCTACAAACCGTGGTATTCCCGCAATAGCCCTCTCAGCAAGCAACGCAGAACTCCCCTACACAGAACTCACCAACCGCACAAACCCAGCTACATGGGCGGCCCAAGCCTCAGTCCGTTTCGTCGAGAACTTCATCTCCACCGCCAAAGGGCCTATTCTTCCCATCGGTTACGGCGTGAATGTGAATCTTCCCGTCTTGACGGAAAAAGACCACGATCCTGAGTTTGTGCAGACGAGATTCACTGGTAACGCGCATGTCAACGAAGCGGTGCTAGACCCTGAGAAGGGAACCTTTACGTGGGCTAACATCAAGCCTTATGCTGCGGGTGTGAATGCTTGTATCAATGGAAACTGTTCGTTGCCGGGTGAGACGTATGTTGTTGAGAATGGGAAGGCGAGTGTGTCGTTTTATACGGTTGATTATACTTCGCCTGAGACGGAGTATACGGAGGGGCTTATTGATCGGGTTGCTTCTTTTATATAAGCAATGTAATGCAGTACTCCGTATTAAGTCAATGGTATTCAATGTACATGATATCATGCGCCTGACTTCCGTATATGATAATGATAACCCATGTCATGATAAGTGTGATTAGAAAATCGCAAGTTCAATACCTTTATCCCGTACAGCCTTCTCAATATCAAACGTCGACGTACCATCCTCCCACGCCGCGTCGACCAGCTGAAATATGATATTAATTAGATCAAATGAATCATTTGACAAAAACGAATACTTGACGTCATCCAGAGTTTGCTTCCATGTAGGATGGAGTTTTAGGAGAGGAACTTCGAGGCCTGCGGTTACGACGGGATACGGCAAACCGTTGTGCACCAGAAGGTCTTGGTTGCGTGGCTCTTCGTAGGCTTTTTGAAGAGCATCTATTGATGCGATGAGACGACATAGAACGACTTCTGTGTCAGAATGGTTGTTCTTTGGAATATCCTCGGGCATTCCTCTTCTTTTGCGTTCCATTCGTAGTCGACGACGGACTTCGAGGATACCTGAGAACCGCCACGCTTCCCATAAGTGTACTTGCAACGACTCACCTACTTCGCCAGGCCAAGACCAGAAGCGAGTTTCCGTATACTCTGGGTCGTTGTCTACCAGCCCAGCGAAGATGTCTAGTAATGATCGTGGAAGACCTGAGACGACTTCGATGCCGTCCGCACGACCTTCTGGAAAATCGTCTTGAAGACGACGAAGGAGCTTCCACACGCCGATAGGTTCTCCGGATCTGCCGATGACCATGGATGGAATGTCCATGACGCCGAGGACTTCGAGGAGGTGGCGGTGGTAGAGATTGTCGATGGGGATTTGACCTGGTGTTTTGAGTTTGTTCTTCAGGTCGTATACGTTGACGATGAGATCGAGATACATGGTCCATGGTTTTCCTTGAAGTAGCTGCACCAGTTAGGGAGATCAATAAGATGCCAATATCTAATAGACAGGGGAGACAGAAGTGAGATGTAAGAGGGAAAAAAGACAGACGTACACATAACGAACACACCAACAACCCAGCACACACAGTCGCGACATGAAACTTCTCATACCGAGCACTAAGCTCCTGCCGAAAAGTCTGCAACGCCAAATCAACATACTCCATGGACTTGACCGACATGCCATCATCGAGGTAGCCCTGTATAGCGCCAGCAATCATGACGAGCGCCGGACTCTGATGCGCCATCTCCTCAAAGAAAGGCTTGATCCAGGAACTCGCTTCCGTGGAATACAGCCGATTAAGCCCATGACGAAGGACTAGAGTAATTAGTAAATGATATACCCGAGGTAAGGTGAGGAGTAAATGTACATCTTTGAAAGATCGGATCTGAACCACCCGCACCGGGTGAAAATGCCGACGATGATTCAGTGCTGGAGGGATCATGGGCTGAGAGGGAGCCTGCTTCTGATAGTTCGGGGGTGTACTGTATAGGTGGAAGCGTGAGCGTGTTGGGCTGAGTCTCAGGCTGAACGAATGACGCGTCGGGGATAGAAGCACCAGCAAACCGTCCCCTGGAAGCAACACCGTTGACCCAGCGCAGAGGCGTAGAGTAGCCCTGGCATCTCATGCCTCTTTGGGAGCAGGCCTGGCACTCTGGACGAGCTTGGTCGCATTTTCGCTTGCGGGCTTTACAATTCAGGCATCCTCCGCGTGAGCGGGCCATTGCCACTCTAGAGATAAGGCACAGTCACAGTGCACCCTATCAGTTAGCGGCAGGGACAAACTAGTGCAGATCAGATCTTTGCGGGGAAATAAAGATAAATGAGATAGTCGAGTGAACAAAAGACAAGAATAGTAATAGCTCCCGCCAAACGCGTATAATCAGGGATGAGAATGGTCAAGGGCGGGGGGAAACTTGAATTTTGGAAAAGTTGTGGGGGTTGGATTGCAGAAGTTTATAGACGAAAAGGGGTGAAGAATGCGCCGCGCAAGTAATCGCCCAAAGGAGTTTAGTCTGTCATTGATGAATGTGTGATTGTTGGTGGCTTCCATGAGGAAATATTGCGGGGGAGGATTTGCAGACGCTTAGCCAGTGATAAGACCTGAACCAGGGTTTCGAGACAAGGAGCTGACAAGGGTTAAGCCGTAGATAGCGCGTACTAGGCTTAGCTGAAAGTTAATTTTGCAGTACAGACCACTTGGTGACTTGTTCTTTCTTTCCATTCTCTCTCTTCCCTTCTTCTTCTCTCCCCCTATGTGTGTCTCAGGACCGATTGCACGCAGATCAAAAGACTAACAGATTGAGAAAGTCAGGCTACGTATGTATCAAGTCTGTCTCGTGCAGAGTCCGAGAGTATGCGCATATCATATGCACGTTCACTAATTATTGGATGTGTGTGCCAATGTCGGCAATTGATTGATTGACTCGTACGGATACTTATCCCACCTTTATCCCATTTGAGGCTCAGATCATATTCTATATAACCTGGCTTGTCTCGCGTCGCAGTAGATCAATTTCATTCAATCCGACTCAATTCAATTCACCATCATTCCTACTCTCATCTATTGATCTATCCTCGTCATCGACATGGCTTCTTCCGATCCCGTGGTAATCCCCGGAGAGGTCCGGTTGATCCTGGGTACGTACCTATCCTTGACTCATCCACTGTAACTTAACTTTACTGATCCTTCCCAGCAGAAGCATCAACCGACGCGTCGAGATTCGTCCTTCAACCAACACCATCCTCAGACCCCAACGAACCACTAGTAAGACCTCCCAATCACCATCTACACTGCATGAATTAACCAACATGCTTAGAACTGGCCATCATGGCGAAAATGTCTCAACTTCGGCTTCACAATCGCCGTAACAGTCGCAGCCTTCACAAACCTCTCCATCCAAACCGTCTTCTGGCAGCAAATGACTGTTGACATGGGCGTCACCATTAAACAGCTCACATACGCTTCTTCATCGCAGCTAGCTGGTCTAGCACTCGGTTGTCTGTTCTTCATCCCGCTTACCATCAAGTATGGTCGTCGACCGACTTATGTTGTTTCTTGTGCTGTGCTTGCGGGTGTTACGTGGTGGAGTGCTAGGATGAATACTTATTGGGAATTGATTGTTACGAATATTGTTACTGGACTTGCTGGTGCTATTAATGAGACTGCTGTGCAGATGACGGTAAGTCAACACCCTCTGATATGAATGTTTTATCCTGACGAGTTTAGATTGCCGATATCTTCTTTGTTCATCGTCGTGGCTCTGCAAATGCTATCTATTTCACAGCTGTCATGGTAGGCGCTTTCCTCGCCCCCATGGCAGCAGGCACTCAAGCTGCCAATCAAGGCTGGCGCTGGTCCTACTACACCCTTGCCATCTGCCTTAGCATTCTTACCGTTCTCTTCGCCGTTGGATTCGAAGAGACAAAGTACATCCCCATCACCATTGGTCAAACCGATATCATCGACGACGCATCCGAGCGTCCTGAATCCAAGGATGATATCGACGAAAAGACCAAGATCGAAAACGAGGTGTCAAAGGTCGCTACCCGAACTTCCACCGCTATTCCCATGAACACATGGCGTCAACGTCTTCGTTTTACTACTACAACCAACGAATCCCTAGCCAAGTTGTTCATGATGCCTCTTCACGTCATCACCCTTCCTCACGTCATGTTCACAGCTCTGCAATTTGCTTCTGGAGTCTGCTGGCTTGTTGTATTTATGCAAGTTACTTCCATCGTCTTCTCTGCGCCACCTTATCTTTTCACCACCGCTGGTGTAGGATACATGGCTCTTGGTCCATTTATTGGAAATATCTTTGGAAGTATCTACGGTGGTCCCTTTGCAGATTGGGCTATTGTGAGACTTGCTAGACGAAATGGTGGTTTCTTTGAGCCGGAGATGAGATTGTATCCTCTTGTTATTCCTACTATTTTCATGGCTGGTGGAATCATTATGTTTGGCGTAACCGCTGACCGAGTAAGTACCTCAACTCAACCCACTGCACACCAACTTGCTAACATTCTCAGGGCATGCACTGGATCTATCCCTCCATCGGCGGCGCGTTCTTCGCCTTCGGTCTCGGCGCCAACGGCGACATGACCTTCACCCTTGTAATCGACACATACCGCGAACTCACAGCCGAAGCATTCATCGGCATCGCCTTTATGCGCAACGCCATCTCCGTCGCGATTCCCTTTGCCATTGTTCCCTGGATGAACACGATGGGTCTTTCAAACATGTACATCCTGAGTGGAATGATTGCTTTTGCTATCGGATGTCTTTTCATTCCCATGATTATCTGGGGTAAGAAGATCCGTACCGCTTTGGCGCCGAGGTATTGGAAGTTGGTTGCTAAGAGATCTGCGATTTAATGATTATGATGGCGTTGGTTTGGGTCGGATATTAGGTGGGATAATGGCGTGATGGGACAGGGATAATTTACTCAATTGATGATCTTCATTTCCTCAATTCTTCCGTGTTATTTTCTCTCCATGGACTTTTTTATCGTGACATGTTAAGCCGTGCCAAGCCGTGCGATTTGAAAATGAAGTTCTTCATGTCCAAAACTCTAGTGTATCACCGTTCACATTCTGGCCAGTGCTGCAAATCACCCGCATGCGTATCACATGTGTCTCAATCATACGTCAAAAGTCCGATAAACTCTATCTCTGCATTCAACCTAATCTACGTTACAACTTGGCTGCAACGTCCGGAAAATTAGTCAACCGATAGCAATCAATCACAGGCTTCCCCTCTGACATAATCATAACCCCCAGCGCAACAACACCATTCATCCAACCATATCTACTCTCTCCTGGTGCTTCAAATCTGATATGCGTAAAATACTCCACATCGTCCTGTGTAACAGTATCTTTCTCGGCAACCTTATCATCTACTCCTGGTCCAGTTTTGTAAACTCCATTCGCTTTGACAAGGATGTGAACGTTATCATCTGTCTTGAGTGTGTACATGGCATTTAACCGAATAAAAGACTAGATCTGTTAGTCTGAATCGGAATTGTCGGAATTGGATACACTGACCTTTTTCGGATTCATGACCTCAGCCCAGTCCGCGCCGCTCTTGTGCACAATCACACCCTTGATCCCGGGCCCATGCACAGTTCCTCCCTCGATAGGAAGCACGAGGCGAATCTTGTCCGTGCCGTCGACTCCTTCGATGGGTGTGACCCCGCCTTGATCCATCTCGGCTACGATGCGGTAGATGAAGTCAAGATGGGGCATGCGCATCTGATGTGGGGAGAAGGCATTTCCGGGGGAGGTGTTAGCCTCGGTGAGTAGCGTCTTGGTTAACATTCTGGGGTAATCGATAGACCAATTTGCCATCTCAGCTCGTGAAGTCCAGACCATCATTTATCTTCCGTATCATGGTGATGATCGTGGAGCCGTTGTTACTTGCCGAGCACTAAAGCAGTACCGAGACCCTGCGCATATACCTTCCATATCGGGATACTGTATGCGCTCGTTGCGAAGCTGTATCAAACTAAAACTCGGGGAATGTTTCCAGTGGGGGGCGAAATGCAAAGGGGTCCAGACTCGGAAAAACGGATATGTCACAGTCGGTCAAAAACACGCATCTTCGTCATTATAAACAAACCAGTTTCATCACTGCCAATCTTTGCTCTCACACCTTTACTGCCTATCTTTTCACGCCTTCACTGCTTATCTTTTCACCGCATTACTAGCCTCCATCATGCCCGCCACTACCAGCTGGCAAAGCCTCGCCGCTCTCCACCGCGAGAAGCAAGTCGAAGCCGTCCCCAAAGAATGGCTTCTCTCCGATAAACAACTTCAGACTGGTGATCGCTTGATAGAGTCTAAGGTTGTGCAAAAGTCTGGTCTTCTTTCTGAAAAGGAGATTGATATTACCGAGCGGTATAATGCTTCTGAGTTATTGAGGAAGATTCATCGTCAGGAAATTTCTTCTGAGGATGTTGTTGTTGCGTTTTGCAAGCGCGCTAGTCTTGCTCAGCAATATGTGTGTGGTTATGGTTGTGTGGTTTGGATGTGAGCTAATGATGATAGACTTCATGTCTGACGGAGATCTTCTTTGAGGAGGGCATTCAAAGAGCGAAGCAACTTGATAAGCAGTTGAAAGAAACTGGCAAGCTGGCAGGTCCTCTACATGGATTGCCCATCAGTCTCAAGGTACATAGTCTTCCCCATCAATGGAGCCATTTCTAATTTTTCAGGATTCATATGCCGTCAAAGGTCATCATGCGACTGTTGGATATATCGAGTTCCTCCGACAACCCATCCCAGATAGCAACGCTGCACTAGTCGACCTTCTTCTCGACGCTGGAGCGGTTTTGTACTGCAAGACTAATCTTCCCCAAACTATGATGGTACGCACCACTCCTGATCCAAGACGTAGCATATCCTAACATATTTTAGACTGCAGACTCAGAAAACAACCTCTTTGGCCGCACTCTAAACCCTCACAACACCACCCTAACAGCAGGCGGTTCAACAGGTGGCGAAGGAGCCCTGATCGCCTTCAGAGGCTCCCCCCTCGGCGTCGGAAGCGACATCGCAGGCTCAATCCGCATTCCCTCTCTATGCTGCGGTATCTACGGTTTTAAGCCCACAGCAGACCGCGTTCCCTTCGGCGGTCAATCAGAATACCCCTTTCCCAAGATCCACCTTCCTGGTGTGATGCCAGTTGCTGGACCCATGGGAAGTTCAGTTGAGGATCTGCAGATGTTTATGAAAGTCACTATGGCTCAACGGCCATGGAAATATGACTCTTCTGTTGCGGATATTCCTTGGAGAGATCTTACGGCTGATAAGAGATTGGTTATCGGAGTTATGGCTGAAGATCCAGACTATCCACTTCATCCTCCTGTAAAACGCGCTCTGTCTAAAGCTGCAGCCGCCCTCGAGAAGGCCGGCCACAAAATCGTCCAACTCCCAGCCTCTCCCCAGCGCAACGCCGGTCATGGCGCAAGAATCGGCTTCCAGTACTTTATGATGACCGGTCCCGACCCCGACACCATCTCCCGCGAAGTCGGCGAACCACTCGTCGCTTCAGTGGCGCGAATGGTACATCCCTTCTCCAAGGGAGAATTCCCCGTCAGCCAGGGCCTCGACGTACCTGACCGCCTGTTCGCTTTGAATGAGATCAAGGCAGAGTATGGAAAGGCGTGGATGGAGGCTTGGAGGGATAACGAGTTGGATGTTGTTCTTGCGCCTGGAGCGGCGCATACAGCTGTTCCTCATGATACGTATGGCAATCCGGTCTATACGTTGATGTGGAATGTTTTGGACGTAGGTCTTCCTGATGAAGATCGAGATTAAATGCTGACTGTTACAGTACCCTGCTGGAATTATTCCCTTTGGCACTTCGTCCAAGTTTGAAGATGAGGAAGGTGTCAAGGCTACGGCACCCTTTGAGCCCGATTGTAAGTCTCCGAGTCTTTATTTTTTATGATTCTTGCTAACCCTTCTCAGATGCCCCAGAAGCTACCGACGGAGCGCCGTGCGCTATCCAGATTGTGGCGCCTCGTTTCAGAGATGAAGAGTGTTTGCAAGCTATGCAAATCATCGACAAGGACATCAGATTGTCTAGGGCACCGAAGCTATAGACGTCTTCAAGCGAGCGGGCAAAAGAAGATGTTCTTCCGAATTTTAGAGTACCAGAACCAAGTAGCATAAATAATAGCATGAGCAAGCATAACGGACGAAATCATTCTACCGGTCAGGGTCTTCGCAGATGGTCCATACCAAGACATTACAAACGATTCACCAAGAACGGATATTTCTTATCAAAACAATAGACATTAAGTACCTAAACAAAGCAAAAGCAATAAGGATATTATCTATCAACCATTCAATCATACCTTCCTCCGCAGCATCCTAGAAGCAGGGCGACTTTCAACCCTGTTACTTCTCTCCTTCAACAATCCCAAAACCGTCATCTTGAACCTCTGCCCCAAGTCACTCCATTCAAAGTCAGGGTTCAAAGCCGTAGCAAAAACCCTCATCGATGATTCAGGTACCTTGAGGATCGTGCAAACATCCTCAGCAGTGAGGTCCCTTTCCATCGTGGAGATAAACTTAGCCTGGAGAGTTCCCTTGAACGGGGCGAAGCCATTGTAATCGACCGTTGCAACAGCCTGCGCAACCTCCGCCTCCTGCTTTTCCACCTCAGGTCGTGTTCCCGTTAGACAAAGCTGCAGGAAGCCTTCATCAAGGGGTTCAAAATCCTTTGTGCCCTTGCCAACCTGCCAAGGAACCCTGTTCTTCTCAGCATCAGCCAGAACCTTCTGCACGACCTTCTTCGTGCTGATCTTCGTCGTCTGGCTAGCTTCCTCAGAGACATCTGCGTTAATCAGCTCGTGATAGTGATGTAGGTTCTGCACCTTGAGATCCTTGGTTTCGATCTGCCAGAATGAAGCGATCTTCTCGTGCTTATCCACGACGGCCTGTGCATTTGCCTTGGCTAGAGCCCAGTCCTTGGCTTCGCAGGCTTCTGACACCGCAGTCTTGAGGTCCTTGAATGCGGCGGAGCGCTTGGTGTAGACATTCGCGTAGACAAGATCTTCACTTGCCTTGCGGGCACCGCCGTTGTGTAAATGCTCGAGATATTGCATCATGCGCGTATATCCCTTCGTCTGCTTCTGTAACACCGAAGGCACGTTCTGGAGCAATCGTCCCGAAATAGCCTTGACATCCGCATCACCGTCCGTGAGCATCCTTTCGAACACCGTAATGACCGTACGGCAGTGCTCAAGTTGGATATTGCGAAGCTTGCAGAACGTAGCCAGGTCAGCGGTGTGGTTCTTCTTGAGGTCCGCCGTATTCTCATTCTTCGTGATCACACGCAGAATGATCTTGTCGAGCAGTCGGGCGAGGTTCTCGTGAAATTGCTCCAAAGGCCAGCCAGTATAAGGATATAATTCGACAGTGTTCTCATACCACACCCAGTCGGCGTCGGTGTTAGGAATGTCGTATGAAGGATTGACACCGAGGAGCTGCCAAACCATGCTCAAAGGTCGCACACCTGAACCAGCGATGGTCATGAGATTGCCGAAGAGGCCTCTCATCAACTTCGTAACCGTATCTTCTGCGGTATCGAGCACAACAGGCGCCGAAGTCCTCATTCCCGCCAGCTTCGCCATCGCAGCCATAAGCAACGAGCTCATCAACTGTCCAATCTCGGGGGCACCCGCTTGGAAATTATGCTCACGGCCGGAGACTGCCTGACTGAGTGTATCTCGCATCATAATTCTAAGGGCAGCGATGTGCGATTCGTTACACTTCTCCATCCAGCGCACGGTGTAAGGGCTCTTAAGATTGACGAACTCGTCCCAGCAGACCCAAGCCAACATAGAGCCGCCCGTACCGCGAGTCTTGTTGAGGTAAGGCATGGAGAGGGTAGGATGATCTCGACCAGCCTGGCTTAGAAGAGGGCCGTGGTGATCGCCCTGTGACTGCTCCATGATAATACCGGCGTCGAAGCCATCGAGGTACAGGATTCGGTCGTCTAGGGAACAGGCAGATCTAAGATTGAGGTTAGCGATCCGCAAAATGGAGGCGAATGGTTGGTACTTACTTGGCGTTAATCGTAGAATCCCTCGTCAGAGTCTTCAATACCTGCTTGTAAGGGCCCGTCTCAATGTTGAGCAACATGACGCCCATATCCGCAGCATGCTGCTCCAACAGCTCCGTCAGCTTATCGAACTTCATGTCCTTCGTCGCCTGAACATTGTTCTCGATCTGGTTCTTCCTCAACAAGCGCTTCATGTCGTGTGTTTTCTTCGAGGTGGTCTGCGAAGACATCATATTCGCCAGGCTAGCGATCACAGGGTCGAGCGCAGCCTGTGTTCCCTTACTAGTCTTCCGTAAATCACCGAGCATCCTGTTCTTCTTGAGCATGGCCTCCTTGTCGTTAAAGTCGAAGGAGTCGGTAAGGTAGGCGATGTACTCCTCGCGCAGGGGGGTCATGATCTTGTCGACCTTGGAACTGAGCGTATCGACGAGGGTCTTGGAGAGCTTCTGAATGTCCTGTTGGTTGAGAAGGGATTGGAGTTGGGGGACCATGGCGATGATGTCGTCGTGGAGGCGAGTCTTGATGTGCTCGAGGGGCATTTGCTCAAAGACTTGGGCTAGATCCTCGACCTTGACGACCTGGTTAGTGTAAGGCAGAATGACGTTGTTGCCCTCTTCAAGATCAACGAGACGAGAGATCTTAGGGATCAAGATGGAACTCAGGTCGGCAGCCTTGATAACATCCGTGACGTCGGCTCCGAACTCTAGCTTGCTCGTATCCAGGACCTGAGGATCTGCTAGGCCGCGATAAAAGTAGAGCTTCTCTCCGTTTCCGACACTAGCCAAAATGAGAGACTGAGGTCCTGCAAGCGCAGTCACAGCATTGATGTTGGCCGCGCTCAGTGCCTCAGAAACCTGCTCCGCCGTTTCGAGCTTGTCAGCCTTAAGCTGTACGACGAACAGCGCGTTCATTCGCAGACTGGTGGCCAGGTTTCGTGCATTATCCGTCATTCTCTCGTCCACGACGACAACGACACTCTCGAGTCCCTCGTAGTAAGCGCATAGCGACTTGCTATCAGTAAAAGGGACGTTCTTAGGAGTTTTGCCCGTCGACAGAAGGACAGGTCCTTCGAGCTGAGAGCCGAAAATGCAAGGAAGAACAACGGCGGACTTGTCGAGCTCCTCAGTGTTTCTGTCCAAGAACTCGAGTCTGTTGCCAAACCGGATGATCTGTGCGTCGGAAACCATAAATTCAGGAAGTGTGTCTGCATTCGTGGTGATCACGGCGCGTCGCTTCTCGAGAGCTTCAACCTTGGTCTCAACAGCTCTCTCGACTGCGGCAGATTCTTGGGCCTGTTGGTCCGCATCGACGTGCTCCTCCACAGGGGCAGAAATGGTCCACTCAGCTCTAGAGATAGCCTCGGCAAAGATAGGACTGTGCGTCTTACGGCCACTGCAGGTCTTCATCCGATCCGTTGCAGCTCGGGATAAGATCGAGCAGATGAGATCACTGCCGACACGCTTTACCACTAAAGGACAACAGATCGTCGCGTCGCCGATGGTGGCCTTGTCTAAAGGAACTGGGATGATATACAAAGTCTGTAAATGTTAGCTTGGGCGTTCTAGTCCTCAATCATTATCGAATAAACATACCTTCTCGTCATGATCTGCCACCATCAGCGCTGGATGCGTTCCCAAGAATCTCGTAATATGTGTGTTGTTGAACCCAGAGATGAATACACAGATAGGCTTCCCCTCGGCCAAGCTATCGGTATCCAACTTGGCGAATTGCAGGAGGTCATCGCCTTGGTTGCAGTCGCCGCTGTGTGAGATACCGCCGAGGGTCTCCTTGGCGCACCAGCAAGAGGTATTACCGTCTGCATCACCGAGACAAAAGTCGTAGTATGTAGGATATCTTAATGAAACTGCGAGAATAGAGATCTTCCCAGAGTGGAGGGGGATCTTGAACGTTGTGGAAGGGGCTTGGGAAACTTGGAAGTCGTTGAAGACACCTAAAGAAGTCAGTTACCGATCGCGTTATAATAAGACAGGATGAAAGTACTTGCCTAGACGACTCTTGAAGTTATCCATGCGCTTCGCCAAAGTCTCCCCCATCTCCCCCAAATCAATAGCATTGTAAAAGTACTCTTCCTCAAAACCTGAAATATCAATCTCCTCGATACCCTTCTTGGTCTTGCATAGTAATATGCCTTCAGGGCTGAAAGGATGTGCGGAACCGATGTCAAGGTTCTGAAGAATATCGCGGATTCGACCCTTGGACGTAGCCAAAGGGTCGAAGTAGGTCTTGCGTACTTGTTCCATGGTGATGATGTTTACTGACGAATGGGGAATCTTGGCGGGAAAGAAGTTGTTTTATATTGCTTGATGCTGACGGGGTGAGTCACAATCCTCCCCTTGAAGTAAGGTTGAGCGCGTATTCTGGAGGAAGGTTTATACGAGAATGCTGTTGGTTTCGGGGACGCAAAAGTGTAAGGAAAACCAGCCACTAAGAATCCAAGAGACAAAATGGTCACATCATCTCAGGCCAGTATGTCCGCAACATTATTTTGGCGGCCTCAGCCTTAAGAAACTAACATGCTTTTGGAAGTGGCCGATTATGCCTTGTGAGTCACCCCACCGAATAATACGAATGTTACAACTTCAATTAACTGTCTCGAGGACCAGGAAATCAGTTGTACCGTTATATGTTATTGTTTTCAAAGCGTAATTCGTGGTAAATTCGCTCAATTGTTGACGATGTTGACTTTCGGGGTCTTGACGCGCTGAAAGTTGAAGGTGTTCTAGTGGGTCGAGGCCCTGTAGTGACAGCTTCTAGAAAGGCTAATCCTCCTGTCGAAAATATCCCGAAAGCTTATTGTTCTTGGATGTAATTAATTGGCTTCTATCATGCAGTCACAATAACATTCCCCTTCCGACATTCGGAGCATTCAAGAGTCATAATTCGTGCCAGTTCAATTGAAGTGCTCTAGGCAGCTCGTACTAATCCCAGCTCCAGTCAGCCTTACAAGGCACTAAAAAGCACTGCAACACCAACAACCAAAACCCCAGTCCATCCCGCTCCCAGTAACACAGCCCCAGATTCATCAGGAAGTTCAAGTTGAGGAACCCGACTTCCCTCAGCCAAATCATTCGGCGCGATACAAACCATCTCTGAGCTAACATTTCCATCATAATGCGTTACGACGAGCATACCAATCGGCTGCTGCACTTTCAGATCGTACGCTTCAAATGAATCAAGCTCCCGGTCTCCATGTGTGAATGACCCACCTGGGAAGCCGCCGTATGTTATGTAGTCATCGTCTAAATCGACGTTTTGCAACTCATCTAGAGTGCAGTTTGAGCTGGTGAAGTTTCTCGGGTCGACTGAAATAGTTAGGCTGACATCATATGGGAAGTTTTGTATGGGCAGACTTACTTTGAGATGCAGTAAAATGTCCACATCCGAAACTGAAATCCATTTTCATAGGAGGGCATCGTCCGTCTTTTAACGGGCTCTTAAAATCCAGAATCTCCTCCATGCAGTTGTCATCGATAATCCCATCGCACGAGTCTTCCGGCGCAGTTGCATTCGTCGCCGTAACGTTCTTGCCCATCATCATGTACAAGCAGACATTTGTCTCGTTACCCTTTTCCGTCCCGGCCAGGGACTGGGGAACGCTGAGCCACACCTCGATCGACTGGTCGGATCTGTAGTCTCCGTATCGTAGATTTTCAGCCCGCCTGTCTGTTAGCGAGACGGAGATGTGCCATTCATCTTGCTGTGGGAATTGCACGGAGATTGTCCCTGTGGAGTTGAACCAGGAACCAAAACCGCCTTCTTTGATATCGCGGACTGTGTCCGGACATGTTGCATTCGTAGAGTTGCGTTGGGCCAAAGTGTAGCCCGCCAGAGAAAGACAGCTGATAAAGGATAGTTTGGCCATGGTCAGTTGCAGAAATAAAGGGACTCGCGACTGTAATCCCCAGTATACAGCGAGGGCAAAACCAATGTTTAATATAATATTTGCAAAGGCATGATCGGTATCCGGTGATCTCATTATCTGACCGAGCCAAGATGTTTCTGCCCACACAGCCTCCAATTACATTACTATTATGTGTCTGAAGGATGAGCCAAGAAGTGCTAAACGGCAATCATTTCACGGCCCCCAATTTAAACAGGAGCTGAAATGCCATCCAGGTCTGTGCTATGACGTATTTTTCGCTCTTTCAGCTTTGACACGGATGTGCCAAGAGTCTAGTGAATCCTTTTGTGGTGATTGCCGATCGGGCATTTGTATGCCTTGTCATCCGAATGCGGTAATTTACAGCGCTGGTTTTCGGTTTCCAGGCTTTAGGAACAACGTCTGTCATCGCATCGGCGGTTACTCGTTTGAGAGCGATGGGCAAGTTGGTCAAGTTCGGAGAGACTCTCATGGACGCTGAGATGGGTGATGAACTTGAACATCATCGGCATTGAACTGAATGGGAATGCCTCGTTCGCTATTCTTGAGGCTATTAATTGTAGAAGCACTCCGATATAAATGAGACTATGCAGTACATAATAAGTTCGATCCTTAAGCACGCTATTCATAGCAGTATGCGGGTAGTCAAAGTATCGCAATCCAAGCCTCTGAATAGCAAAGGAATAGGTACTGAAGGAGAATCTATACAATCACAAGAGCGACGGATCGTTTCATTGGTCAAATTGGACTCCTGCTTCTCTGACTAACAAGTCACGTACATATGCAGTAGCCCCGGCAGTTGTTCCTTGCAGTTTCAGCAGCTGGCTAATACATATCTCGGCAGTCATTTATTAGCGTTGGTAACATAGCGTCCAGTTCCAACGATTTATCTGACCTACGATAATGTTTTACACACTCAATTTAGTTTCACCGACTGATCAATCACTACAACTCTTGGCCATATTCACTTCTTACAATCACAAATCACAAGAACACCATGAGACAGAATATTGATATGTGCATAGATTTCCATTCAAATGAATGACTCATTCAGATACGTAGCAAGAATATACAATCAGAATCAACTATTTACAAGTGAGTGCCATGGTGAAACCACCATATATCACCCATCAGAAGAAAGATACATCAACCCGTGCTCTCAAAGCACTGCTCAATCAATGAGCCCAGCGATTTATCGCTGGAGGGTCAACATACCAGGGCGGTATGGCCAGCTGTCGTAATCGGGAGCCTGAGCCTTGGGGTCGCGGCCCTGGTAAAGCATCTTAAGGTTGCAAGGGTCGATGGGGAAGGTCTGGTCGTTGTCGGTACGGACAAGCTCTCCGTGGGAGATGTCGTTGGTCCAGGTGGCTCCTGAGTTGGCCTTGCCGGCGAAGGGGTTGTTCTCGGTGGCAGCGTTGGGGGTCCACTGGCCGTCCAAGCTGTTGGCGGTGAAAGAGCGGAAGTAGCGGCCGCGGCCGGTGGTGCTCTGGGCCTCGACGATCATCAGGTACTTGTTCTGGCCCTTGATGGAGTAGACCTGGACAGCCTCGAAGAGGTTGTCGACGGTGTCGGACATGACGACCTGGCTGTTGGCGCCGAAGCTGCCGGGGAAGTTGCCAATGGGCATGCTGGAACGGTAGATCTTGCCGTTGTCACCAGCGAAGAACAGGTACATGTTCTTGCTGTCACCGATAACAGTCTGGTCGATAGGACCAGTCTTGGAACCGGAGATGCTGCCGGTGAACAAAGGCTGGGGCTGCGACCAGCCGTTGACGTTGGTGGGGTTGTTGGAGGTTCTGTAGGAGAACTTGTGAGGTCCCCACTGGTGAGCGAGAATCCAGATACCCTTGGGCTTGAAGTAGAAGAGGGTAGGGGCAACAGCAGTGCCGCTCATCGCAGTCTGGGTAGCAGAGCCGAGCTGGCTGAGGTCAGAGACGGGGCTGAAGCCGACAGACTTCCAGGAGGTGCTGAAAGCAGTGGCGTAGACGAGCTGCTGGCCGTTGTAGGGAGCGACGGTGAAGTCCTTGAGGTTCTTGAAGCCGTTCTTGGGCTGGGCGAGAGGACCGCTCGACTTCCACTTGTAGGTGGTGGGGAGGGCGCACTGAGCGCTAACCTCGCCGACGGCGGCGAGGAGCAGCAGAGTGCTGGCGATGATGTCGTTGCTGAGGAACTTCATTGTTGTTTGCTTGGGTTGCTGGAGCTGATGAGGAAAGAAGATCCAAGAGTTTAGGAGGACAATCACTAGATATTATATATGTAAATCTCTAGACCCATCACATAGCCCAATCCTTAATTTCATTGGCCTCATATCCATCGACTTAACTGACATTGGAGGAGAAACTCAGGTTCTCCACCCATGTTGTGGTTCGCGGTTCTTTTGCCGTCAATGCGATGTAGTATCACTAAGACGGGAGTACCTGGGTCTAGATCATCCCATGGAAATGCGCAAACAAGGATGTTTTGGTCAAGTCTTCCCCTTTGCAGTACCACGGAGGCGGACCCGAGCTTGCAGTATGGGGTTAGCGTCATCGGGTCACTCAGATGATTAAATACCTCGATGTCACGCTAATTTCGGCGTGCAGAACAAGTATCCATGCTGAGGAGGAACATGTGTATGGGCACCAGTAAGCAACTGACAGTCAACTGTTTTTGATACAGAGTCAAAGACATCCTCAAACTGCTACGCTCAGATATCAAATTGGCTCTTGATCGTGAGAATACGTCACTTAACGGCTTGTTTCTCGGCTCGACGCGAACAAACAATGCCAAGCCTGAATCATAGTGGGTTTCATCTTGGCGGTGTCTCGTTTCAGCCTCCACTATTTTTCTGTGTCCTGGCAGTCCTGCTAGCCTTTAGGCCTGCCTTCTAATCACGGCAACTAGCATCACGGAGCAACAAGAAATACGAGTTCAAGCAATGACCAGTTCGCACAGCCTGATCAATACTTGACTATTGTCTCAGCTCAGGCTATTTGGCCCCTAGTCTTTAGAGATCAACCACCAATGGCCGTCTTCTCATGAACCTGTCAACTGTAAAGTCTCCGAAAGACAACACAGATTGGAGCGCCTGTACGAAAGCAACAAGCATATCCAACTTTTCGGAAAATGATGTTCCAATTCAAGTAGGTAAACAGGTAATAACACCGGCATAATTGCCGTCGGTAATGTGCAATGGGGTACGGCAAAGCACCCCAGATTCAATGCTGCATAACCCCCGGAGTACAGCCTCTTCAGGCTAAACAACAAGGAATGCGATTGGTCAAATCGCGCCTTCATTTGACCGACCTTGATCGTTTCAGAATATCTGTATTATTCCGCCAACCAGAACACTGTCGCCCAACTGTTTAGCCAGATCGATACAAGCGGGCGAATTAAAGAAATTAAACAGATCGAGTTCTAGAAGGGCTACGAAGTTGGGATGAAATATTTTGTTTATCTGCCAAGTGTTTTGCCATGCCAAGAAGAGGGGTCATCATGAATAAGAGTAGTCAGCATCTTGAGCAGCATTAATTCGTGGTGTAGCGGTCAATTGTGCGGTCTGAAAAGGGCCGTGATGTAGAGTTCATAGTAAATGCTTCTCATTGTCGGAAAAAAAGTCGCCACGGGTAGAGTAATGCGCAGTCAAATCTGCTAAATCTGCTCAATCTGCACGGAACTCGGCATATGGCATGTTTTGTATAAAATATCGACAGTAGAATGTGGGCAGACTGGAGCCTGATCAATCTTGATCAGCTTCGCCCCTTGAAACAAGAAGTAATTATACTCAAGAGTGATAAGATAAGGAAAAAGGAGCTTGGCATGGATGACGATGTCCACGTGGGAAATGAGCCGATAAGCTGATAAGTGACGATAAGAGCTACGATAAGAAATTCAAGGTCGTGAACTCACCCTATACCTTTAGCCAATGCAGCGCTGTACAGGCAATTGAGCATCATATGTGTCTGAGAATAAATCAATGTGTTTCAGAAGTAGATTCTTCTTATTTTCCCAAGTGAAATACATGCTCTCATTACATACTGGGGACTTATGAGGTGCATAATGGGTTTGTTGCGAAACTTCGTTATGTGCGGTGATTCTGTGAGATTATAATTGAGCGAATCACGTATCATGTTTGCTTTGCCGGCCGGATGGCACAACTCTAGCTACAAAGAAGATATCGAAAAGTGAACTGCCATGCTAACAAGAATTTATCCGGACATCCCTTCTTTGAGGAATAGAGCCAAGTCTGGAGTATCTGTATGAAGCAGGTGGTTGTAAAACCGGCAATAAGCCATATCAATGATAGGCTGTATTTCGGGAATACCCTCACCAAGTTCCCGCGGGAAGATACAGCAATCACCCATTCCATGACTTGTCACGCCCCGATAAAACGATGTCAAAACGGTCTATTGTATGACTGATACACTAATATACATCTATTCTACATCTAAGCTCCAATCTTATGATCCTTCTCCCACATTTCATTCTCTATCCTAATACTCCTCTGTCCCCATTTAATAGTGATAAACGCACCAATACCTCCCCAAACACTCGGCACCGCCCAACCCAAAGTGTACGCAATCTCGACAGGCAAAATCCACGCCAGGGCAATAAGCACAATACTCAAAACAGATCCAGTGATTGCCCATCCCCAGAGCATCTCTACCAACATCCGTCGGAACCGAGGCGACGCCTTGTAGCGCTTGAGTGCTGCTTCGCGGTATTCCTTTCCGCCGCCGCCGTCGCAGGCTGTTATATCCTCCATGATGGGGAATGTCAGGGGTGGATAGACATCCCCGACGACATGCGAGCTCAGACGGTGCCAACGCAAATGCCAACCAAAATGATGCGCAATACCAGTCCACATCATATAAATCGTCACCATAAGAATACCAACAGGCATAATAATACTCAAGCCCCTCATAATCGGGGGATCAGGAATACTGAACCCAATCATAAGCGCCGTCATGACAAAGTAAGGCTGTCCAAGAACAAGATGCACCGTATCAAAGTTCCACCGTCCCGCTCCAAACAAAGGACGATATGTGTCCTTCTTCAACGCGAGACGCAACCCTCTAAGACCGTACTCGCCGCCTGAGATGAAGCCGAACATGGCGGTGATGATGGCGAACATGGCGCCGGGTCGCATGTCGGTTAGGTAGTTGATGCAGAAGTAGAAGATGATGGGGATGAGGGTGCATTCTGTTAGGATGAGCATCCAGAAGAGGAAGATCATGAGTTTATGTTCGCGGAGGTTGTATGGGAGTGGTGGGGGGCCTCGTAGGACATCTTCGTCTGTTGGCTCTGCTTCGCGCTTTGGGGGGATGGTGGGTGATGTTGGTGCTGAAGATAGCGTGACGTTCTCAGTGGCGGCAGTATTCGTTGTGGGGGCAGTATCGACAGTAGGATCAGCGTTTGTTGTAGGAGGCATAGAACCAGTGGTTCGGCCAGTCTCTGCAGTTGGAGCAGTGCCTGTAGGCATAGTGTTTGTTGCTGCGGGAACAGTGTGTCCAGGCATCGTATGCGTAGCCGTGGTGTTCTCTGCAGTAGTCGCAGTAGGAGAAGCCATAGTGGACATGATTGACTTGCATAAGCTTAAAAATAAGCTTATTTGACAACAAGAGAAAGAGAAGAAAAGACTAAAACACTGGCGCAGTCGTAGTTTTATTCCAGTTACTTCCCCCTACATCCGCTTAGACATTTAAAGGAACGGCGTACGTCAGTGGCAACCATTATGTCAATTAGCAGTGCCTCGTGCTGATCGCAGCGAGTGATGATGCTATTTTTGCTTGGCGGAGATGCGGGAGGAGCGTATGCCAAGAGAGTTAAAACAGGATTAGGTGCGTCGGGGAGATAACAAACATGTCACTTAAACCCGACCGATGGATCATTGCACGTTGCAGAATAAGAGATCCATTACGGGTAGAGGATTGGCAATCGTCATTGTCGGGCTTTATTATAAAAACGATGCATCCCGATGTAACTTGGGGGCATGTTAAAGAAGAAGCCAAGCCTTTAACCCTTGTTGTGATCCATTGATCAACGGTGACTACTGGATGAAATGCTCCGTGTTGTATTACGTAGTTGAGAATTTGAGATGAGGTGAGATGAGATGAGGCTTCTCTACCCCAATGCAGGCAGACTGCACCAAAGAATGGGCTGATTCGACAAGTTCAATTGAGGCAGTAGTGCTGATCCATCGTAAGCCACTCCCGTCGCGATCTCGCGTAGACATCCCGACTACACCACCAGGAACAACATGTGTCGCAACGACTCGCACTCGCACTGCAGTAGTCAAAGGCGGCGCGACCGCGAGCTACGAGCCTCACTCTCCACAATATTAGCCCGAATAAGAGTATAGACTTTTGCATGTGTTCGTTATCCCCAAAGTCATGTATATATAAACTCCAAACAAATGCAACCCAAGGCAATCAATCGTCAATCTATCCTTCAGTCCAGAGCCCTTCCATCCAACCTAAGCTATCAACCCAGGAAAGTACGTTCTCAGACTCTCATCCAACAGCTTAATCCCAACAGGCTTAACAAGATAATTATCCGCCCCCGCCGCACTCGCAGCCTCCCGATCATTCTGGCTATCCTGCCCCGTAACAATAAACAGCACCGACTTTTTATCACCGGCTTTTTCTAGGTCGCGGATCTGTCGGGTAGCGCTAATACCGTCGCAGACGGGCATTTGCAGGTCCATGAGGATGAGATCGAAGGGAGGAGGGTCGGTGGAGGGAGAATTTTGGAATTGAGTGAATAGGTCGACGGCTTGGCGGCCGTCGATTGCGCTGCGGTAGGGTAGGCCGCGCTTTTTGCAGTACATTTCTAGAATGCGAAGGTTTATTGCGTTATCGTCTACTAGAAGGGTCATGGGCTTTGAGGTATGTGGCTGGGTGCGGATGGGGAGGTCTTGGGGGGCTGTCTTATCAGGCCCGAGAACTCGTGGCACTGGTTGCTCGGTGTCGTGAGGCAAGTCTTCGGTTCCGACTTGAGGAGTTGGAGAGCCGTTATGAGAGAAGCTGGCGCGGGAACCGTAGCCTTCGTCTGTTGATGAGACGATGTCGCATGGCGGGACGTGATCGTCTTGTGTGGGAGGTTGAGTTGTGGGCTGAGGAGGGTTTGACGGGTGCATTTTTGAGCACAGCTCGTCGGCCTGTCGGAGCGCAGCGTCGAGTGACGAGGTACAGAACGGGCCCTTGACGAAAATGATGTTCGGTGTCGACTGAGAAGTCTCCGTCTCTTCCGAGTCGGGCACAAGGCAGATCGCGACTTGGTCCTTCGGTAGCATCGCGTGGTACTTCCTTCGCTCCTCCGGATCACGAATGTAGTCCATAACATTCAAACAATCGGTCGGGATATTCGAGAAAGAGAAGCCGTTGCAGGTGAGATATCCAGCTAGGTGCGAAGAAAGGTGTACTTCAGGTGTATCGGAATGTAGGTGACGGAATCTCAACGGTAGATGCTTAAGTTGTGAAGCAATCGTAGGAGATGGCGTAGAAGTCCTGCAACGGATGTCGCCAAAAGTAGCACGGAAATGAGACCCGCGATCAACCTCCGACGACACCAGCTCAATTGAACCATGCAGTAAAGCAGAGAACTTGGCAGCGAGGGTCAAGCCCAAGCCTGCGCCGGTGGAGTGTTCGGCAACCTTCTCGTACAGCTCAAAAATGCGACGTTGATCATCTGGGTGTATACCGCATCCCGTATCTTCAACGTCGACGACGAGTGTTTTTGTATCTTGTTCGTAGGATAATGTAACGGCGACGATGCCTTCGAGGGTATTTTGTATAGCGTTGACGATGACGGGCAGGATACTATCGCGGAAGAGGTCGATATCGATACGGAGGCTTTCACAATCGGGCGATAAGTCGTGGTGGAAGAAAACAGGTGCTCTCGTTCGTGTGTCTCGAAGAGTAACGTCCGAAGAGTCCTTGACGAGCGTATCCTCCAACTCTTGAATGCTATGCGTCGCATATTGTCGGTCCGCAGCAGCGATATCGGCCCATCGGTTGAGCGTAATCATGCTGTTGACAGTGGACATGAGTTCGCGGCCTGCCGTCGAGATGGTATCTAGATAAACAGACGACTTGCCCAGCTCTGCGAGCGGCTTCATGAGTTCCTCCACGCCCGGCCGCAGCTGCGTACTCCCAGGTAGAGTCAACGCTCGCAGATCCTCGGTCAAAAGCTCAGCGGCGCCGAGAATGCCGTGGATCGGCGTGCGGAGCTGGTGAGATACGCCGCGGAGGAACTTTTCTTTTGCGCGCATAACCTCTGCGAGGAGACGCTTCTGCCATCGTTGGGTGAGGAGGGTAGCGCACGTGTGGACGAACCAGGAGTCGACGTCGTCAAAGATTCGTCGGAACTTCTTGGTCGCGACGACGAGGACTGATGGGCCGGATTTCGACTCGCATTGTGCAGAGATGAAGCGGACGACCCTGTCCTTGGGTGGCTCCTCGCAATTTGACGTCGCGATAAACTCCTCAATGTATTCATCGTCTTCCCACAAGCCGTGTTTTAAATCGGAGGCGGTCGCGGGGTATGGAACGTTGTGGTCAAACGAGTCGGTGCCGGCGGATTGTAACGTGACGCTTTCATCGGGATACGCTTGTTGGAGTACTCGAAGGATCGGTTCTTGTACATCATCGCCGTCGGGTTCTCGCTGCAACGCCGCGATAAGCTCGTTCAATCGATGTCGTTCTCGCTGTCGGCGTGCTCGTGCACATTGTACTATATCAGCCACGACCCAGTCGCCCAATCTCGCAAGCGCAAGCTGCTGGTGTTTCGACAGCGGAGGTTTGCTCGTTGCCGACGCAACACAAAGCGATCCCAGACCGACGGATTCACCGGATTCGTGCTGCATTCGAAGAGGGACGCCGGCGTAAGCTACGAGGCCGCCCTGCTCGACATACGGCGACTCTCGGAAGCGCCAGTCTTCGAGCATGTTCGGGAGGAGGAAGACGTTCTAGTAATTGGAAGCTCAGCATTATTTCGAGGGATCGGTAGAAGTGGTTCGTAGGCCTGGGGGTTGTATCACTGTATGTGCGCACAGAGTCTCTCCTCGAGGAAGGATAGCCAGCTGAAGACCAACCGTAGCCAGACGGACGTAAACATTGGCATCAAGCAATCCAACAACAGCATACTCCCAGCCAGAATTCTCCTGCGCAAGACAAGCCTTCTCCTGCAAACCCGCAAGAAGCTCAACTTCCTCATCAATGTCCCGCGTGTAATACCATAGCATCGACAATCTCAATCGCTCGTTCTTGGCCAATCGACACCGTGGGTATTTGGAGGGAGGACATGATGGTTCGGCGGGTATCGCGGATGGCGCATAGGGGTCTTCTTTCGGAGGGTATAATTCGGAATCGACATCAGGAGCCCAAGGCCCTACGGGGGTTTTGAAGTTGTTTGCATCGAAAATAGGGCCGACGGCCTTGGGACGTGGAGGAAGTGCGTAGTCGATAGTAGAGGAGAGGAGTGTTGAGTCTGCTTTTGGGAAGAAATGCATTTAAACGAGCGGATGTATTTAGGGGATAGAGATCGACAATTCAATTTAACATGGGCGCTTGCTTTTGTTATGGTACTTGTATAAAACTATATGTAAACAATACAAATGATCAGTTACTCAAAAGGGTTCAAGATTCAATATTGAAATGAATGGAGATAACTTTTGGACAAGAGACAGAAAGAGCGGAGAGGGGTTCGTTTGACCCGACAATTAGGAAGCATTTTCTTCTGCTGACTGAAAACGGTATCGCGTCATAATTTACTGTGATCGAGATCTTGATCTTGTTTTGTGATCCGAGGAAAATAACTTGGAAGGCGGGATCGTCAATGCATTCACGGCAAGTGCAGTCTCTACACAGAAAAAAGTCAAAATAAATATGAGAATGAAAGCAAGAAGATACTACAATAGGATTACGATGGACTAAAAGAGGAATAACCGTTGAAATGGCATGATTGACTACTATACGGGATTGACGGGCTGTCAATTCCAAGGCTTACAGCGCATGCAGGCCCCAACGGCCCTGGCTTATGGGCTTGGCCGGGCTTGGTTTGATGCAAACTCTGTAGCATTCCACGTTAGGCAATTGGTATGCAGCCGACAACTGTCAAACAGACAAGTCAATATGCAGTCTATGATAAGATTAGACATTTATTTGCTTTTGAAAACGACCCTGGCGGTTATCGTGTGATATGGTTGTCACGTGCAGCTCAAGCAGATCAGGTACCCGAACCCCAAAATCACTCACATGCCGCCATCGCACATGCGAGACAGCCTTAGTGTAGATCATTCAATCTTCACAGGCATACCTTGTCTGAAGAAGGGCTCCATCATCTTGGGAGAAACCCTCATGTGTAGTACCGTGACTCATGATGTTGTAGCACTTGATCGAATGGACATTGCCTTGGGCATCAATCCACAGAGCAACTCTAACCAACCCCATGACTCATGACAACAAATACTCAACAGTTCAAACTGCCAGCAAGCACAGACTATCGTGTTACCTCCAGAATATGCATGCCACATCAGAGATGCCACTTCTCGGTGGGGCTTCACCGCCAGACTCCATTCTCCAATATGGGTCTCTAGACTCTGTATTTGAGGTATCAATATCTCCTCACTTTCTGATATCCCCTCATCGACATTCTTTCACTCATTCTAAAGAGTGAACCATTCAATGACATACCCTCAACATGCGTCTCATCCACACAAAAACATTCCAGCTGGAAGAATTCTACGGCCAGCCTCCAGAATATGCAATCATCTCACACACATGGGGTCCCGAAGAAGCCACATTCCAAGACTGGCAGGGCAACCTCGAGCTCATGAAGCTCAAAAAAGGCCATCAGAAGATCCGTCGCGTCTGCGAACAAGCTCGCAAAGATGGCCTCATGTATCTCTGGTGCGACACCAACTGCATCGACAAGAGCTCCTCGTCTGAAGTCTCTGAGGCGTTGAATGCCATGTTTACCTGGTACAAGAATGCCCAGGTTTGTTACGTTTACCTCTCGGATGTGCCGCCATTGGATAATGGGGCTTTTGATCCTATGGAGCATTTTAGGAAGAGTAGGTGGTTTACGAGAGGGTGGACTCTGCCTGAGTTGTTGGCGCCTACGAATGTGGTTTTCTTTGCAAAGGATTGGAGTCCTATTGGTACGAGAAAGACTCTTGCCAATACTATTTCTTTCGTTACAAAGATCGATCAGCAGTATCTGGACTGTACCTTTTACAAGGCCAGTATTGGAGAGCGTATGTCGTGGTTGGCCAAGCGAGAGACGGAACGAACCGAGGATATCGCCTACTGCATGTTGGGTATTTTCGACATCAACATGCAAATTGTCTACGGCGAGGGAATGAGAGCTTTCATCCGTCTTCAGGAAGAAATCATCAAGGTCTCCAACGATCAGACCCTCTTCTGCTGGGCCTGGGACGACCGATATGTCCCAGCGGAATGGGCCAGTATTCTGTCCCCTTCACCAAGGACCTTCCTCGACTCAAGCACATATACCGAATGGCCCGTCCACGAAGCAAAGACATACACCATGACAAACGCCGGTCTCTCCATTAAGCTTCCCGTCATGAACACCATCACCGAGTCAGTCGAGCAATGGCTCGTTCTTCTCAATGCTCGACGAGATAACGAGAACCAGCAAGTTGCTCTTCTTCTTAACAGACTTCCCGGAAAGGACCGTTGCACTCGAAACCGCACACCACCGTGCCCAGTTCCCGTCTTGACAGGTTCTACGAAACTCCGTGAAGAACAGATGTACATCGCTGGTAGTCGCGAGCGCGCATCCATTCAACCAGACTTCCACGGCCACGGCACCTACGAGATTCTCATCACACTCGATAGTGGTACAATTCCCTACGACAGCATCAACTCCTCTCCCCGTCTCGACTCCAGCACAATTAGTCTTCAACAATGGGACCAGGATGGTCATTACGGTTGCGTGCTTGCCATCCAAGGCATGCAAAGCATCAAGAAGAACGACCGTCGCGCCTCCGTCTTCATCGCTACTCTCGTCTTCGGCGTAGAAGTAAAAGCCGGCAAGACGGAATGGTTCTGCAAAATCCGCGGCATTCAAGAATCATCCTCCGCCTTCTCTTCCAACACCCTCGAAGACGCAGTATACGAAGAAGAACAAGAAATTCGCTCTCAACTACGTCGCACAGGACACTGGCTTGCTATCTTCGACCAAGATGAGAGTACATCTACCGATACTGTCCGCAAGCACGAGATTGATCTCTTGACGAGTATCTCTTTAAGTCACGGCGTGAGAATCGCGTCGAATTCTCAGATGGCTGTTGCGCACTTGCAGCTGGCGCATATTGTGCGTCCAGCTGAGGTTGCGCCTTGGGATGATGGAAAGAGGTTTAGAACGGCAGATGGAACGAAGGATTTGTCTGGGTGGTTGAGTTCTTTGCAGTAAGGAAAACGGAACAAAACTGAAAAGAGGATGGATGATTTTACGAAAATAGAAAGATTTATGATTATACCTGGCGGAATAGAATGCATCGTTTCACTGTTCATTATGGTTCACAATGGTGCCATCAAATTGTCTTAGTTTGTTTGATCTCCCAGCTTTCGAGCAGCCCCTACTCGATTACCTAGAGGGTGGTATTCATGCAGGAGGTTCAACTTGTCGAGATGACATGATGCCAAGCCTCTTGAACTTCCCTTATCAGTCAGTGAAATGGTGATCAATTGCCACGTACTCGTCAGCTCAGCTCATCGATCAATCGAGCATCTGTCCAACCACACATGAAGCTGTCTCACCCGGACACCTCGGACGTCTTATCAATCCGGCCAAGATACTTAACGTTATCATAGTTGGCACACTTAAAGTTAGCAACCCCGTTAATAACACGCTAACACTCTAACCTCCCCCAAAGAATCCATAATTCAGTGGGTTTATCTCGAACCCCAGCCAATTTAGCCGACAATCACTCCATCACGTGTAAAAAGGATCCATTTTCTTCCCCTCAATCTTCAACGGATCTTTCCTTTTGCATCTGTTGGTTCTTGACAAACGTGTAGCAAACATGGCTGAACAATCTGCAGTGGCTGCGGATACTGCCGCCCCCAGGCCCGAGGTCTCACCTGAGGCGCCAAATGAGCTTATTCCTGCTGATGAAAATGTAAGTAATAAAATATCTCACTTAATCGGCTGCGGGAGTGGAATCATTAGCTAACGCGAATCTGTAGAATGAGACTGACGATGATGCTGATTCAGCGCTCGGTTCTGATGCGTTAGTTATTGATACCCTTGCAAGCCACAGTACTTACATATACACAGTGAAAGTTCGACTGCTTCGGTTTCGGCGAGTATTCTCGAGTATCGACGGAGTCAGGGCCGAACATACCATAGTGATAAGTTCGCCACGAATTACTTTTTGCCCAACGATGATCAACAACTTGAGTCTGTTGATTTGACGTAAGTCTTTCTTTCTGCGTTTTGTTCATGTCATCTAATGTTTGCTTAGACATCATTACTTGATGATCTTATTGGATGACCAATTATACCTTCCTCCTCTGAAGGAAGATAAGTTGAAAAAGGTGCTTGATGTTGGTACCGGAACTGGTAAGTCCTCTCACAACCCATCGATGAGCCACTACTAACAAAATCCAGGTATCTGGGCAATGTAAGACCACCAAAACCACCACAAAACAAGTTACTTATCTCCATTAGTGAATTCGCCGACCGCTTTCCCAACGTCGAAATAGTAGGCACAGACCTCTCCCCCTGCCAACCAGAATGGGTCCCCCCAAACGTGCGCTTCGAAATCGACGACGCAGTCATGAACTGGACCTGGGAACCCAACGAATTCGACTTTATCCACATCCGATACCTCTTCGGAGCCATCAAAGACTGGACTTCCCTGTTCAAGGAAGCGTATCGCTGTGTCGCCCCTGGCGGCTGGGTCCAGTCTGCTGAGGCTGATGTTGAGTTCCGTTCTGACGACGGTACTGTTGATCTTGAGCCGAGTTTGGAGTTGTATAAGAAACTTTTTGTGGAGGGGGGTAAGGCGCTCAACACGCCATTCTTTGTGTATGATATGCAGGTCAAGGCTTTTGAGGATGCGGGCTTTGAAGAGGTTCGCGTTGTTGATTACAAGGTATGTCTGCTCCAAACTAACCACCGTGTCATAACTAATGAATCCCGATTAGATTCCTGTCGGAGACTGGCCCAAGGACCCCAAGCTCAGAGAAGTCGGCAAATTCGTCCGAGCTTGCTTGGAAAACGATATCGAAGGGTACACTCTCATGATGTGGCAGGATGTTCTTCAGTGGCCCAAGGAGGAATACCAGATGTTCCTGCTCAGCATCCGAAAGGCCATCAAAAACCCCAAGATTCACTCGTATATGAAAGTGCGTTACGTTTACGGACGCAAGCCTGAGGCGAAATAGACTTGTTCAGCGTGTTGCATATCCATTACATGGTTGGCGATCTGTTGTTTGTTAAGCATAGTCGGTCTTTTCAAAGAAAAAAAAGCAATTTAAGCAGTCATTACTATTAAGCTATCTTCACATATTGCCCTTCACTTGCCATTTGCTAGACTCCCTTAACCAAGCAGCGAAATCCTGTAAGCCAGGCTCCTCTCGTCGCAGCCCATCAATATCAGCCTTCCACCCTTCCGTCTTGAACCACTCAAAACTCTTAGAGGCATCCTTGACAGTCCATAAAATAGGCCAAGACACAGCCCTATACGTTTGTGGGAGTTCTTCCCCAACAACCTCCTTGAAAATTCGTTCAAGCTCCGAAAAGCTCAAGTCATCACCTGCCAAAGCAACAGCCTTTCCAGCCCAACCCTCAGGATTGACTAATGCCTTCGCTGCAAATACGCCGATGTCATGTGTGCTAATTAATTGCATCTTGCGGTCTCGAGGCATACCCTCCGCCCAAAGCGAAGCCATCATTTTGCCGAAGAAACCAGGGTTGTAACTATCCATGAAACCAGTTGGTCTGAGAATAGTCCATCTCTTCCCGCTTTCTTCGCATAGCTCGCGCAGTCTATGTTCAATCCGATGTTTGGCGGCAAAGTGAGGAATCTCGGTTGGTGTAGACCAACTGGCTTTATTGCCCCCTCTATCAACGCTTGAGAAGACAATGTGGTCTGCATTTGATGTCTTGGATGTAGCTTCTTCGATGAGAGGAATGGCCTGGACTTCATCGTCGGGCGGGACTGTGACAATGAAGACTGAAGCAATTTCAGGGTATTGTTCAAAGATGGGTTTTGGAGTTTGAGTATTCCCTTCAACGAGTATTATCTCGGGGTATTGAGATGAAAGAGCTTGAGATTTGGGAGATGTGGTTGATCTTGTTAAAGCTAGGATGCGGATGTCGCATTGTTTATGAGCCTTGAATATAGCATCGATGGTGGCTTTGCCTTGTTGACCTGTGGCGCCAACGATAAGTATATCTCGTGTCATTCTGTATAAGTTAATAGTATGTAGATGTTAATGGGAAGATGATTCTCTGTGTTGGGCGTTGCTTGGGATTGTTATATTCAGCCCGGATACTTCTCGGGACGATAACTGGCTGAGCCAACTGTAAAGTCGCCGTGATGGATGTGGGGTATGGTGCCCTCCAGCCTCTCATATCACAGACACCTTGACAAGGTTCAAGCTTATCGCGCTTATCGACAAACTCGATAAGAAAAGCAATATCACATCATCCAGACTCTCTGAAAGCAACTTGGTGGTGAGCGTTAAAACGATATAGGAAAACTCCTACTCTCTATGCAACCTCAGCTTCAGGGATTAAGTAGAGGTGATTATACTATCCCGCGTCTTACGAGCTAATCACATAACTGTCCTGTCTGTTCCGATAATGAGAGACAATGTACTTCTCATATGTATTATGCAGAGCGGATGAGCTTCTCCGAAAGATAATACCTAATCGAGACCCTGGTCAAAACGGGCCCCCGTCAGCGTTGAGCGAGGCTGTGCTTCATTTCAACCCTCATCGAAATAATACGTAGACTTCCGACAGCTTCATATCTGCTTCCAGAGAGCTACTACACGAAAAGCGACGCATTGAGGCTCGTTCCAATCTCCTCCTGACCATTTTTATTTGCGAAAACCATCACAATGGATAGCTTGGGTCCTAACAGCACGAACAGTGAGGAGATGGTTGAAAGCACAATCACTCCGCCTAAGGACTGCAAAATGTGCTCCGAGATCATCAAATTATTCCAAGCTCCTTATTATCATTACGAACGAGGCATCATTGATGGTGAACACATCGATTTGGGGAAAGTCAGCGAACGCCTTACCGACGACTGTCCCCACGCGACCTGGCTCCGCGATATCGAGTACAGAGGCGGTCCAGTGCCCTTCTACGAACAGCGCCAACTCAAGTTATATAGATGGATACGCCATCATGTGTGTAATCTCATTATCCATTACCATAACAGACAAGGTAATGTCTGGGCCTCCACCCCAGGCTTTAAGCTGGTGCGTCGGCCGGAGATACCTGGGCATGTCGGGGGCATGCGTATCATGGATGAGAGCTGGATTGACCTCGACGTTGTGAAAGGTTGGCTGTTGAGGTGCACCCAAAAGCACAGCGAGAGGTGCAACAAGACTGTAGGGGATGTGCCGCCGTTCAAGCCTCGACTTCTGATAGATGTTACTCAAGGCTGCATCGCAGAGTGCGAAGAAGAAAGGCCGAGGTTTTTGACCCTATCATATACTTGGGGAAATTCAAAGAACTTCCGTATCACAAAAGTCAACGTCGAAGCAATGAAACAGCCAGGGGTGCTGAACTCTGACGTTAGTGTTTCGGAACTACCCAGAACTATTCTTGATGCTATCAAACTCACTCGGGCCTTGAAGGAAAGGTGGCTGTGGGTCGACAGCCTATGCATTGTTCAAGACGACGAGGAAAGTTTGCAGCACGAACTCGCGGCTATGCATCAGATCTACGCCAGTTCCTTCATCACTATAGTCGCAGCTGATGGTCAAGATGCAGAGTACGGTATACGAGGGCTCAGAGGCATTTCAGAACCCAGAGACATCAAAAGAACAATATTACCTCTTTCCGGTGGCGAAAGGATCGCCTGGATAGAAAATCCTCATTTCGAGGAGCGGAGAAGCGACCTGAGTTACAATCAGCGAATGTGGACATCCCAAGAGTACGACTTCTCTAAGAGACGTCTGGTTATCAAGAATGGACAGGTGAAGTGGAAATGCAACTGCTCGGGTTGGTCTGAGGACCATCTGGCGGAACGACCGATTGAAGCAGAGTTCGGGAGTTACGTTTGACATGGAACACCTTTCAAATTGCCAACGTTACATGCCTTGAGCTTTATGATCACCATGTTCAATGCGAGGACACTTCGTTATGAAGAGGATGTCTACAATGCCTTCGCGGGGTACTGTACCCATCTGAATAGCATCTTTCCTTCAGGTTTTGTATATGGCCACCCTCAGACATTCTTCGATATATCACTCTGCTGGATAGCTTCTCGAGCGATTCGACGGAGAAAGGTTTCTGAGCGATACACTGGACACCCAGCTCATCAAGGACTGCCCAGTTGGTCGTGGATGGGATGGAAAGGGTCGACCCATTTCCCCCTTGATGCAGAAAGCGAAGGAGGGGGATTCCCCACTGTTGGATTTACGGAATCTATTACCGAGTGGTATGCGATGGAATACCCCGATTCCTATAAAAAGCAACGAATCAACTCCACATGGAGCCAGTGTCGAAAGGCACCAGTTGGGTCTATGGCTGAATCCTGGCGATGCGAGGAGTTCGAACCGCCGGCTTTGACGAGAAGAACTACGCGCTACAAACAATCAGACCCTATCAAAATGCCCAAAGAATTGCCGAGTCATCGATATATTTCCTTGTTGGATGAAGGCCCTTGTCCTGAAACACGATGGTATCCTATACCCGTGATGCCATTCGGCACGGAGGATGAGACGTCGTCAGGTCTACACCGTGGATATCAATACTTATGGTGCCGAACAGCTCGTGCAATCCTCACCGTAACGGATCAGAAATTGTACCCAACAGACGGGTTGCACACAATTGATCATCAGGTACCGTACCACTTACTTAAAAATAAGGATGGCGGCACTGTCGGGGCACTATTGCCTCACAATGAGCATGACAGCGAATCACTCCGGCAAGATACTCCAGTTGAACTTATAGCCATCGCTAAAGGCTGGAGTACCATTTTAAAAGAAGAAAGTGTTGAGAAAGAAGAAAGCACGACGCATCCTGCTGAGACACCACTGACACTGGAAGAGGAGGAAGCTATAAGAGAAGAAAAGAAGGAGTACTGGTCAGAGTTTTACAAAGAGGTCCCGTGGATGGACAGGTTCGAAGAAGGCAAGGAGAAGAAGCAGGATGGTTACCATGTTCTTTGGATAGAGTGGGAGAATGGAGTAGCTTATAGGAAAGGTTATGGGTTTGTCTTGGAAAAGGAATGGAATAGTGTGGCAGAGACTAGCAGAGTCGATATAACTCTGGGATGAAGTACACGAGACCTGGGCGCCTGAGAATAACAGGTAAGGATTTGAGATATACCTCAGTACTTTGTTTGTCTTAAATGTTATCGCTGTCTGAAAAACCACCTTGCTGCTCAATCTCAGTCTTGGCTGTTAATCAGCACAAATTGACTTTAGGGGTTGTGATCACAGCTGGCGAGATTATGTGACCGTTTCCACTTCTGTATTCTACTAGGTTCTTATTATCAACTAAAGTCTCATGAAAATATATTTACATTGTTATTTGCAGAAACAATCCCAAAGCTATGAAGTTAAAAGGTTCAGTTGGTAAAGCTTTCAAAAATGAACTCGGCAACAGCATTAGCTCCCGCGTTGTTAGGGTGCCACGTAATACCTCCAGCACCCTCTGGGACCTGCGCCCCATTGATCCACGGCTCGGCGGTACCGACGTAGTGCTGCTGACTGTTCTCGCGCATGGGAATCATGCGTACATCGTACTTTCCATTGTCTCCACTGGCCTTCCATTCATCTATCGCACGAACAGTGTAGTCGACAACCCGGTTGTAAAGATCGTCATTCTGCTCTTTTTCCTCGGCTGACATCGGGCAGTCGTCGCTTGGGCAGACGGTGTCTGCGCCAAGGGCCCTGATGTAAGTCACGCAGAAGATGGTCAGATCTGCATCACCTGCTGTATGCTGGATAACAGAATCCAGGACGCCTCCGTAGCGCTGCTTGTATTCATCCTCAGAGATGGAATTCTGGCATGCGCTGTCGCTAGGGTTGCCCAAACAAGTGGCATACGATAAATCGTTACCACCAGAGACAACATAGACAATCCTGGGGTTGGATCCCTCAAGTTCCGGAGACTGATTTCCTGTAATGTCCTCGAGGACGCTACCACTGACGGCATGGTTGGTGAAGGACCACTGTTGTCCGTCGTTGCCTGAAAGTTTTTGGCTGAGAAGTTCGCCTATCGGCTGCGCAAGACCTGGTCCTTCAGCGTACGAAGAACCCAGGCCGACGATTAGCTCAGCGCTTGCGCCTAGGGCAAAAGTCGAAATGAGGGTTTTGATGAACATGATAAAGGCTTTTGATTTAAATGCCAACGCAACACTTGGGCGATTTTAGAAGTAAAGATTGTAAAGTGAGTGACTCGGAGGTCTTCGTTGTAACTTCTTGCAAGTTTCATTCATATATATATACATACTTGTTTTATTACAGGGTGAAGAGAATATTTAGGATGCTGTTTTCTGTTGTGTCTAGTGCTGACAAAAGTGGCTAAGTCTGACTGTAATTACACCGTAGGAACCCAGGTGCTAGGATAAATACGTACTATATCCTTGTAAGTTTTAAGCATTCCTATTTAGAGAACCAATAATAATTCTATATGTATGCTAACAAGGAACAGGATTCTACCAAGCAAAGCGTAGTAGTAGCAAAAACGGAGAGAAAGGTTGCTGAGAATGCCCCCAGTCCCTCAGCCCCTTCCAGATGCATGCGGTAATCTTTTTCCGTGAGTACCGCTCCTGAGGCAGTGTTTGCTCCGCCTACACAAGGGTTAATACAGGAGGATTGAGCCCCATGTCAAAGAGCACATAATAAGCCCATTTATCAGAAGGGATAGTGGTCTAGCAAGCGCGTCGTAATAAAATAGTAATACCAAAGTTGCTTAACAAAATTATTCTTTGTAGTTGAAGCACTAAGGTGATAGATAATTGCATCAGTATTCGCTATCTTAGTGTAGTAAACTGGCTTTAGTCTTGCTATTTTCCTATTATCTACTTGTCTGGTTAGCCTTTTTGAGATTGTCACTTATGCTTAATCACTCTGGCTAGCAAGGAGAGATCCGGGGAAGGATCCGGGGGAGGATTCAAAGCTAACCGAGAGCAATTTTAATCTTGAAAATCGCAATTAGTCTGCTGCCTCGTAACAACAACAGCAGCAGAAACGAAATCATTTGTATGATGGAAGCCAAGCCTCAGCGGCCGCCGCTGTAGTCGGTCCAATTCATACACTTGGCGGCTTGTCTGGCTGTAGGATTTCTAAAGGAATCCTTCATGTGCGGAAGCTAGGGGAATATGGAGAAAAGCGGACCCAGATACAGCCAGATTCCTGTGTAAGCAGGTTTGTGCTCCTCTTTCCCCCGATGGAGAGGCTGATCTAGGCGGCCGCCGTCGTCCGTGCGTCCCATGTATTTTCCAGCTCGTGGAGAAGTAGGATTCTTGATGTAACGGTAGAGGCCTCGGCACTACTGCTAGTGACATCACCAGTCACTTTAATATTCCGAAAGAGCCTGGGTTATGAATCCTCCGATAAGGTTATAGGATTAACTGTCAGGTGGTCCGAATAATAATCGAGACACCAATAGCCTGTCACCTCACCCAAATCGTCTCACTTTTATTTCGACCCACCTGACTGTACTGTTTCAAAACATTGATCTTCATTGCACTAGGAGATTGTTCTTACATGGGGAACCAGTATCTAGAGATCTTCGTTACTCATGTACCAAATTACTAGGGTAACTAAACATTAGTATCTTTACTTACAGTTAATAAGGAAGGTTACTTTTGCTAGAATCATTGACAAGGAGTACTGTGCCTCCTTTGTGTACGTAGGATAAACCTAGTAGAAAGGAATCCATAGTTGATAGTAATGTTGCATAGATCTATAGGCAAGGATAAGCAACGTTGGGCGCGATAGCAAGAATGACTCGATGCAAGCATTGCTGCATTGGTGTGGTAGCATTTGGTAGCTTGGGTCTGGGCTTGGTTATCTAGTATTCCTTCACTCTGTAGTATTGTGCTAAAGTGCGTGGTCGACCCAGCTATATAAACTGTAAGACGTCCTCGGAGTGAAGTGCTGTTTCTAAGATCAACACATCACCTTCTCTGCCCTACTCTCCAGTTTCCCTCTTGACCTTTACTATTCTGAAACTATCTCCATACCAATCCGAACCACCAACATGAAGGTCACCATCGCAACTTCTCTCCTCTCTATGCACGCTGCGGGCGTTCTCGCTGTTCCTGTTGCAGAGGGAAACTCTGTGCTGTCTGCCCGACAGAACACGGGCCTCTATGAGAGTGAGGACGGTGGCTTTGCTATCGTCGAGTACGGAGACGGGAAGTTGAACTATGGTGGCCGCCTACCCTCTAGCGTCTTGGATCTCATTAGAGACGAGTGCGGAGAGACAGCCTGCAACCCTTCTGGAGGTTTGGGTTTCACGACCGTCGTTGTCACCAACGATCGTGGCAACGATGTAGACTACACTGTCAGCGTCGAGGGCAGCTTCAACCTCGACGGGCAAAGGGGAAGCAAGTCGCAACTGCTTGACCTTGCCAAGATGGCTTTTCAGGAAGTTTTCAATGCTGGCGTTGCTAAGCTACGAGAGGACGTTGTCTATATTACGGGCGAATGTCCTCCCAGCCAGGTTCACGGCTGCCCTGGTAAGTTTCCCATGACCACTGACAGACCCTGGTAGTCTCTCTCACGCTTTCTAACACTGTTTGCAGGTCAATCATCAGACACTACTGACCAGTGGGAGAGCACCGACCACGTCCACGTCCGAATCAATGACGACAGCGGCAACATGAAGGGATTCCTCAATGTCGGCGTTGCTATGAGCGACAGCGACGCGGGTACCGGAATCTGTGAATCTCTTTCGGCTGCTTCAGCCGGAGTCGGCCTCGTTAACGCTGCCGCTGGTGCTGGGATTTCTATGTTGTCTATTGGCTGTGGATTGCTTACAGGATAAGGAGAATAGCAACTAGTAGGAGGACTTTGTAAGGATATCGGGTTTAGGCCGGCGTTGCGCCGGGGGGATATTAGTCCAATCAAGCCCCTAGCTCAGAGATCTCAGTCAAGCTGCCCCTTTCTTTATTTTCCTTGACATATACGGCTTAGAATTCCTTTCTTACTTTCTTACTTTTTGTCTCTATTTAACTAGATAGTAATTATACGAGGTTACTCAAAGTATACTTATGGTCCATGGAGGGTTATCTACCACGTGCCCAGCTTGTACTTCAACACGGTCCCGTGCTCTGTAACGTGGTGGAGATGGTTGACTCCGCCTTTGCGTTATTCCGTCCAGCGTCGCGTTTGAGACAGCGCTGGTTACAGACAGTGCCAGAAGGTTCTATCTTCAAGTATGATGTAGGGGACCAATGGCATGAGGATGAGTGCTTGCGTGTTTGCGTGCTTTGAGCATGCTGAAAAGACTACCGCTCGAGATTACGCGGCAGATCATACCACTATTTCTGCCGAATAACCAGATATTGTATGGCATCTTATCTTTTGCATCCCATGCCGAGGACTCCAGCTCTATCATGAGGCAAAGGAATCCAATGTGGGCTGGCCCCTCACTGAGTCGCAAACAGTCAGAGGCGACCAACTACCAAGTCGGTCAAAGCGGTCCAATCTGGGCCAGCTTTGTACCATTACAGGGCAGACACTACATCAACTGTATCTCAGAAACGCCGATACAAGGAGGCTATTTTGTAATGCCCAAGCCAGCAGACAGAGCCTGAACCACGACGTATGTCGCGCATGATCATTTGGGCGTCAGAAGAATTGTCTGCGTAACACCAGACAGCGCGGAGATATCCAAGACACAGGAAGAGCCAGGACTTTGGTGGCATACTATACCGTCGAGAGATGATTGAAAGATTATCAAAGCCGAATCAGATGTCAGTGCACATGATCCCAAACTTACATCAACTAATACCTGTGCAGGGCATCAAGATCCGCTCACTGTATCGTGAAGGGGCGTCGTTTGGATGGTTTGGGACAGCCGTATGACCTTACGACGTGCGATGGTATTTCGCTAAAATATGTGTGGGAAAAGGCTATGCTTGAGAACGTCGAGCTTGGAAGGGTTGGAGAGGATGGGTGGATGTGGATGCCGTGGGAGGGGAGTATGATTTGGTGGTTTGATAACGGTGCGACAAACAAGATCTTTCACAAGGACGAGTGAGAATTTTTGGTGTCATTGCTTAGATTAGATCTCTTCTAACAGCATATTGGATTAAATCTGCCTCTGAAGGACGTTGGACAAAATGGAGACATTCAATTTGTAAGACCCTGCCGGGAATTGCTTCGGTACGTGCCAGAAAGATAGAAAGAGTTATCCCGTCGTGTTGCCTAATCTGTCTACTTTGGATAACCTGCTCCTCAGAAAGAAAGACTCTCGCGATAATAAAGAAAATTCATCCAGCCATTTATACCAGAACTATCTCTGTGAACCCATCCACATCCCTAACAATTCCTTTATCCTCAGCAAGATCGTCTTCATCCAGGAAGAACGTTCCAACCCTCATATACTCATTCCTCCCAGGCACAACGCGTCTTTTCTCACTCACAGGTGTAACCAGCAGACAACGAAACGTCATGGGAGGGCTCTTCTCATTCCCATCTTCATCAAACTTCTTCTCAGTCATGAAAAAAGCGAATATCTCACTCTTCTCAACCCAAGCACGAGTTTCGGCGTTCTGGCCACGCATACCATCAAAGGATGAATATGAGCCAAAGTCATCGCCGGTAGGTGTACACAGTCTTATGTTGCGACGGAAGGTTCCGAGTTTTGCTTGGTCCTCGTCTGGTAGATCGCTAATATGTAGCTTTATCATCGGACCGCGAATACTAACCCATCCATCAATCAATTCGCCAAGTGGATTCTGCATTGTCTTGGGCGTTGTGTGATAACCCGTGATTTGCGCGATGTCAACCCAACCAGGCATAGTCGCCCCATGCGCAGAAACCCCGATATAAGATGCAGGGCTCCAGGTCGGTGCAATATATCCTTCTTCGCCAGGCAGCGGTTTCTGGTCGGGGAAAGTCTCCTTTTCTGCTTTGGAGCTAAGAGACTGCCATTCGAGGCCCTCGACCAAACCATTACTCCACAGGCCAGCAACATATTCAACATTCCCCATCTCCTCATTGAGCCTCTTCTGGAAAAGCGCAGCTAATCCAGAAATCGCTGGCAGCCGATCGGTTACAATAGTAACGTCCCTGTGAAAGAAATCTTCCAGAATCAAATACCACTGCTGATGCGTCGTGCTCACTCTCGACTTGCGAGCAATGTCCTTGAAGCCCTTCTTTTTCGGGCCGGGATACAGTGAGTTCCAGCGACCTTTGACTTCGACCCCGTCTTCGGAGAGAAAGTGGCAGTTACACTCGAAAAACATTTGATCGTTGCCGAAATGGAGGGCTCGGTAGGGAAGAAGGCGTTCTTGTGTGGCCCAGCCTCGGGTGGTGAGGGGTTCGTTGTGGAATGTCATCCAGGCGCGGGCGTGAGATGCTTTGGCGGGAGGAATTTGGAAGGCATATACCGATTGCTCATTGTTGAGAGTCACAGGAACATACTTTCGTCCTGGTCTCTTCAAGAAGCCCTGCTCTGAACCAGCTGCATTATCTGCTGCGATGGACATGTAAGCCCCGGCATAGACCTGTTGCATGGCAGCTGACTCTCTGGCCCAGTCATCAACATCGTCCTGGCAAATACACAACGAATCAATCCACAGATACCGAATACCAAGGTGACGGGTGATCTTGATCGCATCTTTGTATGTTCGGGGAAGGCTGTCGACATCGATGCTGTCGAGGTGTTCGGACATCGTGGCATGGGTCGTCCGCACGTGAAACGACGGATCAGAACCCCAGCAGTAGCTGAGGGTCACGTAGGAGTCGTAGCTTTCCTTGTCGCGTGTTTCCAACAGTCGGATCTTGCTGGGGTCTTTTAGACCATCGAGGTCTAGGATACGTGAGGGAAGACGAGTTTTGGGAGGATGGCAAACGGTGTGGTTCTTTTCGCAGTCTCGAAGCCATCCTGCGGCCACATCCAAGGTATATTCAGACCCTGCATCTGGTTCGACTTTCGAGCCTCGAAGAATTAACCCGGCGTCGTTCGTTTCTGGGCGCTTAGCCGAGTAGAGTGTATCCTGAGGATCAACACAGAACCCAAAAACATCCATCAGATACAAATACTTCCTATTCGTACTATCCGCCAAAACACAAAAGCCATCCGCATCATCAAGTCTCTGCACAAGACTGAAGACCCATTTGTCAGGAATACCGTGACCCTGGCGCTCAAACACGAAATAGCGTTGATCTTGATCCTGTTCATCCCTCTCAAGACCCTCAACAAATTCACCAACTCTTTCCATGATCATTTGGCAAAGGGGGCATTCTTTAGCAGATTGTTTGAGTGCGTCAAGACCTGCATGGTGAGGTAACCCAACGTCTTCAGGCGGGGTATCATTACCCTTGAAAGCGATAAAATACGGCGTAGAACTAGACTCCACGAAAGCGCAACCTTTATTCCATGGTTCTGGAAGAGGTGGAAGTCTTGACGGTTTTGAAAGCGCTGGAGAACAAAGCGAGCATATAGTCATTATCACAGGTGATGATGCTGCAAGAAAAGCCTCACTGTCCAGTCTCATGCTGTCTGCCTAAAAATTACCATAGTTAGTCAGCCCACGAAACCTGTCAGCATGGCTAGCCTTATTAAGAATTACAAACGTCACATTATCGTCAGAAGATCGATTTCCAGATTGGAATTCCTTTTCATTTGACTGCGGTAATTATAAAGAAATATCCAAGATAAATACAAGAAGAGTAAGTCAAAACATCCGGTTTTCAATCCACACACGACCACCACCCTGCAAAGTTGCTACAGAATTTAGTAGCTGGGAGCAGTGTAAGACTCCTTCTTGGGGGCGGGCTTAGGGGCCTCGTAGGCGGGCTTCTTGGGCTGCTCAGTCTTGGGCTTGGGAGCCTCGTAGGAGGGCTTCTTGGGGGTCTCGTGGTGAGGCTTCTTGGGAGTCTCGTGGTGGGGCTTCTTGGGCTGGTTGTACTCAGGCTTCTTGGGAGTCTCGTGAGTGGGCTTCTTGGGCTTAGGGGCCTCGTAAGAAGGCTTCTTGGGAGTCTCGTGAGTGGGCTTCTTGGGCTTGGGAGCCTCGTAGGAAGGCTTCTTGGGCTTCTCGTGCTCAGGCTTCTTGGGCTTGGGAGCCTCGTAGGCAGGCTTCTTAGGAGTCTCATGGTGAGGCTTCTTGGGCTTCTCGTGGTGAGGCTTGGGTGCCTTGGGCTTCTCGTAAGAAGGCTTCTTGGGAGTCTCGTGGTGAGGCTTCTTAGGCTTCTCAACGTGAGGCTTCTTGTACTCAGGCTTCTTGGGAACCTTGGGCTTCTCGGTGTGGGGAGGAGCGTAGTGCTTGGGCTTGTCGTGGTGGGGCTTCTTGGGCTTCTCGTGGTGAGGCTTGGGAGGCTGAGGAGCGTGGTAAGCAGGCTTCTTGGGCTTCTCGGCCTTGGGCTTGGTGGGCTGGTGAGGCTTGGGAGCCTCGTACTGGTTGCTGGGAGCGACCTCGTAGCTGGCCTCGGGGACGGGAGCGGCCATGATGCCGGTGGCGAGGGTGAGAAGGGTGACAGCGGAGAACTTCATCTTGACTGATTTAGTTGGATTGGTATTAAAAAGAAAAGTAAAGAGTGTAAGTGGCTTGAAGCGTTGAGTAAAGAGTGTGGTGAAGTTGAGTGAGCGACTGAAGAGTGAGGAGGGAAAGATGGATTTGGAGGTGGAACTGGTCGTCTTTTATGGTTCTTGGGTCTACTATAGAACACAATGGATATCCGTTGAGAATCGGAAAGGCGTTGTTTGTTGAGATGGTGTTGTAATTTCGCTAGACGCCTCACAGCACAGACTCTACCAACTGTCTATGGATAGTGTCTATTGACTAGGTAGAGTAGTGGTTGAGCCTATCGTGCACTTGACGTGATCAGGGGGCTCTACGGTGATTGGAGATAGCCATCATTTCGGCAAAGTCAACCGCGCGGTAGAGCTTATGGCTGAACATCCGAGATTTCCGATGGCTCTAGAACGCCACATTGTATTGTTAATAAACAGTAGTAATAGAGTCAACTGAGCTAAGCTTTTTAGTCTCCGTCGATTTCCCCTGTTGAAGATCACGGGTCTGGGGGAGCGAAAGCTAATTGGAGGACAACCGAGCTGGGAGACGCTGAGGCGTTCGTATTTTTAGCGGGTAATTTGGGGACAGGCGCTATTTCAGGTACTAGCGCCTGTAAAGCTTCAGGGGTAAAAGTGTAACTCTTGCGGTTATGAGAGTCTACGAGAGTCTGGACTTACAGATCTTATTGAGATTCCTCATTGGGGTTTGCAGAATACGGTCATTAGCGCTTGCATGTGATTTGATGAATGATCACGGTGGGCTCTGTGCTGTTTTTGGCAGCTGAGCATTGACTGGTTGGTCCATTGTGACTGCAAACAAACAACAGCGTCACCATCGCGTTCTCAATTGGCATCATCTTCCAGTTGCACCTTACTCCAAGGTTGATATGTCATTCAATGCAAAAGTAATGTCATCAATTGTCAATAGTCAAACCCGCCACGGTAATACAGTCACAATAACCTTGCTGGCTTTGGCGCCATGTTCACCTGAAAAGACGCGCTTCGAGGAGAACCTACCCTACACAATCCACATGAGGCTGCTCAACCCATCTTCCAGGACAATAAAAACAAGGCGCTCATGTCTTGGCTACACGAGGAATTAGATTATAAGCTTCTGTCAGCCACCGCGCTAAAAACTCACACCGATACAGTTACCGACGATCTGTATAATCGCTTAACGCTTTGATGTCTCTGAAATTCCCCTTGCGTGGAGAACGACAACTGGGAGGCCTGTTGAGGATCAGTTACGATCAACAGCAGATCAACTGTATTCACTCGCGTTGATTCTATTCTTGTATGTTCTAATTCTGTTGAGATTTAGGTTCCCTGCTACAATCTCCAGGTGTTCGAGGCTGTCGCGTCTCCAAACTCATCCTTGAGTTGATCAGGACCCCTGTTTCTGCTTGAGCAAGCGAGGCGCATAATCTCAGCTGAGTTGTTTCCTGATCTTCTACGTTGAAGAGGCTGCGAATTGCTGTACTCACATTTCTGCCACGGAAGATTAGACGTCTTGTTGTTGATCAGATATCTTAAAGATAGTACCTCGACCTGTACTAAACTTCTCATCAGGGCAAAATGCCTTTTTCGTGAAAGTATACTCGATGAGGTCAGCTTTGTATTCATAATATAATACATTTCTTAAAGGACCGTTCGAGGGGCAAGCGTATAAGTAAAATACAGAGGCGAAATGTCATCGTTTGCGACTTAAAGTAACAAGATGTAAGAATTCTATCTAGCCTTGAAGACCGATAATAAGATGTAGGATAAGCTAGGTCACGAGAAAGTAACTGGTCTAACCATACTAACTTTAGCCTACAGTGATAAGATAACATCCTCATGGACAGAAGACCAGGTACTTCTTGGAAACTCCAATGTCGAAACGGAATCAAGGTCTCGGACCTCTACTCCCGCAACAGTTTCGATGGTTCCGACAGACCTCCAAATTCTCGGAGCCGTCTCCGAAACCACCGACCCAAACCCGGAGCCAACCGGCCCGGCCTCCTACTTTCTTATCGATAACATTCCAAAAGCGGACCCCAAACCCAAAACAATCTGGCGGATGTTTCTCCGCCAGTCTCCGCCCGCCGTTTCCGCAAGAGATTTTCCCATGAGTGTGTCACCCTCACCCCAACCAGGCATGGAGTCTGCAAAGCGGAAGCGAGCCGCCAAAGCTTGCAATTACTGCAGAAAGAGGTACTCTCTTATTTGTTATTGGTTATAGGCAATACTGATGCTGGTGACAGGAAGAGGAAATGTGATGGTAGACAACCTGTTTGTACCCTTTGTGAGGAAGCGAATAACTCTGAGTGTGAGTATCGCGATGAAGGCAATGAGAACAAGTAAGTTGTTACAATATGAGTCGGTGATTGGGTTATACTAACTTGGCAGACGTATTGCGATTTCAGTCGATAGAGTCGATGAGATTTTTGACCGCCTCGAAACCCTCGAGTCAACCTTCCAATCCGCCCTAGCGAGACAACGCGAGAAAAGTCCAGTTCCAACACCATACTCCGTCCCCAGACATGGCGAAGCGATAAGTCCAGATGGCGGCATCGTCGCAGCTTCGTCAGTTCACTCAACAGGACCAGGAACACAGACATCACTTTCACAATTCGCGAATAACAATGTCTTCAACACGACCATGGACATACCGCTATCTCACTCTTCCACGACAGGGAATCTTCTACGGTCTGCACCTGCAAAGGCTTTGCTTGGACATTATCCCCCGGATCTGTTTCTGCATATCGAGTTGAGAAGGCCGATTCCTGAGGGATTGAGATTAAATGCCACGCCGGCTAGTCAAATCGATATTCCTTCTCTATCACCCAACGAAACAGACCATCTAGTACGCAACTACTTCCAACTAGTGCATCGCTTCCATCCTATTCTTGATCAGAGAGCTTTCTACGAACTATACGACCATATCCTGGAGCGCGGTCCACGACCTGATCTTCCTTCTGCGCTGGTCCTTGTCGTACTGGCTCTTGGAACTGTTGCAGCTGAGACACCTAATCGGATGGACGCGTGTTGGAGTCCTGGTATACGATACTTTACACCCGCTGTTAGGCTCCTCTTGACTGAGTCGCTGGGTTCTTTTGGTGGTGATGCGCATCTGCCGCAGGCTTTGTATTTGGCGGCGCTGTATTATAGTTATTTGTCTAGACCGTTGCTTGCGTGGCGGTTGGTGCATATGGCTTCTACTGATGTGCAGCACTACTGGATCAGATCTGAGAAGTTATTACGCGACGGCACAGGCGGTTCTCAGGATCAGTCCATTCTGCGAGTCTTTTGGGCTATCCTCGTCCTCGAATGGTAAGCACTCATACCCCAAGCTCGTTCGTCTCTCTAACTTCTACAGCGACATCATCGCAGAACACCATCTTCCACGCAGCGGCATAGAGAAAATCGTCGACAAACTCCCCTACCCCTGGTCCGACGGCCCTTCAGAACCGTACATGCATCGCTGGCTAGCCGACCTCTCTTCCCGCCGCCTCCTCAACAGAATCCACTACGTCCTCTACGCCGAAGCAGAACCCGGCACAGGCGATCCCGCAGATTCTTCCGAAGAAACACTCTCCAACCTACCGAATCTAGCGCACGAGCTGAATCGTCAGCTGGGAGCTTGGTACCATCTCCTTCCGCATAGCATACGACCCAACCTCGACAGCCCACCTATCGGAATTGATGATACGATGGTTTCGATACGGTATCACACAACGGGTGATATCATATATAGACCTTTTCTGTATCAGGTTTGTGCGCTTGCGCCTGGGACGTCGCCGAATCCAGCGACGCTTGAGAATGCGAGACAGTGTCTTGTGCATTGCCGACGGTATCTCAACGCTGTGGAACATGCAGTGCATGCACCTACAGCGTCTTTAGAAAATCTCCTTCACGGGTATGTGCACCCCTCCACAACAGACAACTTTTATTAACGAAACCAGGACGATGGCTGTAGTGTTGCTTCTTTCATTTGCAGCCTTCTCAAGACTGGATGCTCTACGAGTCCCAGATCTGAATCAATTGCAAGACAAGGGTATTAGAATTTGTGAGAGATGGGCGTTTCCGGGGTCTAGTATTGAGCAGATGGTCGTCATTCTGCGCGCCTTGCGAGCAAAATGCATAGATACTGGTGGATGATATGGGTCTACAATAATCTAATAAATCGTAAAACATTTCTCATTTCAGCAATCTATACGGTACTATGGCAGCGTAAGGAATTTCCTATTCCAGTAAAGCTATACGGTCCGTCTTTTCTAGACCCAGAAAAGGTCATCGCTGCAAGGGCGATTGAGTCTAATTTTTGACATTCAGGGCGCGCCGGGTGGCGGGGCAGACCGGCTGCAAGGTGGCAAGATTGTTCTGGAACATTGAGGCTCTGGTAAATTTTCCTTCCATCGTCTACCGGTGCAACAACAAGATTTTCCGGGTCCAGGTATTTTAAAGCTCGGCGCTCTTGACCAGACTGTCTTTCATTACTCAAAGCCTTGTGTCATAACTTAATATCGGCATTGCTCCGACATACCCAACCGCCATCACAACAAGTCTATCAAAGTTATCGGGACTCATACAGTTGTAAAATGACAGGCCAGTCATCAAAGCCAGTCTCAATCCGCCCAGCAACACCTTCAGACGCTGGTGTAATCGCAGATCTCGGCGCACACGTCTTCACAATCACATTCGGCCACTCAGTCGAACCCCACGAATTGGCAGCCTTTCTGCAAGAATCATACACAAAAGAAGCCATTCTAGCCGACATAAACGACCCAAACAAAGACGTGATAATCGCTACGAGCTCTGAAAATGAGTTTCTAGGTTTCGCGTATCTTACGCGAGGCAGCACAGAGCCTTGTGTGGAGAACATGGAAAAGACCGTTGAGCTACAACGAATTTATGTGCGTCCTGAATCACATGGTGCTGGTGTGGGTAAAGCGCTAGGAAAGAGCATTGAGGATATGGCGAGGGAACAAGGGTTTAAGAACCTTTGGTTGGGTGTTTGGGAGGAGAATATGGTTGCGACGAAGGCTTATGAGAGATGGGGGTATGAAAAGGTTGGGGATCATGATTTCACGATTGGGTCTATTGTGCAGACGGATAACATTATGGTCAAGGCTTTGTAGGAGAGAATATTCATTATCGTAACTTGAAATTCGACGTGAGCTGGGATTATTGCAATTACCGTATACAACTGCCTCTTCGAGATTCATGTATTCAATCTTCGGAAGAACGTCCGAAAGGCAATTATTCATTGTCGCCATGTCCGATAGCGCCAAGGCCAGCGCCCTTTAACTATTTCCTCGCCTGTAATTCGTTCCATTCGGTGCTTAGAATGGCACACATTTTGATTCGTCCTTCGTGGCCGGCCCGGTCCAGACTTATGGTTATCTGGGGTAGTGGCGGCCCGCTTGCTCCGCCAAACCTTTAAAACAGAGTCACCACCAACCACATTTCTGTGCTCGGAAACACTCAAGATCCTCGACAAAGAAACACCTTCAGTATCAAAAGTCTCACTATAAGCCATCATGGTGTATATTCGCGCCGCACACGCCGAGACAGACCTCCGCGTCCTCCGCCGTCTCATCCACGAAAACCCCCTCGGCATGTTAACAACCGGCATCAAATCCCCAACCTACTCCTTCCTCCAAAGTAGTCATATTCCCTTCCTCTTGGACGAATCCAACGACTCAGAACTTGGTTATCTACGCGGCCATCTCGCGCGCCAAAACCCCCAAGCCAAAGCCATGATAGAGCACTGCTCTTCCAACCCTTCACTCAACAACTATCTCGAAGATGAAGTTCTAGTTGTCTTCACAAAGGCTGCGCATCATTATGTTACGCCGAAATTCTATACTGAGACAAAACCTGCGACAGGAAAGGTCGTGCCGACGTGGAATTATGCTGCTGCGCAAATTTATGGCAAGGCGAGGATTTACTTTGAGAATAATGAGGAGACATCAGATTTTCTTCAAAAGGCTGTTTCAGATCTTACCGACCATAACGAGACGAATACCATGGGATATACAGGTGGTGATAGGCCGACGCCGTGGAAGGTGACGGACGCGCCAGACAAGTATGTTCAGTTGCTAAAGAGGAACATTATTGGTATCGAAATTGAGGTTACCAAGTTTGAGGGCAAATTTAAGATGAGTCAGGAGATGGGACAGGGAGATCGGGACGGTGTTGTTAAGGGTTTTCAGGCTTTGGGGAGGGAGGTTGGTGATGAGGTTGCTGGAATGGTCAAAGAGCGTGGGGAGTTGAAGGATAAGAAATAGTGAATGGTCCCGATGATGTTGGAACAAAGATACTAGCTTAGACATAGAAGTATGATCCAATGGTAATTGTTCTGATGGATTTCTGTACTTGACCAGGTTTGGTTTCTGCTACGTGAATATAATGGATCCTACTAACTCGTTTGGTTGTTGTAATTCCTTGGAAGTACGGGATACAATCCTTCGAGAAGCATCTTGGTGCCAGGCTAACTTCATCTGCCAAACGAAAATCCCTGCAACATTAAATGCTCAGCTTGGAGATGCTGATTCGACCACTCGGCTATCAAATGTCTGGTCCTGTCAAACTCAGCGACCGGCAATGTGGGATCTTCGATTACAAAGGCTATCGGCCCTTCTTTAACAAATTCATCGTCAAGTGATATCTAGACGCGTATTCATGCGTATCTCGATTGATTGCTCAACCTCACGGAAATGTCGGCATCAAAAGCCGAGGCAAACTTCGGCGAAGACATCGTGGGCTGCCAGGGTAAGAACCTGCACACCTTCAAGACGACCCGCTAGACTAGGGCACTTTAATTCCCCGAAACCCGACACAATGACATGACGCGATGCTTCCAGTAATTGCTTCTTCTTTATTTCTGAGGGATTGGCAGGTACCAAATATTATGGTTAAAAGTGAGTCATCACGTGGTGCAATTGAGAAACGAATTACCAAACAAAGACGCAAACGTCGGGGATCAAAAACCAGTTTCAGGTACCGAAAGTGCAGCAAAATGCAAATGGAAAGGGTGGTAAGGCTTCAAAGACATTGAAACGCCGATGACGCCGTGGCGCTGGGAATAGGAAACATGCAACCAGATGACATCTCCTCCACAAGCTCCATTCTAACAACCCACAGAATAATACGAGGGGAAAAAGTCCGGGGTCTGGAGAAGAAAAAGAAATGGATTCATTTATTTCGGCCGAAGCAGGACCGTTCGGATCTTAGCTAACAAAGTCCCAAGACGGGTAACTTCTTGGAATTGTTGTTGAACCCCGTGTTTTGGTCAAGATCAGCGGGGAAGAAAACTTGGCGTCATTGCTTCGCATGCCAAGAATTGGACGGGGTGATCGGCAACGGGGCTTGGCAGAGATTGACGACGTGAGATATCTCTGGGCATTCAAAAGTCTGGGGTAGAGGACAGAGAGTAAGCACTGGTTGATGACTTGGAGTATTACAGAGTACTCACTATTGTTATTGAAACCTAGAGGTAATGAACTGAATGGGATATTGAAGATGACATCCAATCCGTGTCATTGACTTGACTTGACTCAGCTCTCATCTCTTACCGGATCTCTCGGGTCACGTCATGAATTGTCCTCCATTCTAGCAAGGATTAGTCTAGCTCTAGAGTACCTGCAACCCCAGCCTGTCATCGGTAAGCCCAGGGCACTCTTCCAATGAGCTTCTTCCCAAAACAGCCCATGAAATTCAATTCTAGGTCCAATTACATCACATTCCAGCACTACTTCCGTTTGCTTGGACCAACCCAACACGTCGGACACTTCCCCAGCTTTACATCCCCGTGGAGGTTGCCAAAATGGGACGGTCCGATTTATTGGTCTCGAGACCATTACATCACAGGTCAGAGATGTACAACGTCATGAGCAGAGCTGAGCTGATGTACTTATTTATTCCTCAGCTGCTGCTCTTCACATGCCTTGTCTACTCAGATAACTCTTAACATCAATTAGGTTATTGGCTTGAATAGCCTTACCACCCATCATGGCGCCTAATTTCATGACTGTTCATTTCGATGAACAGAATCCCAATAATGAGAAGGGCAAGGAAGCTGGTGCGCGTCAGTCCCTAGCCGGCCTCGACTACTCGCCTTTACCTCGTATCACAGGACGTTCGTTCCTACTAGCGACATTTGTGTCCATGGGAGGTCTTCTGTAAGCCTCACCTCTTCTACCTCAATGGCATTGGCTCACATATCCAGCTTCGGTTACGACACAGGTCAAATCTCCGGCTTTCTAGAAATGCCCGATTTTCTCGACCGCTTCGCCGAGACAAACAGCAATGGAGAAAAAGCCTTTAGTACCGTCCGATCCGGTCTGATTGTCGCGTTGCTGTCTATCGGTACACTCATCGGTGCGCTGGTCGCAGCGCCTATTTCCGATCGTATTGGTCGAAAGTATAGTATTTCCGGCTGGACTTGGATTATCGCTATTGGATTTATTATCCAGATCTCGTCGAATAGGGATTGGGTACAAATCATGATGGGACGATGGGTTGCTGGTTTGGGTGTTGGTGCCTTGTCGCTTCTTGTTCCCATGTTTCAGGCTGAGACTGCGCCGCCGTGGATTCGTGGTGGTATGGTTTGTTGTTACCAGCTCTTCATCGTAAGTGTTACGGTATCACTTTTGAAGGTGCATATACTGACAGTTACAGACCATGGGTATCTTCTTAGCTGCCTGCTTTAACTACGGCACAGTAACCCACCAACACTACAGCTCAGCCTCATGGCGCATCGTTATTGGCATCGGGTGGGTCTTCACTCTCGTGCTCGGCATCGGAATCCTCTTCCTTCCCGACACACCCCGTTTCGACTACCGCAAAGGCAAAGTCGACCGCGCGCGCGACACGCTCTGCAAAGTGTACGGTGCAACACCTAACCACTGGGCCATCCACACCCAGATGGAAGAAATTGACTCAAAGCTTCGCGCCGAGAACCAGATCAAGGGCAACCCCGTAAAGGAGTTTGTCCAGATGTTCAAAGCGCCACGCATGGCGTACCGTATTTTCCTCGGTATGGCGCTGCAGATGTTCCAGCAGTTAACTGGTGCCAATTATTTCTTCTACTACGGTACTACCATCTTTAGCTCCGTGTCGATTGACAGCTACAAGACACAGATCATCCTCAACACTATCAACTTCCTGGTTACCTTCATCGGTTTGTACATTGTTGAGCATTATGGACGACGCAAGTCACTTATTGCGGGAAGTACCTGGATGTTTATCTGTTTCCTCATTTTTGCATCTGTCGGTCACTTTGCGCTTAATCGTGACGACCCCACAGCCACACCCAAGGCTGGCGTTGCCATGATTGTCTTTGCCTGTCTCTTCATTCTTGGGTTCGCTACAACTTGGGGTCCCATGATCTGGACCATCATGGCAGAAATCTTCCCCTCGCGCTACCGAGCCAAGGGAATGGCCTTGGCCACAGCGAGCAACTGGCTCTGGAATTTCCTTCTCGCTTTCTTCACGCCTTTCATCACCAAAGACATCGACTTCCGCTACGGATACGTCTTTGCGGGATGTAACCTACTCGGAGGTCTCATCGTGTACTTCTTCGTTATTGAAGGACAGGGCCGTACACTCGAGGAGATTGACACCATGTACCTCGAGCGTGTCAACCCTAGGAAGAGTGCCAAGTGGGTGCCTCCTCCTCCTGAGGAGATGTCTAGGATTCGCAAGCAGGCTGGTACGGATATTGAGACTGCCGCTGTGCAGCATGGTGGTTCCAGTGATGATGAGACTCTTGCTCGACGATCGGGTGTTACTGATGGTGGTCATGGACACAAGAAGGAAGAGCATGCTGGAGCCATGCACCGCGAGTAAGAAGAAAGGAATGTATATTTATAAGTGTCCTATGACGAGATTGTATCATATCTACACGTTTATAATATCATAGCCAGTATTTATCATGTCTATTTGCATGATGTCTCTCTAAGTGCAGTGATGACTCGAGTGGGTAACAAAACAATCATCCTTCAAAGCTCGGGCTATTAGAATTGAGTAGGCCACGTGCTGTCTTAGATAGGATAATGTGGCCAGATTACTTCGTCACTTATACTTTCAGCAGCCAGTTTCTTTAAAGACGCGTGGCCACATTGTCTTTGAAGTTTAAAGGAGGGGATTCTCCAGCCGGCTGATCGCATGCTCAGGGCTAATTCACTATTAGTAATGTTTATCTGCTTTGTGATCATTGAAGTTACAATGCTGGGAAAGTGAAATTCGTGATGGAAACCTTGTCTTCAGGTTTATCCTCTGCTGTTGAAGCTACAGGCGCGTTGTGGGTCAGCTTTCTTGACAAATTCACATTTTCTCCAAAGAATCATGTTTCCAATGCTTGCCAACCCTTAGATAAGCTTTTCTCAATACATTTACACTCTTAGTAAAACACCATAACTCCTCTGTTTTAAGTGTTCCAAACGAGCAGGCTCTGCAAGGTATAAAAATCTCTTCTGCTTGCACGAAACCTTTCTTTCCTCTGCCTAAAGGGAAAGTTTTCAACGAGTATATAATGTCTTCCTTCCTCCCCTTCGGTTCTTTTCTATTCCTTCACCCAACATCACTTCAGCTACAAGATCAACCACACACAGGATCCACCAAAAACATGATCGAGTCAACAACCAAGCACAGGACCAATCATACACAAGGTCAACCACCTGTGACCTTGACACTTGTGTCAACCAACGGCAACCGAATCCCCTTAAACTCAATAACCTCTGCAACGGAGATCATCCTCGTTCCGTCCCCTCGTACCAAGACATCATCGTCGAAGACAGCCGGGACAAGCTTGTCTCAACTATCCATCATGACTATTGTCGGACCCATCGCCCGTGAGGTCGGGTACATCACCGAACACATCGTTAATGAAATCGAGTTCCTTTTCGGACCAATCGTCTATGGGATTGGGAACATCGCCGGCCGAATCGTCGGTGGGGCTCAGTACATCGACAATCAAATCGCTGATGGGATTGGCTACATCGGCAAACAGACCGCCCCTGAGCGTCACTGCCCCGCTGGACCCAACGACTGTGAGACTAAGTCCACCCAGGAACAGTCGATGCAGGAGCTAGACGAACAGATGGAGACAGAGTACGAGAAGTACGAGAAGGAGTATAAGGCCTACGAGAAGGGCTATGAAGCCTACAAGCAGGAGTACGTGGCCTACGCAAAGGGCTACGAGGAGTACGAGAAGGGCTATAAGCAATACGAGAAGGACTACGAGAAGTACAAGGAGGAATACGAAGAGCATGAGAGGAACTACGAAGAGTACAAGGAAGACTACAAGGACTATGAGGAGTGGGAGAAGGACTACAAAGAGATGATGGACGACCGAGAGGAAGTCAAGGAGGCATACGAGCTCGCTAAACAGAGATACGCCAAAGTGGAAGAAAGTTACAAGCTCTATTTCGAGAAAAACAGCCTCGATGACCAAGCCACCAATGATGATGAGTGGAAGCTGTGTCAGGAGGGTTACACGTGCAATATGGAGCAGGTCAAGCTCCTTGAGGTACAGTACAAACTCTATGAAGAGATGATGAAGTCCTGGGAAGAGCACCACGAGTACAGGCAACAAAAGGAAAAGTCCGACAAAATCCAGTTCACGAAGGAGGAGGCAGAGATAAAGAGCGAGGCGTTGGAACAGCGTGCTCGCAGGAACGAGGAAGAAGAAAGACGCTTCGTTAGGGAAGTGTTCCGCCTCGTTAAGGAGCATGAACGCCTTGATGAGGAGGACAGTCGCCTCGATGAATGGGATATACGCCTCCATGAAGAGGCGGAACAGATGTGCCTCAGACACAAGGAAGAGAAGGAGCAAAGACGCCCCGCGGAGGAGGGGGAACAAAGACGTCTCGATGAGGAGAAGGAACAGAGACGCCTCGCAGAAGAGGAAAGACGCCTCGAAGAAGAAAAGGAAAAGAGACGTCTTGATGAGGAGTATGAGAAGGTTGAGAAGCCTGAGGAGGATAAGGAGTGGGATCTCCTGTAATCAAGTGTGCTCCGATGGCTTGGCCACTCCGAAACCTCCACTAGAGGAGTCGGTTTCCGGGATCAAGGTGATGGTGAACAACCGCTGTGATGGCGTATGGAAGGTGGATTCTTACTAATCCAGAAGTCACCAGGCGATCACATCTTCTCATTGATTAAGTTCGGTATCATATTACCTTTGACACTTTAAAAGAGAAAAAGAGAGAAAAGAAGGAGAAACAAAAAGCCAGCGGTTCCTTGCCTACGAGTGGGTTTTGTGTTTGGTCTATAGATATATTTTGGTTTACTATGTTCTCAATTGAAATATACCTCGATCTCAAATCAAGTGTCTATATCAAGGGTCCTTTGACGTGCGCCTCTGGGATCTTTGCATCCCCACCAACTGTTCACTCATATGCTACAACTTGAATGGCAGATAGATGATCATGAATAAGAATATGTATTCAGTTCAATGAACAAACGAGTCGTGGCGAGACGAATGTGCCTGGACATGATTACTCGAAGAAGCTCAGTATGAGCTTACGCATACTGGCCAACGATGAAGAGTGCGTGATTCCGTGGCTTCCCAGTGACAGGATGACATCCTTAAGCCATGAGTTTGCATCTGAACGGCACTTTCAAGAAGTCACAATCGAGCCGCACCAGGCCTGCAACGCTATTACCACATCTTCACAGCATATGAACAGACAAACGAGACACGTGTAGTTATTCACTAACTGTTCGTCCTGCTCTTTTTCAAAGACTTCTCTCAATTATATAAATCCCATGTCTCCTCGTAGCAGCCTTGCCATCCAACAGTACATCTATCTTCACACAGATACAACGAACAAAGACATTCACCAAAGCTTCGAACAAACTAACGCCAACATGTGCAAAGAAAGAACAGAGAAATGGGTATGCAAACACTGCGAAAAGCCCATCAAAGAGATTCCATTCAAGACCAAATGTCAAAGTCTGAGGGAGACAGGCAAGTGCAAGGAATGGGTCAATGCTAAAGAGAATGAGATTATCGATATGTACGACCCTGATTGCACGTTCTGCAACAACCCGCAGAATTTTTCGAAGAAGGATCTGGAACGAGAAATTAGACCTTGGAAGTGGGCGCACTAGTGGTGTCCTATAGAACAATAAGATTCAGTGTTGTTCAAGCCTTATTTTCGTCTGTTCGAGGATTTCACCTAGAGTTTGAACAAAGCAGCAGTTAGCTTTCACGTATAAACAAAAGAAAGGAGTTTTATTCCTCAACCATCTCCATTTAACTGAATGTTATTCTTAATGTGAATAAGCTCTACAAAACAAAGACAAATATAAAAGGCCACGACCCGGCACGTTATGATTCCCTCTCTACCCCAAACTCCTCATCAAACTTCAAAAGCTAACAAACACCACAATCCTGGTTTCGTTCACAAAAGATCACAGCATGTGTCAAACCACCAATACAAGCTGGGTGTGCGCCACCTGCTCCGTCTCCATCCTCGACAAAAAGTCAGTCAAGGTAGCCTGCCAGGATTACAAGGAGAAGGGCATTTGCACAGTTGCTCTTGCACCGCTGAACGAGTATGTCTACGTTGAAGATCCTAACTGTGAGATTTGTAAGCAGATGAACAGTAGCAGCGATGATGAGAAGAGTTTGCGCAAGAAGCTATCTAAGAAGATATGCTTAGCGTGAAGGGGTATGGCGCTGGATCGTTAGGACTAAGATATCAATAAACCAAGAATTCCGTGGCGTTAATTTTAAAATGTACAAAGTAACCGTGAAATATGTTATCTGTTACTTGATTCTGTTTTGTTCCTCAAAGTTCAGATTCCGTCATGCGAGGGTTGAGTCACGTCTAACCAAGTGGATAACATCTAATCTTGGGGTAATCGCACGCCATCGACGTTATAATTTGATCAACCAATCGGCAACCTAGTCGACCGAGAAGCCGTTGATAAAATAGTAGAGGATTGATCGATGCGATAACGGACGTCCTTTAATTAGATTCCGGGGCAGAGTGAGTCCACAATTGATATGATGGTTGCAGAAATGGAGATGGCATCATCGGGGCCCTAGTAGGCAGGGCCAATAATGCTAGAGACTGATGGCGTCACAGCTTACTGGACTACGCGACATGTATAGTGCTTAATATCGTGGTTATCTCGTTGTCGGAGCTTTTCGGCGTTCATGGGGTGTTACTGGTCATTGTGAAATGTCGTAAAGGATGTGACAAATTGTGTGATCCCCATGGGGAAATGAACTGGCTAAGACATATAAGTAGCTTAAATCCGGCCATAAAGGCATCTGAAGTTCAACCAAATACTATATTATTAAACAGCTTGGCCAAAATGTCGACTACTACCATCACAGCCACAGAGCAGCGCTCGATTCCGCTCCACCTTAAAGCAAAGTATCCAGAGCCTTTGACACCATCAGGCGCATTGGACAAGTTCACCTTCGAAGAGTCAACTCCCGTCATCGGTCGTGAATATCCATTCGTCAATCTCGTCGAAGACATCATCAACGCAAAGAATGCAGACGAACTGATCCGTGATCTCGCCATCACCAGTAAGCCCATTACCGCTCCCAAGCAAACCACTTCCCTAATAAATCAGTCTCCCAAAGAGGCGTGGTCTTCTTCCGAGCCCAAGACAACCTCACCGACGAACTCCACAAAGAACTCGTCCACCGTTTGGGCCAACTCACCAACAAACCCTGTTCTTCAACACTACACATCCATCCTCTTCTGAACGGCACCAACGAATTCGGTGTAGAAGACAATGAGATCAGCGTTATTTCATCCCAATCTCGCTTCTTCCAGGACAAAGAGAAAGATAGAGATGATCGCAAGCAAGGCGCTGCTAGCTGGCACAGCGATATCCAGTTCGAGCAGTATCCCGCTGATTACACGAGTCTGCGCCTCACAAAACTCCCCTCCGGCGGTGGTGATACACTTTGGGCTTCTGGATATGAGCTGTATGATCGGTACAGTGATCCGTATCAGAAGTTCTTTGAGGGATTGACGGCAACGTTCTCGGGTGATGGGTTTCTTAAAGCCAGGGATGCTCGACCTGACTACTTCAAAATTTATGAGAAGCCGCGCGGTCATCCTGAGAATATTGGCGATGAGCTCAAGGCTATTCACCCAGTTGTACGCACAAACCCTGTGACAGGATGGAAGTCCCTTTTCGCCGTGGGTAATTTCCCACGGAAGATCAATGAGTTAAGCGCGAGGGAGAGTAGAGAACTTTTGGAGTCGTTTTATAGGCGGATTGAAGAGAATCATGACTTGCAGGTGCGGTTCAGATGGAGAAGTCCCAATGATATCGGTAAGTACTCTGATACAATAACCCTTTGGGATGTGAGCTAATTCTGTACAGCGTTCTGGGATAATCGAAGTGCTTTTCATAGTGCGACGAATGATTATGATGGACTTGGTGGACGCGAGGGACATCGTGCTGTTGGGATTGGCGAGAAGCCTTATTTGGACCCTAACAGCCTGTCTAGAACGGAGGCGCTGAGAAACAAGCAATGATGGCATGCTTTAAATAGTATTTCTGCTGATTAAATCCGATTAAAATAAGAAGCGTTCCCAAATTCAACCAACGCTCCAAAAATAAATGTGTATCAGTATTCTAACAATAACACGCCAAGCGCTTGCTTGTAACTCCAGCTCTGCGAGCAAGCCCCTCAATCATATTCGGTATTCCAACAGGCGACGTAAAGGGTGGATCAGGCGTCCCATAATCAGACTCATCATCCGATCCATCGTCAGATTCATCATCGGAGCCAGAATCAGAACAAGACACATCACCCATATCCATCGCACACAAGACATGCATCTCCGCCACGTCATTACTATCATAAATACCCTCCCGATGATCCAACCTCTGAAGCAAACTCAAAATCCGGTTCCGTTCTTCATCGTCCTGTGCCGTGAATCCTGCAAAGGATAAACCTGACACCAAACATCCGTCGAGGGCATACGTTGGTTGACCGATGGCTATCAGAGGCGCTGCTACTAACTCTGCCGTTTCGAGAAATGGCTGGCACGGTTGGGGTTGGTTGCTGTAGGCGTCGATGTGCATTTGTATAAAACGTTGACGGAGGCTGAGGTTTTGGAAGTAGGACATTTCTTCGGTCGTCCATTGCAGGATATCGCGCTGAGCAAGCGCTTGAAAACGCGTTCCCCATTGTTTGAATAGGTGCTCAAAGGCTCTGTCGTTCGCCTCTCCGTTTTCTCTGTCAGGGTTGTGTGGTGCATGGTCATGGAGAAAGCGGAGCTGATGAAGTGCGTAGGAAGCTTCGTCGAGAGTCTCGAATGGTGTGATGTCGTCGGCGGTATGCTTGACATCTTTGGCACACCACTTCTGTATGCCTGAAAGAGTAGGGTTCTTCATGAAGTCTGACGATTCGGGACATAGTTGGGAAAACATGGCAACGAGCTTCTCCATCAATGAGGCTTCCTCCGGCGCGGCCGATTCTTGAAGGGACTGAAGTAACGTATCGCCAGCGGCAAAATGCTTCAGAAGCTCATCATACCGACCAGTCAGGCCTTCGCATGTCATGAAAAGCATACAGCATATCAAAATGCAGTGCATGTTGAATCGTGTCGGTGAGGACATAAGCGGAAGAATAGACGATATAGCTCTGTTGTAGTGCTGTATAACAGGCCGCTGCAACTCATCCGGTCGTCCAAAACCAAGTGAATGAGACATGAAAGCTCTATGGGAAGCGCCAACTGCAATCATGCTATATCTGATAGCGTCGAATTGATACGACATGGGAAGTGCATAGCACAGCCAGAAGTTGGAAGAAGAAGCTGAGATTTGCTTGGCGGTCCAATGAACAAAATGTTGGAAATAAACCCTTTCGTGATCCGACAAGAGAGGCATCTGATCAATATGCTCCATCGGTGGTGTAGGAAGAGCAACGATAGCTTGGGTCTTGGGCTTCTTCTTCTTAGAAGCTCTAGGCTTGGGAGGGGCGTATCCGTCACACTTCATCCTGTCGTCTGCACAGCGTTGACAGAAAGGTTTTGCTTCGTCGCATTTCAAATGTCTGAATCTATCACGGATGTTATTAATTTATATACAATACAATACATCATCAGACCAACATACTTGCTGTGGCGTATTTGTTAGTATGACCTTTTTTACGAGAAATAGCACTCCAGCCTATCAAACTTACCAGGTGAGACATCCTCCTCTGGATTTGGGAGCAGAGGCTCGCTTGAATTTGCCTCCGACTCGAATTGCTAGCGTTCTATTGGCTGTCATTTTGGGGAGTCGATTGGTTTGAACACGAGACTGCGAATTGGAAGTAAAGGCTGGGCAATAAAGCATTGTTATGGCAGAGAGAGGCTGTGGATGAAGAATAATGGGGACATTTTGTTGTCTTTAATACGGGAACACGAATCAGATTCCACTCTGCTAGTACAGAACTAGCAAATAGTGGACTGATTTGACAGCTGAGACCAGTCAGAGGTTTTGAGCCAAGCGCTATTCGGCATCACCGGCTCCAATTTCTCGGCATGTAGAATCCGACCAGAAATACTTCAATACGCTTTCAACAACACATTCAACCTTCTTGGCGCCAAGAGAGTAAGCAATATAGTTGGACCTTTGCTGACGACGACCCGTTTGAGATTTTGGGTCCATGCGTTGGTCTCAGGTATATCTAGACACAATTGCCCCGGTGTCGTATTCCAGTCACCTCGAGTTAATACGAAACATCCATTTACCGAAAAGATGAGCGCATACGGATATAACCAACAACCTGGCTACGGCAACCAAGGTGGTTATCAGCAGGGTTATCAACAGGGTGGCTATCAGCAAGGACCACCTGGTGATTACCAGCAGCAACACTACCGACAGGACAGCTACGGACAGCACCAAGGTGGCTACCAACAGCCTCAACAGCCCTACCCTCCCCAAGATCGTGGCTATGACAACTCTCCCGGCCCATACCAAAACTATCCTCCCCAAGACCGTCAACAAAGCCACAGCCCTTACCCCCCACAAGGCTATCAACAAGGACCCCCGCAAGGCCACAGTCCCTACCCCCAACACCAACCACAAGGCGAAGCATCATCATACCGTGACATGGCCGACACACCCAACACACCATACACAGGCTTCCCCGCCCCTCCTCCTCCAACCAGCTCCTGGGGACCCGGACCAGGTCAAGACCAATCTGCACCCGGCGAGGCTGGAGATGGAGAGCGAGGTCTGACCGGTGCTCTAGCCGGCGGTGCAGCCGGAGCCTTCGGTGGTAACAAACTCGGAGGAAGCAAGACCGCCGCTGTTCTAGGAGGTCTCATCGGAGCCTTTGCCGGACACAAGGGTCAGGAATGGAGACGTGATCATAAAGAGGAGAAGGAGGAGAGGGAGAAGCGAGAGGAGGCTGAGATGATGGCTAAACATGATGCTGAGATGGCGTCTTATGGTCGTCCTCGTTCCCGTTCTCGTTCAAGGTCCTCTTCTCGTCACCACCACCGCAGAGATTACTCGAGGTCACGATCGCGGGATTCGGGATGTCGTCGACGTAGACATAGCCGTTCCCGATCGCGTTCTTCTGATTACCACCGTCGTCGCAGGGACTGTTCTAGGTCGAGATCTTCTAGCCGACGTCGATACTACCACTAATTGTCGACGTAAAAGGATCGGAACTTTGAAGATGGGCGGTATTAAATGAATGTTTATAGATCAATACAATTATACTGTTGTTGTCACATACACTCTATCATGTGCAATTGTCCTTTCATGGGTCTGCTGAGTGACGACTTTGTTCTGTGGTATTGCTACTTTTGTCAATCATTACAAAATACATTTCCTAGCCGACTAGCAAACGCCATTCTATGCCTCCATACAAAAGAAACCATGCACTCGTCCCATTACACCTCTAAAGCTCGCTAACAAAATAAACGTCATCGCCATACCTAGACAGACCGTTCGTCCTCAGTTCTTATATGAACCAAAGACAATTGTGACAGACGTTCTGTCGATGAGCCAAATGACCCTTTACCCTGATTCGACATCTTAACATTTGTAGATGCAGTGCTGGCAGTGCCAGTGTATTGGCTACCCCCACGCGTGCCAGTCTTGCTCTTCATGTAGTTAAAAGCGCGCGACTCGGCTGCGTACTTAAAGTAGGGTCGAAGGGCTGGCAGACAGGAGATGACGAGACCAATGTACAGATCCAGCGAGGCCCAGAAGTCTGTAGGTGTGTAAGCATAGGATTGATGGTGAAGAGGAATATGGGACTTACGTGTCGTGACTAACGAGGCGTCCTTAACAGCGTACACCTGCGTGTAGCGAACGATGGTGATGGCCATATTGATCAGGCCAAGAAGGAACGTAAAGTAGATACCGATTCGGAGCCATCCCTTGATCATAAGATCAGGGACAATTAACCAGGGAAGAACGAAGACTGGTTCATTAGCTCAATTTATTGGGGTTGGAGGAAGAAACTCACTGAATATGTCACTGGTGAAGTTAAGAGCCCATGTGGTTGTGTAGAAGGCCCGAACATGGTTGATCTCGCATCGTCTGCCAGATTCCAGACTCCTGGTCGCGCGTTAGTCATCGACCTTATCGAAGGAAGGAAAAGTAACTTACCACCACCGGTTGACTGGGGTGCAGATGGTGAACAAAAGAACGACAGTAGTAATGAACGATACAACAACGTAACCCACAGTGACCCACAGGAAGGTTCGTCGCTTGGTCATGAATCTGGGAATGACCTGGTGATAAACAGAAAGCAGTGCCGCCTTGCATAGATAAAATGACATTATTAACGGCAGAGTGCTGATCCAGTGGAGCTATGAACGTCAGTACCCGATTCATACTCCTTGCTAGCGACATCCTCACCTTGAGAATCAACTTCTTTCTCTCATCTTTGGCATCGAAGTTGCTGAGGCTCGGTTGTATCCCATCCTCCATAACGCCCAGGTGAACATATGTGATACAGAACGACGCAATAACGATCCCCATCGCCCAGGCCATCGTCATCCAGACATCACTTCCCAGCAATCGTTGTTTCTGAAGGCCGAGTCGGAGCCAGATACGTGCGGCGATGACTACCGTCGATAGTGAGATGAGAGTCCATTCTGTGATCTGTTACGTCGTCAGCAGGTGTTTCGGTGTGTTGTTGGTGTAGTACGGACAAGAAGTGCTGATGCGTTTGGAGCCATTTCGATCAAGTCGTCTTTGTCGAGAAGATGTAGAGTTGGGTCAGGTTATAGTCGATGAGACATCGATGCCGTGAAAAAACCATGAGTACGTGAGTCCGTCAGGGAGCAGCCAAATGGGCGAATGACCTCTTTAAAACGTCTTGTCGCCATCCATCCTCTTACGAAAAGCCTAAGAGATATAAGTTCTCGCTTCCATTCCATCGCTAGCGTATCCGGGAATTCACCGTCTGATCCTCCCGGCTTGGGATGTGGCGCATTCCAGTTGACGAGAGGTCGTTCGCCTACTGAATAACTTGGCTGTCTTAGTCACACAGCTCTGTACCTTGCATACGGGAAATTCGTTGTCGGGTACCTAGGCTTAGTTCAACGAGCGTCAAGGTCTGGACAAAACGCCACAGAACTTGACTTCGACGCACAGCAGGTTATGAGAAGGCCAGAACTACGCCATGCCACTGCAGGTACGCAGTTGCACTAGACCCAAGTGGCTGAAGTCTATTTCTTCAGTTGGCAACGCTGTGTCGATCTTTGTTTGCCGAGACCTGCTGTTGGTTGTTAAATGGCCTGACAATAGAGTATCACATCATGCATTTCTTCCGTTTGCGACAGCCCAAGACCAACATGAATACCACACATCAGTCTTGACCGCACAAAAGAAAATACTGACAACTGATTTCTCGATGTGTTACCATTTAATCATTGTGTGCCAAACGGAATAACACTGTCTCATCGGTTAAGCAAAGCAAGGCTTGATCGTATGGCGTTACAATTTCTGTAGCGTAGCCGCGACAGAAATGCTTCTCCGTTAGGTGACTTCAAACTTTAAGCTGCACGTCCTTTAAGTCTTGGCAACTTGTGGCTAGCGAGCATTGTCAGTGGTGACTGCATGTCTGCCCTCATCCACCAACAGCCAAGCCACCATACCCGCTCTCAAACCAGCCCTATACACGGACCGCCGTGGCAAGAAAATGGACAATAAAAAGATCGATCGAAGGCGTTTACCTCAAAGATGAAGATATTTCCGATCTTTTGGTGGGAACTCGAGTCAGTTTCTTTTCTAATCCCGTCAAACTAAGTCAGGTACGCGATGCAAGGATAGCACTAGGGAAGGCGTTGCCGACATCGTTGCTCTCTTGGCAGGCCTCCAAGCCATCTTGTAATGATCGCCAGCGTTAAAAGCCTCATGTGTAGATGACATCAGGTATGGCCGCATGGAGTACTGCCGGCGGTAGAGACAGGAGCGACGATGATACAACGGCTGACCCGGGTAACTGGTCTGGACTGCTTATGAATTTCTTTGATTGATGGCATTTTTCTTCTTTTGGTCACTCGTAACGATGGACATGCCAATTCTTCAGACATATGTCTAGCCGCGCTCTTGGCAAGCGAGAGGTGCTACTGTAATGACTCAAGTTTTGGTAGATGGAGTTGGGATTATGACAGATATCAAGTCGAAGATATCATAGATGCGGTTTCGCAAATAACAGGTCCACATAGAATAGGACCGAGTTTTTATTTATTCAAATATTCGAGAAGCACAAAAGTCTTCCTTCGCCACATGAAGCGAATGATCGCCACCTCTTAGTTTATAGCCCTTCCATTCTCTGCCCTTACCCTGGATCTAAACATCTATCCAACGTGCCATCCAAGTCTCAGTGACCTTCTTCGCCTCATCAACAAGTCCCATATCCAAAAGCAACTGCACACTCCCCCTAACTGCACTCTCAAGCGCACTAAATATCCACGTATGTGTAAACGTAGCAGCCTCACCAATAAACACAGTATTAAACTCCGTCTGATAGAACGCAGGCAGGTACAAATGCTGCTGTCCAAAGATCTGCATCGTGAAAGCTCCAGCATGATGCTCCTCCTGCTCCCAGCACTGTCGCTTCCAATTACCTGTCCAGTTCTCCTCCACGACGTCGCCGTGTACTTCGATGAGGGCGTTCTTGATGTAGGCCATGTGCTCTTCTTCGGACATGGCGCAGGCGGCTGTGGCTTCATAGTCGGACAGGTAGGATGCCATCATTGTGCCTGGGCCTGTGGCGTTGATTTGCCATGAAGGATAGCACACTTGGCCTAGTTGTGGGTTTGTTAGACGTGTGCAGCCGCCGATGATGGGTTGATCGAGATGTTCCCAGAAGCGAGTCTTGAACTGCACGGCAACTTTGCAAGCGTTGGCGAAGAGGGTTCTGTCGATGGCGCGCTTGAGAAGACTTGAGTAGCGAGGCAGTTTCCAGAACTTCATCAAGTTGAGTGGAACGCTGTTAAGTACGTAGTCGAAGTTGTCGACATTATTCGGGGTCGTAAAGGGCTTTGAACCCGTTGGCTTCCACGACACGGACAGAGTTTTGTTGTTCTCGTTATATCGCAGACCGTTGACCTTGGCGTTGTATTGAATCCGGTCCTCAATATGAGGTTCAAAGGCTGCAGGGAGTCTGCTGAGGCCGCCCTTGATGGTTACCCACTTACTAGCCAGGAAGTAAATAGTCTCGTACTCCCACATCGGCCAGTAAATATGAGTCGGCGAAACCTCATCAGTAACATTCAGCTCCGTCTTGATAACATCGCGAAGGTACGAAACCTCAGAGTAATCAAACGACCCGTCTTCCTTGGCTTGTTTGTAAGCTTTGAAGATGTTCTTGGTGTACATACGGATCTTCTCAGGCGTAAGACCCTTGAAATCGTCCAAAGCTTGAATAGCTTCTTCAGCTGCCGTATCATTGCTGTATACCGCAGGATTACTGTAATCTGGGTTGTTCGCAACTTCGAATTTGCTGGGGAAAGTACCGTCGGGACGGCGGAATGGTGAATCGACGGGTGTATTCGGGGAACTCTGAATCCAGTCCCAGAACTTGACCTGGAGTGATTTGTTGCCTTCGTTCATGCCGTTGAGAACATCTGCTAGCTGGAAGATCATGCGCTGATCCATGAATGGGAAGGTCTCATTCGTTTCAGAGTCTGTGAGCTCGTAGGGGAAGCGCATTGGTCCAAGTTCATGGTACTGGCCATCGTCGGGGGAGGTGCCGTTCAGATACGCTGTTCTGATACGACCTCCTACACGTTCAGACGATTCGAGGATCTTCCAGTTGTGAATACCCACTGAGTCAAGAATGAGCTAGGAAATGGTCAGTATGCTATCAAACGCTTCATGTTCAAGGCAAACTCACTGATGACATGAGTCCAGATATACCGCCACCTAAGATACCAAAGGTCTTGTTCTTAGTAGCGCTAACAAAGATATCATCAGGCTGCTTCTGCTTGAGGTATGCCACGCCATCGAACCACAAGCTATCGTCTCCAGCAACATCCGCAAAAGACTTCTTCTTCTCACTTCGTCTCTTCAGCCTTTGAGCAGCGAGTTTATCAGACTTTCCGATCAAACTATCATCCAAGAAAGCATTGAGACAACCGTCAGCGACATCGCTCGGAACAACCCAGACAAATGACGTGGGTCGTTTATCTGGGTGGTCTGAGTGACGAGCAGCTAGTGAGTGTTGCCCAACATGCGTCGAACCAATTCGCTGCCAGGTCTCTGCGTCGCTGTCGCATGAGCCGTAGGCCAGTGTCAATTGTCCATCGACATCACCGGCATATTGTACGACGATATTCTGTGCGCTGCCTGGACTCAATTTCGATGGGGAGATGAAGGTGATGGAAGGGGAGTTGGTAGGTACTGCATTTGCAAACAAAGCCAGGCTACCCAGAAGAGGCAGCGAGCGTGAAGAACTCTTCATCTTGACGAATGTTTAAGAAGAATTTGTCAGTATACTATCGATGCCCGGCAGATATCCCTCTTATATTCCACGACAAGAGCCGGTCCCGGCCCCGGGGCTACTAAACGAGTCCGGGACCTCGGACTCGGAACCAATTTGTCAAACAATGACAATCATAATGAAGAAAAAATTCCCTCGGACCACGATATCCCAGCGAAACCATTCTCGATGGGACAATAAAGGCCGAAGACCCAGTGTTTAAGTTTAAACAATTATCAAGCTTATCTGTTAGCATGAACAATCTAGCTACAAGTGCTCTAGTTATGAACTGTTCTGCTTCCTTATCTGTGAGGGAAAGCCGTCGTTGAGAACCCTGATAGATAGGCAAATCCTTGTAATGCATGAAGAAGGTTTATCTACCGTTGTCGTGAGACGTGATTGGTTCGACTGGGGATCAGAGTGCCAAGAATTCCCCGCAGATAGAGACTTTGGCCGAGAGATAAGGTGGATGTCGTTCCCGGACCAATGTTACGATGAACCGGTAGAGACCGGCAGAGCTTGGAGTTGTTAGCTAAGGTTAAGTTGTCTTTATACGGTATCCTTGACCGTTGAGATCGCATTAGTCATTGAACTACACCGCATGTTTTGCAGGGTATAGTGAGAGCACCTATGAGCGGGTATCATCACGATGGAGACGTTTATTCCCGAATGTAACATGAAGTCAAATTTACTCGTCCTAAATTCTCAAGTCTCTCATAGCCTAGGCACTTACAGAATGTACCTAAAGTTTCTGTTCTGCATATCCGTCTCATCGACATCTAAAAGAGTTCCATCTGCTCCAAGATCAACCCGTCGGGACTCCTCAGGATCCCTCTTCTCTCCCTGCTCGTTATCCCTACGACTATTCTCCCATGCGAGGTAGAAATACATTACCACAACAAGAGCAATCGTGATGGCGAAGCATGCCAGAATGGTAGTGTAGGCCGTCTGCAACGATTAGTCAAATTCATACGAAACTTGAACGGAAGACTTACATGATAGTGAGGCGCCTCAGTGCTGATAAAGAACTGCGGCCCACTCAAATTTCCTGCACAGTATCCCAGGAAGATCATGGCCATGACAGTTGACTTCTTCGTGAAGCCGGCGATGTTACTAGCTGAGAGCGAAAGCATGAGTGGGAACGCCGGGGCGACGGCCATGATGAGCCAGAAACCAGCCAGTCGGGCCAATTTCTCTGCGTTGGGCAGAAGTTTGATCATGAGGATACCAGCAATAGCCATGATGTATGTCAGAACAAGAGCGATGTGTCGTGACTTGCGGACGTAGGTCGTGAAGACGGCGACTAGGATGACAGTAGTAAGTTGAAAGGCTGATGCGGGAAGACCCATCAGGATAGTCTGATGCTCATCATAGCCGAAGCTCTTGATGACAATCGTGCTGAACTATACACAATGTTAGTAACCGTTCTATAGTAATGATAGAGGTGCTCTTACGCTTGTTGTTCCTCCGTTGGGAACACAGATGACGAAAGAGAAAATGAAGAACCACCAAGCCTTGACATCCTTCATCGTCTCTATAAACTGGTCGCGATCCCACTTCTTGGTCTGTGTTGTTCGCTGGAATTTCTTGGGTCGAAGGGAGGCAAATTCTCGTTCGGATGTGCTTAGGAATCTCGCAGTAGATGGCGAGTCGGGTAGGAGGAAGAAGGTCAGGACGGACCAGGCGATCGTGATAAGGCCGAAAATGAGGAACAGCATCTATACGTGTTAGTACATCACAAATTTGAGACACGGGGAGTCTGCTTACCTTCCACTGCTTGATCGGTCCAGTGTATCCCAAAATCCCATACGCAATCATAGCACCAACCATACTAGCCGACGCATTACCCGCAAACCAGAACGAATGCCTGGAAACATGTTCATGAGGCGTATACCACATTCCGGTAATCAAGGAGAAACCTGGACTGATGGCGCTCTCGAAAACGCCCAGCAAGAAACGAAGAACCATGAGGCTAGCGAAACTGTTTGCGACGGAGTGAAGCGTGAGGATAACGCCCCAGATGAACATGAGAACGCTGAGATATTTTCCGAGGGGAAACTTGACGAAACCTAGCGAGATGGGATATGAGGCTACGAGGTAGCCGATGTAGAAGACGCTAGATGCCCAACTGAATTGCTGGCCAACGAGGTGCAAATCTTCTCTGAGGCCAAGGATGGCACTGTACGCCAGACTCGTTTCTGTCCCGTGTTAAGACTGTTCGTACCAGTGAATTGAGTAACCTACTGTCAAGGTACTGCAGACCATAGCTAATAATAAGCAAAGGCATAAGACTGTTCTCGTTAGCATCGAACACACACAATCTTCGAAATACATACCGAAGATCAATTTTGCGAACGAGTTTCTTCTCATCCTCTAGCGAAAGGCTGTCCATCGCTACAGTATCAGTGCCCTGTAGCGAGGGCTCTTTGGCGTCTTGGTGGACTTTCTCCATCATGTGATTGATCTGTGAGGTGATGGTGATAGTTTCAAGTCAAGGCTGGGGTCTCGAGGTCCAGTTATATCCCTTCCTTATCGCGTTGACGCTAGGGGGCTCATCACGTCGGTCCAGAATCCGGGGTCATTACCCCAGATTTCCGCGTGCCGGCACTGCGTCTGATTGGTCAGAACAATCGACGAGATAAGACTATCGCCTCAGTGGCTGAACCTAGTTGTGGTTATCGAGGGATACAGTTGAGATAATCGACGAGATCCATATCAATGCTATCGATATTATTCTGTGTTTTGCGGCTTTCTACTAATTAAATCTCGAACCGTCTCCATTGATACCGTATCCGACATTCCCTTAGCCGCCAGCACATGATCGTATATTGACTTGATAACGGGGTCTGAAATACTCGCCGAGATCCAATCTCGGTGTATGGGGTCGTGTGTTTCGATGCCTGCTATTAGGAGGGCCCATTGGAACCGCTCTAGTAGTTGTACTGGTCCGATTGTGATGGTGTGGTATGCTACTGCTACCAAGTCCGTAAGAGCTGTCTCGACTTCTGGAGGTACTGGGGTCTCTCCGAATGCTGAGTCGCGGCTGCGGTAGAGGTAGATTATGAGGGCGTGGAGGATGGTGACTGTTACTAGAGCCATCAGAGGCGGGTTTGGGGTTGACTGTTGGCTCAGTATGAAGAGCCAGCTGTGTTCCTGTGCTATGTTAGTACACTATCCTCTATGTGCTGCCACAGCTCGCTTACCTCTCTTATCTTGTCGAGCTTCCTCTTCATTTCCAACCACTTCCCTGGCATCCGTCCGCTACTCTGACTATACTGGTTTATCTCATACTGGATCGTAATCAAACTAAAGTAAACATTCACAATCCTTCTCTGTCCTGTATCAGGTACATGCTCCGCCAGAACCGGCATACGCGACAACTGCCATATTCGCTCCCTCGTCTCATGCTTCTCATTGACATAACCTGCAAACTTCTCACCACATCCAAAGAACCCACAAAACACATCTCTATCGTAGATATACGTCAATATCCGAGCGAGCGTCGAAGATTCGGACCCTGCTTGACTTCCAGCACACATCTCATCGAGTGAAAACATGGTCACGTACGCAAGAGCAGAACAACTCAACTCGCCCAACCGTGCAACATCGAACGGGTCCCTCCTCATCCAAAACATATACAGATACAAGAATGAAAGCATCATGGTCACATGATCCGTTGGCGTCAGATTTACCAGCGCCTGGTTAAATAATGCCGAACCCTGCTGAAAGTGCAGCTGTGACTCCATAGGCGGTTTATGACTGAAGCCATGATGAATGGCGAGTTCGCTGTGTGAAAAGGCTAGTAAAAAGTGAAGAGCCATAGGGTTTTGAACGGCAAAGTTGAGAAAGATGGAGTGTGAGGACAGAGATGCTCGACGGGTGGATTTCATGGAGGCTAGGATGGTGGAGTGGAAGGTCATGGCTTGGACGTCGTTGCTGCCGATTGAGGGAGCTGCGGATGGTGGGTGGGTGAAGGAGTAGGAGGGGAGGATGGACAGAAGGTTGAAGGATGGTGTTGGGAAGAGGATGAGGGTATGGTTGAAGTTGCTTTGATCGAATTCGGGAATTGCGAGGGAGTTGACGTCTTCAGGTAGTGCAAGCCCTTCGATGACGGATGCATTGTCTGCACTCAGTACACCATCATCTTGAGAGAATTGGATGACAGCTGTGTCGTCTGTGCCATCATCGTGAGAGACGTTTAATGAATTGTCTGCCTCCAATGTCTCTGGAAGTTGTACGCCATCTTCTGATGGAGTCGACAATTGAAGTTCAGGCGATGGCTCAGGCTCTTGACCCTTAGGAACAATAGGCGGAGGCTCCCAACTCCCCCGTTCCTTAATCGGTCCCAAACCACGTCTTCTCGACGCAAGCGACACTTGCTCTCTCACCCACAGACACTCAAGACCAAGTCTCACACATCGCGCACAATCAGGACGCTTCTCATCGCATTTGACTCTCTTGGTCACGCACGTCAGGCATCCTAAACGCGTCAATTCACGTTCACAATATCAGGGCTAAACTCACCATTCTTTGAACGTCCCCGCTCTACGCGACGTCGTTTCTTTGGTTGGTTCTCCATCGATAGATTGGGACTTGTGGGTTACACCCTGGAGAATGGACGCGGGTGGATGCTCAGTTTAATCGACCGCTTTTTGGCGCCAAGATAGAGGCCGATCTCGCCCCACGACATCCGTCGATTAAACTGACCAATCAAGCACGGGGTCTTATCCGCGTTAAAGGTACCGAGATATGAGGGTAGAAACAACAACCCCCTGATATCTCGTTCCTTCTTGGCAGTTTTTTCCTTCTCAATTCATTCTCAATCAGTTTTTTGTCACTATGGGCAATTCCATCTCTTACAGCACTTCAGAGTGCGAAGTCACACTCCCTGATGACGGGAGCACCTTCAAAGGTCTCAAGTTCGATTCCAAGTCCCGCCGCTTCACAGGCATTCCTTACGCTCTTCCTCCAACAGGGCCTCTTCGCTGGCGTAAACCTCAACCTATTCCCAAAAACAGCTCTTTTGTTGATTGCACTCATTTTGGACCTGTTTGTCCCCAGGCGAATTACTCCAAAAATGTCAGCGAGCATATCCCAAAGCATACATACAGCGAAGACTGCCTACGCCTGAACATATGGACCCCAGTCCCAGACTCTGAGAACCCAACTAAAAAATGGCCGGTTATGGTTTGGTTTCATGGGGGTTGGTTCCAGGTCGGTGATCCAAGTCAGGAAGAAAGCATGGATCCTACCGAACTCATCTCTACAGGACAGTTAAATGCTGTCTTTGTAGCAGTGGGCTATAGACTCAACGTCTTTGGGTTCCTAGCTGGCAAAGCTCTGCTCGAGGAATCCAATGGCGAAGCTGTGGGAAATTATGGCCTTTGGGATCAACGTCTCGCTATGGATTGGGTGTATGAGAACATTGAAGCTTTTGGAGGCGATCCCGAGAATATCATTCTTGCGGGACGAAGTGCTGGGGCATATTCCGTGCTTGCCCAGACGCTGTATGACTTCCGTGGAAAGGAATCTTATGGCAGATTTACAAGGATGATCATGTACTCGAATGCCATCCCAACGCAACCGAAGAGCGTACAAGACTGCGAAGAGCAGTTTGACGAGTTATGCGAGTACTTCTCGATACCAACGGATCTACCAGGAGCAGAGAAGATGAGTCGTTTGCGAGACATCACCTCAGATGAATTATCGTCTGCTATCATGGAGTTGAAGAACCATACATTCCGACCCGTGACAGACGATCTCTTCATTCACCCTGGAATCTTCGACTACTACCGCAACGGGTCCTTCGCGCAAGAGTTCAAGAAGCGCGGTCTTAAGCTTCTAATCGGAGAAGTTAAGGATGAAGATACTCTCTACGCAGTTACGAACCCGCCAGACCCCAACGTTGCATCGCTGAGGATGCAAATAGCGAATTATTATCCTGCGCACGTCACTGATCGGTTGCTCAAGCATTATTCTCTGCCTCAGAATAAGGATAAGCAGGCTTGGCAGAATATCTTTGGACGTATTGTGGCTGATGGCCAGGTCAGAGCGCCGTCGCGATATCTGGTAGATAACCTGGTAAACCATGGCGTCGATATCAAGAATGTCTGGAGATATCTCATCGCGTATCGACTGTCGTTTATCACTACCGATATCGCGCCAGCTTCTTTTGGTGTAAGCCATGCCATGGACCGACCTATCTGGAAGTACGTCTCCCATCTCCCCAAGTCCCGAAGCATTTTTACTAACGTGAACTAGCTACTCAATAACTCACGGCCCAACACCAGCGGAACGTCAGTTGATGGACGACTGGATCACCGATTTGAGGGTATTTGTCAATGACGAGGACCACGAGTATGGTACGGCAGAAGCTACAGAGTACAAGGTCATGCAGCCACAAGGAACGATTGGTGTTGAGACGGATGGTCGATGGGATGAGCTATTGCAGGTCATGGATATCTTTTGCGCGTGATGATGAATATTAGCCAATGGTGATCTTCTTTTACGGTAGCGTAAGGGTGTCAGAAGAATTGGATGCCGAAAGCATGCAAGACGGAATAATCTAGTCATTTTATGTGAGCTTAGAAGAGCATCTAGTCTACTTTAATTTGACATCCTGAGTCTGGAAGCACAGTTTTTCTTTCGCTCTGTCAGTGGCGACACGGAGGAGATGTTCTTCCGGGTGAGCGATTGGAGAACGAATAATGACGGAATTGATTCCTGCGTCATGCCGACTCATACCCTCATGAGTCGTAAAATAGATCTTCAACTTTATTCTTACCAAAATTACATCAGAGAGCAGATCCTCACTCATACCGTGTACGATCAAGATGACCTCGTCAATTAAAGTTTTACTAGTCACCAAAACCCGGGGTTACCGTCACGACTGTATCCCCAGCACCATCGCCGCATTCAAATCATTACCCATCACAGTCACAGCTACCGAAGATACATCTGAACTTTTATCGCTGTCTCACTATGATGTTATCGCGCTCGGGCATAACACGGGTGATTTTCTGAGTGAAGATGAAGTCGTTTCTTTAGCGAAGTTTGTTGAGGGTGGTGGTGGCGTTGTTGGCGTTCATGCTGCTTCGTGCGGTATGCCGACGGATAGCAGATATACGAATATTCTTGGGGAGGTGTTTGATGGTCATCCGCCGCCGGAGTGGATTACCCTGAAGGTTGAGAATGAAGGTCATTTTGTTAATCGCGGCGCCGAATTGCCTCGAGCAGACGCTGCGCCAGAGTCGACCGAGGCTTGTCCATTCAACGTAAATTCACTCTCAAAAAGCCAATTCCCATGGTTCGACGAAGTATACACCTTCAAATCGCATCCTCGTCTGCCCAAAGACCGCATAATTCTCCTCTCCATACACCAAACCACCACGTCAAACGACGAGAGGGCGAATTTCCCACTATCATGGACCCAAACAGTCGGCAAAGGCAGGGTGTTTTATACAGCGCTTGGCCATTTTGATGAAGCGTATCGCAATTCATGGTTTTCGCAAACTCTATTTCGCGGCATTGTCTGGGCTGCCAAGCGAGATGGCAATTGATAATTTTGACTTGGCGGGCTGACACGCTGAATGGATTCAAGACGCTATTTTCCTGGGCGACGGGAGCTAAGGTCTTGTAGCTTCATAGGGCTATGGCCAAGGTGCAAGCATCAATTACCCCAAGTTCAGCTTGGCTGATGCGGAGGAATAAATAAAGTCCAAGCTTGAGAACGAGAAAATATGTTTTGCAAAAATACAAACGTAGAGGTAGGATAGAAAGTGAGGGTAGTGCTCAATTGGCGTATGCCGCCAACACACCTTGGAGCTCCTTCTCAGTCACCGACACAACACTTCCATGTCGCGGACTCGTAGGCAGACTGTATTCCTCCGAAACCTTCCAATCCGGATTCGCGATATCGGTCGTCTCAAGAGGAATATACCCTCGTCCAGCAAATTCATCAACAAAAAGGTAAAACTTTTCGCCGTGTACGTCGCCTGGGTTGGACTTGAAGATTGACGGTCCTTCGACCACGTCGAGTCCTGCCTTGGTGCCAATGCAGCTCGTCACGTGCTTCCACTCATCCTGTCCAGCGCGTAAATTCTTGGAGCTCTCTTGAATAATGTCAACACATTCTTTGCCCGAAACACCACCAAAGTCCTTTGTGAAGCGATGGTAGGTATCGCCGTCCTTAAGAACAGTCGTGTCAATCCTGTCATTGGAACCTTGCCAAACAACGGGTTCGCTAAAGGTGATAAAGTCTTTAGTCGTCGCGTACATAATCTTCGCGTACGTTTCAACCTCGTGATTAGGATCGTCCTCAGCATACAACCGAGAAGCCCAGTAGACAACATACTCGTCAATGCTCTCATCGTAGTAAGCCTCGGGGGCCCATGTCATGCCAGCCGTTGGACGGGAGACAAGGGTGTGGCGCTGCTCGGACCAGTGGACCAAGTCAGTGCTCTCCCAGATTTCCAAATATAGACTTCCGAAGCGCAGAGCCTTTTCCCAGCCAATGTCGTTAATCTTGAGGTCTGTGGCAACGAGGAAGAACTTGTCGCCGGAATGGGAACGCATCAAAAAAGGATCCCGAAGACCGCGGGTGCCTTTTACGGATGTCAGGATTGGTTTGCCGCCGTTGAGCTCGCGCCAAGAAAGGGCGTCGTTCCCGTTACTCGCGGCGAGGAAAATGCTCTCCCCGTTGTTATCGTCGCCGACAAAGTAGGCAAAGACATAGCCTGCAGCAGGAGCAACATCCGTAGAATTGTCACCGTTGTGGGTCGCTATAGGCTTGGCGAGGGAGGTTGGAGCCAACGCCAAGATGCACGTGGTGAGGAATGAAGGGAAATGCATTGTTTTGTTATCTACAGAGTACTCCGTAGGGATAAAGGAATAAGCAAAGGATTAGAGATTGCCGCGTTAATCTCCGGTTTATTCAGCCATTTTTTATATACACACACCGGAGACAGCTCCCCCGAGGCACGATGCTAGCGCCTGACCGCAACGACGGTTGCAGTGAAGCGGCCCAATCGAGGATTGATCAGTTTTTGGTAAGTTAAGCTTAAAAAGAACCTTGGGATGCAGGTATTCCTGAAGAGGAAGGACAGATATCGATCTTGGAACGTGAGAGATTGAAGTGATGCTAGTCCTTACTGAGTCAGGAACGTTTTTTGACGCGCATGAATCAAGTTCATCAGGAACAAGGTCATGTGTACCAAGAGTATAGTTTCGGCACTCCGTTCAGCCAAGACGGATCAAGAGGGAAGAGAAAGGGCCAAGACGGCTGCCTTATTATCCCTGGCTAACTCGTATCAGAATGGAAGGTCAGTGCTGGCTACGGCTAAAACAATTGTTCACAGCGATAATGAAGCAAAAGTAAAAAAGACCCTGAGATACAAATCTATTACCCCAGATCTCTTGAGCATATCTTTATCTCAAAGTGGTAAAAACATACCCTGCATCTGATTCTGTCGTCACAATAAGGTGATAAGGAGAATGCGGGATGCGGGAGCTCCAGGTCCGCTTAACAGAACCACTGTACTCGCTCGTGGTCCTCGCAAAATACAGTGGACTCCTCCAAGCGAACAGTGGTCCTTCGTAGCGAGTCCCCCAGGCGCCCCTCCGCCAAGAACAAGAACCACCCACTGGAACCCTCTATAACAACAACGGTAATACGTCGGGCCACTCATCCTTCGGAGGTAAACACTGGGGAAAGTAACAAAAAATGAAGATCCCCAAGAAATCAATCCACCGGATTACCCTTTTAGTCATTCCGAATTCCTTCACATTGGTGACAGGCTCCTCCGTCGTAAAAGCAAAACAAGATCATCGTAGGTTAATTTGCGTTTAATTTTCTGACAACTGGAGACTGGTTGGGTTTGTCATTTGAGGAGTTGGAATGGGGAAAATCGTAACCCCATGGGAAATAAAGCATTGTTAATTTTGAGGGTCTGTTTTTGTTTGAGATGTGATTGAGGGCCAGGGTGAATGCATGTTGCTGTCTATCACATGAAGATGATGGACACTGTATACTGCAATACGTATAGAAAATTGAGAAAATACTGAAGAATTATTCCTTGAATGCAGAATTTTCTAGTGAATTTCCCAATTAGTAGATACATCTTGATGATGGCAAATATTGCCATCACGTTGCGATCACTGGTTAACATTCAACCTACCCGATACCTTTTACTGTAATTCAATTGCCACGCTTACCTCCGGATAGTGACAGACGACCAACAGTACAGAGACCCACGGCATTCCCCATGCGGGTTCACCTTGTAAAGCTCCGAGATTGCAGCGGATGAGTATGACGTTTTTAATGCGAGATTTTAGTCAAAAATCTTATCCAAACCCTTGAGTCTGTCTCTTCTCCACTTTACATACTCCACAAAACCTCGTTCACACCTCGGCATTATTCCCCAATTCTTTTATGTTGCTCGGGCGGAGAAGGACAAGAAAATCAATGAGGGGGAGGAACTTGGAGTAAGAATGGGTATTCTCGGGTTTTAACCGACAAGACTTCAGCTCTTGGTTTTTCTTGTCCGAATTACTCTGTTAAGAAAGACGAGGGTTCATGTGAGGATTATTTGTATATGCATCTGTTGGGTTGCTGACTGCAGATCTTGACGATCATAGATACCACCAACAGATATCAACACAAACGAGTCTGAGAGTCTGAAAATACTGTAGAAAACGGTTAGACGGTGAAAGAGGCCAAGGCGTCATTCTCCAAAAAACATACTCGTACTCTAGTCATTGTCCAGGATAAAGAACCGAGCTATGGGGCTTCTTGATTCAAGGGTCTTGTTCCCTTTTAGGAGATTTTCGAAGATCGCGGAGACTATGACGTAGACACTTGGCGCAAACCCCGGAGAAGACAAAGACAAAAACACTCTAACGATGAGACGTCATTTGCTAAATCTCCAGTTTAAAATTTTTTACACTCTAATTGCCGGTGTCTGGTGAATTATCGTGACAGCCTAACAGCATCAGTCAGTTAGTTGGTACCCCCCGTCACACTCACACGGGAATACCTATTATACAGTGTCTTGTCTACAGTACGTCATGCGGGTCACCTGAAACTAGTCTCTTCTTCTCTGCCAAGTGACGTTGAATCGCCAATAATTGGCTGCACGCATCAAAAAACTTTTCTGTCTCTGGTCGATCGTAAACGTGCGTTCAACTTTATCTAAGGTTATCTGCGTTTTTTTGCGTCAGGGACCCCTTTGCCCCCAGTTCCAAGTTTCTCCGAGTCATTAACCTTGAAATTTTCGCCCGTGGGTGGTCTTATCGGTTCCACTGTGCTGTGACATATGTGTAAGAAACATTGGGTCTGCTCGTGGAGTCTCTACCCACAGTCTTGGACTTGGCGTCATGTCTGTGTCTCTGTCGTCGAGCTTATAAGAAATGTAAATCTCCCGCTTTGATCTCAAGATTTTGTTACTCTCCAGTCTCAAACAAAGAAACCAGAAAGACAATTTGAATTTGTTCAATATGGTTCACGTCGACAACGAAGCGGGGATTCCCCATTACTGGGGCAAGACTGGTAAGGGTCTGCAGAGACTCATTACCATCGTCGCTACCACTGACTTTCTTCTTTTCGGTTATGGTAAGTCTCGACCACGTTCTCAGACCCAATGGCTGGGGAAACCTTATCTTGAGTCTATGCTGACCGTTTCATCGTGCAGATCAAGGTGTCATGTCCGGTATCATCTCCGCTCCCGCTTTCACAAACGATTTCCCCCAGGTTTTGGATGAGACATACGAAGGTTTCGTCGTCTCCATCTACGCTGTCGGCTGCTTCCTCGGTGCTCTCTTCATCCTCAACTTTGGTGACCGTCTCGGTCGTCGCAAGTCCATCTTCCTCGGTGCTATCGTCATGATCGTCGGTGTTATCATCCAGATCGCTGCTGTCCCTCCCGGCGGCGGCGCAACAGCACAGTTCATCATTGGTCGAGCAATCACGGGTATCGGAAACGGTATCAACACTTCCACTATTCCTACCTACCAGGCTGAGTGCTCCGAGTCTCACAACCGTGGTAAGCTCATCTGCATTGAGGGTGGTAACGTCGCCATTGGTACGTTGATCGCCTACTGGATTGACTATGGCTGTACCTATGGTCCCGACCCCTTTGTCTGGCGATTCCCTATCGCTTTCCAGTGTGTCTTTGCTGGTATCGTTCTGGTTATGATGATGAAGCTGCCCGAGTCTCCTCGTTGGCTCCTCACCCACAACCGTCGCGAAGAGGCTGAGACTATCCTGGCTGGTCTCAACGGTACTCCCCGTGACTCCCCCGAGGTTGTTGGCCAGATGGCCACCATCGAGAAGGCCATCGCTGCCACCGGTAACAAGGGCGGCAAGACTCCTTTCTCTGCTCTCTTCACTGGTGGAAAGACCCAGCACTTCCGACGTCTCATTCTCGGTGCCTCTTCTCAGATGATGCAGCAGCTCTCCGGTTGCAACGCTGTCATCTACTACTTCCCTATTCTCTTCCAGAAGTCCATCGGTGTCGACCACAACATGGCTCTCCTCCTCGGTGGTGTCAACATGATCATCTACTCCATCTTCGCCACTACCTCTTGGTTCGCCGTTGAGCGTGTCGGTCGCCGCAAGCTCTTCCTCATCGGTACCGTCGGTCAGTGTCTCTCCATGGTTTTGACCTTCGGCGCCCTGATCCCCGGTACTCCCGCTGCTGCCAAGGGTGCCGCTGTCGGTCTCTTCACCTACATCGCCTTCTTCGGTGCCACCTGGCTCCCTCTCCCCTGGTTGTACCCCGCCGAGATCAACCCCCTCAAGACCAGAGCGAAGGCCAACGCCACCTCCACCGTCTCCAACTGGCTCTGGAACTTCTTCATTGTCATGATCACACCCGTCATGATTCACGGAACCGGTACCTTCGGATGGGGTACCTACGCCTTCTTCGCTGGCATGAACGCCATCTTCTTCCCCATCATCTACTTCTTCTACCCTGAGACCTCTGGTCGCTCTCTCGAGGAGATTGACCTTATCTTCGCCAAGGGTTACACTGAGAAGATCAGCTATGTCACTGCCGCCAAGCAGCTTCCTCGCATGGCTGACCACGAGGTTGCTGACAAGGCCCGCGAGTATGGCTTTGATAGCAGTGACGAGAAGGCTGAGGCCTCTGAGCGCGAGAACGGTGTTGTTGTCTAAACAGGTCAAAACTGGATTTCGACCTTTCGCGCGTGTGTCCAGAATGATCTGGGCTTTTTGCATTACATACCATTATGATGTTATGGATCTTTAAACGCTACACATTAGAGTAGTAGCTATGACCTTTAGATACCACATGGCTCCAAGGAGTCTAGCTTGCAAATACACCTCTTTAGAATATCTGACATTATTTTTCAACATGAATGTGACTGACAGTGATTACATAATTGACTTGGCAATTAATACTCGATTCAAATTCCCTATCAACATACGGTTCAATATCGTCTTACTTGACGATGACTGAGTAGGCACTTCGGATTTAGAACACTCTAGTTGACATCTTAAGAGCTTGGTAACGCTTGGTAACGCTTTGCGGAATTGGAAGCCAAAGTCGCATAGGTGTGTGGTATAATGAGAGTCGATTCGCCATATAAACAAGTCTATCCTGATCTCTGAAACAACACACAAACAATACTTCCAAACTCCAACAACCTAACAAGACGAGCCAAAGTCAATCTATCCAAAGACCTCCAAGATCAAACGCTCCTTAGGTACATTCTTCCTCCAAACATCAACACCCTCAACACTCGTCATCCCCAACCGTCTCTCCTCACCGAAAAGAATAGGGCTCAAAACATCCATCACACCATCAGAGACCTTCTTACCACTACAAACCATCACAACAGCACCCTGACCCCACTGTCGAGCTAACATATCTCCATGCTTCTTCACTAAATCCTGCACGTACTTACACTCAGCATCTGCATCGCGACTGTATGCGCGATGGACTGAGACGACGCCTGCGTGGGAGTACTCGTCGAGTTGGGCGCGGCAGATATCATCCTTGTTTGCGCCGCGGCAGCCGAACAACAGAGTGCAAGGCGGGATGTTCGTCTGCTGGAGCTTATTGTCCAGGAAGCGCTTCTGCAGGTATCCAAGGAATGGAGCAAGACCAGCGCCCACCGCGATCATGATGATAGGAACCTTGGGTTCAGAAACCATCACCGTGCGAAGCTCAGGCCTACAAGCGCGCGGCTCAACCAGTAAGTGATCACCAGGACTCAGCTGAGTCATGTAGTTCGTCGCAAGGCCACCTGGCCGACCACCTTCTGCTTCGACAACTGAGAAGAGAAGCATACCGTGCCCAGCCTTCCATTCCGGTGCTGAAGCGAAGGAATACGTTCGAGGACGCATTTGAGGAAGCATGGATAGGAATGTGGATAGTGGGATGTTGATGGATGGGTACTTGAGAAGGACGTCGAGGATGGATAGGCGCTGGTCTTCGACTTGGCGGTAGTCATCACCAGCGAGAAGTTGGATGCAGGTCTTAGTCTCCTCATCGCTGGTCAAATCGGCTAGGCGTTTGAGAGTTGTGCGACTAACAGCCTGTGAAAGCTCGACTAGTGAACTGAACAGGTTCGAAACGAGGATAGGTCTATCAGTTGGCAGGAATGTTGGTCGTTGAGAAGAGATCGTCAGAGCAGTGTCACTGTCCACACCGAAATAGGACATGACTTGTTGAACCAACCGGGGTGGGTTCTTCGGCAGTATCAAGACATGATCACCAGGCGTGTAACTCATATCCTTCGGGAGTTTGACCAGAAGACTGTGCTTCCTTGGCACACCGGGGTTGGTGAGGAGTGTGTTCTCGACGACTTCAGCGCGCTTGAAATTGCAGCCTACATCAGTGCTCTGAGACTGAATGACGGTGACGTCGAGTCCAAGGTGGGAATCATCGACAGTCGCAACACCATGACGGTGGGCAAGTTCAGCGAAGAACTTCTGGTTCTCCCAATCATCAAAGTCAGAGTACAGCCGACCAGTGCTCGCATCCGTAAGACCAATCTCGACGAGACGCTCGGCACCTGCGTCCGCTAGACACTTATCCAGGACCTTGGGAACTCTAAAGAGTGTAGAGACCCAATCCTTATGACCTTTAAATCGTTAGTTAACTACCAGCAATACTGAAGCGAGAGACTTACCACATCCGAAAACCGCAAACTGAACACCCTCCAACTCGCCCTTCTTCAATCCCTCAGCCCACTTCACAAACTCCCCCGCATTATCAGAAGGCCGTCCATCATAACTCGCCGCAAGAATAACATTCGGACCATCCCTGGACAGGTTCCTAGTCGCCATATCAAGCGGCAGAGGCTTCGAAGGCATAAATCCAGCAGCGACGCAATCAGCAGAAAGTTTCTGCGCAAGAGCCTCACAAGTTCCCGTGTTCGAACCATAGAAGATAGAAATAGGCTTCAGGTCCTTTGCGTTGATGGGCGCAATGCTCTGTCGACTGGAGAGTGATGGTTGAGAGCTGCTGGTCTTGAAGAGGGAGGTTGGTTTGCGGTCGTTGCGGAGTTTGACATGCATGTTGAAGCCTTCGGGTTTGATGGTGAGGGATGTTTTGACCTTGAGTTTGTAATTCGGATCAGCCTTTCGAAGGTCGAAGTTCTGAAGGATCATGGCAATGACCTAGACATGCAAGTTAGTACTGCTCTCAAGAAATGTTCGAGGGGACTTACCAGTTTGGCTTCTTGCCATGCAAATTCCCTCCCGATACAACCTCGCATACCATTTCCAAAAGGCTTCCAAGCATTCTTGGGCAGCGCTTCAAAGAACTCATCTGCCATGCGTTCAGGTTTAAAGTCCTCGGCGTCAGGACCCCAAACCGCGGGATCGCGATGAATAAGATGCAAGAAGAGGAGCAGAGGCTCGCCGGCAGGAACAGCGTACTTTCCACCGATGATTTCGTCTTTTTCGGGTGTGACGTAGAAGCCTGGCGCTGTGGGCATGAGACGGAGGGTCTCGCGGAGGATCTGGTTGATGTATGGCATCTTGGCAAGATGATCAACTGTCAAGTTGCCGTCGCCGATGACATCGTCGACTTCTTGCCTTGCCTTGTCAAGAACTCTCTCGTTGTTGAGAAGGTAGTAAAAGACAAACGACAAAAGTCCCGAAGTCGTTTCATGTCCCGCGATCAAAAAGGTGATCAAGTTCCCAACGATCAACTCATCGCTCATACCCTCACCCGTCTTCGGATCCTTACCCTGCATCATCGCATTCAACAAATCCGCACCTTCAACAGGATGTCTGCGTCGTTCCTCGATGAGGTCCCTGCATGTAGTCTTCATCGACTCCGAGTGCTTGCGGAATGAGTTCAGGGCTTTTATTCTGAAAGCTCCGATAAAGTCAGGAAGCATGGATTGTTTCTCGGCATCGGTGAGGGCGGCGACCATGCTTTCCACGAAAGGATGCATCTTCTCATTGCTGTAGAAGCTGTTGAAGCGGTAGTTCATTGTGCAGAGGGCGATGGTGTCGAGGGTTAGGCGGGTGAAGTCGTTGGCTACGTCGATGGTGGCAGAAGATCCTAGCCGTGCCCTGAGAAGTTAGTCTTCATCCATAACATAGTTTAATATTCAGCTTACCATTTTAGACAGAGTTGTTCAGCAACATCTTGCATATCATCAAACATCTCCCTAATCTTTAACGGTCCAAAAAGCGGCATAAGAATCCGATGCGCAACACCCCAATCATGATTATTATGCTGCGCCGTAAAAAGACCGTCACCAGCCAACGGACGAAGTTTATCAACGCCGCCGGTGACGAGTTTGTGGAATCGTGTTTCGTCGCATAGTTCGTCGGCGAGATCACGGCTGCAAACCATGACCTCCCTTTGGCTGCCGACTGCGATAGCGAAGATGGGTGCTGCAAAGTTAGTGAGGGTTCGGTAGGTTGGGCGGGAATGAGTGACGAACTGTATTTCTGACCTATGGAGATTAATGATGTGAGAGAGTCGTTGATGTCGAGATCTAAGAGATTACCCAGTACGGGAAGGCCTGGATTGTTAGTGGTTTGATGTTTTGGTGGTGGTTGATGATCTACCTTTAGGGCCGGGGATTTGACCTCGTTTCTTTGTAGCTTCCTTAATCGCCATAGTATCTATTGTAGTGCAGATGATAATAGAGAATAAAAGAGTAGTAAATGCTGTCAAGTGCAAATAGAATGCCGCTGTTATGCTGATGATTGTTGTTGTGATGATGATATCGTCAATTGACCAAGAACTTGATCATATTATAAGTCTACAAACTCCCCCAGCTGAGAAATCCATCTCTGCAAAGCCACGCAGCCGATTACTACACCGGACTCACGGACAGTCCGTAAGTAACTCAATTCCTCCAAACTCCGCATGAATCTGCACTGGACATTCCTGAAGGTGAACGCCCGCGGGGTCCGTTAGAGGCGTCCTGTAGGAGCTAGGATCAGGCGCTAAGCATTGCGGTCCGCGGGGACCCATCGGCCACCCGCGGGCATCCGAGATCAGATCAATGCATGATATGACAAGTGTTTTATAATCCATTGGTGCGATTGCGATTGCGACGTAGGGATTCATGCTTGTCGTTGATCCTTTAGATTCTTGGCTGACGCTTGGCTTTGGGACTGACGTCGCGCTTGGGTCGCTCTCGGATTGAAGTCGTACGAGCTGAATCACAGATACCTCCGCATCAATATCGGGAGTCATTATCGGGAGTTACTGATGTTTCATTGATGGTTATTCGAATAATTTACACCAAATCGCATCAATGCCAAGAAACACTCATCTATCTACTCTCTAGACTCACAACCCTCAGCAAGCGAACTCATCTCCTGCTCCTCTCTCCTCCTTCTAAACCTAACCAACCTCCACATCCTATTTCCACCCACATTACTTCCAGGTCTAGCCCTCCTAACAAGAAACCACTGCGCCGTCATCAGCACCATAGCACTATTCCACACAAACGCCGCAATCATCCCCAAAGAAACAGCCCAAGCCGTAGAAATCTGTATATAGCACAGCCCCATCACTGAAAGATCATCAAACCCGTCTGTGAGTGCGAAGCCGGATAGCATGAGGATTACTTGGCAGACAAACATGTCGAAGTAGTGGATGTTTTGTAACCAGCGTGTGCCGGAGAGTGTGCGTTGGAGGGACCGTGTGGAGAAGAAGCTGAAGAAGTAGAGGATCGAGGCGAAGCCTGCGAAAACTACTGTGATGAGGCCTAGTATCTGTTACTGTTAGATGGACGTCTGTTTAGAGTGTGGGCTTGCTTACCCCATGTTCTGTTCTGAAATGGTCTGATGAACCCATGGCTATTATCCCCGCTACCAGTCCAGCGATGACGAGTGGCGTGAACACAGCGGCTCGTAAGGCTGATTCCCATTTTTGAACGGTATGCTTTGCTACAGGGCGATTGATAAGATCGCAAAGCACTGTCGTCGACTCCATGAGTAGGATGATAGGGTAGACCAAGAAGAATGCAATGATGAGGCTCAAAGCTACAATAATTAGTCAACCACAGCAAACCCGAAAAGGTGTCAACATACCATGAACATAAGATAATGTGATATAAGTATCTTGATCAACACCATTAACAACAAACTCTTTCGTAGCGAAGTCCACTGAGTATGAATTCCCAGTGCTATTGAAGGAGTATGGGCCTTGGTGAATAATACTGCTATCCCACGACTGTGTCTCTGACAAGTTTGCGCGAAGCAGCATAGAGAGACCAGAGACCCCCGATTGGGGCCAACATGTTTCTCTCGAGTGAAGTTTTGAGACTTCGTGTTTGAGAAAGTCGGCGATGTATTCTTCTCTGGAGACATTGGCTAGTATGTTGGCGATGTCTGTGAGTGTTGTGGCGCTCATGATGGCGGATATTGGACTCGGACTCGGTTAGACTGTCCGCAATGAAAATAAAGTCGTAAGATCAAAATCTACGTCTCGAGAAGAGAATGACGCGAATGATAAGACATGGAGAATCTCGGATCGCATGGAGAAGAATTACGCTCATCCGCCTTACCGACAGATCAAGCAATGCTAGCAAACTCTCTTTCCACAACACAGCCCAATCCAATCCTTACCGACGATTACAAGTTCCCAAGTCCAGGGTGTTAAGCTTCGTTAACCACGTTTCACCAAAATAGAAGCGGCACTTGGACCACACAAGACTACAGGCAAAAGAGGATATTGTATCCTCAACTGCCGAGCTAGGCCCACTTCGGCCGCGCAACTCATCATGCCGCGCATCCGAATCCAGGGACATGGGTAGGAAGTAGAGTGTTCGGGTGACCGAGCGATACCGAAGGCGTGGCCGCGGGTTAGACTCAATATGAAACAGGTCTATTTTCAAGATCGAGGCGTTGGGTGAGGAGGATATAATACTGAGTGTCCTTGGCGATGAGATGAATTGAGTTCACCCAACTACCGGAAATAACAATCATGTCGCCTAAGCCAAAGCCCTATCTCCGCCGTCTGGGATACATGTAAGTTCACAATATCCTGTGTTTATTGATAGCTGTTGACGTGGGTAGTGAGATGTACCAGTCTGGCATGCACAACCTCAACTACTACTGCAGCACCATAACTACATGTCGCTACACCATCCCGCAATCACTCAACCACAAGCAACTCGTCACAGCATTCGACGAAGCTGTAGCGCAAACAGTCGTTCAATTTCCTCTCCTTCAAGTCGGTCTTGTAAGCGAAGGTACAAAAAAGCCAGTCTGGGTCGCCCTCGATACAATTGACTTGGCAGACCACATCTTCTGGGATATCCGACCTGATTCAACGAATTACGATGAGGTGTTTGAAGCGAATCTGAAGTATCAGCTTGACACCAAATTCGAAAATCTCGAGACGAAACCAGGATGGAGATTACTTTTGATGCGCCCACTGACAAGCAACTTTGTGGATGTCATGTTTGTGTGGAATCATTCGAATATCGATGGCATGGGCTCAAAGATCTTTCACCGCACACTCCTCAGCAATCTTGCCCAACCATCAGCAACTTCACCCCTCATCCCAGGCTCGAGAATTATGAACACGGAGATTTCGAAGGAGACGTTTCCTCAGCCACAGGAGAAACTGGCCAAGCACAAGGTAACAATGGGTTTCGCCATGTCAGAAATCTGGCATAACTTCGGCCCCAAAGCTTTTTTGTCGTCGACTGCCAAGGCGAGATGGGCACCTATCTTGCCAACACCTTACATCACGCGCAACAAATGTATCGAAGTCGACAAACTTACACTGAAGAACCTTCTTGGTCTTTGTCGGCAGAACGATACGACGCTTACGGGACTTCTACACGGAATTGTCTTGGCTTGTCTATCAGTGCACCTCTCCGAAGGAAAAGCCAATGCTTTCAACGTCGCTACGTCGATGGATCAGCGGCGCTTCATGACGGAAGAAAACCGAAGGTCCAAGTTCGCGTCTTTGGATCCATCGACCAGCGTGCAGAACTGCGTGGCTTCTATATACCACACTTTCGGTCGCGACATCGTCAGCGATATTCGCGCCGAAGCACGCATCAACAACTGGCCTTCACAACCAATCCCCGGCCTCGAGCCCTACATCTGGCGCGCAGCACGAAGTATCCGCGATGACATCGAAGACCGCATCAGTCTCGGCCTAACAAACACTGTCGTTGGATTGATGAAGCTTGTTACAGATTGGCAGGAGTACCATAAGACTGCTATTAAAAAGCCAAGGGAGCTATCGTGGGATGTTACGAATCTAGGCGTGATTGATGGAGGCGAGAATGGCTGGGCGGTTGAGAAGGCGAGGTTTAGTGTTTGTGCTGATGTAGCTGGTCCTGCGATGATGATCAATGTTGTTTCGGTCAAGGGTGGTGGTTTGACGGTTGAGATTTCGTGGCAGGGTTTGGAGGAGTTGGATGATGTTGGGAGCAAGTTGGGGGAAGATGTGAAGGTTTGGCTGATGAGACTGGGTGCTTGATATGGAGTGTCCTTTTGAGATTGTTCGTTTTTCCTTTGCCTGATAGATAGATGAGATGTACACTTAGAGTTATAGACGATAGATTGAGAGAACGGTTGGTCATAAGGTGGTTCCATTTGTGCGATCTAGTGCGAGTTGAAGTAAGGAGATACGAGCATGAGAAGATGTAGGCAGAAGTCCGTGAGATAGTTTGAGTTGGCTAGTTACGATTTGTCCGTGATTCAGAACAAGATACATTTATGAATCACAGTAGACTTCCTTCCTTATCCTCTCTTTCTCTTTACCTACACATATCTTTCACTTATCCTTCTTCATTTCTCTTTTTCTCTCTTCTACATTTAATTTATCTTTCAGCATTCAAAGACTATCCCCTCGTCTGCATTCAAATACCTTTCAGCATTAAGAGAGTTGTCATCTAAGGCTTAGGCTAGTAAAATAAGGTAGCCTAAGCGCTCGTCTAAACTAGCATAATAGAACTAAAAAATTTCGTCTCTTATGTTTATGATGATAGATTTGTCTTGCATCTTGTGGTGCGTTTAGTAGCAGGATGGTTGTGGAAGCTTTATTGATTGCATTTTGTTTTTAGAGTAGATAGGCTAGATATACACTTAAATTTGTACACTATAGATCGAGAAGAATAATCTGTCTTAAAATGGATTTGCTTAGACGATTAGATCGCCGATAGTAATTCTTATATTGATGTTGAGATGTGTTCGAAATGTTGGAGACAGGATGTGCGAAGAGATAGCATTTCGATATTGCCGACTCTAAGTAACAATAAACAAGAAACTTCGTTATCACAATAAATAACTAAAGTCTAACTCTCTCATATTCAGCGAGAAAACAACCAACTGAACTCCCAGTGAGATGTCGCTATTGTATTTCCATCCAGTCGGCTCAACAACCGGGTAGGTAATAGACATCGGCATCGCTTCCGATCAAGTGACACATGCTTATCTTATCACTCTTATCAGCTAATCGAACGAATCACACCTCTTCGCACCGCGACGAAGTGGATACACCCATCTTCAGTCTAACCTCATTTCAATGTACAAGTCCGAGCTCGCGGCACTTATCAGTCTTAGCTCTCGCCCGGAATTTATCATCTTTACGGAATTCCGAACCCTTACCTTTACTCGCTTCCATGCCACGAACAGGGACGCGTGAGCCACGTGTAAGACGCTCCTGTGAGCGCTGTCGGTGAGTTCCCCAGCAATGACACTGAATAAATGACACTAATAGTCTGGTAGTCAAAAGAAGATCAAATGTCCAGCTGAAAAACCTGGTTGTTCACATTGTCGACTCGCGAATGAGATATGCACTTATCTTCCGAGGAATCATGTTAATAACGCCAACAGAAGAGCTTTTGTGAGGAACTTGTAAGTTTTATAAGTGAGCAAGGGAAATGGTAGGGATTGACTTGGGGTAGCAGACCTCTCAAGGCGCAGCACAATGATATATCGCCGAGTACTTCGACAGAGCATGAACCTGAGTAAGTCGCACAGCCGTTGAGAAATGGCAGGATACTAACGTTTTGGTAGAAGTTTGGCGAGTATAGGTGACAGTCAGGATGTAACCAGCTGGCATAGCCAAGCTGTCTCATCACATGGCATTCATCAGCAACTTCCTCCCATAACAGCCATGCTCTCAGAGTCAACATCATGGTAAACCCCCAAATGCCACCCTTCCTTTATCCCATTAACCTTCTGCTTAGGTCACCAGCAAACCCAGAACCCCCAGCAGATCTCCTAAGCGACTTCGTACTAGCCTACCGCGAAAAGCTCTATTTCCAACCCCTCCCACTCTTCGACCCGCGCCGTCTCCAATTAAAGATTGGCACACTACCGCATTATCTCCGCTGGAGTTTTCTCGCTCTGACGCTGCATTTTACAAGTCATAACTTCTACTATGGACTGGAAGCGAAAGCTATTGAGTATTATACTACATCTGCGAGGAGTATATTCGTTGATATGGCGGCTGAGGGTCTTGCGCAGTTGGAGGTTATGCAGGCTCTGTGTCTCCTTGCCCTTTGCGATCACATAGGTAAGTCTTCTTTGGATGGTATTAGGGTGCCAGAAAAACTCGCCGTCGAGAGCCTAAGGGACGAAACATTTTGGTCTCCTTATGCTGGCTTAGGCTAGCATTTAGGCAAGACTTTGAAGACCTAGAAGACAGTTCTTCTGACACCCCACCTGGAAGGTTGTTGATGCAAAGCTGATTGACGATAGCTGGAAAACCCTCGCGAGCATGGATGATGGTCGGTATGGCTGCAAAACTCGAAGCTCTACGTCTCTCTGATTCTAAAGCGGACTTGAACTCTCGACATTCCGATGATGCTATCTCACGGTGTCACTGGAGCATTGCTATCTTGGAGAGCACGTTTATACCAAACTGCAACACTCTAACCGAAATATCCGGCGCCCCAGCTTATCCGAAAAGCGTATCGCGACCAACACCACTGCACTCTTCACACGGGATGAAAAGCTACTGCGCCGATCTAACAGACGCATACGAAGGAAACGTCCAAGATGTAGGTATTATAGCAACATGTCTGGGATACATCTCCGTCTGGGGAAGTATAATCTCTTATCTAAGAGATATCCGTAACGGAGCAAACGAATATCCATGGCTCGCTACATCTCGCCACAGCCAACTCACCGTCAAACTCTACGAACTCGAAAACATCACATCACACAGACATCTAATCCGCAACGCCCCCTTCCCAGACCAACCAACCGAAGACCTCTCCGAACACCGCGAATACTGGGCCCCATGGGTATCATTCCAGATAATGATGCACGCCACCCAAGCAGTTCTCAACAACCCCTTCGTCCAACTTGTCGCACTCCGAAGAGCAGGCCGAAACTTCCAGCCGAGGTCGTTTTTGCAGAATACAGTTGATCAAGCGCTTTTTCATGCGGAGTGGGTTTCGAGATTGGTGCAGATGTGCGCGGATAGGCAGTTTGAAGTTAATGATCCTTTGATTGGACAGGCTGTTGCTGGGTGTGTCTCGATATTGTGGATTTTCCAATTTGCGAGGGACAGGAAAGTTTCTGAGAAGGCGAAAGAGAATCTGATTACTTGCGAGACCTTCCTGGGGCATTTGGCGCGTAAATGGCCTCACATTGCAGAAAAGGTACGCTCTCCTCACGTTTGTTGGTCTTAACATACTGACATCTCAGCTCGAAATCCTCCGCACGCTCAACGTCAAAGTCGCAAAGCAACAAGCCACACCACAAGAAGACGAATCAACAAGCGCGACCATTAAGTTCGAACCAGATATGATGTGGGAACTTCTCGATCCCGCAATGTCAGGTGTCGACTGGGCTAGTCTGTGCAGTTCAGCAAAGAGCAAAAGTTCGCACGCAGCTACGATACGTGTCGCAACGAAATTCGTTCATCCAATTAATAATGAGGCGGAGAGTGCGCCGGTGCAGGATCCTGTGCATAATTTGTTTGATCTGGAGGATGTTTATGGGGAGCCCTTTTTGGATCAGTTCTTTTCGGATAGTTTGTTGGTTAATATTTCGTAGATACCCAGACTATATCGGAACAGCCATATTAGCTATTGAGGGAAATAGAATGACGCAAAGTGCATGCTTTGGCGGTGTACTGGCATTGTTGTACATGTGAAACATGGAAGATACCGAGCCGGCAGCTGAAGCCATCACGTTCACGATTCGTCAAAATGGACTTCAGCTTAACCGTGGCGCCGCATTAGCGCTGACACGAGTCTCTATAAAGATCGCTCATCCTCCCTGAACCCGAAAACTAATTTCGCATTTATAATCATGCGTGCTGAACAAACTTTCCTCGCTTTCAACTCGCTCTTCGGAGCAGCCACACAGCCCTTTGGATGTGGTGAAGTCAACGTCTTCTACACGTTAGTTGAAGTGGCTTTTGTGCGATTGCGAGACTGATCGTGATTAGTGGATTGCCTGGAAGACATCAGTATGTCACGCAGCAGGGTTATGATGCGAAACTTGTTGAGGAACAGATTTTTAATCACACGAGGGAGCTACGTGAGGCTGGGTATAACGTTCGAGGTACTGACAGAGGAAAGTGATTGGTATCGGGGTGCTGACTGCTGTTTAGCTGTCTGGCGAGGTCCAGAAATGCCGCCCAACGAATTCGTCGACCAAATGAAGGGCACTCATTGGCATGCTGCTGGTATTGGCTTTGGCGTGAGAGGATCCCAGATACATGATGTTATCGAACTATTCGAAGGTAAGTTCGTCTCATCTCTGCACTGTGAATGGGGTACTGACACACGACAGAGACTCTCGATATCTTCCGCCAAGAAGCGCCTGATGCGAAATACGTCTTTAACTACAATCCTTTGACATTTCTTTGGTCTGTCAAGCGGTACTTCCCGCTGTCGAGTGATTGTAAAGACCAGCCTGGAAAGGATTTGGTAAGTTCTATCCTCCTTAGAGATATATCTGAGGCTGATTGTGGGAATCAAGGGCTACATCACGCTGTGCGAGGATGCATGTAAATGAGTGGACTAATAAATATCGAGAACTTATAATCAATTTCTGTAACCACTTGATCTACTTTCACGCCTCAAAAAGAGATATAGAGCAGTCAGGCTGTGTTAACATGAACACTCGCCATTTTTGTCTGAGTGATAGATATACAATTACAAAGGCAATAGCCTAGCTGAATGAATAATTTCAGTAAACGGTGTAAAACTATTTGGGAGGGGCAAAGACTAAATCGTAAAAAATAAATCTTTATTCGAGTTATTGTTTACACCTCTTAGATTAATGTCTAGCAATTGTGTCGTGAAGTTTTGGCGCGACTTGTCGCGTTTAGGTATTCCTTGAGTTCCGTTTGTACTATATTATAGTTGTATAATTGAAATAAATCGCGTTTCTTTGTCGTTTTCAAACTATGTGTTGGTGTTGGTGTGCACGAAGTGTGGATGGATGCCATCAATTGACCAGTCGCCGCAACCTTTCAGTCGCATTAGCCTTCCTAACTTTGAGGAGATGAGATGCCTGATTGGTGATTTACTTATCGAAATAAATCAATAGTCGTGGTCGAGAAACTCGACGAAAATGATGATGGTGAGTAATGTGTTGTGCCAGCAACTCGCGCGGATGTTCGTGGTAACCACCATCCAATACCAATCTTTAGAGCATATTACCCACTAAAGATGTCATGAGATCGACAGAAGATCAGTAATCATGAAACATCTGTCAATCAGCCCTATCGAATGGGGAAATATGCCAGAGTCTTCGAGAAGCACAACCTTTCCGACATCCTACACCAACATCGCATATTCTGTACAACAAGAGGTGCACACAGTGTCGAAACATCTGCAATACAGGCATAAACTCGCATGCCACAGAAAACATTGCATGTCGTGGAAATAAGCAAGTAACACGCCTCACCACGTGTCACAGGCCTCCCGTCCCTCCCTCTCTTACCGCGCTAGGGACTGCCCGTACGGCAGTCCCTAGCGTGCCAGATTGTCATTTTCAGGGGACACATGCAACCGGGTACATGGGAATGTGTCAAGAAGGGAGAGGGTGTACTGCACGGGGTGCAGGTGACAAGTGATAGATTACCCCTGGGTTAGCATGAGATCTGGGGGAAAACGGTGAGGGGGGCAAGAGACACATGACATGGATTGGGGAGGCTGCAGAGCATTCGACGTTTTGGGACAACAGCCTAAATCTGGGGGCGCGCGGCGGAAAGCGGTGGTCTGTGTGAGAAATCTCACGATAGGGATACCACTCTGGCGTGTATATACACCGGTTGGGCTTATCAGATATGGTGGGGTGGGATATCCCTGCTGCGAGTTTGGGGAAGTACCAACGAGTGTACAACGAGGAGAAAAAGGATCAATTGGATTGATATACGAGTTATTCGAACAATATTCTGGTTTTGTTAGGGGTGTTGTTGTGAATAGTGTCGTTGTTTATGGTTTGGAGTTCTTATGTGGTGACGTACGGCATCACGGGTGGTTTAAGAAATGATCGACATGAGACATTCACCTTGGAGAAATTATGTTGGCCTAATGGTATCTTTTTCAGAAACTGATTACTAAATAACTATCCCTTGAACGCCTTTCCGGTACTGACATTAACCTTTGTCCAGACTGATCCAGTAGACATGTACCAAGCAAACTGTACAGGCCAATAGACATGCATCATCCATAACCAAGGCATCGGGTCCCAAGCCTCAAACGTTCCGTCCTTCCAATAGATCAAATGTTGCGCAAAAGCATGAATAGACTTGGACACTTGGGAGAATCCCATGGTACCCTTGAAGAGGGTGAGGTAGAAAGGATACAACACAAGCTCGACGAGATCTTGACTGACCCAGTAGTAATTCTGCGGATCGTTAGGATACAGAGGAGGTTTAGTCAAAGGTCTTGGCTCAGAAGACGGTGAAAGGATGGAAAGATACTCGTCGACAATCTCGGGGGTATTGTTGAACAAGACCGTCGCGGTGTGGACTCGGGGATTACACTCAATAGGATATATCGTGACATCCTTCTCAGCACCAGACTTTGCAGCATCTTCATCCTCCTTGTTAATCAAGAAGTCAAAGCTCATATGTCCAGTAAAATTGTCGCCACCCTCCTTCGCCTGCTTTAGCGTAAAGTCAAGCATCGCTTTGCTAAGCGGCGAATCAGCAGGAAGAGCGGAGTAGTGCATCAAAACATCTGCTGAACGACATGCGACAAACGCGCACACGCGACCGCGAATGACGAGTGCGTGTGTGCAGAATTCTGGACCGGTGATGTATTCTTGGACGATGAAGGAGCATTTGGCTGCCTTGAAGGGGATTGTGTCGATGCGCGCGAGTGTAGCGTCTTCGGAGTTGAGAGGGAGTAATGGCATAGTGAAGCGAGCGACGTCGTCTACACCAACAGGTTTGACAAGGTATTGTCTCGCACCAGGCTTCAACTCCAAGCCGCCATTGCGACAGAGGAAGTTAATAACATCTTCCCTGTCCTCAACAGCCTCGGTGAGAGGAACAGTCAGACCCAGCGACTTTGTATGCTCGATGAACGCATCCTTTTCATGCAGGCGTCTAATATCCTCAACACCAAATTGTATAGCCTTTGCATTCGTGCGCGCCTCAATGATTTCTCGCACAGCAGCGTCTTCAATCGCGGCATTGACGTCCGAAACCGAGACCCAAAGATCAACGTCCTCGTGGTGAATGATCTCTGTAATTCGGTTGAGGTAAGGATCATTCATGCTTGTCTTTGAAGGGTCTGACGGAGTAGGCAGTTGGTAGTAGGCGTCGATTGCACGGGATACGCGACCGGGAGAAAGAGCGTAGCAGTCAGCGCCTATGACGCGATGGCCGCGACGGTGGAACATGCGTGCGAGGGAGAGGCCCTTTGCCATGTTGACGCCCGTGACGAGAATGGTCGTCTTGTCAAGATTATCCTGATCATTTTGGCTTGCATTCGACGGTGTAGACTTGGACGTGAAGCGATCCCAGAGAAAGAACACCAGTGCAAAGAGTGCGTTTGTCGGGAGAAAGACGAAGCTGAGGATGAAGAGCGACAAATTCTTGGCGAATTGCATCACCCGGGACGTCTCCGGATTCGCCATTCTTGGTGGTTAAAACTCTAGAGATGGAAAGGTAAATGGTATATAGACGATCAATTGAAGCTTCATTCAACAAAGTATTCAGAATAGCTGAGCTGTCTGAAGCTCCAAGCTCTGCTGTTGCTTAGCTATGGAGGGGGGAATGGAAGACGTCATGACTCTGCGGGTTCACGTTTCACAAGACGCCGACTTTCTCGGCGGAGCAGTGGAGTCTTTCACGGAGCAACGCACTCCGGAGCCTCTCCGGTACTGTACTCTCATTCACTGTCTCACTTTCGGGGCTTTCAATACCAATTGTAGTTAAGGATCTTTTTTAGCTTCATCTCGTCAGGAATATAAGCTCCGCGCTCTGATCCAAAAGCGGACAATTGAGAACTTGCGAGTATTATTTTACAATCGCTATTCTCTTTCCCATGACTTGTGCATGCGAGTCCACACCGGTAAAGCCCATCGAGCTTCTCTTTTCAATCAATTCTGCATTCAAGGCGTATTTAAGCCAATTGAGTGCCTACATGATTCTCTTGGGTGTGGTTGCACATGTTATTCCTGTATCGCCACCATGTGTGTGCCTCCTCTCTGCTGTACTGTGTGCACCTACTGTAGGATACCGACTGAATGGGTCAAGTCGAGGCCATTTGCATTTCTAGGGTAACTAGCCATCAGACCATAATTAAAAGAGAAAAGAAGGACCCCTCCTCTGTTTGTTTATTTGCATTTTCACCGGTTGACGAGGTTCGTCCTCCTTCATGTCGTGCTTACTTCTATGACGTATTGATAGCGCGGGGGATTCATAAGTGGATGTATACTTGAGACGCATGAGACCGAAAAGAAGAATAAATGAGAGAATAAAAGACATAAATTGAGGGTGTTTGTTTACCAGTCTTGTTGTGTTGGTTGTACAAGGTCCCTTGATCCTCTGATAAGATAGACAACATCGGAGATCAGTGTAACATTCCCATTCCCATTTCCGTTCCCCTCTTTCCCTACAATTTGCCGATCTTACTTCAGGGTCTAGAATATGGTCTTTTTTAATTCCTGCCCTTGTTTAGTTCTCACGTTGTCTCCTCTCCCATCTCCTCTAGTTCAAGACAACGTGGGGTTAGTGGAACGATGAATGACGCGCACATGCGAGATGCTAGTGTCTAAGTGTAATCGAAGCTCCTTGACCCGTCTTTACGAGAATACAGTACAAGGGATACTCCGCTTCTCACTATGGGAAAAATAGATCCAGGCACAATCGCCCCACGCTCGGGATCTTCCCCCTCCCGGGCTAAAAAAGATACTTCAAGCTAAGATCTTATGAGATTTCGATACCCGAACCACTACCCACGCCCCCTCCCTCCCACACGCTTAAGCCTCTTTAGGGATCAACGTGTTGGTCTCAACGACTTTTTTCACGTAACGCGGTACTTACCCTCCGCGTAATACGTCCCCTCTATTCTTCAGTATATGACACCTCGAGACGAGACATTTGAGCGAATCAGGCTAGGATATGGCAAGCCGTGCTCTCACTCCTCCCCAAAGGGTCCAGCCACTACCTCTTTCCAGCCACTCATTCTCTCCGGAACAGTTCTCCAATGGTATTCCACTAGACGACTTCAGCCCCATCATAGCAACACCATCATGACACCAACATTTTGTTCTTGCATTTCTGCTGTATTACCCTTGTTCACTCAGTGTTTTGTGCATGGTATTTTGTCAGACTGGGCGTGTAAAGAGAAAGAAACGCACTGCATCTTGCAACCCCCATTTCTTAGTACTCGCTACCTAGTCCATCACCTCATTCTGGCCTCAAAAAGGATCCTGCGATATTATCCATGACCAATGAGACTCTCGTCATGTCTCTGTACATCCACTCCAACCCATTCCTCCCTCCGAGACCAGGTAACTCGACTTGATCTGGTAGAGATCCTGGCTTGACGCTTCTTTCCGCTGTCGGCAGTTGGATATTCACGCTCTGCAAGACAAACCCCTCGTCCGGACCCTCTTCGAGTGAGGGGTTATGTCGAGATACCATAAAAAGCTGCTTATCCCGAGCCTTTCACAGTTCATCTCTACAGTTCAACCTGCACAACAACTCTACACCCAACCACCTTTCTACCCTTTTCCCTCACCTTGTGTTACCATTCCCTTCGCCCACCATGTCTGATATGACCGCTACCGTCGAGCCCACCTCCAAGGGTTTCGCTGTTTGTGGTTATGAGAAGATCGAGTATGACTTCGAGTTTCTCGATGGCGTCTTCAACCCCGCCAACCCCCAGCTGTACCAGCTCTACTCCCCCTGGGGACGATGCTTGGCTGTCATGGACCTCAACATCTTCAACCTCTACGGTGATCAGATGCAGAAGTACTTTGACCACTATGGCATCCCTCTTACCATCCACAAGACCATGATTGGTGAAAAGGCCAAGTCCATGGACACTCTTCTTTCCATTGTCGACTCCATGACCGACTTTGGTATCTACCGCAAGGAGCCTGTCCTTGTTGTCGGTGGTGGTCTCGTCACTGACGTTGCTGGCTTTGCTTGTGCTGCTTACCGCCGTAACACCAACTACATCCGAATTCCTACCACAGTTATTGGTCTCATTGACGCTTCCGTCTCGATCAAGGTCGCCGTCAACTACGGCCGCTACAAGAACCGTCTCGGAGCCTACCACGCTCCCTCTCACACCTTCCTTGACTTCACATTCCTCCGCAGTCTTCCCGTTGCTCAGATCCGAAATGGATTCGCTGAGTTGATCAAGATCTCCACTTGTGCCCACAAGGACACTTATGATCTCCTCGAGAAGTACTGCGAGCAGCTCATCAACACTGGCTTCGGTCGATCTGATGATGCTTCTCCTGAGATTAAGGAGGTTGCTGACAAGATTTGCCGTGCTGGTATTCACGAGATGCTTAAGCTTGAGACACCCAACCTTCACGAGATCATGCTCGACCGTGTTATTGCCTACGGTCACACCTGGTCTCCTCTTCACGAGCTTGTTCCCGAGACTCCCCTCCGTCACGGCCATGCCATCTCCATCGACATGGCCTACTCTGCCACTCTCGCCCACATCCGCGGTCTTCTTTCCGCCGAGGAGCACAAGCGTCTCCTAAACCTCTTCTCTCGCGCTGGTCTCTCCATGGACCACCCTGACTTCGATGGTCCTCTCCTCGAGAAGGCCACCGCCGCTATCCTCAAGACCCGTGATGGTAAGCTCCGCGCTGCCGTCCCCGTCAACCCCATGGGTGACTGTGTCTTCCTCAACGACGTCAGCCACGACGAGATGGTCGCTGCTCTCGAGGAGCACAAGAAGATCATGAAGTCCTACCCCCGCGAGGGTGCTGGTCTTGAGGCTTTCGTCGACTCCAGCGACACTGGCTACACCGTCAACGGCGCCCCCGTTGAGAACGGCAAGGCCAACGCCGACCAGATCCCCATGAACGGCGTCGAGAACGCCAAGCTCCACGCTTCTGGTCCCGAGGGCGTTGACGGTCTTCAGCAAGACTCGAGCAGCGACGATGACTACGTCCTGGGTAACTCCAAGACCAACGGTCAGCAGGACAAGGGCATCCTGTCCGACCTCAAGGAGAAGGCCAACGGAATCACCAACCAGATCTCCAAGGCTGTCACTGTCGAGAGCACATAAGTGCATGAACATATGGAGGGTTCTTTATGAGTATACGAATATTTGGGCATACTTAACCACAAATTATTTGGGCAAACATGTTGAGATCAGGGTTCTTTAACATCCTGGCCTCTTTTTAGCAAAATGATACCGGGTCTGAGAACGAGATGATAAATCACTCAGCATCCACGGTTTTACTTTCGATTCAATATACAATCAAGGATTATTATCCATCTTGTGTTCCTTTTGCATTGTGACTGTTACCTATCTGTAATTTGATATGACTCTGCTCTCACTACGTAAACAATAAGCGCTGGACAGATTATCGTAATAAATAAATTCGTCTATTTTTGCAACTAAGTCTGCGTTGTTTCTGAAGAAAAGTAACCTACTAGTCGTTCGACAACAACTGAGAATGGCTCGTAGTGGCGTTGAGGGTCGAAACCCGAATACCAAGAGGACCAGGACGCAGGATTGTTTTGGTCTGATGATTACTTGTGGGTGACCAAATTTCCTGATTAAATCCCCATTCATTTCAAACCGGACTTCTGTAATGCATCGTATTTTATTCCGTAGGGAAAATATTCTACCGACTTAGTCCGTATTGCATAATATCGCTTATAATCTATTATTAAATTAAGCTATTTCCCTCGTATCCAGCTGACTGCACAAAATGTCTCCTGCAGTCTAACAATAATACCTATCTGTTAGTATCCAGTATTCACAATCAACGGTCTTTCTTTTTTTTTTCTTGCCCTGTTCTTTACTAACCATTTTCCTGTCAAAGAACTGCATGGTCAAGGTTCAAGATCTCCTACATGGATAGTCTCATCAGTGGATCCCTCCCGCTAAGGGGTCCATGGCTTGGACCAACATTAGATCCAAACCATAAACAATTACATGCATATAAAACACAATTACATCGTATTTCGTTTCATAAATTGCCAATATTCTGTTCGGTTCACCTGCGCTAGACACCACATCCCTGTTCGCAGGATCTCGTCTATGCTCGCTAAATGAGTCAGCAAATCCATACAAACAAGCGGTAAGGCCTCCAACCATTCTTGTCTCTGCAAAATTCATCCAACCCCTTTGCGTTTCTTGTCTCAGAGATCTCTATCCGCAACCATGACTGACTCCCCATCTTATGATGTATGTAATTCTCCCAAAACTGCAGTGATGATGCTAATAGACCTCGTGACAGTATCGTTGGAAAGGTTAATTCTCTTCTTCCGAATGTGTTTTCTTGTGCTAAATGTCATGCAGTTGTCCTTCTGGGCGACACAGAAGTAGGCAAAACCAATATGGTTAGCCAATTCACACAAGGCCTATTCGATGAAAACGTCAAACGGACTCTGGGCGTAAAGCCTACTCTTAAAATGACCCAAGTGGGCTCAAGCACCGTCAAGGTAGCTGTCTGGGACACCGCAGGTCAAGAACGTTACCGTGCACCCGTAAACTACTACTACGATGCCGTCGCTGTGGTGGTAGTTTATGATATTACTAGCCGCAAGAGCTTTGAGGATGCGTCCAAGTGGCTCGAAGAGGCCCGCGGTAATGCGGACCCTGGTGTGGTTATTATGCTGGTGGGCAATAAGAGCGACTTGGGCAATTTGAGAGTGGTTGAGACTAAGAGGGCTGTGAGGACTGAGGAGGGTGCTTTATTTGCTCGTAAGTTAGCATTTGTGCTTGATCTGATTGGTGAAGCTTATTCGGTGCAGGGAAAGAAAAGATTCTTTTCGCTGAGATATCGGCCAAGTATACGAGCCAAGTTGAGGGCGCATTCCAAACTCTACTGAACAGTACGTCTCGCATTCCCTTTCTTTCGACATGAATGACTCACGAATTGGCTTTCTAGGTCTCCACAAGAAGTATGCCGGGGCCGCGTCTTAATGGCTCCAAGATTCTAGAGTTCGGTCGCAGGACACAGTTTCATGTTGTATTTATTTTCGGGTGGCTTGGAGGTATGGCCACGGAGGAACGCGTCTTTTTGCCTGTTATTTGCCTGTTTTAATACATTCCATTTGTTTTAACTCTGTCAGCCGTTGATCGGAATTGTCTTTGCCGACGGAGTCTGACTTCGGCGACTTTTCTCATTCGTTAGCGCTCATACTGATAACCAAGCGCGCGGATAGGGCCAATGTTGCGCCGAGTTGTACCATTTGAACGTATTCCAATTAACGTCAAGTCCGATACTACAAGTATAAAAACGAGGTCGCCCTTCTTGTACCTACTGTTATCAGTCTTCCGCATTCTCAAAATCTTGCAATCATTCATCAAATCACCATGTCAGATCTTCACTACACCCCAATCATCCTCAAAGCCGCCTCAGCCTTCTTGATCTACGCCGGCGCCGAACATGTAGTCCGCGGTATAAACAAGTACCTCACCATCGAAGAACAAGAGAAACTTCCCTTGCAAACCGTCGCATTCATGGATTCACAATATCGCTTCCTCGGTGGAATATTCATAGGCTTTGGCATAGCGGTAGCTTGGACGGTATCTAATATTCCTGCCTACTGGATACCGCTCAAGATCCTTCTGGGTGCTATGATGCTGGGTGGTGTTGGGCGAGCTGTGTCTGCTGCGGTGTATGGATGGAAGCCCACGTGGACGAGGCAGGCAACCATTAATGAGCTTATTATTCCGCCTGCACTTTATTGGTTTGGGATTCGACAGTACATCTGATTTATTTTCGGGAAGGGCTAGGTTGGATAAACTTATACTTTTGATTGTACAGGTTGAAACATTGTGTGAGGTGCAGGGATTTATACTTCCATTGAATCGATTTCATACTTCAGATTTCGCTATTAAGCTTCATAGGATGCAAATATCTCAATCTATTTAAACACCCATGCCTCAAGCATCTGCAAAGATTCTTCTGCATTATTGTTCCATTCTAACATCTTTATCACCGACTCCAACCGCAATACCGCAACAATCATGAGTCAAGACGAAGTTGTCATCACCGCGTTACATCGCGATCTCAGACACAAATATGAGAAACATTTCCAAACAATCGAAAAGGTCTGGCTACTCGCCAACCAAGCCAAGCGGCAACAGCTCTTCCAAGGGTGCACCCATCCCCTCTATGAACCAGAACAAGATTGGAACGTCGCCGATATTACAGAGGATAAGGATCTCTTTCTCCGCATGCTAACATGGCGGGCCACAGCAACACTGGAAAACCAGTTCCACTGGGGTTTGGATTGGGCACGAGGCGGTGACATAAATGTCGCCGACAGGTACCAGTTGGAGCAGTGGACTAGGTACCCAAACTATCATGAGGGAACTTATATTTACATACAGGAAGATCTCTACGGAGAGACGTTTGATGTCAAACCCACGCTTATGGACGACCGTACTGGGAGGGGCTACAGCCCCAAGCTGACTGGGCTGGTGAGACGATGGAACCTCATGCCGTATCGCCTTGTGAGTGTTGTGCTTCGGAGACAAGTCAACATTATTTACTGTCTGAACGCTCTGGTCGATAAGGTCCTCGATACTGAGAAAGCTCAATGTCTGGAGAAGAGTGCCCGGTATGCCGAGGAGGACCGAACCCCTACATTGGACGGTCTGATCGCCTCTGCTGGAGGGTACAAAACACATTATCAGACATGCTTGTACCGTTTTCACAACGACACCAGGTTCCTCTCCAAGTGCGTCCGTGATCAACTCGATAGTCGACCCGAACGCACCTGCCACCTCGAAGGGCTGGATCAGGAACATCTCGCTGGCTCCATCGGACGCGATATCTTCGACGCCACCTACACCAAAGTTCGAAGCCTCGCCTTCTGGCGATCAGTACATGAACTCCTCGTTCTTGCCTACTCTACCGGCGACAACCGAAGGTTTCTACAAGAGATTTTCCAATTGTGCGAACAGCAATGCGAAATCGTGAAGCAGAACGTCAAGCGACATATCGCTATGGGCATTGCGAAAGGACGCTGCTACTATAGTGCCATCCATGGGCGCTTTTTTGACACCTACAGAGGAGAGTGGATATTGAAGGATATTCACATCCATTATCTTATGGACCTTGTCACTCGTGTGTGGGGTCCGGATATGACGATTTGCCAACTGAGGAAGTTGGATGAGTTCTACAAAGAGAAGCCTGACGAACACTCAAGGCTTTCAGAAAGGGAATCTGAAGCTCTGTATGAACTGTGCACCATCCTTGCATTCTTCCAAGACTTCAAGAAAATCTTTCCTCGGGCGGAAGACTTTAGCGACTTCAAGATGACGGACAACCTTCTCTTCGAACGAGGTCTGAGATTGCTCGATCGCGACATCGAACGACTTCGACGAAACCGTTTCCCACACATTTGCGACATCAACATCACCGATCTCGAAGATCCATTTACAGCGAAACATGCGCTCGATGAACTAAGAGTCTACGTCAAACGACACCTTGGCACGGGCCTTGGTAATCTTTATAGGGACCAAGTGTTTGACATGCTCGATGCTGTGCAAACTCCTGAACTGATACGCATTCCTGATCTCCTGGAACCGGATTTTGGGAAGAGATTGAGGAGTAGGCAGGTGAGGGAGGCGAGACGTTTGCTTTTGCCTTGTAATGAGATTGTCGCTGAGCCATCTACCGATTTGGGCAGAATGATTACGGGCGGTAGGACGAGGATTGTACGCTCGGAGATTGCTGCAACTCTTCTAGAATTGTTTGATAAGGACTCGACCAATGTCAGCAAAGACATGGATCAGGTGTATTTCTAGAACCTGACAGGACTTGATGATAGAATTGGTATGTATCAGGATGTGTTTTCGGGTTATGAAGTTTGGTATTCTTATTAGATATTGTGTCAGTTTTGAGATAGTCTTGTACCTTGTTCTTAAGATTGACCACACCGAGAATACCGAATCCGCGAAGGTCAACTGTACTAAACGAATATTTCCTGTTCCTCTCGAGAATGTCTTCCCTATCGTTAGTTTTCCAGTGATCAGCGCCTTGCATATGCTAAATTCTGGCACATCAAGCAAGCTAAATTTTAACCTCCGGGATCTTGGACCCGGCAGTTTTGCAACCCCATTTAAAAGAATCCTTCATCAATAAAGGTTGTAACCGATTGCTTCTCCATAGTCGATTTCGAACCCTTCGCTTATGAGGTCATGGTTACGATGATCCTGGCATATGTTGTGGTCTTTTATGGAGCTCTGACGATGCCATGCTATGATATCATAAGCAATTCCACAACAATAAAACGACGACAAACCTCACTCAGTTTTGTCTTCAATATCTTCAACAAATCTTCTAAGTCTGACTCAAATCCCGAATACCTACCAAATACCACATACAAAATGTCCAACCTCCCCACCAAAGACGATATCAAGGCCCAAGCCGTCGACGGCCGCCCAATCACCCAAACCGAAGCCGCAGCTCTCGCCTCCGAAGAGTCTGGCCTAACGGGCGGTGGTCCCATCAAGGGTGGTGCCGCTGCTACTGCGCAGAGCTTGCATGATAAGCAAATGAACTTTTTGGAAAAGGCTGGTGATGTTGTGAGGAAGGCGCCTACTGAGGTTACCAAGGAGGATGCTGCCGAGGTGCAAAAGGCTGAGGTAAGTTGTCGTTAGTGGTTTGGGATATTAGGATTTGTTACTGACTGTTTGATAGGCTCGCGCAAAGGGTGGTCCTCCAGGAAAGGGCTCTACTGCTGCTGATGTGCAGTCTGTTGCGGATCAAAACGCCCAGGCTTAAATAATGAATCATGACTTAATAATAATTGACTACCTTCAAGAATATGCAGAGTATTGTACCTTTGTGATACCATGACTTGGTGAATAGCTAAACGCTGTGCTTTATGAATGCCAAGTTCGTCGAGAATGAGCGTCCTGGACTGAAGCCCAGCCTGATAAGTGACAAAGATACAAACAGCAAAAAAGGAATGGTGGAGATTCTAATAATATGCCTGCTTACGCTACATGATCTGAGCCTCGCGCCAATTAAGAGAAGCAAAGAAGTGGCAGTGCTTACTTGCCTTACCATTGGGGGCCAAAAATAGAGGCCAGCAGCCTCGGCGCGTAGCATCAGAATCAGGCTCTCGATAACAAAAAGGAATCTACCCCAACTTCTCGGTCGCATCTTCGCATCTCTGTCTTCTTTGGTATTCAAAATGCCTCAACGCAGATTTCGGCTTATCCACGATTATAATTTTCCTCGGAATTATCACGGCACTCACATTCCGAAGCAATGGCAAGCTTGGGAAACAGCGCATTTCTTCCGTATATGGACCATAACTACAAAGCCAGAGGTGGGCGCACGTCTCATTTCCTATGGCTGTAACAACGGCGATCCGACTGCGCTAAATTGTAATCAAACTTGCGCAAACGCTACGCTTATCTATAGTTCGCCTGAGAACCTATGGAATTGTATGACGCTGGCAACAATGGCCATGCTAACAGTTCCTGGAAACGACACCATCGACCGGGAAAACGAAAAAAGAATGAATGACATTTTCCACTTCGGGACCATGGAGGATGTTGATAAACTCGGCATTTTTTGGAAAATTCGAAGATGTGCTTGGGCGTCGTGTGCGGATTCAACATATGGCCATTGTACCCCGAGTCTAGGGCCTTTTAAATGTGAACAGGTTACACCCTGGAATATTGAGGAATTTGGGCGGGTTATGTTTAGACCTTATTGTGAGGCTGCTAATGCTGGCATCGACTTGGATATCGCTGGTCAAGGAGTAAGTGCCCATATAAACATGGAATTATGTTCTAATCTTGCTTCTAGATTGTCACCGCTTATATCATTCAGCTTGTGCTTGTACTCTTTTTCGGTCTCTGCTTCAAGCTGACGACATCTTGGATCCGTACGTTTGGCCGAATGGCAGGCGCTTTTCAGCAAGGTTCATCCCTTAGTGAGAAATGCCACGAGGTGCAGGTCAGACTATCGCGGACTCGCTTCGCCAACGCTTCGTCTTCGGCAATGAGGGACTTCCAAGAATCTCAGGCGCTTTTCGCTGCAACAATCTCCATCACGGCCATCATCACCTTCGATGGCAGTAACAAAGCCGGCATGGCAAACATGCTAAGTCTGTTCTCGTGGATGTTCAATCATCGCATCCTGCAAGGCCTCATCACAGCAGGCATGTATCCCGTTCTCCTGGCACAGTTACTCTGCCAGCGGAACTTCTACACACTTTTCTTCGTCATCCTCTCATGGATATTCATGGCTGTTATCACCGAGTTCCAGGATTTCAATACCAAAGCTTTTGAAAAGCATTTGAAGCAAGTCTCAACGGTACGATCCTGTGGAAACATGCCTGGGCCAATGAGCTTTTGCCAGGGTATCAAAGAGAAGGAGAACTATGAGTTCTTTCCGATTACCCTGGCGTGTAGATATGTTGTACATGTTATTGTATCATGTCTTATCATCGACTATGTGGCGTCCTTTGTCAAGAAACACCTTTTGGGAGATCAGGCCAAGTACAAGCAGCTGGGTGGAACTGCACCGCCATTCCTTTCCTCCTGGGAGACCAAAGGTGCCAAGCGAGGCTTGGGGATCTTCTGGGTGTTGGTTGGTACCCTGACTATGAGCATGATCTTTGTCAGTTTGATAGAGCTGCTTGAGTTGCTCAATATGCATTCGGCTGACGGAGGAGTCTCGACATGGGCCTTTGGTCAACTTGTTGCTGTTGCCATCTGGTTTCCTGTTGCGATCAAGTTTTTAGCTTTGAATATCGGTAAGCGCAAATTCTGAGTCCAACTATTTTGTCAATCACTAATCTGAGCAGTTGGACCGAGAAAGGAAGCCGAGCGATCGAGCGATCAGATAGATGGAGCGCAGGTGGAACTGGTCGATCATTCGTACAGGAAGATCAGACGCTAACATGCCTATTAAAATGTTGTTTTCTTGACGTAACGCTCATTATGTGTATCTAAGAACTATTCCAATCAACCAAAGCATCATCTCCAAGCTTCTCCTTGATAAGACTTGTGCTCAGCTCCCAAAGATTGTTCGCCAACTCAGGGTTCGAAGCCTGTGTCGTCTCGTTACCCTCCTTGTCAGGATCGACAAAATAATATCCATTCATGTCCTCCTCTTCAATCTTGGAAGACGTCAAGGCCCAAAGAGCACTGTAGGAGCCCTGCTCGACATCACGTCCGATAGCTAGCATGGCCCATGACAAAAGTTTGCCTGTAAGGCCGGGATAGGCATCTTTCCACTGCTGCTGCATGGCTGTGTTGACCTATATTGCGTCAGTACTTATTCTTTAGGAGTGGTTTTGAGGGTGACTTACTGCTCCAGGATGAACAGACAAGGCATAGATCTTATCCTTATTCTCAGGAATAACCTTGCCCGCAAGCCCATACTTGGCAAATAAGATCATAGCCAATTTGGTCCTGTTATATAGTGCTGTGGAGTCCAAATTCGGATCATTGATCTCCTCCTTATTCTTAAACTGCACATTCGACAACTGCGCAAGACGATGCATCTCACTCGCCTCAAACACAACTCTCGGCGGCGAAACACCCTCCATGTTTCCCGTCTTTCTCAACAGCGGCCAAAGCTGGTTACAGGCATAAAAGTGTCCGAGGAAGTTGACTCCAAAATGTCGGTCGATGCCATCTGAATCTAAGCCAAACTGATTCGTGTTGATACCAGCTGAGAGGACCAGATAATCAAGACGATCGAGCGATTCTCGGAAACCGCCAAAGACTTCGCGGACTTGAGCGAGGTTACCCAAATCACATTCCTTCCATTCAATCTTGGCGTCTGGGGTTTCGGTTTTAACGGCGTCAATGGCGGCTGTGCCTTGCTCTTCCTTTCGGTTGACCATTATGACTTTGCAGCCTGCGTGGGCGAGCGCCCGGCTAACTTCATAACCGATACCTAAAGCACCGCCTGTTACGATGGCGACGCGGCCTTCCAAGTTCTCGGGCTTGATGACTTGGGGACCGATGCCGGTCGTTTTCTGGATGATTGACTGCATTTTGTTGTTGTTTTATGGTGACAATGCTGCTTTGGGTATATCTGATTGCTTAGAGGTGGAAGAAATTGGCAGGAATGTTGGACTGTGGCGTCTTTTTGTTGCTTCTTGATATTATATACTGCTCATCTCACATGTTTGCTGCTGTGGTGTGGCAACCTTTCGTTCATGGTGACGTTCACGAAGTTGCATTCTGAAGGAGAGTCAGGATGTATGACATCATCATTTCTTCAACAGAACGTGACGTTTATTGAAGGGCATGCGGGAATGTCCAGTTGGATGGTAATACCAGAGATAAGATAAGAAGAAACTGTTGGTAAGTCACAAATCTCATTGCTGCAAAAGACGCGTGTTACGGTTTTTGTGGAAGATGTAGACGCGTTGACGCCTTGAAAGGATGTATTTGGGAATGAATGGGGGCAAGCCTGAACACTACTGCGTTTCCTGTTCACATAGAGTCAAAATAAAAAACCAATAATCGTTATCGCCCTTAGCAGCTGATTGTCACCGCTTCAACACCGCTTAACCAACAATTTTAATATAACCCCCAAAGGTGCAGGGTAAGGTCCCATCAGGGTATGGGACATTTAACCACCCAGACCAAAAGAGACAAAAAGACTCAGTCGAGCACGGGCATAAAACAAGCTATCTTATTCTGCCACCCTCAGCCCACCAACTGGCTCCGCTGTGTATTAGCGCGTTACCCCCAAAGCCCTACGGAGATTACCCAAAACGGAGCCGTGAATAGCTTCAAACCAGACTAACCCCATCCATCATTGACCTCATGCCTCACAAGGCAGCACCACTCCACTGATCATCAGCCTAAACTCTAGTAAAATAGGGATCAGCTCTGCTCAGAGTCAGTGAGTCCATATCACCGAGCATTCCCTAAATCGCAGATCATTAGAACTCTCATTGAGATAAACTTCACCTGTCATTGCTGCCTTGTTCAGTTCGCCTATTCTCTCGACCAAGCGATGTCACATTGATCTGACAGACCTCGGGTCAATACAAACGCCAAGACGAAAGAGCTTCCAGATAGAGGTTAGCTATCAGTTCATCGGAAGTTAAAAGAACGAACACGGGCCGTCGGCCAAATGTTGGTTCTCTCCGCCTGCTTCTCTTGTATCAATGCGCTTAGAGCTTTGATGTCAGTGGCTGCTCTACTCAACGGTGAACTAACCTCCAGCTGCGTGAGAAAAAAGCGTCATTTAAAATTACCCATCCATCACCACGAAAAAACGTGCATGCCAGGATTGGATTGCGATAATTCGGGTGTCGGCAACTTCTCTGTTCAGGGGTACGTGCCTCGCTAAGAAACCCCTGTCGGAACAAAAGGGCCGCTTAGCGATAAGCCTACAAGAATCGACTGTTAGTGGTAGTATAGAAAGTGGGTGGAAGTGCTAACAGATATTTCTGGTGGACTGTCTGTTGGTCGCGATGTCAGAAACAGACCAAAGATCTAGACCAAACCTGCAAACAAGACTTGCGCTAAAAAGGAAATCACCGGAGTTAAGCTGTGATGCAGGGGCAAAGTGTCGGCCGAATTCAAAATGTCCAAAAAAAGGAATGTAAAGAATATGTTTTACACGTTTGATGGAGGATTTGGTGGCGATTCATCATCTGGAATGTCTCAACGTGAGGCTCTTCACCATTATCATCATCCCAGACAATAACCACCCTCACCCTCGGTACCATCGCTAAGAGAAAGAAAAAAAGACTCAAGGGTCTATGCAGGGTCAGCAGCCTTACATACAGCACTAGCCAGGGGCACTAGACCTACAAAGGAACCTCCTTCATGACTGCACCACCGACGTGTCTTGGCGAATTGAGACACATGCCAGACTACGCCTCTTTCGAAGATGGGCTGAGACTGCGGCTGTCACTCACGAGCTGATAAAACCATCTCTACCTCCGCTTGCCCCCAATTCTTGGGTCTCAGTATTTTCTGGTCTCAGTATCTCATCCTTCTCATCACACTCATTACCGATTCTTCGGAATCAACACTGCCAAACATGGCTCCGTCACTCTTTTCTTTCCTTCTTCTCACATTCCTTTCTACCCCAATCGCCGCTCAAGACCCTAACCCAGGCGACGTAAACCCCGTCCCACCCGTCGGCGAAATCAAGACCGAAGACCCAATCTCCAGTCCCCTCACAGAAGGATGTCCCCGTTCGTGCAGTGAAGCAGGTAGTGACCCAGTCAACTGGACTCAGCTGCACAGTTTGGAGGAGTTGGCTGGTTGTGGTCTTCCTATGCTGTTTGCCCTCAATGTGCAGAATGAGTATAGTGATTCTGCTACACTGTATACTTGTGTTACTGAGGGTAGCAAGACGAGACGTGAGGTTGGAAGTGTCGTTGAGAAGCGTGCTGAACCGACTGTTTCGCTTGGTAGTAACTGTGGCGCTGAGAGGGCCACTGTTAAGACTTCCTCTGGCTTTGGTCCTACTGGTTCTCTTCGCTCTGGTAATGACGTCGCTGCTGCTGCTACTCTTCTCGCTGACTACCTCGACAATGGTGCTGTTTGCGGTACTACTATTCTTTTCGCCAAGTCTGGCTCTTCCATCGCTGGTCTGTATGTCGGCGCAGAGGTTCAAAAGAGCAGTGCTTCTTCCAGCCTTCGTCAGTCAAGGGTTCGTCTTCAGAAGGGTGTTCAGGCTTTCCAAGTCTGTGACGCCAACGATAAGACCGCCCAGACTGTAGGCTTCTTCGCCGCCGACGCTGTCACTGATCTTGAATCCGTCCAGTCTGCTGTGAGGACCTGGTCCAACGGCAAGTGCATCAGCATCGCTGGTGCTTCCAAGGAGTCTATCAACCTTGGTATCCTCACTACCAACATCCTCAAGACCCGCAGCTCTCGCTTTTCCGGTGTGGATAACCTCCTCGCTCCTCGCGCAGACTGTCGCGCTATCCAAGTCGTATCGGGTGATAGCTGTGCATCTCTCGCAAAGAAATGTAAGGTCTCGACCACCAACTTCAACAAATACAACAACAAGAAGAACTTCTGTTCTACACTTGCTCCTAAGCAGTGGGTGTGCTGCAGCGCTGGTACTTTACCCGACAAGACACCCCAGCCCACCAAGGACGGCACATGCTTTATCTACAAGATCAAGTCCGGTGATGGATGTTATTCTCTTAGCCAGAACTTTGGCATCACTCAGGCTTTCATTGAGAGTGTGAACAAGAACACTTGGGGCTGGAACGGATGTAACCGTCTCCAGCTCGGTCAACCTATCTGTCTCAGCAAGGGCAAGAATCCTATGCCCATGGCTATTGCAGGCGCTGTCTGTGGCCCTCAAAAGCCTGGAACGGGTAAGCCCTCCAGTGCGAAGACAGGATGGGACCTCGCAGGTCTGAACCCTTGCCCACTCAACGCTTGCTGTTCCGGCTACGGGTTCTGTGGTATCACCTCTGAGTTCTGCACCAACACCACAGCCAAGGGCGCCGCGCCTGGTACAAGCGCGCAAAACACCCCCGGCTGTATCGGTAACTGCGGAACCAACATCGTCGGCAACACCAAGAAGCCAGCCAAGTTCCTTAACGTTGGTTACTTCCAAGGCTACAACCTCGGTCGACCCTGCTTGAACATGGACGTGACGAAACTCCCTGAGATCAAGACTGCTTACACGCACATCCACTTCGCCTTCGCAGGTCTTACATCCGATTTCTCTGTCCTTTTGCAACCTGCCGTCAGAGAACAGTTCATCAAGTTCAAGGAAGTCAAGGGAAGCTGGAAGAAGATCATCTCCTTCGGCGGCTGGGCCGGTTCAACTGATGCATCCTCATACCAAATCTACCGCGACGCCATTAAGCCTGCCAACCGTAACAAGTTCGCGTACAATGTCATGACTGTTCTGAACAACCACAAGCTCGATGGTGTTGACTTCGACTGGGAGTATCCCGGTTCTGCAGGATCTGATGGATCTTCCACTGACACTGCCAATTATGTCGAGTTTCTCAAGATCATGAGATCTAAGATTGGTAACAGTGGAAAGACCATGTCTGTTGCTCTCCCGGCTGCGTACTGGTATCTGAAGCCGTTCCCTGTTAAGCAGATTGCGCCTCTTGTTGATTATATTGTTTACATGACGTACGACCTTCACGGTCAATGGGGTAAGTTGCTCTCCTCCTCTATCAATTAATCATGTACTGACTTTACCAGACTACGGCAACACCATGATCAACTCCGGCTGCCCCAACGGCAACTGTCTCCGCTCCCACGTCAACAAAACCGAAACCCTCGACTCCCTCGCAATGATCACCAAGGCAGGCGTAGATCCCGCCAAGGTCGTCGTCGGCATCTCCTCCTACGGTCGAAGCTTCCGCATGAAGGACCCTAAGTGTACCGGCCCAACCTGTCAGTTCACCGGTAGCTTCAGCGTCTCGGAAGCAGAGCCCGGCGTCTGCACTGGCGAAGCCGGATACCTCTCCGACGCCGAGATCCGTCTTATCGAGTACGATGCTAAGAAAGGCAAGGCTGGTGTTACGGCCAAGACTTGGTATGATAAGGCTTCGGACTCGGATATGATGACTTATGGAACGAAGGGCAAGGGTATGACGGATTGGGTTGCGTATATGGGTCCTACTACTAAGATTAAGAGGACGCAGTGGGCCCAGGGATTGAACTTTGGTGGTGTTGTTGATTGGGCTGTTGATCTTGAGACTTGGTTCTCTGCGAAACCTGAAGGCAGTATGTGATGGTAAAGGATCTTTCTTTCTTAAATCTTGCAGTAGACATTAATGATCTACGGCCTTTATAATGTATATTTATTGCTATCTAGCTCATGAATGTATGATGACCTAAACAATCTGCGTTTCTTTCTTCGCATCCTCCTCGTATTGCTTCCATCGATATTCCCTCTCAACACCATTCCGTCTCTGCGCTGTATCACAAAGCTTCTCATTCCCACATTCACACTCCGCCCCAGGCCTCAACCATCTGTACGTAAGACTCCACCGAACCTGCCTCAACCTAACAGTCCCATCAGACAACGTATCCGTTTTACGAGCCTTGATACCGTGCGTCCAGTGTAATCGTGAATCACCGCTCATCTGCATCATACTCCTTGGTAATAAATCGACCTCAATTTTCTCTCCTGTTTCTTTGTTGGCGAATTGCATCATGAGTGGTGAGCCGAGGGATAAAGAGTATAGTTGATCGAAGGGACCGTGGGTGTCGACGTGGGGTGGTATTCCTGTGCCTGGGGCGTATTGTTGTAGACAGACTTGATCAGGTGGTCGGCCTTCTGTGGTCGGTAGTAGAGGTACCAGCCAATCCGGAAAAGGCTTGAATGGTGTTTCTTCGTCGATTCCGAATGTTTTATAGCTGAAGGTGTAGCCATAGTGGAGAGAGAGTCGTCCTGGGCGAGTTGGCCATTCTAACTCATTCTCAAAGATGTGAATAAGCTTTTCTTCATGCTCAGGCGTGATGAAGTCATATTGCATAAAAATGCCCGAGGGTTTGATCTGAAGTTCTTCCATTTGGTCAATGCTATAAGGCGCCAGATTTCATCGTTACTAAGAAATTGGTGCGATGCCTGAATTTTACTGTAAGCTTAAAATGGTGGTACGAGTGAGAGTCCACGAGATGTTTCGAGTTTTCAGGTCACGTGATAGAGATGCACCTTCACAAGCGGAAGTTCTATACGCTCTGCTTTAGTAACAAATTATATTCAAGCAAAATTCATCCATTTCTTGAGATCTAGTGTTGTTGCTGCGGTTTTTAATTTTTCTTCTTAGTATAGCCATTAAGTATGTTCAAGTTACTGTCCTGGATTTTGAGATTCACCGCGGAAATCAAGCAGTACTTCAAGCTGTACTGAGTGACAAGAACAAGGAGAATATCCCAAACAAAGGCAGGAACAGAAGCACTGGCTCTGAAAGTGCTCAGGGCGGAGTAAGAATTCATTAAGCTGAGGATATATCTGGAGTTGGAGAACAGAGATCCTGAACAACTGGAAGATGAAAGATGGAAGATAGAAGCTGTCTTCCCAGCGGGTGGCTCAATGGCTTGGCTGATGGGTTCTGGGAATGGCTTGCTTAGTGGTTTAGCCGGCAGTTTGCTTGATAGTTTAGTTAATAGTCTGGTTGATGGTCTGGCTAATAGTATGCTTATATGTTTGCTTGATGGTAAGCATGGCGTTTAGTATGGTGGTCTGCTTAGTGGTTAAACATATCCGGCAAATAAAATAAATGATCAACATCTGAAGTTATCCTTTGAGTACTATATGAAGTTATGTGGTGAGATAGAGTGACTATGAATAAACTTTTTCGTGAATGCTATTTGCCAAAGGTGATTTCGAAGGGTCCTTCAAAAGCTGGAGTTTTAAATTCCATTTTTCGCGCGTCATTTGGTCAGTAATCCATGATGGGTCTTTAGGGTTTTAGACTTTGGACACATATTGATAGCCGAGTACAAACCTAATCGTTCTTTGTGTTCACATTGGAGGCAATTCCGTCAAAATAAGAGGTGTCTATCGGGATCTTAAAGAAAGTTCGGGGGGAAGTTCCAAAGAATTAGGGTAATCAATTATATAACAAAAGGAGCATCTCAAGTCTATTACTACAGCTAGTTCAATGTAAGTCTTTCAATAAATACCAAAACTGGCAGGATTCGCTTTCATCTTATCCGCCCAGTAGTTGGGCCTCTGGCGTTTGTTGAAGTACTTGTCATAGCACCAACCAGCCTCCCTGACAAGCTCTTCGGAACCAATGTTGATCTCTTCGGGATGAAATTGCCCGGGATTACCACCACGATACTCGCAATTTAGATCCTTGATATTGGCCCATGCTTTCTGTATCCTCTCCTCGTCTTCATTCAGAAGATCATGGTTGGCTCGCTCATATGCGGCTATGTTGTTAGCGGCCAGAACAGTGAGCGCACCCTCGGTCGCATAAATACCAGTCCTGGTATTAAAATGTCAGCTGTCTCTTATCAAAGTAGGTTATTATTACTTACAAGCGAAGACCTCTGTATGTTCTGCAATTATGCCATATGGGGGTCGGGCGGTCCATGCTGGACAGTATGTCGACCTGAGCTCGGGCAGCCTCTAATAGTTTTGACCAGTTTGACAACAGCACGGGGGTGTCAGCATAGGCCTTCTTTGCCTTTCGCTTATCCGCCCTCCACTTCTCAGAGAAGCCGTGAAGACGTCCAATCCAATTGTAATTGTGTAAGGCAGCATCGCGGACTGGAAAGATGGTCTGGTAGTAGACCATGTGTAACAAGTGACAATGTTGTCTAACGCTCGGTTCCATTGCCGAGAAATTGCTTGTTTTGACAGAGTCTGGTAGTGAATTATACCACTGATCTAGCATCGTATCGACCTGCACTCGTGAAGTATCTTTCCCCTTTGGAGACTCTCTCTCAGCGCGGACGGAATAGAGAAGATCGTACAGCCTTCCCTGGATGATTCCCAATTGTACCCGAGACTTGAGAATGTCAAATGAAGCTTGGCCAACACCGGAAAAGATATGACCCGCGCAGTAATCGGATGCCATGTCTTCCAACGTGATGCCAATGTAGTTATCTTGTAATTGATGGTACCGCATGTTTTGTCTCTGATTATGAGTGCATGGACTCTCTTGTGGCTATGTCTTCGTCATCAGCACAAGCCACTCAACATCTGTGAAAGGACTTACAAAGTATTGCTAGCAGAATGCTGAACAGCAATGACCTCCGTGTTCAGCAAAACAGATGAATACTGATCATTCGCATACATCCGATTAATAATCGACAACGTAGTACTGTACGCGCCCTGCGCAAATTTGTACGGCGCTGGGGCGTTGAACTGTGCTGCGACGGGCATGATGGTGAACTTGGAGCCGGCGATAGCATTGGTAAGCTTTTCATTCACCTGACCAATTTCTTTGGCGCTGACTTCATGCGCACCGACACCTTCAGGATAAATCCCATCTCTAGGATCATCATTCGTCAAATACCGAAAAGCCGTCTCATACCCTTTCCCCTCCTTGAGATACTCCACGATCTCAGGCAAAAAGTAAGTATTAAGCGTCTCGTTCCCAACCTCAGGGATCCAAGTGCCCCAAAGATTAGACCGTCCGCCAACGCAGTACACAGGACCGCCGACGTAACTGTCGGAACGATCTGTGAGTTGCACTTTTGCTTTGACGGCGTCGTAGACCCGTTCGTTACCTTCGGGGGAGTTACTGGCGCCGCGGTTGTAGTAAGGACGGGAAGTGTTGAGGACGTGGGTTGAGAAGATTACGCCTCCGCGTTCGATGAGGAGGACTTTTTTGTTCTTGGCTGCGAGGGTTTCGGCGAGGGGACCGCCGCCGAAGCCGCTTCCTACGATGATGTAGTCGTAGGAGTTGAGCTTAGTGAGGAGGCAGACTACGTCTGTGTCAAGATGGAGAAGATGATCCATTTGAAGATTTGGTGAAGGTAATGATAGAAAGATTTGCTTTGTGTTGGCCCGTTGAGGCTTGGTGAAGACCTGAGAATCGAGTGACATGGACCTGGATATATATCCTTTTCCTCTTGAAGTATTATCGGTTGATCAATGAGGTCAATTCGTGCCGGTGAATCAATACATACCTCTCTATTGGAGACAAAGATTATCTGCCGATGGTTTCTCTCGATATTTGTTGGCGATCCATGTTAAACAAGAAGAGCACTGCAGGTCTTTGAGTGGCTGACCACGACACGTGTAGTTAGTTAAACCAGACTTTGAGTCGAGCAGCATAACTTGTCCACAATAGATGCACGATACCTTGAGGGCGAGTTGGTGAACGATTTACGTCGTCACTCCATCATACGATATGTGCTTGTGTGGAGGGATCTTGTTAGACCGAACGCTGTCGGTAGATGAGAATGGATATCACGTCGGCATTGGCCAATGTTGAACTGCATACGTTCCCTTGCATATTGGCGCACTAGCCATGCAGATTAGGTTCACAAGATACGTATCTCATTATATAGCAGGAATATGGAGATACGCTACAGTGGTACTGGTCACTAGTAGCTGAGATCCAAGCACCGAGACACGACAGAAACAATATTGCTAAACACAGTGATGAATATGAAAGCATGCTGATTGAAACACAATGCCAAACTCACAACCACAGTGAAAGGATGCGTACAAGATGAAAATGCAATCGATCCAATTTTGACCCACGAACAACTTGCTAACCCAAAACACGAAAGCAGATAAACTTTTCAACGCCTCTTCCAGAAGAAAACAAGAATCAGCACATTATACATCAACTTCAAACATCCCGCAACAATAAACGCAAGCCAAAACTTATCCAATCCCGCAAACAAACCCGTGACATACAATCCAAAACAACTACCAATCGTCTTGACAATATTAACAACACCCATAGCAGAAGTCCGTTCATGATCCAGCACACCAGCAGAAATGAACGCTTGACGGGGCGCATTATCAATTTCGCGGGTGACGATGCGAAAGATGAAAATGATGAGCGCCACGTATTTGTTTCCTGGTACTGAGACCATGAGAAGAGAAATGGAGTTTATCGTGTGACATACTACCATGGTTTGCACTTGACCGATGGAGCGCGAGAGGGGTGATGATGCGAGGTTGAGCACGGATGAGATTATACCTGCTGTGAATGTTGCAGACCCGAGTGCTCCTTCGGGCATGTCGTACTCGCGTTTGAAGAAATATGTCATCCATGAGATCTGTGCAAGACCAGAACCGACAAAGTCCAATCCCATGGCGAGAGAAAGCTTCCACATAAAGTCAAACGACTCAGGTGTAAAAAGCCGTTTTTCTTGAACTTCCAGCACGACTTGTGCCTGACTCTCAGGATTCTGAACATCATTGATAGCATTGACTGCTCCATAATCGGGGATCTGCTCAGTCAAGAGTGGTGCATCTTCTTCACTGAGACCAGACTGCGGCGTAGCACAATATTCCTTTTGTTCAGGAACATGCTCAACATCCGCACTGAGGAATAAAGAACAGATCAACTTGATGATGCCAATGGCAGCATACGCGAGGAATATCACGCGGTGGCATGATAGTTTCTCCATGCCAGCGTCTTCAAGGGCGTTGATGATCCAGCCTGTGAGAAGATTGCTTGCTGCTGTGCCAAACATGCCTAGCATGGACCACCAGGCAAACATCTCGTTGCACGTGTGTGATGTGCTGAGACGAGCGATCGCTGATTCTTCAATCGCCTTGAAGGGATCAATTTCATTTGCGCTGATTAGTTAGTAAATATTCATCTGACATCTCGTCGTCCAAAACTCACCTCGGATTAATAACAGCAACAATACTAGCAGCCAACAATACCCAGAAATTCTCAGCCCAGGCAAAAGCCACTCCTCCGATGCACATCGACAGCGCACCGACAGCAGCAGTCCATCTCACACCAACACGATCACCGACATAAGTGAGGACAAAGCTAATAGCAAGATCACCCACAAGCGTCAGCGTCATGAAAAGTCCAATCTGGGTATCATGGAAACCCAGCGCATTGAGATAGAGTGCCAGAACAAGTGTTGTCCCGCCATAGCCCAACAGGCGGATGAAGCGGAGCAGGATGAGGATTTTCAGGTCGCGGTGCGAGTGCCAGAGGACGTCGGCTCCGATGGCGGAGAGGATGGTCGAGGGTCTCCAGATTGCCATTGTAAGGGTAGGGAATAAAGATGAGATATGAGATGAGATGGTTTCCGGGGTATGTACGATTGATACAAATACCAATTCAAATCTCCACTCGAGAGAGATCAAAAGAAATAACCCAATTGATTCCCTTATTTAAACAGAAATTTTCCTCATCTAGATCAAAGAAAATCGATCCCAGCGTCGATTGCCCCGAAGAGGGTGGCCTGACATAGATGTAATTGGTTACAAGGGCCCACGTGCAGTACAGCTAGCAAGGGTACTGTACGTTAGTCTGAGACTGATGTCTGCTGGCTGATCCTTTTTCTCCGATCGATTCCTTTACGGGTAACAGATGTAAAAGCAGATGGGTAATACAACTACACTCCAAAAAGCTTCACTTAATTTTCTCTATTTTCTTCTCTTTCTCTACCATATCTTTCTGGGATCTGAAATAAATTGTGATAGTAATACACTAACATACAGTACTCTTCCAAGCTGTAGCTTGCTACTAAGGTATACTCTCAATCGCGCCCAGACCTCTGATCGGCTTAACATTCCCGCCACACACGGCACGCGCGTCAAAGTACAGTACTGTACATGTGTGTGCCAGATCATGCGGTCAAGACAAAGGCCGCTTTTACTAAAAGCCTCTGCTCCTAGGTACAAGGAAACCTTGGAATTGTCTCAAAAAAGCAAGACCGACAGCTGACATAGACGAACGATGTTCCAAATCTGGTTTCTGTGTCTCCCTCTTTAGCTACTCAACGCGCGAGTCATACATGTCACAGCAGCATGTCGAGTCAAGTCAATAATAATAATAATAATAAAACTTCTCCTTACATCAACAAAAAAGAAACATAAAAAAAAGCAAAAGGTCCTGTCTGTCTCGCTTGCTTGCTTTCATGGACGCGCCCAAATCTCCTCCCTCAGTGGCATTCCCGGGTTATCGCTGTCCTGCATCTTGCGCCATGCCTCGTATTCAGCAAAGCGCTTCTGGGCATACCCCGCGTAGTCAAAGTCGATAGTTCCGGTCGCTGTCTCAGCCTGGATTAAGGCGCAGAGACCCCTGCCGCGGAGACGGGTCAGTCAGATATGCAGCACGTCTTAGGCTCTAGCCTCTCTGTGTGTACCGAGACACGGCACATAAAGTGGGTGTAACAAGCAACTTACCAGTAAAATCCAGGAAACCCTCTGTAATCATCAACCTGACGCATGAGTTTCTCCACTTCGGCGTCAGTGACAGTGACAGTCGGCAGATCTGTTGTCTCTTTCGTCCCATTGCAGCTGGCGCTATCGGGCTCGTGTTGCCGACGGACTTCGCTGTGAGCCGTGAGATACTCACGAATAAAGGCCCTTCGGATTGACGTGCTTGGCAGTTTGTTGTAGTCGCACTCGAACCCAGTCCACTCGGCGAAATGATTCGCGAGTTCAAACGCCCGAGGGCAATAGGTGGCATGTCTGTTACACAGATGGTTACTCGATGTTTGACAGACCAAAAGGAGTGTGTCACTTACTCGTAATCTATGAAGCGTACTGTTGCGACATCTGTAGCCCCATTCACAGCTCCCATGCTACCAGCCGACTCTTGTACAATGATGTTGCCGCACAAAAGGTCACCGTGGCCAAGCACCTGAAGTTCACAAATTAGCAGCCAGGACAAGAGCAAGATATGCAACGACGTACCAAGGGCTCCGGCATAACATCAGTGGGCAGTAGCTTGTCGGTTAGGTACTGGAACTTTTCCTGCAGTCCCTCGATCTCTTCTCTTGACCGCTTCTCACCATTCGAGATTGCCTTCAACCACTTTCTGGCTGTCGACCAAACACTTGGTTCATAGTGAAGCTCCTTCCTAGCTCCCTGGACGTCAACAGGCGGAAGCAATGCGTGCCACCTCGCCAGCTCCCTTGCTACTCCGCGGAAGATTTCTGTCTTAGACATGTCGCCTTCAGAACAGACTCTCCCATGGATAAACTGATAAGCATGCCCATTTGCGAAGCGAACCAATGGCCAAGACGAAAGACCGCGCTGGGCCAGGAGGTTGTGCACCCTGAGCTCCTCTTTTTGTTGGGGTTAGACATGGCAGTCAAAGAAGGGAAGGTTCAGACGAGAAAAAAAGGAAACGTACTGTTGCGATCAATCGTGATGTCAGTGCCATCACCGTAGACCTTGACTAGCACAGCATCTGCGCGATTGGTGACCTTGAACAACTGTCATTTTATTAGTACGAGACCAATTGCGTGGGGGTGAAGCATCTTACGCCATTTGTTGTTCCTTGAGCGAGAGGCTGGATGCGCAGGTCAATGTCAGCTTGGTCAGCAGCGGGGAACAGGTGAGGGCTCAGCGGCAGGGTAGATGCATGAGGATCGGAGGCATTGAAGATACAGTCCAGGACAGGGATCTCCATCTTTAGAGATTCAGCGAGTAAGAGTACGGTACAGTATAGTATCAGAGGATGATGAGGGATAACAAGAGAAAAAGAAGCGGCTTAAATGTAGCCACAGCTGCAAAGAGTGAGACGGCGACTTTTCCTCCCTTACTGCCCAACTAGTCTAATGCAGGCTGAAATCCGATAGCGGGAAAGATCTCCCTGCAGGGCGACCTGAACGGGAATCGGAGCTAAAATCGCAACCCGTCTGTGAAACAATTCAGCTGCTGTAGGATAGCTCCTGACGAATGATTTGACAAGAAATAAGACAGCGCTACCGACTTGAGGGTGACACGGACACGGGCCGACTTGTGCCAAAGCCTAGAGCTGCACGTCAATGGATATATGATCTCAGCGTTATGTAGGATATAAATGATAATCTATGGAAATGATCTGGATCAAGTTAGAGAGTCTCAGCCAGGCGGAGAGTTTCACTCTTCACCGATCTCTTGGAAACCGGGTTTTTCCCTGCTATCGGACTTAATGCACGCCACGCTGATCAAGGCGGCACAAGATAATTGTGAATCATAATTGCGCGCGTATAACAAATGTCTTGATTACACGGCATAAGGTAGCTCGCAATAGCAAGCCACGGTTCATCGGCAGGCAGGCAGGGCAGACAAAGATTCATCTCAAGATGTTGAACAAGATGTTTGCATAAGACAAGATACATTGGTTTCTTCTTGTATAGGTATATAAGAACAGATAGACACGCAACCACCTTCTAACTTCACAACAACCACTATCAATCTTTCCAGTAACACAACAGCAACAATGGCTTCCTACTCAAACAGTCTTCTCTACAAGAACTTTCAAAAACACCCCGCTGCTCTCATCGAATCGACTGAAGGCATTTATCTCAACACCAGTGATGGCCGTCGTATTCTCGACGCAACCAGCGGTGCGGCCGTCGCCTGTCTAGGTTACAATAACAAGGATGTTCAACAAGCTGTCGTAGAGCAGCTGGTTAACGTTCCTTATTGTCATCCGGGCTTTTACAAGACCAAGGCAGCTGAGGATCTCGCTGATTTCCTGGTTGAGTCGACAGGTGGCTTGATGAGTAAGGCCGTTCTATGTGGCTCAGGTACGTTGATGTATAAAGTTTGTTGAAACGGTTGATCTAACGATCTGTAGGTTCTGAAGCTGTTGAAGTGGCGCTCAAGCTCGCCAAGACTCACTTCTCACACCTTGCCATTCCGCAACCCGAGCGAAGCCACTTCATTGCGCGCGTAGGCGCATGGCACGGCGCGACGCTGGGTGCTCTGACTCTGGGCGACTTCAAGGTCCGAAAGGATCCTTTCGTGCAGCTGATTTCGCAGAATTCATCGCAGGTGTCGGCGTGCAGCGCATACCGCGGTCGAAAGGACGGCGAGGATGATGATGCGTACGTGAAGCGATTAGCCCAGGAACTGGATGATGAGTTCCAGAGGATCGGACCTGAGAAGGTTTGCGCTTTTGTAGCTGAGACTGTTGGCGGAAGTGTAAGTGTATTTTTACCGCTTTAGTGATGTTGGCTAACTGAATTTAATAGGCGAGCGGATGCGCAATGCCCATCAAAGGCTACTTCCCAGCCATGAAAGCCGTCTGCAAAAAGCACGGCGCTCTCCTCATTCTCGACGAAGTCATGTGCGGAATGGGTCGCACGGGAACGCTCCATGCCTGGGAACAAGAGGACGTAGTCCCAGACATCCTCGTTGTAGGAAAAGGTCTCGGCGCAGGCTACGCACCCGTCTCAGCAGTCATGATCAACGCCAACCTCGTCGAATCCTTCCAAAAGTCAGGCAAGGGCTTCGCTCACGGACAAACCTACATGGCCCATCCCCAAGCCGCAGCCGCAGGATTGAAGGTCCAACAGATCATCCGTGACGAGAATCTTCTTCCTCACGTGCGCAGCATGGGCGAGTATCTCGGCACGAAACTCAAGGAACGTCTTCTACCCATGCCCTACGTCGGCGATATTCGAGGACGGGGACTTTTTTGGGCTGTTGAGTTCGTGACGAACAAGACCGCCAAAACACCCTTCCCCTACAGTCTCGGCTTGAACAGCATGCTTCACTCACGTGGAATGAGCGCTGGTTACGAGATCGCTCTGTTCAATGCCAACGGTGGTTATGACGGATACAGTGGTGATCACTTTTTGATCTGTCCGCCTTTCATCGTGACCAAGGCTGATGTCGATGACATTGTTGACCGGACTGCGAGGGTTGTGGAGGATACCTTTAAGGAATTGATGGAGTCGGCGGTTTGGGAGAAGGTCACGGTTCAGATGGAGATTGATGGAATTGGTGGCAGGGATCAGATGACTGGAGTTGGTGTGGCTGTTCAGTAAACAGATGTAGGAACTTCGGGAGCCGAAAGGCATAGTCTAGTATTTCCGCATTATTTTGTATATTGGTTGTTCGTACACCTGGAAGGTTGTGTCTCAAAGGCTTAAGACTGTTTTCACATTTACGATCAAGAATGAACTGTCACCTCATGAGGGGACGGTACAAGCTGGTTGATGCCAATTTTGACGTGACGTTCCAATCGACAGGTCGTACACTCGTAATGGCGATAGTTTGAAGAATTCTTTAGTCATTATTCGTATAATTTACATAAGATTACACGTGTACATCTCTTCGTCCTTATTCAACAGGGTATCATTCAGACTTCCCAACATCCTCCACAACATCGGCACATTCTTGCGAACGGCTGAAACAATTAACACCTAATATCCTTTTATCACAAACACCCTTCTAATGGTGTCGATGAACGTTGGCCGCGCTAGCGCGACGACTAGCAGAAGGTGTACCTCGAGGAGTTCCACGAGGCGTAACACGGCTCTCACCAAAGAAGCGGTTGGAGTTACTGTACTGTCGCGCACCGGGCGTAGGTCGAGCAGCGACGGGAGGGTTCTCAGGATCTTCAACAGTGCCAGCGGAGCTCCTTCGTCGAGCATCATAAGCAACACTGCCACGGCGACCTTGCTCGACGTTCTCCTTGCGCTCACCGGCCAGACGCTGCGCGAAGGGAGAACGCGCTCGGAGGGCGGGACCCTTCCAGTAGATCACGTAGACAGCGACGACAAGAATGAAAGAGATGCAGAACAGGATTGTGGCAGCGTATTCCAGGTTCTTGCCGGATGAGGCGCCGATGTTGCTGAAGAAGGGAATGGCGGGGAGAGTGAGAACACCAGCGAGGAAATCTCGAGCCCAACCGTTGCCACCAGTGGCGGAAGCAGAGTAAGGTCCGTCTAGTTATTGTTAGTGAACATTCGTCTACGCGGTAAGAGGTATACTTACAAGCACAGATCATGTAGTCGATGGTAGCCATGTAGATAGCATAATTGGCAATACCAACAATCGCAGCAAAGATCATAGATCCAATCCAATGAATAGGAGGACCCTGAATCGTCCAAGCAAAGCCAATAAGACCAATAGGCAAACAAGGCGCAGTCCAAAGCAAGAACCACAGTCGCGACTCATACTGAGCACGCTCATCATCTGGCTTCTCTCTTCGCTCCTTGATGTTCTTCTTGATAGAGGGAATGAACAGTAACCAGGCGATGACATATCCTACTCCGATGGCACAGAAGGTAAGACCGATCTGCACAGCATCAAAGTCCCATTGCCCGTAGACGAGAGCGAAGGATTGGATAAACATGAAGATCAGAGCATCGGAGAAACCGGAGAGGAGAGAGAGTACGAGCACGATGGGCTCGGTGAGGAACATCTTGAAAGGACGGGTCCAGGTGATGAGGATCTCCTTGGCGGAGAAACGCTCGCGGAAGGGGACAAGTTCGTCAGGACCCCAGAAGTTGGCGCCGGTCTCCTTTCTGCGCTTCTTGGCAATGCGGTTCATGAGAATGGTGCTTCGTGTCTCAGGCACAGTGAGGAAGTGCACGATTTGAACAAAGCCACCAAGGATGAGCTGAATCCAGATCGACCAGCGCCACTCGAGGTACTGCTCACAGAAACCACCGACGATGGGACCAAGGACTGAACCTCCGACGGAGGAGAAGACGACGTATGCGACGGCGTACTGCTGGTTGTCTGACTCCCACATATCGGCAATCATACCAAGCGTGACGGAACCACCAGCAGAAGATAAACCACCCAGCGCACGACCAACCATGATAGAAGTAAAGTTTGGTGCCAGCGCAACAGGAAGCTGGAAGATATTCACCAGAAACAGAGAAGCCTGCATAATAGGCCAACGTCCAAACTCCTCAGACCAAGGCGCCCAAAGCTCACAGCCAAAAGCATAGAGCACAAGAAAGATCATAGCACCACATCTTGCGGCTTGCGCACTGACATTAAACTCCTCAGAAATACCAGGAATAGCATTCGAGTAGAGCGAAGTGTTAAAGTTCATAGACACCTGAACCCAGAAGACGACGGTGAGGATGTACCACTTCTTCCACTTGGGGAAGGAGTAGCCTAGTTCATCGTAGCAGTCATCTTCTGTGATTTCGTATTTATCGTACGTGCCGATCTTTTCCATGCGGTTGGCATTCTGGTGTTCGTGGTCGCTGTGGTCTGTTGAACCTTCGAGGTTGTGTTGTTCTAGACGGGAGTTTGCGACGTGCAGGTCGGATTGGTTAATGACCTGCGGAGGGTCATCGGAGAAGTGAGTCGGCATTTTTAGAAGGAATTGGTTGTACCAAACCAAGCACGATAGAATTAAGTGATAAGGTTAACACTCTGTCCGGGGATGGAGACCATTTTAAAAGCTGGGGGATCAACCCACCACCACCACGCTTTACAAGATTTACAGTAGACAGAAAAATAAGAGATATCCACTCTTGACATCATCTTCGAAACAAAGAATCATACCCCGGAATTGCGTGGGGTTTGCGTATGCCGTTCTATCCGGTGGACCTAAAGAGATCAACGTTCAAGGGTGAGATGGACATGATTGAGGGTGAGTGCGGATTACCAAGAGGGGACAAGCTTGGCGAGTGTGGTTATTTCATCACGCAGCCAACGCCCGCTGATCGAGAGCCTGGGGTGCATCTGTCCAACGTTTAGACTCGGCCGAGTCATGATTGATGACGTATGGATTCTTGAGAGACATAACAGACATCAACTGCACCAACAACCACTAACGGTACCAATTACTGTACTGCTGCTATTACTAAAAGACAGTAAATGAATCTCTCCAATCGGTCAAACCGACAGAAAAGAAAAAAAGTCCCATCTTTCCAGGCAGCACAATTCTTTGGTTCCACAATGACATGACTTGATCAAAGATTTCTCTCGTTAGCTAGGAAGATCAGTCAATGTCACTAAGGCCTGCTTATTCCCTGGTGATCTCATTGCGTCATAGCTGCAACCCTCAAACTTTTATCCCACGCTTGTTTCCCCCTGATGGTCCAGGTCTTTTTGTAAAAGGATGCAGTGGTGGTTGCTTGGAAGGCTGATGCCAAGGTGAAGAGATCCCGTCTCGGCACCAAGCTGAACGCTGGGCCTTTTCTTGGCCTGGAATGCACTGCAAAATAAGACAGCACAGGCATGATCAGCAGTTGTCCCTCCCACCGCTTCCCAGTGAGAAATTAAGCATACCGATTACCCACTGACCGTCCCCCCAATTTTCTTTCCTTTGACGCACGCGACATTTCTCAAAGTCGGGGCTCCACGTTGGGGTTTTTTCATGTTTCTTTTTCCTGTTCGCATGGACCCAATGTTCGCTGTTCGCGTGCCAAGATTCGTTTCTTCGCAGTGGATCACAGGTCCCATTTACCGCAGAGCCTCTTAATTGGAAATCACGATATTAATTCCCGGTGACATGATTTCCTTTTTTTTTTTAATTACCGGGTCTTGTTATGGTTAATTTAGTTACATAATATCGACGCAACAATTCGGTATCCTTTACTGTGCACTATCATCACCAAAATTCCGGTACAATTGCGCTTCTCTGCTGTCATTCAGTGAGAGTTTATTTCTTGGCCTTGATTGAACATCATCAACATGACAGATTTTCGTATACTTTAATTGCAAACTTTAACTCATCGCACAGATGATATCCTATTAATGCAAATAATCTGAATCAAATTCTTCATCCGAAATTTTCTCTTCTTCAGTCCCAGTCGGCCAAATTCTCGGTGCTCTACTCCATGGGGATTCATTCCAGCGGAGCCACGGGGTAAATATCCATTCACTGTTGAGTTTATGTCGCTGCCTATTTTAGTGGAGAGGTTCCTGCATTGATGCAACGTTTCAGAGTGAAAACTCTTCTGACCGTATCACGAGAATTCTGGCTTGGTGTTGAGATTTTTCTTGTCTTGGCGGAGCAACTGCCGACAGCTCCGCTCGGACTTTCCTTGGGATGGGATTTTTGGCTGGCGTTGGCTGGCGTTGGCTCTGATGGTAGGTGACGTCATCATCGAGCCACTGACATCGTGTGAGGATATTCACGACTGTACGCTTTGATCTCCAGGAGAGGCATGAAGATTTGAATGTCTATCAATAAGCTTAAAGGTGTGCGGGGAAAGAGAGTGCTGCTGTTGATCCAATTCATTAATTAATTACTTTGAATGAGCAATTGTTGTTGTTTTGTTCACATTCAATATGCTGCGTCCTTTGGTAACACGTGCTACCAAAATGCGAATCACCATTGTTCCAGCAAGCAACAAAACCAGCACAGCAGCAATACGCTGGCTGCTACCTCAAAACCCTTTTTTCGAAGTACACGGTGTCTATCGCGATCTTAAAAAAGTCCCCGATGAATTCAATTCTGTCGAAAATTTCACGGCCGTTCAGGGTGATGTTGCCGACGCGTCTACCCTAAACTTCAACGAGTCCGACGCGGTCATCATGGTTCTCCCGCCCGCCTACGACGGACGCGACATCGTCGAGCACTCGCGTCTAATCTCAAACAACGTAAAAGATGCCATTGAGAAATCTGGAACCGTGAGACGACTTGTTTTACTGTCGAGTCTGGGTGCCGAATTCGCTGAAGGCGTGGTAAGTATGCCAATGACAGCGCGTCTGTCTCTGACTTGGCCAGGGTGAGCTCAAAACAAATCACATTTCTGAAGAAGTCCTCAAGACGACGAACATCCTAGAGATCATCTTTATTAGAGCGGCATATTTTATGGAGAATTGGGCCACGTCGCTCGAGACACTGAAAGCACCAGTGCCATTCTTTTACTCAACCATCACACCTTTGGACTTTAAAGTTGCTATGGTTGCAGTCAAAGATATTGGTAAAACCTTAGCTGAGGAAGCCATTCGCGATTGGAAAATACCGACAAAGCCGTATGTCTGCGAACTACATGGACCACAGCCATATACACCATTGGATGTACAGAAGACATTCTCACAGGTTCTGAAGAAGGATGTTCAAGTCAAGGCAATTGGGAAAGATGAACTAAAAGGCTTCTTCGGCCAGATATTTGCACCGCAGATTGTTGATGAGTGGGTTGAGATGAGCAGAAGCTTCTTGCCTGGGGGTATTGCAGAAAAGGATCTTTCTAAACCGAGTGATGTTGATGTTATTCGTGGGATAACTACATTGAAGGAGGTGTTTGAGAGGGCTACAGCTGAAATGAGGCGATGACTGTATCTGATAACTACCTATTGATTGTAATTTATTCTTCGTTCTCTATTCTTTCAGTCGATGTGGTCTGAACCACGGTAACAGGATCGAAGGCAGACAGAATAAAGCAGCTTAAACGCGGGTCACAGCTCGGGGCACGTGACCGACTCATTCTGTCTCTTACGCCCTCGGCGCCCAATTCTTCCGGTCACCCGGATGGGCCGCATTTGGGTTTAGCGCGAATTGATAAGGGCATTAATTGAAGATCATTTACCCCAGCAACAGAGCTTCAACTGAGACTGGGTATCAAAAAAAGAAAAGAAAAGAACCTTGCTTACAACTCGACAGGAAGAATCGAATTCGAAGGTTTGACAGGTACATTGCCATCACGAGACGCGCAAAAGCGTTCCTGCATTTGGAAAAGTGCCCCGCTATCACACTAAGTGCTTATCGATAAGCACAATTTCCTTTGGCGCCAAGTTTTCTTTCCTCTTTTATCAAAGCGACTTTGTTGTCGCATGACGACCATCATGAACAGATTCCTACGGCCAATCGGGCCTTTGCGCCCTCACATCGCATTATGGAATACCGCACCACGAATACGTTCCTTACGTGCTTTATCAACAGCTGAAGAAGAAAGGGCTATCACGGCAAGGGCCAAAAAACTACGAGAACTCCAACAAGAAATAAAAAAAGCGAAACAGAGACAAGCAAGCGCAAAAGGAAAACCAGATTTAGAAGAGAAGACAAGTAGAGTTAATATAATAGCGGCAGAGTTAAGCGAAGTAGAAAAGGCACAAAGAGAAGCAAAAGAAAGAAAAAGTCAAGCAGCAAAAGCAAATGCACTAGCAAAAGCAGAAGCAAAAGCAAAAGTAAACATAAAAGCACAAGCGAAAAAAGAAGCAATAGAAGAAGCAAAAGCAGCAATAGCAGAAGCAACAGCAAGAGCAGCAGCAGAAGCAAGAGCAGAAATACCAAAAATAAAAGCAAGAGAAACGGCAAGAGCAATACGAAAAGCAGAAGAAGCAGCAAGATTCGCCTTGCAAAACAATACCTTCTACCGATCAAGCGAAGAACCCTCCGATGATTCACCCGAAGCGAAAGCAGAGTTCTGGGCTAAAAGGACGCACGATGAGATCAGAGAGCTGGTGAAACTGAGCGAGGACGGTGTTGCCTTTACTACAGCAGGTGAAAGCACTTTTGTGGAAGCGAGGAGTTATTTCAAAAAGTTTTGGCACCAGGAGTTACATGCCATGTTTGGGTACATGCCGTGTCGTGCCGATTATACTGTAGGGTTTGGAGATATGGTAAGTTTGTCTGCTTCCCAGATGATCGAAAGAAAACAGCTAACTTGATGGTCTCGCAGGATTGGACAGTGAGTCATCTTTTCAAGGCCGAGACTTCTCCAAAGCTAACTTCTTACAGGGTATGACCCCTCTCAAGTCTTGACCAGGATAGAACGTTGGATCCTAACATTCCCAGGGCGTGTGAGCATGCAAACTCTTCAAAATCTCGCCGAATCATCTCGTAATGATTGGCTGAGAATATTAAGCCGACAATATGGAAGTGACTCGAAAATAATGCTGAGGTTGATGGAGCGCTATGATTTAGGGCCTGCCATGGTCCCTGCTTCCTCCACGATACAGTATCTGAGAGTGAGTGTCCCTGCAGCCCAGCTTTTGAACCCCTTAACTGATCAGATGAAAACAAGCCAATGCGACACCCTTCTAAAAACGTCTTTGTCAGACACAGAATCGCTGAGAAACCGACAATGGAAACGCGAGGCGTCAAACTCGTTGCTTCTATCCTAGCCGGTCACAGCTATCTTCCAATTGCCAAAGTGGAAGAGACGGTCTACTTTATGGATCGTCAATCGAATTATTCGAATTTCATCACTCATGACGAATACAGGCCTTACTTTGATGCACTGCTGTGGTGCTGGGAGAGGCAGCAGAAACTCCCCGAGGAAGCAAGGGCCAGAATCTACGGCAGCATCGATGCAAGACTGGGTTCGATCGATCTCAATTTTGAGTCGCCCGATTCCAATTCTCAGCTGCCCAATTCCAACAAGACGTCCAAGGAACCGATGACAGTTGAGGAACTGAAGGAAGCCATTGAGCGTCAGACCTCTGTGAGTCACCCTCGGACGAATTTGACGGGCATGAGAGATCAGATGCGTCAGCAGGAGCCTAGCAACCAAGAGCTCGACGATGCCTTTGAGGCGGGTTTGAGGGCTGAGGGGGCGCAGTGGGAGTATGTGGAAGAGAATGGAGAAGGTGTCACTGAGGGTGAAGAGCAAGGCATGGAAGAAGCCATTGACGAGGATATGGAGGAGGATATGGAGGATGACAAAGATGAGGCCCAAGAGGATGAGGAGGTGAGTTTCAAGAAGCTGACTGCCCCACGAGGAAAATGAAGCTAACCGAGAAGCCGCGCGTTTCTAGCAGAGGGAGAGGTACAAGAAACTCACGCGTTTCTAGGAATGCTATAAGATAAAGAGAATGGACGATGGCTTACACGCGAAGGGCCCTCCAAGGACCGAGGCAGCGGTAACGACACCGGATGATGCTGGTTGACGATGCTACCAAGCATGGGCCTTGATAACGGGGGTGACCTAAGGAGGTGTTTTCATTTGTATTATTGTGTTTTGTCTGTTCTCTTCACTCCCTACTCCTCGAAAAATCCCAAAAAGGAAAAAAGAAACAGTTGACATTTGTACTTTAGTTAAATTGATCAAGATTGTATTGTTAAGGATTGAAGCTGTGTTACTACGAGATGTGATTATGGAGACAGTCAATTGAAGAGTGACCACTATCCAGATAGAATCTCAAACTACTGCCAAGTAGGATAGGATTAAAACAGTGCCAAGTATTAAAAGTAGTATAAAGAAATAATGCTATGCTAGTCCACCGTTCAACTCTCCACGACAACAGGTTTATTATGCCACTTCAACTCCCCTTCTTTGAAATTCGGTTCAGCCAACCAATTCAGCGTGAAAGCCTTCTGAACAGTCGGACAACACATATGCTTCGCCAAGATCGTATCACCATTGATATACGGCAGCAAATACTGATCGAGCAATTTCCACAGGATATTGTCCCACATAACAGCCCTGGTGGATGTACCAGCGAGTTTGACATCGTTGGTAACGTGCGCCTCGCGAATCTTGCGATATTCGGCGAATGTTTGCGTGAGATCCTTAATATCTGGGTTGGGCGTTTCGAGGAGGAGTGTGCGGAGCAGGTTGATTAGAACGACGGTGGATTGCCAGCCTGTGTTGAGCCCGAAGCCAATGTTGGGCGTCATTTTGTGGACGGAGTCGCCGAGGAGGACGACGCGGTCGCGGGACCAGGTTTTGGCGACGCCTTCTTCGAAGGGGGCTGTGTAGAACCACTTCTTGTTCTCCCAAACTTGCTTGAACGTTACACCTGGTGCAAGGTAGATGTCTTCGTATTTCTTGGCGAGCTGATCGGCTTGTTCGGATGTGATCCAGTGTTTTCCAGTCGTAGGCTTGTCGAGCTTGAGATAGATTGTAAAGAAGTATTTATTGTGCGAGGGCATGATGAGTTGTGTGCTGAAACCTTCGGAGTGACATTCGTAGTCTGTTCCTTCGACGAGATCGGTGGAGAGTTCGTTGCCGTGGCCGTAGAAGCCGTAGAAGGTTGTTGTGAAGTCTTCATTCTTGGCCTCGCTTTCTTTGGTCTCTTCGTTCACGTATGAGCGTGTTGCGCTGTTGATGCCGTCGGCGCCGATAAGGATATCTCCGTTGTAGACACTTCCGTCTGCGCAGGTGACTTCCACACCCATTGGTTTGGACTCGATGGAAGTAACGTGCTTGTCGAGATGAAGTTGGTTCGTTATGTCCGAGAGATTATCCTTGAGTAAATTGACAAGATCACCGCGCTGGAATAACATCCATTCATGACCGTGGCTATCAAAGTCAGCATTTCTACCTCCACCGTGTTTCAAGGGACTAACTCACTATTCGCCGATATTCTTAATCATATCACTCCAACTCATAACAGATCCATCACGTCGAAGATTGCACTTCTTCGCCATAGGCAGATGCAGATCATAAGCCTTCTGCAATAGACCAAGTTGATCTAGAATGCGCGAACTGTGAGGCCAGATACAGACTGATGCACCCCAGTTCAAATCTGCTTCTTTCCGTCGTTCGAGGATGGTAAACTCAATGCCAGCTCGTTGAAGAGCAAGGGCTGCGAGAAGGCCCGTTGGGCCAGCGCCAGCGATGAGAACTTTGAAACCCATTTTGAGACAACACAAGATAGGCAGTCAGAAAAAGAGGCACAATTGACGGGAGGAGGCGCTTTTTATCTGTGATTCCTTCGGAGAAACCGTGATGTTACCCCAGATGTGGTTCGCTACCCCTGCAGTATCCAGAACCGTTGGACACCTCAGTGTTGGGATCGGCACTCGGTTACGATTAGTTTCATCCTTTGCAAAGCTTCTATTCGACGGTTTGAGAAAGGAAGCGTTTATGTTCCATTCCTTCAACTGAAGAAAAAAGCGTATCTGCCGAATGTTACGCTGTAAATTGTGATACTCAGGAGGGAAGAAAAAAGTTGTCCTTAAGGCTCAGCGCGCCGGAATACAGCAGCTGAAGTGTTAGTCCAAGGTGACTAAGTTAATTTGTCTCCTAAACTCTTATCGGACAATTCTTCTGATACTTTGACAGGGAGTCCGATATACTGAAGATGAATCGGTATCGGCAAGTTTCTGTTGTTTTCGGCTGATTTATATGAGACAAGGTAATCTCTCTCCTAAGTCCAAGTTGCTGAGACTTGGTTCTTTCATGGTATTGGTAGGCTTACTTACTCTCGCCATCGAAGAAAAGAGAATCGCTAGCTCCGTCTTCGTAGTGATACTAAATCTTAAAGACGTCGAACAGACCTCAAACGGCTTATGGCACACAAATTTAGCAGTCGTTTTACTTCTCGAAATTACTGATCAGGCGTTGGAAGTATTGACCAATGACCATAGGGCTTCACGGTTATACAATGCATCATGATGATCGCATGTAAGTCGTGCTGCAGTCACTGAAGCAGGGTTGATTTAGTCTCGCAGTGACGTATCAAGGCCTGGGCCATAATATATGGACTCTTGACGACAATGCAGTTATAAAGTTCTTTGTGGTAGGGTTATATACTGCGCACGACTGTTGAGGTTACTGACGTTATTAGTATTTGATAATTGTCGAATGTGCCTATGTCCTGAGCCTACGTCTTCCCGAACTCTTGATCCTGTGGCTCTTCTTAAGAACGTTTCCAGGGCAAGATTTTCAAAGGGTTGTGAAATGGACAATGGCCTTCAATATCCTGTCGACGGCATGTATCTCTGTAGCTGCATTGTGTCAAACCTTTCCAGCTGATCCATCGAAGGAAAGGTGGAAGGATGAGTCATCACCTGGTTTGAGGGTGAATATCCACGCATTGGCCTTGTCTCAAGCCGGGATCAATGTTGCTCTTGATATCTGGATGTTCATCCTTCCTCTCACTCAACTTTACCACATTGGCCTGAAAACAAGGAAGAAGATTGGTGTTATGCTGATCTTCAGTCTTGGATTCTTGTGAGTACCTGACTTTGAGTGATGCTCTGGCCAAGTGCTTATATCATCGTAGCCTCATTGTTGTCAGCTGTGTACGCATTCCGTTCATGATCGATTTCAGCAGAAGTCTCAACTCAACTGGTATGTGGCGAGCTCTAGCCTTGGACCTTTCTGACACGGGATGTTATAGCCGACTCGCAAGGAGTCATTGTTTGGTCAAATGTGGAAAGTGGTGTAGGCATCCTTGTGGCGTGTCTTCCTCATACCGCACCACTCTTACGAGCTGCCATGATGCGTGCGAAATCCATGACACCATGCTCAAAGTAATCTGACGAGAGTCAAGATATTTTTGTCGACCGAGGTCTCGCTACGATTCAGGTGACGCGTCTCGACGGAGCGACTTTGGTCAATATCAACTCGGATGAACTGGCTTTGAACGGTCGGGGAGGGTTGCTTACTATGGATGACTGCCCCTCTCAGATACCGTCTTCTAGGACTGGTAGTGAAGGATTTAGGACGATTTGAGATGGCATATATGGACCAAAACTGGTCTCTGTACATAAGTATTTGTAATCTTGCGACGATTCTTAAGTTCGGATATTGCAAACGATTTCGTCAAAACCCTGGCTACTTTCACTTCTTCTGCTTGTCAAGTACTTTTGTCACAGAGCTGAGTTGAGCAGTTATATGATGGAAAAGTACGATCGGTTCTACTCCATGCTGATATATCGAGTCTTTCACTATCGATTCTCGGCTTGAACAGCCTTCAAAGTCACACTGGTGTACCCACTTGTTGGCCGTTGACCCACCCCCAAGAAACAAATTATCGTTCCAACACAGACTATTGAGATCTAGAAGTCGGAAATATTGGAACTGGTCAGGTGAAAAAAAAAAAGGAGGAAGAAAAGGATACGAATTAATTGAAGATGGAGGCATGAGCTCTCAACGTTCTTCAATGATGACAATAGAGTTCTTCCAGAGGCAAAAAATGAGGTTCTGCCCGGGCTCGAACCGGGGACCTTCTCGGTGTTAACGAGATGTCATGACCAACTAGACCACAGTACCAAGCTGTTTTTGTGCTCGAAGCTCTTCATTTTGGGATTTATCCATTTACCATTGCTGCATTGGGTGCGACAGATGAGAAAGAAAACAAACCAGACTTGTGTATTTTGCATAACCACATATGCATGTACATAAATGCGCTATTCAAGCCACAACCTATCTCTATGAATTGTTTTCTCATTCTATGTTGTTACAGGGAAAACGATCCTAAGCGATATTGGTGCACGTCGTCTTTGGAATACCAGCGTACGATTTACTGTCTTAGATTGAAAATTAGATTGTCTTGAAGAGGCATCGGGTGTGATCGGTCAGATCGTCATCTGAGTCAATATGCATAATGTCGCGGAGAGATACTTGAGGGGACGGCACGGATAATCCTGTAGGGAAGGGAAGCAAAGTACCCTGATTGGGTATGGGGATCGAGTGTAGGAACGGCCCGTCATCAATTTTGCGATCGGTGTTCCTGTTTCAACGACATGCATATTTTAGGTGAGGGGTAAAGAGATATCCTAGACCGCTAGATGAAGGATAGTAATGCATCAGACTCTATCTGTCACAATCGTCGTGGCTGGTATCTTGCCACGCTCTGTGATTGATCTTGTTAATGCTGTAGAACATTCCACGTCGTGAGCAAGGGGCTGGTGGTTTTTCTTTTTATGATGAGACGGGAACTAAGCAAACAACATCATATGGCTTGTGTTAAAATTTACTTGATTTATGACCTGAGACATGAAGATCAGCACGTTACTGTCTTTGGAGTCTTGCAGTTGGCTACGCCATCAATATACTTCTTGTCTTATAGCAAAGCAGCTATGCACCTAAGTAGGTAAGACAGAAAGGTGGGCACATAAGGCTTAAAGTACCAAGATAAGGTAACTTACCTGTTAAGCAAGCACAAATTAACTGACTTATTTTATCTCTTATTCTCTTATTCTCTTATTGGCTACTTCTTCTGATACCCCGACGCTGTATGTACTTTGATGCCCCAAAGAACCAGACCATCATGCCTACATGCCTCGCGGGGTGTAGTGAAACAATACGCTCACCGGAACCTTTCCAGCGAATTGATAGCTCATTACCTGATGCAAAGGACGAATGTGAGACACGGCATATCTGATCGATCACTAATCTACAGTATGTGCCCTCACCGCAAGACGTCGGAGACACGAAGAGATAAGCGAATGTAGAGATCGACTGTAGATAGGAAAACGTGACATCTGGTTCTTTGATATGAATTCTGTTGGGCTTAAAAGAGACCGTCTCTCCCACCCTGTAGACTCCTCACCATCAACCTCAGAACAACACAATACAACCCACAAACTTAAACACTCATACCTCACCAAGTAAGTCACCTGTCTCCCAAGCCCTCCCCTCTCTAACACTCCCAGAATGTTCGCCTCCATCAAAGTCAACGTTATCAATAACGATCACAGCAACAACTTCGAAATCGTCGAACAGGCCTGCTCCCCTCAGGGCAATGGCTCTCAGTGGAATAACAAGGGAGGCAAGTTGACACTCTCGATGGGTGACAACCAAGGTTCCGGCATGCTTCGCTTCAAGACCGAGCAGAACAAGGAGGCCTTTTTCATCGCCATGGGCGTTGAAGCGCCTAGACCCTGGGTCGACATTGTTACGGGACTGGGTGACGATTACACCTGCGTGCAGGCTCTGCCTGATTACTATGATTACAAATCTGAGCGTAGCAGGATGCGGGGCGACCGTCAGGTCCACCAGATTGAGAACATTGATCGTCGACTGATCAGGGCCGAGTTCAAATATTCGGAGGGCCCTAACTATGAGCTGGACATTATCATTAATGAAAAGGGAAGGTATTAATTTGGAAGTGGGGATTAGGCTATATTACAACTGAAGGATCAAATAGTTTTGTATACTCTGAGGACTGATGCGCATATTCTTGAGACGTCCGAGAGCTTTGAGCAGACCTTGCTCAAGTATTGCTAAGCGCATGAATACAACAATGAAAACTGCTGGTCAGATGTATTTTACTCTTAGGTAGCCATTGGCTTGATTATTGTACGTGAGAATACGAAAAAGACCTGCTTCTTTCAAAACCATCTAAAACTTAGGAGTGGCGCCGTTGAGAGTGAGGGTATAATCCAGACCCTTGTTAACCTCCTCGGTCAACTCAAACCCATTGTACATAATAGCCTTAGCAGGGGCATTCGCAACAACAACGGTAACATCATCTCCAGCCGTAACAGCAACACTAGCAGCACCATCAGCCAGAGTAGTGTAGGATGTAGTGCCATCCTCGTGGTAAACAGCAACAGTCGCCACAAATTCTCCCTCAGCGACAACCTTGACATCAACCTTCTCACCGGTAACGTCGAGAGGAATGATGTTAGCACCCATGTATCGAGGTGAGCGATCAGCAATGGGCTTGTATCCATCGCCGGAAGCATCGACGTAAGCGACGCCAAGTTCTGCGCGCTGCTGGAAGAAGACTTCTTGGGCTGTAGAATGGCCGATGTCAACGTAGACCATGCGTGCCCAGTAACGACCGACGATGTCCCCGACAGTCGCGTTCTTGGAGACGCGAGCAAGAGTGTGAAGAGGTGTCTCGTTGCTGCCCTTCTCATACTGAACCTGCATCTGAAGAATGGTATCTTGACCCAAACCCTCGAAGTCATCAGGGTTGTTGGTCAAGTACGCCAGAAAAGGCCAGGCTTGGTAGTAGTTGCCAGACTCGGGTGTTCCATCGACGATGACTTGGTGAGCGTCGCCAAGAAGCTTCTGAAGCTCGATCTCGGTAGGCTCTGCCTCTTGACCGTGGGCCTTTCGGACGGCGGCACAAATGTCGGAGGTTTTGTACGTGTCGGCGACCCAGTTGGCAAGAGTCTCCCACCAAGCGCCAGTATTCGTCTGGTCTACCCAGTTTTGCTGATGATAATGCAGTCCATGACCATACTCATGAACTGTCACGCCTGGAACGGCGAGGTACTCATTCACAACCTCCAACCAAGCAGACCCAGCCTGCATATCAGAGTGCATAACACCCGCCGCACCATCCAACTTGGAAACAGCGTAAACATTGGTCTTGTGCAGCTCTCCACTGTCAGTCTGATCATTGAAAGAAAGACCGGAAGATCGCCACTTTAGTGTGCCAACGAAGCAATCAAAGGCGGCTTCGAGCATGGATAGGGTTTTGTCGGTATCTTCGGCGGATCCTCCGTAGACGCGGAAGTGGGCTGAGTCTTTGAAGTTGGAGCCTCCGGGGCCGACATTGGGGTTTGCCGTGTATGAAGATGTAGGTTCAGCCGCCTGGGCTGATGTTGGAAGGGCTTGAGGAAGGGCATTGGCGCTGACGGCGAGAAGGCCGATGATGGCCTTGGAAGTGATGAAGCCCATGGTAACGAATGAAATAAAGCGAAAGACTAAAAAGAAGAGAACGAATGGAATGTACAAAGAACAAAGAACAAGACAGGAGTGCAATTAAGCTCTTATATAGATACTACCCAAAATGTTAAACCAAATAAACATGCTAGCAAGACCAAGATAATTGGTGGAAAAGCCCCGTTTCCGTTTCATGAAAGTCAAAAAGTTTCAGAAAGTTGGTCTGTGATGGATTTTGATGATCAAAGCGAAGGGAAGTTACGAGTATAATCCCGGTACTGTTGCAGTAGCTTCTTCGACAGGGGTTAGTTTGATTGCCAAGGGCGGATGTCATTGTTTCATCTCGGTATTTGATGTTGATCTATACGCGCTTTAATTTCAGCCACTGAAGAAGAATTGATGAAATGATATCTGATGAACAAGAATAGAGTGAGAATGATGCTAGAAATTTGTGTATCGTGAGACGAGACTTGGTCTTGGAGTTGAGTATTGCTCATCGGCTGATACCGTCACGTCATGCCGACAATTACCCGCCTCGTCACACGACGTTAGCCATGACTCCATTCCATCTCACAGACCATCTCCATCTCCCTCAGGTTGTTTCAAACCCGCAAAACCCTGGAATAAACATCTCCGTTGAGATTCTGGGTCCAAAATGCCGTCAGATCGACACGAAGATGTTCAACAACCTCTCCTCGCTTCCCCGCGCGAAGAGAACGCGTCGCGCAACAACCGAGGAACATTCACCCGCAACCTCGGCGCCGCAGAAGCTTTTGGCATTGTCGTAAGCATCGTCATCGGAAGCGGGGTTTTCACGTCTCCTGGCTCTATCGATACGAATGTTCCGTCTCCGGGTATTGCGCTGGCGATTTGGTTGATTGGTGGTGTTCTGGCTTGGACGGGTGCTACGACTTTTGCCGAGCTTGGTACTGCTATCGAAGGCGAAGGTGAGATCTCACTCTCGAAGTTAGGGTTGATGGGTGACTAATGTGACTCAGGTGGAGTGCAGCCATATCTTCAGCATATTTATGGCGAAGTCTGGGGTTTTCTCGCGGCATGGACATGGATCGTCGCTGTCATGCCCGCAACCCTCGCTATTCTCAGCATCGTCTTCGTCGAGAGCGCATACTCAGCTGCAGGCGTAATCAACCAAGATCACCTCATCTCACATAAGCTTCTCTCCATTCTAGTCCTCGTGGTGATGAGCGTTGCAAACTCTATCAGCACGAAAGCCAGCACGCGCCTCAACGGGTTCTTTGTCGTTCTCAAGTTTCTGAGTATCTTGGTCGTTGTGGTCGCTGCTATTGTAGTAGTAGGCGTTCATGCCGCACATCCTGGGAAGGAAGTTGGGGGAGGCGATTGGTATAAGAAATCGTGGTTTGCGTATCGTGATACGTATAATCCGAATGGGCCGGATACGGAGTGGGATAAGTTGAGCCAGTGGGAGATCTTTGGACATTACTCTGCTGCCTTGTATGCTGCTTTGTGGGCTTACTCTGGATGGGACAAGGTAGGTCATTGTTCCAGTTGCAAGATCGACTATTAACGTCAACAGGCGATTTATGTCTCTGCCGAGCTTTCGCAACCTGCCAAGCAACTGCCTCTTGCCATCAACACATCCATCCCAACAGCCATCATATGCTTCCTCGCTGCGAACGCAGGATACTACATCCTTCTCCCATGGAACGTCGTCAGCACTACCGACAGTGTAGCAGTAACCGCCATGACCCGTCTTCTCGGCCGTGGTTTCGGCATCGTCACCGCCATACTCATCTGTCTAGTCGTTGCAGGTTCTCTACTCGGCAACTCCTTCGTCGCAAGTCGAATGTGTGTCGCCGCTGCGAGAAAGGATTGGATTCCTAGCCTTTTCACCATCGTCGGACGAGTCGGCGCTAAGCCTACTGAAGAAGAAGAGAATACTGATGCTGATGAGCCTGCTGGAGACGCGCCAATCAACGCTGTGATTCTCTCAGTTATTGTCGCCAGCTTCTATATCCTGTTTGGCAGTTTCAGAGCTCTCCTCACTCTCAACGGTCTGGGAGAATACTCTTTCTTCTTCCTTACCGTCCTCGGAGCGATCATCTTGCGATACCGGGAGCCTGATCTGGAGCGTCCATACAAGACTTTCTCTATCAACCCGATTGTGTTCGTCATTGTCAGTGGTTTCGTTGTTGTTAGAGGAGCTATCTTTGCGCCTACACAGGCGATCGTCATTATTGCTATCTGGGCCCTGGGTCTTGTTTTCTACAAGGCGCGACAGTTTTTGACTTCTCTTGAAACTGCAAACGAATAAGTGTTTTATTCTTTAGCGCATTCGTGCATGTGTTGAGCGACTTAACGTCATTTCTATAGCATATGTGGAGTTGAATTTTAGGAGAGGAAATCATAAGAGACGAAATAATTTAGTTATATTATGATATATTAGAGCAACATTTAGGCTATTTTATTGCGGCAATCTAAATTCTAGGCCTTAGGGGGCAATTCTGCCGTTACATGCATGTTGTGTGAACATCGAAGCCCAAGAACTTGACCGCGGGATGATTTTGAGAGCTATACCACATCTCAAGAGTAATGGAGACGATGAGGATAGCAGTGGAGGGACTGGAGCGGTAGACATTGTGTACACGAGTACGTCTCGGAATAAGAGGGTTCTGCTCAATCCGAGCCCGAATGTCACAGTCTGTTTCTTGGCCCAGATTCCCCAAGGTGGACAGATAGTAACACCTTAATTTCCTGTGAGGAATCTACAAAGCTGAGTGAAGGGGCTGGCGACCAGTCTGTCAGATCTATTGGCTTGATGCCGATGGGTATTCGGTTTTCTTCGAATTCTGCGATAAAACAAGGTATGTTCGCAAGTTCCATGTTGTTGGCTGTCACGTATCGCCTTGCCAGGTTGGTCCAGAGTTGTGCAGTTGTTAGAAGGTTCTTAGCACAGGCTGCTTGTGTAAGCTCGTCCACAAGATGATCAGTGAATTCCCCTGGCGTTGCGCGGTGTTCTGTGTAATAAGCTCCAATGATCTCTTTGTACTGTCCGATACTTCCTCCAGCACCATGACATGTATCAAGTAGCATCAGGAACTTGGCAGGCTGATGGTCAATGGCCGTTTCCCGTACCATGTTGAAGTTTACCTCCGGTGTTTGTTCATTTGTTTGTTGACGCCCCTGCATCTAAAGCTGAGCGTCCCTAAGCTGATGCCTAACTTCGCCGCGGTCGATATAGTAGATGATCACTAGGCACTCTGAGTCCATACCATCGAAGGCCTCCTCGAGTGCGGTGAGCATATCTCGCTGGGCAAAGGTTGTGCCGGGGAGTGTCGAAGTCGCCACTCGGAAACCAAAGCCTTGTGAAAAGACATTTTTTATCTTATCGCAATATGTGCCGACTCCAAATTGGTCGGTTTCGAAGTGGAAGCATAGAACGCGGACTTCTCGGTAAGGTTGCATTTTTGCGCGTGAGCGATACTCGTTATCGCATGCACTATGGATTACCCGGTTAAAGTCTTGCAGTGATATTGCATCTTCGTTGCCGAAGGCGTTAGCAGGATGCGTAGATGAATTTCTCATCGTAGGACTGCACGAGATGTGAGGCAAGAAAAGAAAGTTAAAAGCGAGGGTCCGAAACTGATATATACAGTGAATGATAACGAGCTGCTAATTGTAGAGAGTATTTGCCCTTGTCAGAACCAAGACCACCAATGCAAGGAAGACAGCAGGGAATAGAGAAGAGAGGGGCAGCGTTTATAGTATCCGTGATAACGGTATGGATGGCTCACGATATAGTCTGTCCTAGAGCTTATAAGCATAAGGTTCAGAGTTAACGATGTGTGATCAGAAGTGTATTCTTGTGGATACTCATTGGAATAGCACTTCTAGGATTTAGGGTATCGAAATAAAATGCTCGTCTAAGTTAGCATAATAGTAGCTAAATTATTTCGTCTCATATGCTCCCAGTGGCGGTCTAATTTCCTCCTCTTTGCGTGGATGTCAATGCCAAACATGTTAGGTTGTCAAGGTATTGATTGATGGCCCTGGAACCAACCTGAGCTGGTTCGAAAATAGCGTTGTCCCGTCCACTTTCCCTCAACGAATTACACTTTTGGTGCATCATAGCCTTCAGGTGAAACTTTCCTCGACGAATTTAAGGTTCCTTTCAAGCATTATGACTATAATCCTATCGAAACCTTTTTTGTTCTACTTCAAGGCTCAGGGCTCAGGTAGGAAATGCCTTGCTTCCTCTCTGCTTTATCTCTTCTCCCACCGATATCAGCCGCATCACAGAACCACCTTTGAAGACACACAATTTAAACAAGTGGCATCATGGTACGCTACGAACTCGAAGAACCGCTTTGTTCCATATGTGGTCTCAGTGTAGGCTTCTACAACCGCCGAGAAAGAACCTGGCAAAGTATTGCCATCGTGATGCAAGGGCCCAGGCATGCCGTTTCCAACGATCATCTCTCCTGGTGTAGAGCTACAGGATATCCATATCAGGGGTTAAGCCACTTTACACAACTTCCCTCACGAAGACCCGCTCTTATACATTCGAGCTACCGGTACAGCCCAACACTGGCTGTCCGATCCGACTACCATTTCCTTGGTTTTCACTGCGCTTGCATTTCCATTGCTTACCGAGTAATCTTGACATCACCCACAAACTCGCTGTACAACGCCAAAGATGTCTGGAATACGTTGAACCAGCGTTACAGAAATGGTCCACCCAGCGAAGAGTATTGGGACGACGTCCCACCCATCCCTCAGAAGACTGCACAAGGAACATGTTCTTGGACTAGATACCCTGCTTACTATCTTCCGACCTATATGCACTCGAGAAAATTTGAATGGGTAGGCGTTTTATCCGTCTTTGTGAATCCTTTTTCTTTGCTAACATGTATCAGTGGTCTGCCGATCCGATGCTTATTCCCAACTTTACGGCCTGCCTACTGCGTAACTTACAGAGCTGTCCAAAGACTTCGCCAACCAAAAGGTCTCCGCTTCAGGACCATCTCGAGAATCTTCCCCAAGAACTGTATGATCAGATAAAGGAATTCGTCCAGCAAGGACCCATGAGTATACAGCCCACGGGTATCTTACCCCAGTCGCTTTGGAAGGAAGCTTTCCTCAAGATACCGTTTCTTTGGGACTTGGATGTTGGAGAAGTCGAAAGGTTTCCCGATTCGCCCCCGGATCCAGACAAGGAATGGGACTGGGAACAGTTAGTCCGCCGACTTATGGCTCGTCCCATTCAAGCTGATCCACCGGCATTGGAATATCTTATGCCTGCCCCTTGGAATTATGGAAAAGCAGGCTTGGAGCTGCCCCAAGGGTTGACAAATCGACGACGAATCTGGCAGATTGTGGACGACATGGACCCCAACGAACTCGATGGGTGGGAGGGCGAGACCTATGGTCCCTCTGAAGAGACAGCAGCTGCGGCTTGATAAGAAAATGAATTTGATAGATATAGAGCGGAGCTCAGTAACATTGAGAGGACATTTCTTTTGTCATCCAATATGCATCTTCACTCTTCTCCCACCACGCACAGGTACCCATGACGTCAAAGCCATCACTGAGACCTATCAGCATCCCACTCCTTGAGCATCTCCTCAAGCTGCTCATGTCTCTTCAGCGCCTCTGCAAACGTCACCAATCCCTCCGTCTCACCACTAGCAAACCGATCATAAACAGCAGCAATACTCCTCCCAATAATCGGAATATTATTCTCTTCCTGCCACGCATGCCACTTCCACTCCACCTCCTCAACCTTATCCGTCTCAAAATCATGGACCCCGATAATGACAGGCTCGTCGTACCCAGAGGCGTTCAAAGCAGTGCCTCCATAGCCTCGGAGGCGAATTTCACCCTTTTCGCCGGCGATGGTGATGAGGAGGGGTGGTTCGCCGGGGAAGGGCTGGCCGCGGCGGAAACGGATTGACACCGCGGCGTCTTTTTGGACGGTGAGAGATTCTTTGAGAGTTCCTGTTGCAAACGTGATATCTGGGACGTCGGTGCTGACTGTTTCGGTGATCTTGCCTGAGTCGAGGTCACGGAGGCGGATATTGGGTCTTTGCGAGTGAAGACGGCTTTTGGTGTTGGTTATATCTCCAACGATGTACTGGAACGAATCGAAGACTGCAATTATTAGCCATGCACCGATCTCTTGGGCTGTTAGATGGTACTTACTGTGTCCCAGCCCAATGGTAAAGGTATTTCCACCGATAGCGCGCTGCGTAAAATACTTCAACGTCGTAGGCAGAATCTCGCGATCATTCGTTCCCCCAGCAGCCTTCAACTCGGCACTAACAATCTTTCCAATCCTACCCTCCCGAACAAGATCCCTAATCTTCACTACAGGCGGCGCAAACCGTCCCTGCAACCCAACAATATTCCTTTCCCCCGCAGCCTCGACAAGCTCCTTCGCATGCTTCACATCCTGCGCCAAAGGCCACTCGACAAAAACCATCTTTCCAGCCTTCACGCTCGGAAGGGCACTTGAATGATGCACATCAACACGTGTACAAACGACCACAAGTTGAACATCTTTGTCAGCTGCGAGATCTTCCGCAGTACCGTACGCTTTTGTCTCAGCAGGTAACTTGTATTGCTCTATGGCTTTCTGGGCTGCCTCGACGGAACTGTTTTGCAGAGCGACGATTTGGTATTTTGAGCGTCCGAGGGGAGACAGGAGGTAGGGGAGATGGGCTTTTGAGGCCCAGCTTGTTTTTGCGGAGGCGGAGAGACCGACTAGGGCGACGCGGATGGGTGCCATATTGAGTAGCTGATACGAAATAGTCTGCTGAATTCTATTATCTGTCTTGGTTCGATATTCTCGAGTTCTGTTGATGATGGTTTTATATAGTTGAGATTGATGATGCAGGTGAGACTGATTTCTAATCACGGATTTGTAAGTTCGAGATTGGTCAGACGTGCCAAGTGTCATGGACTCCCAGTATGCAGCACGTCTTACCTGTAAGCATTTTAATTGAAAGTGAGATCACGCAATTGAATTCTAGTTTCAATCTTGTGCTTCGCTGTATGCGACCAGTTATTGAGCTCTTGTTTATGTGGTAGACGGTTTGAGATAAATGCTGCTTATCGTGTAGATTTCATTAACGATATTCCCTTGGATGCGAATGTATACTTTGCGATGAATGATGCTTTTACTCCGGATAGGCCACGGCATTATCTAGCTTGACAAGAATTGTGATAACAAATCTATCGCACGTAATAACGAGTTAAAACGAGTTGCAGAGGCTGCGTAGCATCGATAACCCATACGGTTTCTTTCGCGCAATTTAGGGAAGTCATTGGAAAGCAAATTATTTTCATTGACCGTAAGACCATACTTCATAATGCTTATGTACCAAACTGAATGAATACTCCATATTAACATCCTCGGCAGAAGCCTCTCTTACTTTTGTTCTCTTATTGCTCAAACTCTCCAGCGTAAAGGATCTCGCCTCGCTTCTCGTTCATGATCTCCCACACATCCCTCTCTTGGAGCTCATCTCGCTTTGACACGCCAGCAAGTTCAACCGCTTGAGCTTCCCTTTCAAGTTGCACTACCACTATAGTTAGCACAAATTCATAGAAATCTAGGAGGAAACTTACCATGCAAGAATACGGCAGCCCTTTTGCCGGTGAACAGAGCGTGCGGAACATTGGTAGTACCATCTGTGTTAGCATCGCCAATAGCGTAAATACCGGGAACGTTGGTGATAAGACCCGCGGAAGCGTTCGCCTGAAGTCTTCCACCGACGAGTTCAACACCAGCCTTCTCGCCAACATCAGAGCGCTGCTCGTCAGCGAAGCTGGTCAGGAACGCAGCGCGCTCAACGGGCTTACCCTCTGTGAACTCAACTCTGAAGAGATCGAATTCGGGAACTGAGGGAAGGCTGGGATCGGCGTCGTGTGTGTCGCCGCTCTTGATGCGCTTGATTTCGCTGATAGTTCGATTGTCGACTGTGACGTTGTGAAGCTGGAGATATTGTTTCCACTGGGGAAGGTCTTTGGTTGCAAGAGCTTGTGTAGTGCTGTTGTCTGTTCCGTTGACAAAGGCATACACATCTCTGTTGAGCGTAGCCATTTCTCTGACCAGGCCAGCGATCTTGTTAAGAGGGGCAAGGAGACCTAGGGGTTGATCTTCATGCTCGTGACCATCGCACCAGGGACACCAGAAGATACCCTTGCCCCAGTTCTCAGCAACGCCGGGGGTGGAGGGAAGAATGTCCTGGAGACCGGTTGCGAGAACGATCTTGCGGGCTGTGATCTTCTTGGTAGGTTGACCGGGGTAGTCAACGGACAGGGAGAATTGAGTGAAATTGCCATTCTTGCCCTTGTTCTCGATATCTGTCACAGTGGCGTTCTCCATCTTGACAGTGTCGTAGTACGAGAGGAGTCTGCGCGCTTCGTAGCGGTAGTACGCAGGTTGGACGCCTATGTTGTCAGTTGAGGTCTTGTCAAGAGTGGGAGGGCAGCTTACCATCAAAGCCAATGACATCGTGCATGTGCCTCGTAGGTCCATTCCTATATAGACCGTTGTCAAGAAGAAGAACATTTCGACGCACACGAGCAAGACCGCTCAGAGCAGAAAGACCAGCAGGCCCACCTCCGATAACGACAGCATCGTAATCAGTGTCAGGTAGCACGGTGGTCTTGGCATCTTTGGCAATGGCAGCAGCATTGCCGAGAGTAAGAAGCGCTGAGAGCGAAAGAGTAGAGAAGAAGCGCATTGTGAAGGGTATGAGGAGGATGAGGTAAGGATGGATGCCAGAATAGTGATGAAGAGTAGCGATACTCGTATGTATATATAGTGAATTCGTAGGGCAAACAAAAGATGTCTAATTAACCTGATTCAGGTATCGCATCTCACCAAATTACCCATACGGTAGTTGTAAGTTGTGATCGTCGAGGTAGCCGAGTGGGGATGGTCTAGAGACTAGGATCTACCCCAGCTGAACCTGCCGTGTCTCACACTCAGCTGTTATCTAACCACTGAGAGCTGCAGTCGTAGCTTCCTTTTCGGCGCCTCATTCTCTGCATGCCAGTATTAGCTCCCTTCCCCCCGTCTTTCTTGTGCGAACTGAACTGAACCTTGTGTTAATACTGAAGACTGATCGAGCTTACAAAGCTAGAAAACAGACTTTTCAATGCCCAACACATTGACTTATTATGACAGTAACTCCAACAATAATATACTGTCTCCATAGGTACCTACAGAGCCTGAAAACCCCATCGTCATTGCACACTGTTACATGCGGGAGGACGGAGCGGATCCACGGGATCTCCGCTGCAGAGTGACAGTGCGGAAGCTACCTCTAGCTCAACAAGGGCAAGAGAATGGGGAAAGAGAGGCTCTTGGTGTTGAAGAAAGTTGCAACACTGCATCGATAGCGCTTACGGGGCTTGAAGTGACAATGCTGTCGGACCTTTTAGGCCGTGCTTTTAGTGTCAATTCAGTGAGCTTTAGTGCACTTCTCATGAGGTTTAGTGCATTATGTGCTGGAGAACGAGTGCGAAGGGATCAATTGACTTTCAACGCTAGAAGATCAACTACGGTCTAGAAAAGCAAGATACGATCGTCGCTTTGTCTTAGTTTGGGCTATGTAACGTTGATCTTTTCCCTGGGAAACCACGATTTTGACCCTCTTGGTGATAGTAGGGTGAGACAAAAATAGAGGATGAGCAGGTGTTGACGCAAATTGCTCACTGTCATCATCCGAATGCGAAAACTTTCTATTCCTAGGCATTACAATACTGTGACCTATACGAGATCAATTACTAATTGAAATGAGGCTCAAGATAGACGAGATCAATATGCACAATATTATCAGGGCTTATGTTGAGGGTGGTGATCTGATGGGCGAATTGGCAGCGGAAGAACCCGCCTTAGCAGCTTTAGCAACCCTATAGCTCAAGACATTGTCAAAGCGAAACTCCATCGTCTGTCTCACCAATCGCGACTAAACATCTCTATGGAAACTGTTTCCCAGTTATTTCTTGGTCGGGGAAGCGGATTTGATTCAGATGTTGTCTTGAAATCTTACCCACTCAACAAACAGAACAGAGCGGTCAAATGACCAGAGCTGCGAGACAACGACGGAGCAGGCGTGCTTGCATTTTTACACGAGTGGAACAATAACAATACCGATAGAAACGATGATGGGAATTTAATAATGTTGGAAAGATGGTATATCTAACCAATTACACCTAGGTATGCAAGAATGCTATCCTCATGCCCCTCAACACCACCGATGCTTCGTGAGTAATCCTACTGTATCGCGCATCTCCACCTCTGTTTCACTGCCGTTACTCCTCTCTTCCCTCCATCCTAATCCCAGAGTATCCATCCCGCCCTTGCAGCAGCTCCACCAAGCGCTTTACTCGTCACATGAACATCAAATGTCTCAGGCTCCGGCGTCGTAGGCCCTGATCCATCAGACACAGCCTGCGACTCACTACCCTTCGGACTCTTCACAGGCGGCGTAATAGGTTTGGAGAAGTTAAACGTCGGATTCGCTTCTTCTGCGTCAACGACAGCCGAGAGCGTAGCTCGGGTATGAAGATGGACTTGCGATCTTGAAGCGCGCTTGAGACGAGGTGGTTTGCGTTGAGCGACGGGTGATCCTGCTCTTCGACGAGATTCCATCTCTATCCGTTCTTCTTGCTCCGTCTCATCATCTGTAATCGTGCTAGGATCGAGTAAAAGCCAATGCCTGGGCGCAACGTGAAGACTGCTTCCAGACTTGCGACGATGACGCTTCTGGTTCTTGACTTCAGAGGGCGGCTCAATGATGGTCTGTCCCTCTTTGATCCTGACAGGCAACTTAAGCGGGATGTTTCCAGCAGTAACGTTCAATCTTCTAAGATCACGCTGGCTTTCTGAAAAGACGACTCGGGCGCGAAGTCTATGCACAGCCCGATCCAACGCCAATTCAATGGCGCAACGGTCGCGGACGCGGCTCAATTTTGGCCATGTGGCGCGCTCGCCCATTAGACAGGCTCGCATCATGAACTCGGGGCTGGGATTGCGGAGTAAGCGAGGCAAGTCATTTAAACCCATCTCGGGGAGGATATTGATATCGCCTGAGTATTTCTGACTCAGGACGCTTTGGAATTTGGTAGCGAGGTTGGGCATGATACCCAGCTCAGCTAGAAAATGTAATCGATGCAGGGCCTCATCGCGCGCAAGCGATGTCATGGTCCATAACCAGTCATACTGATCACCCGATGTCTGCTGAGTCGGTTCGGGCTTTCTGACAGGCGATAAATGATCATCTTTTGCGAGAAAAGGTACAACGTGAGGATTAACTTGCGACACAATAAAGTGGTTGACGTTGAACATTTCTGACAACCGAGTCATTGGCAAATCATTATCCACAGACCCATCTATCCATCTCTGAGGCGTCGGGTTCCAGGGCTGATGCTCGCCTGTAATCGGATCCTTGACAAGCAAGGGTGCAGCGTTGAAGACCAGGGGGACAGAGCACGAAGCAGCGACAGCTGACCAAATCATGACATTTGGCGCAGTAACGTAATTGAGTAGCCGTGGTAATTCGTACATGGAAGCAGTCGAGACGCAAATGTTGAGAATGCGACGTGTGCGATTGTAGGCTTCTTGGAAGGTCATGTCGCCCATCAATCCTCTCATTACCCGCGTGAGATGCTTGATGTCAGACCAACTCCCCTCCGTCAACAGCCTACGCAGATTACTCCAAACACCATCTTGACCACTCGGATCCTCGAAAACCGCAAGGTCGCCGTAAGGAAACTCTTCGATCAGAAGTGGGATTTCTTCGTCGGTTCGTGTGCACATTGCTGCGCAGACGATGCTCCCAGCGCTTGCGCCCGAAATAATCCTTGGCAGCAATTTCGCTTCGAAGAGGGCCTTTAGAACGCCAATATGCGACATGCCAAAGGTGCCGCCCCCGGATAGGAGTAATGCGCTGCGACCGTAGCTTTGTCGGGCGAAGAGAATGCCTTCAAGAAGGTCGCGGTTCTCGATACTCTGATCGAGTCGGCTTTGGGTGACCACTGCGTCGATTGTTTTTATTGTAGACTCGACGTATCGCTCGATGAGATGTTTCGTCCCTGAGTACGAGTGTCGGTAGAGGTCGACATTATCCATACCGCCGAGATCACGGGATAGAGCGGTACGGATTAGATGCATCATTGTATGAACGTCGCATTTCGTGCGGGCATCGTCGAGAGCGTCGAGTCGTTCTTGGATTAGTTCGGGGTTATAATCGCCTGTCGAGGGATCGCGCTTCCATTCATCGTTGCCTTCGAGGCTGTCGAGTTCTTTCGCCGCAGCTTCCCATTGAGCATGAGTCTCGGCCTAAATGGTCAGTCGGAAACACAAATAGAGGATGCAAATAACCTACATTCTGCATGCCCAGACACAAATTATGCTTCCTCTCCTCTAGTTGCTTGATCTTCAAGCGTTGATCTTCCGTTAAGCCATCTTTGCACCACTGCCATGTATCGTTCGCCTGTCGGATGGCTTTATGTAGGGTATTAACGACCGGCACCGAAGAAACAGGCGGTCTTTTCGCTTTCGTATTTGACTTTGTAGGAGGTTTCGTAGATTTATTATAGAGGGAGGGAACCGCGCGGGTTTGTAGTAGTAGGTCGGACATTGCGACGGCCGGGCGGTCGTGTGTGGGATCGGTAGAGGAGGAACGCGGTTATAGCATGGCAGGATCGTGAATAATTTCGTATATACTTCGAGAATGTTATACTGAAGATTCGAAGAGAAGTCGTAGCAGGTCGTAACAGGTCGTGTAGTTATGAGCGTTATTCGAACAGTCGGGTATCAAGGATCTCGAGGTCACAAGCCGAGAAACATGCGCTCACGGAAGTGGTGGGGGCAAAATAGAGGAGGGGGCGCTGAGACAGAAGCAACACAAAAGAATTATACAAGCAAGACGAAGGACGATCTTTCAGGACGTGATAGTATCCGTAGGTATGATGAGATTATTGTGTATACAAAAATTAGAGTTAAGAGAAGGAATTCTTTTGAGTTTGGCAGAGAGCCCGAGTAACGGCATTGAATCCCAATCTTGAAAATGAAAGAGTCCACTTTCCGACATCCCCCACCGACTTTCAACGTGGGGAAACAGGGTTGAGCGGTAAAGCTGTCCACTAAACACCCTGTAATTGTTGATATTCTAGCAGGGTTCTTGACAGCTGAAATTGCTTTTCTCAACAAAATCACATCCATTATCGTCAGTTTCTTTTCAACAGACAGTATCAGATCAGATCTTATTCAGCAAAATATCTTAAGACTCAGTCCAAAACCATTTCAGGATATACTCACCGCTAAACAGGAGGGTCGGACACTCGCCCTCCCCAATCACAGCGCAGCCCTTACAGGGGCACGTGGTACACTGATGCAGTGTGGCTGCCAAATGCGTCATGAAATCTGGGTTTGCATTCACATGTCAAGACTGCATATGATTATGCCCGTCTAATTGGACTCTCCAGGTTTAGGGACGAGCCGATGTTCGGCAGGTGATTGTGTGAAAAAGTCTGGGGAATTTGCGGGGGAGAGAATGAATTCGTGTCGTATGGAAGAAGAGACCTGCTCTAGAGACCTACAGTGATTGAACGGAATGATGGCTCGTATGGCTGACGATATCTTCAGCATGACCCAGCCCATTGAATGCACTGTCCCGCCCATCATTTTCGCGTTCCGAGAATTCCAACACTTTCTTTGCTTTGTTCTGCCTGTCCTTGTTTACAGTTGAAAGATTTGAGACATTGGGCTGACTTTAGTGATGTCAACCACTAAAGTCATGTGTCTCTAATTGCTGCGTCAGACAAGAAGATCTCCAAGCGATCGAGATGGGACATGAGATCGGCACCAAAAGTTCAAGGCAGCAGCACAGACACGAGGGATAACCATATTCCGTCCCGTACGTACACTGAGCTCTTTCTCCGGAATGCGTGAACGGGTCCAGAATCGTGTGACAGGAAGAATCGGGCCAGTTAGATCGGCGATCAGACAGACTGTGGCGGGTATTTGTGGCTACAACTGGTCTAAGAAGTTCTAGCTGTTTGGCATGGAAGAAGCCAAGCTCTTACTTTACCCAATGGTTTAGGCCGAGATCCTTCAAGCTAGAGCTGTGACGTTTTTGTTTTGATGCAAGCTGTAGCTATGCTTTGCATTGGTTGGTTCCGTCGTATTTCTTACGCGTTGTGCATTGTGTCACCGTGAACAGGTACTGTACCTTCACAGCCACAGCTACAGCAGTAAGAGCTTCAGGTCAAAGCTCAAGCTCCAGTAGATCATTACAGCTTCAGATGGAGGTATTCATCTCCGATTACAAATAATTTCTACACCAAAAATACTCGAAACTGAATCACATATCACAGTATTACCGTATCATGAACGTCTCATGGCCTGATACAATATGGAACATTCACGTATCGTGCCTTTCCCCTCTCGGTGCTACACAAAATTACGTATTAGTGACGCCTCTCACGCATGATAATCACCCATCAAAAGTCTCCCTGCATCTGTAACAATAATAAAAAATACCTGCTTTTCTACGGTAAACACCCGCAATCGACATGTCATTGATGACGTTGTGTAGCCTGTTTCATCCAATTCCTTTCTTTTCCATCTTCTAGGCAGTAAAGAGAAACGCCTCAGGCGACGAATGCGGCGTAAGCTCCCGCCTCATCTCATCCTCTCCTCTTTTTAAAGCTCGAGGTCCCAGCTCTTCCCCACGCCTTTCTATTTCTTAGTTCTCTTAGCTTCGACTGGATTGAAGAATTATTCCGAGTGAACTATTACCGTCAATATGGAGGCTTTCAAGACTCACGGAGGCGTTGCCCCCATTCCCACCGTTGTCCGTACGTTACTTGACGATCCTCGTCTCCAGCTTTATACTGACTGCTGCACAGCTGAGCCAACCCACTACGAAACAATCGGCCACAATGGCGTCCGCGCTCTATGGGTTCTCTTCGTCGCCATGACCATCGTATCCGCCATCTTCGCCCTTCTATCCTGGAACGTCGCCGTCCAGCGTCGCATCTTCTACGTCCTCTCCACCTTGACCACCATCATCTCTGCACTGGCCTACTTCGCCATGGCTTCTGGTCAGACTTCGTACTTCAACTGCGCCAGTGTACGAGATCACCACAAGCACGTCCCCGATACGCACCACGATGTCTGTCGTCAGGTCTTTTGGGCGCGCTATGTTGATTGGGCGATTGCTACGCCTTTGCTTGTCGTGGAGCTTTGTCTGCTTGCTGGTGTTGATGGTGCGCATACCATCATGGCCGTCATTGCTAATGTTATCTTTGTCCTTGCTGGTGCTTTCTCTGCTGTTGGCCACGCCAACACTGCGCAGAAGTGGGGATGGTATGCTATCAGTGTTATCGCCTTTGTCTTCACCGTCTGGCATGTCGCTGTTCCTGGCACCCGAACTGCTCGTGCTCGGGGTACCAAGATTTCCCGACTGTTTGGCTCTCTCTCCATCGCTACCCTCATCCTCTGGGTTGTCTACCTTGTGTAAGTTTGCTCTACTCTCGGTTCAATAGATCTCTGCTAATGATGCGACAGTGTCTGGGGTGCTGCTGGTGGCGCCTGGAAGGTCAAGGTCGGCACCGAGGTCGTCATCTACGCCGTCCTCGATGTCCTCACCAAGGCTGTTCTCGGTCTCTGGATCATCACCGCTACCCGCCAAAACCGCGAAACCACACCCGAGATTGGTGGCTACTGGGCCAACGGTGCCGGCGCTGAGGGTACCATCCGTGTCGGCGATGACGATGAGGGTGCTTAAATACATTCTCCATAAATGTCAATTGCGCGCAATCACCGCGCCGTATTTCCGCCTCCACCTACAACGGTGACCTACAAAGCCGAGCCAGTCGGTATGGAACGAATGATTGATCAAGATTGTATGTTTTGGGACGCGCTTAGTCTTGAAGACTTTCGCATTGCTACTGAGGAGGATAAAAGTCGCTGGGGAGGATCACGATGAACAAGCAGGACTTTAATGGAGTTATAAGATTAGCACTTAGTGAATTATAAGTAATGCACGTCGGACGATTAGTCCAAGCTTTTACAGATGCATCTCCCATCGCGTCTCAATTGAGGCTTCAATACGCATCGCCGAATTACCGCCACTGCGCAATTCTGCACCCGTTATCCCCTCGACCCAGTCGCAGTCCCAATGTTGGAAGCATTAGTCGCATGCTCCTCACTCTTATCAGCCGCTTTGTTAGCCTTTTTGTAGTTACCAGATGCAGCAGCTGTATCGGCCTGGTTGCTTGTCGCCGTAGCGTTGTTCTCTTCCTCCCGCTGAACGACATCCAGGGCTTGGATGGTCTTGTCAGACATGATGCAAGACTTCAGTGGTCTGATGGTATGTATTTAGTTCCATCGACTCGAGGAAAAGAGGTTTCTCTTACTGTTCAGGTGTTGCTGTTGTATTGGAAGTTCTGTTCGATGAGGAGGAGGAAGGGTTGCGTATTCCTTAACAGGGAATTGTGAGCTCTTTATATAGACCGATTGGTTACATTTCACCTATTTTCTACTGCTACCCCGGGCTTTGCAAGGACAGAGAAGTATCAAATCAGGCTTCCAATCACTTCCCGACAACGCCTACCCACCATCTTATGGGAAATGTCCGAGACCAAGCAATTCACGCCTATGGTCAGTAAGCCTTCAACTAGTATGTGCAGTATAAGTAACCTTGATAATGTGTCTTTGCTGGACGTCCATCATTCGACACCTTTCAAGTCGTTTGCATTGACCGGTGAAGCATGCTGACGAAGAAAAGGCTTCAAAGTGGGATCAGGCTCGGTAGTTGTTGGGAAGAGCCAGCAGAGCCTCATGTACCAAGCCATTACACAAACGGTCGAAAATTTACCAGTCGACCAGAGCTCAACCCAAGATCGTAGTTGTGCACGAACCTTATCTACAGGGTAGGGCAAAAAGAAAATATAATGTGTGGGTAAAGGAGTTATGATGCCTTTGTGGGAAGTGTAAATACCTTCACCAACCTTATCTGATGGATGATAAGACCATAGACTGCAAACAAAAACGATATCGTTCTTATTGATCGTAAACTAAGCATAGGCGCAAACCTTTAGGTTAATTTATCCTTGGTGCTGTGTAAGTTACTCACATCTTTGTTAGCAAAGCTAATCCGTTGGATTTTGGAGCTGGTACATCGCGGCACCCTTCGTCTATGGTCTTGTCTGTCATGCCCAAGGATATCAGAGTTAGCCTTTTTGCAAAACATGGGAAAGTGGTGAAATAATTCGAGACAAGAGGTGTAAGTGCAGCCTAATCATACCCACTTGTCCGCTTCGACTGACGAATCAAAGCGCGGATTGACGTCAGTCAGCATCTACGCTAACCCCACTTCAGTTCAACTCACTATCAGAAGGAGCAGTCGCCGACACCCAAATATCTTGGCGACCTTGAACAACATCAAACATCTCCGTCAATCGCATCTAGCAGTTGATCCGAGAAAGAAATACTACCAGTTGAATGACTCATTTCATTTTGGCGGACAAAGGATTCTTGATGATGATGACGACAGAAATGCAGATTGGGTAGGTACCACTGGGAAGGAACGCTCTTGGCTTACACGCAGCGCTCACCATCAACTTGTGGCCTGAGGACACCGCATCCTTCCACTCCTTATATATTCGACAGCCTATCACTTCCTTCTCCCGTTTCCCCTCTTCCTCTTCCATCTCCGTTTCATCAATCCCTCTCCGTCTTTTGAGAGTCACAACTTTACTTGTCATCGTTTATCATCAGCAACAAAAGACATCAAGGCGATACAGACAATCGTCAACCTATAACCCCACCGTCAGGGTGTCAGAGGAACTGGCAGGTAAGAGCATAAGAGCCGAAATAATTTGGTCGCTTTATGCGACCTTAGGCTAACCTTTAGGTTATAGGAACCTAAGCCTTAGACCATGGCATCCTCGGGTAGCGTCTTCTCGGAGACTCTCCAAGAGATAACCAACACCAAGCTTCAAGAGCTATCCAAGCGTCGCTCTCGATTTGAAGAAGCAAAGGTAGGTTCTTTAATCGTGTTGGTTTGAACTTTACGACTTGATGACTGACCTTTCAAAACATTAAATAGTCATCTATCCTTTCCTCCATCGACGAAGAGCAGGATGCTGTGAAGCGGCTTGTCACGCTGAGCGATGGCGTCAAAAGGTCAGAATGCCCCGTGCAAAGTGTAAATATCAACTATCTGATCGCGTAAAAAAGGTCCTTCGGCATCAAATTCGATAAAGACAACAAGGTCATCCTTGGCCGTACCAAATTCAAGCAATTGGAGATCAACCTGAAGAACCTCGATCGCTTCATCGGCCAGGCAAAAACCGATCCCTCTGTGTCCCCGAAGATGCTAGCTAATTGGGAGAAATTACTTATCCGTCAATTAGGTAAGGTTTCATCGAAGGTTCGGATAAGACTCATCAGCTGATGTCAATTAGATATGCAAGCTCTTCAGTACCAGTATGCTTGGCTCTACGGAGAGATTGTTACTGAGTGGCTCTCCAGTGACAAGGAAAGGGACCGGGAAGAAGATATCGAGATGAGTGAATTCGAGGACCTTGGTGAGCAAGCCAAGCTTCAATCCAAGATTGACTGGGAAAACACTGTTTTCGAATCAGCTCAGGTCGACACCACGGCCATCACCCGATACCTTGACAACCTGTTTGGCATTGGCATCGGCACCCACGAAAAGAAGACCATTACCGGCTGCCTTCAACGACTGCGCCAAGTTGTATCCGGATTTGAAGGACTCATCTCAACCCCGAATCAGTTCACGGTAGCTTCGCTAAAATGGGTCATCGCCGGTCTTCACTCGTCTGACCTTTTGTCGAACGAGAAACGAGAGGTTCTCAAGGACTTTGAAACCAATGATATGATCCTCAAAGAGATCGCCGACGTGCTCAACATGCGCATCAATGCTTTGGATACTTGGACCTGGAATTCAGAGTCCCCGGTTCCCTTGGAGATGAACCGCAAGATAAGCGGTATCTACAACATCCATATGCACGAAGACCTTCTTCAGGCGATATTCCTTCAGTACATCGGCGTAAAGTGGAGCGTCATGTTCAAGAGAGCCTTCAAGGCTTTCCGTAATGGAGCTTGGAACTCAATGCGCCAGAACATTCCACATGAAGAGAAGCGACGTCTCGGTTACTACCTGGGTCCATTATCTTCCGAGCCTTCCCTACAAAGTAGTCGGGAGGAGGTCAATCGGGAAAGCTACTTCATGGCCCAGCTCATGAACTATGAGTATGAGGTCCTCAATTCGGCTGAGGGCGAAGAAGAGGCAGAGTATGAACAGTTCACCGACCAGTCGTCGAAACGGAAGCCGCGAGCAAAACAACTTGCCCGGAAATCGCAAGGAGGCCGCCGAGGGGGAGTCATGAGGCAGATGGCACCACAAGCCATGACCTCAATGGCAAGCTATTCGGGTGGTGGCGGTGCAATGAGACATCGTAGGGTCGTTGCCGAGAATTTAGAGGAGGCAGAAGAAGATGGGGATGAAGAGTTTGATGAAGATGAACTTGATGATGACGATGAGGACGAAGACAACCCTCGTAGCCCGATGTCTCTGAAGCAGACTTTGCTTCATCTCTTGTCGACAGAGATTATAATCGATAGTCATCTTCACGGCGAAACGACTGCGTTCCACTCTGTCTTTGAGGACTGGAACCCGAAATTACCACATGACACTGTCTTGACAATTCTCAAGTATCTTGGTGTCTCCGATACCTGGCTTAGCTTTTTCAAGAAGTTCCTCGAAGCCCCTCTCAAGTTTGTGGACGAGAATGATTCGAGTGCGCGTACGCGCCGCAGAGGAACACCTGCATCCCATGTGCTCAGTGATGTGTTCGGCGAGACGACTCTTTTCTGCCTTGACTTTGCGGTCAACCAGTCTACTTCGAGCAACCTGTGGAGGATGCATGACAACTTTTGGTTCTGGTCTCATGACCACAAGGTCGCCGTCAAGGCTTGGAAGACTGTTGATGAGTTTACCAACTTGACTGGAGTCGAAACCAATCCTGCCAAGAGTGGGTCAATCCGAATTTCGAAGGATAGCAATATTGAATTGCCTATCGATGAGTCACTGCCTGATGGCAACATTCGTTGGGGCTTCTTATGCTTGTCACCCAAGACCGGTCGCTTTGAGATCGATCAGACCATGGTCGATGCTCACATCAAGGAGCTTCATAAGCAGCTGTACGAGAAGCGTAAGAGTGTCCTTGGCTTCATCCAGGCGTGGAACAGCTACGCCGCGACATTCTTCATATCCAACTTTGGCAAAGCAGCGAATTGCTTCGGGCGCGAGCACGTGGACAACATGCTTTCGACACACCAGAAGATTGAGCGTGAAGTGTTCACCAAGCTATCTAATGGCGCAGTCAATAGTGTGGCCGAATACCTGAAGAGAACAATTAGTGAGCGTTTTAGTATCACTGATGTTCCCGATGGCTACCTCTACTTCCCCATGGAGTTGGGTGGCCTTGATCTGCAATCTCCCTTTATCACTCACTTGCAGATCCATGATCAGGTGCTTGAAGACCCTCTCAAACTCATGGCTGACTTCGACGAAGCCGAGCGTGTTGCATATGAGAAATACAAGGAGAGGTTTATGACCGGTCAGACGAGACAAAACAGGCACTCTCTTGACGATCCCGACTGGACACCAGAGTCACAGCATGACAAGGATAACTTCATGTCCTTCGACGAATTCGCCCGCTACCGAGAAGCCTACTCCTTCGAATTTTTCAAGGCACCGCTCAAACTGGACCGGGTTTCCCGCAAGCTCATGAAGAGACCTAGTCGACGCAAGGTCGAGACCGATGAAGCTCTGTCTAGTGCGTTGGAGCAGCTGCGCACGGAGCCTAACCTACGTGGTATCACGGGGTGGTCGAATAACATGGATGCTTATTGGACTTGGGTTGCTACGTTTTATGGGCCTGAGATTGTTGATCGGTTTGGCAGGTTGAACATTGTAAATACGGAGCTTCTCCCTATTGCTATGGTTACTTTGTTCAGGGACAAGCGTGTTAAGTGGCAGGGCTAGTCTGGAGGGACGTTCTCTTTGGTTTAGGCCAAAGAAACAAAGTAGTCTAAGTGCTATTTAAGGTTTTTGAAGGTCAGTCATCGAGTCGTACAGTTCAGTCTAAGTGCTAACCTAAGCTATCATAAGTTGACTAAACCTTTTCGTCTCTTATGGTTTCTGTGACTAATTCTCCAGGCATTATGGTGGTAGAACTTCAAATACCATGGATACAATAGACGAGACCAGATGGAAATAATGTCCCGATATATTAGCTCCGCATTCAGACCAGACTGGTTTGTTGTATTGAGGATTATGGTATCTGACATGACACTATGAAAAAGTGAACGATATCTTGCGCAGTAAAAGCTTTTTATCTTATAAAATGAGCAAGGAAACAATACTAAGGCCTGGGTCACTGGAGTAAAGAAGACTAAGTCTTAGTCTAAGCTATCATAAAATGACTAAATTATTTCGTCTCTTATGCTCTAGGTGGCCAATTCTCCTGATGCCCTAATCGTGTTAAAAGTTCTACTTCCTAGATCTTGTCCAATTTTGCCATAAATTCATAGAAACGCCTAGTACGGTATTCTTCTAGCGTCTCTGACGCTACGTCTTCCTCTTCCTCTAACCATAGAGAAACACCAAGCTCGTTCAAGATTTCAACGTCGGGGTCCCACGTCGCCTCCAGACGTTTCTTGATCTCCTCCACCTTATCCGGCCAGATACCATACCAGAACATCAAGGCACGCTCATGAATGACTGCGTGATCTCCATCAGATGGTCCGGGCGTATGCTCCAAAGACTCAGAACGGCCAAGCACAAAATCTTCAAACTCTGCAACAAGGCCATTCAAGTATCCCACCTTTTCAACATCATCCTCACTGTCTTCTATATCCTCCTGTAAGTTTTCGTCTTCTGTCTGCATTGACGTGTAAAGACTGGAGCCGCTGCTTGTGCCAACACATGTGTGTGTCATCTCAAGGGCTTCAAATGTGGCCTGACGGACTAGGCAGATCAGTTGGTTCAGTTGCAAGCTTTCTCCGTAGAACTTCAAAACCAGGCCAATCTCAAGCATAGGGCTCTTAATCCTTCGTTGCTCATGAGTTAGCTGCCTGGCTATCATATCGAAAGGGTTGCGTCCTCCAGCGGCACACGGACAACTACACTGTTCGGTAGCCTCGCTATCAAGGATATCCATAGTGAAAGCCAGACCCTCCAAGGCCTTATCAATGTTTGTAAAACAGTAGCAGGCAAAATAACGACCAGTGATATTAGCCAGGATGAAGTCAAAGCCTTCCAATATGCTATACTGGCTTGTCCACTCCCAAAGGCGAGGAAGATTCGTATGTAGCCACGTTGCATATTGAGGTGTTGAGTGCAACAAAAAGTTTTTGATGAGATACAAAGAGTCGTCGTCAGGCTCGGTGGAGACTGGCAAGTGGTCAATATCCCAAAAGCCCAAATCAAAGAAGATTGACGCATCTTCAGGGCTTTCAAGGGATAAATAAAGCGGCCGGTAAATCGGCACTTCTCTGGACAAATGGCTGATATCGTCATGTATGACGGTTGATATGCGGTCAAAACTCGTGAAATGCTTTCGATAAAGCATCCGATCCACTTCGATCGCATAGAAATCTAGCTCGCCTGCTTCCGAGTCGACAAGGCTGCACTCATGCTTCAGTAACCTCTCTCGAGCCAGATCTCTCAAGTCACGCCGACGACTTCTCAGCGTTTGAGCGATCAGTGCTTTGCAATGATCGGAGGCACTAGCAAACATGTTTTCTTCGGGGAAGCCACGTTGGAAATCCTTTGCTGGTAAGATCGGGCAATTTGCGTCCAGTAGAATATTGGCCGCCACAACGCAAGGACATCTGGAACCAGCATCATCATCCTGGGAGTTGCAAATGGGGCCGCTCATTTCCATCGCTCTGCGCAGCGGTAAGAAAATCCAGCCCAGTACTATGTTCCATGCAATGGGCTTTGCTGTACTCATGATCAGCTTTAAAATCTCGGGCTTTTCCATAGCGAGACAGAGCGCAGTCGTGCCATAAATATTCGTTTCTTGGAGACTTTCAGGAGACTTTTCAATCAGTTCTCTTATACCTTCTTCATCATAGCGAATGATTGCTTGGGTCAAAGGCCCATATAATGCTATTCAAAATTTCAGCAATTCAGATAGACCATTCATGATTTTCCATCTTCATCGAATTACGTACCTTCAGTCACTTCTTTACTTTCGCGGTCATTTTCAGCAATCATCTCAAAAAAGAAGCCGTCTTTCGTGGAAAAGAGAAACTGTCCTGGCGTATGGATATCGGCATCTTCGAAACACAGTTTTCGCAAGACAGATGCTGAGATTGCAAAATTTGAGGCCGCTGTGTGGAGTGCTAGCCTGGACTTCAAATTAGACTCCCGGAAACTTGAGGTCTGGATAAACTTACATCCCAGTTGAACTGGCAAAGTGCACAGGGGTCCCTATAGCAACAAGAAAGCCAAACAGTGCCTCCAGCTCAGGAGAAGGAGCTATACGCCCAAGCACAGTGGGGAATTCGCGGTTTGTCTGCAACGGGAAAACGATTATTATGTTAGTCCTGCATACTTCAATTATCTACTCACCGCATAACTCAACATGTGAAGGAGGGATTCTCCGTCCTGATCAATATCGGTAGGTCTTGCTCTTCCAGAAGCAAACACTTCTTGTAACTTGCGAAGCACGGCTTCCAAGCAAAGACAGTGTTCCGCCTCTTGTGGCTTGTACACCGGACATTGGCTTAGTAGATCCAGGACCTGAAAAGCTGGAGCCGTATGTTTATCAACTACTCCAAAATGCATGAGCGATGGGTTGATAGCAAATCCACCTGCACCAGTCTTTGTGCAAAATGTCAATTGGATGGCGCAATTCAGTGACTTGATGATACCAGCAATGCTAAGAGTTCGTCTTCGCGACGATTTGAAGTCGGCCACGTAGAAGGGGCATCCTTCTATGTGCGACTCTTTCGTCACGATGTTGTCTGTGAAGAGAAAGGAGCCGAGGTGATAGGTTTGTGCGGTGCTCGACTTCCTCACCAGGCAAGAACAAGTCGAAATGTAAGAGCCCAGTTCCGCGATTGCACTTGGTTTGGAAGCCAATTTGGCAACAACATCGACGCGGCCACTGTTAAGTGTAGTCAGCTGCGATAGAATTTCGTTTGTCGCGTTGTGTCGTCGAGTAGCTGTGAGCCCTGTGTCTTTTAACGACTGTCGAATGTTCTCCATATGAACTTGCAGCTGTGATTCGATGACCAGATTGATCTGCGGAATGATTTGTGGAATAAGTCCGTCAACCGAGTCTTGCAGCAAGGGAAGCCTTGACCGTATAGTGTTGATGGGAACGGTCAAATTTCCGACCGCAGTTTGTACATCTGAGACTACGTCTGTTGCCTGCTGTACTTTCGTGACATTGTGGGACAAGGCACTCGAGTTGGCCAGATCTATTTCTCTGTGGCTTATCAGATAGTTTCCATATCTCATGGCTTGGTTGAAATACTGACAGTTGTAGACTCTGGATAGCCAGACTGAGGGGTTGACAAAGACGATCCAACGTATTCTCTAGATCTTCAAGGTGTGCTTTTCGCAGCGGAAACCGCAATTTCTGGAGACCATGTTCCAGTCGATTCTGAGACTTCTGGGATTGCTCAAACTCCTCCAGGTCCTTAAGCCCTTCTTCGCAGTTCTTGAGGCAAACGATAATATGGGGCACGGTTCGGTATCGCGCCGGGTCTAAGTGACCCTGTTTCAAGGAGGCATCGAGTAACCGAAAGCAGTTTTCCAAAGATTCGGCCTGGCGCGTGAGTCGAACGAGTGCATCATCCCGATCTTTGAGTGCGCCGAGGTAGCTCGTGAGTGCGGAGCATACCTTGAGGCCTATCGGTATGATAGCAAGGGTGAGTTCAGCCATGTTGGATTGCGGTAGTCGAGTTGAAAGAGAAAGATCCTTCTGTGATTCAAGTTGGGGGGAGAAAGAATAACATCAATTGCAAATCAGGCTACCAATAAGATCTTACCACGTCTGAATGGCACTGCCACCTGCTGTGCAACATCGCTACAGTAAGGCATAATTGGGAAGCGCTCCTGCGCCCATGGATTTACTTGCCTGTTGAACGCTCAACAGTCCGCCCGGTTAATGACGACCAGTAGACTTGTCTGTTTCAACCCCCCCTTTTTTGAACTTGTCATCATTACAACCGCGAAGGAAACACCAGGGTGTCAGAAGCATCGCCTCAAGCATAAGAGACGAAATGGTTTGCTCACTTTATGATCGCTTAGACCCGCACTTAGGCTTCTTTATTTTGTAGCCTAAGCCTTAGGGAGAGAACATCCTATTACCCACCTAGATCTCTCAAAAGCCTGCAGCAACGATAGATCACGAGGGAGAAGAATCATCATCAAATATATCAATTAATAATTAAACTCAGGCGCTTCAACTTAACCGTTGAATTTTCTGACCTTGAAAGGGCTGACAGTAGCCGCAGGGCCAACGCACTTGTTCGCCAAAGCAGCCTTGCCCTCAGTGCTGGTAGCACTAACACAGTCGACACCAATATCCTTGACACCATCACAAAGAATAACAGGCTCTCCACCACAAGGAGTCTTGATGTCAAAGTTCTTGAACTTGATGTTTTCGCAAACAGCATCCTTGCTGTCTGAGCATGTCAGCTTGGCAACGACGTTACCTCGCTTGCCGGAGCTGTAACCGGTGAAGTTTTCTATGCACGGATTAGTTTCATGCAGGGTTAGAGAGTGGTTGGGGAAGTCTTACCAAAGAGAATGTTGGAAATGTTCATCTGGGAAGGATACTTGTTGCAAGTCTCGGCGTCGATGTTGAAGTAGCAAGAGTCGATGAAAGCAGTGTACTCGTTGTTACCGCCGTAGAAGTTGCGGAAAGTCACGTTGTCGATGAAACCGTAACCAACATCAGGACCAGCCCAGGTCTTGAGACGAGAGGCGTGCTGACCGTTGAGCATCCAGAGGTTCTCAATGAGGACGTCCTTGACGTAGGAGAACTCGCCCTTGTACTGGCCGAGCGAACCAATGGACTGACCATGGGTACCGTTGCAGTACATGGTGTCAACGTGGATGTCAGAGGCGTTGCTCTTGGGGGAGAAGCAATCGTCACCAATGTCGATCCAGGCACGCTCAACCTTGACCTTCTCGACGTTCAGGGAGTCGAAGAAGTCAGTGTTCTTGGGAAGGGCAGTAGCGTTGGTAGAGCGAGCAGTGGTAACGATATCCGTGAAAGAAATGTCCTTGGAGGTAACGACAAAGTTAGTCCAGCAGGGAGAGTCCTTGAAGTGAATGCCCTGGATATCAAGACCAGTAGCATTCTGGGCGTAGAAGAGGATGGGTCGGAGGTAGGCGTTATCCTTGTCGAGAATCTCCTTGCCGGCGAACTCGTTCCACCATCTCTGGCCGTTACCGTTCAGAACGCCCTTTCCGTAGATCTTGATCTTCTCACCGCCCCACTTCCAGAACATGATAGAGTTCTACATCGATTAGCAACATTCATTGACCCGGAGTCTTCAACATACCTGGAAAGGATGCGTGAAAGCATTCTTCTGCCAGTAAGCAGTATCATTGGTGAACTTGATCTCTCCATCAAGGTGAACGTGCACATCGTTCAGGAAAGTAAGATCAAGAGGCTTTCCAATCACAAAGGTCTTGCCCTTTGGCAAATGAAGAGTACCTCCGTTGTTGGCCTTCTTGATGCCCTTGTAGAACTCGGCAGAGATATCATCCTTGTCGTTCTTGCTGGCGCGGATGGTGACCACCTTGCGATGGCTTCGCTTGACAGGGTTCTCGTAAGGGTGCTTGGCTCGGAACTCCTCAACGCTGCGAGGCACGCCAGCAGGAAGCTCAATGGCTTCGGCGATGGCGCCTGCGAAGAGGGACAGAGTGGTGAGGAAGCTTGAGACCTTCATTGTGATGATTTGTCAAAGGAGGCAAAGAAGGTTGAGAGACTTAAAATTTGAATGATATGGGCTATGGCATGTTTATATAGCATAGAGTGGATATTCTCGGAGCATGGTCTCAATGCATACTCATATCCACCCCCATTCTATCAAAATCGCCTGAACTGAGCCGTTCCGTTACATTACATGAAGTGCCAAGCCGGTCCCTTGATGAGATGAACTGTTTATAAGCTTGTTGCCAATTGAGTGTTCCTATTGGTGGAAAGCCATTTATCCGCGGCTCAGCTTCCCGTGGAATCTTGGTTTCCCCATCTTTAGCTGCTGATCATTGCGCTCCCCCGCCCCCAAGTAAAACGTCCCCCGCGAAAAGAGACCCCAACTTGGCAAAGATTATATACTCGCGGCAAGTTGCCGGATCGCGAAAGGGACGAAGCGTTGATAGATGGGATGGTCTTTGGCGGTCTGGATGTTGAGAGGGTCTTTGTGGTTGGGCAGCTGAGCGAGGTTTACTGGGGATACCTTGTCAGTTTCAGACGTGTAATTAAACTGACCCAACAGCCTATCGTAAACTTTATTGACTTTTTGCCTGTGACATACGGAGCTCAAGGTATTTGCTGAAGAATCAACCCACTTCAATTCTATTATGAAATCATTACTCTAGTATGGTTGTCTATCAATTCGACGCTTCGTCAACAGCTCTCTCCTTCTCTCTCTTAGCCTTCTCTCTCTTAGCCTTCTCATCTGCTGTAAGATCAGCCTTGGCTGAATCCATCTTCACTGTCAAGAAGATAAGAAGTGAAGCAACAGCCAGCCCAGCACCTGTCCAGAATCCAATCTGATACTGACTTCGTGGATCAACGTTCTCAGCTCCTTTCATATCCTTCCTAACAGAAACCGCCATCTCGCCAACACCTAGCCAAAAGGCCATACCAAGATACAACAAACTTGTGATAAGTGCACCTGCAACTGCTTGAAGGTGGCCAGGAAGAGATGTTGTGATGAAAACATTGGTGACGTTGAATGCAATATCGACTCCGATTGTGGAGAGGATCATGGCTGGGAAGACAAAGGCCCAGTATAGGAAGGTGTTGGGCTTTCCACTGTCGGGAATAAGTGCGAAGAGGATAGAGGAGCCGAGGAATCCGAGTCCTGAGATAATCAAAAGCAGTCGTCCACTCAATATGTGAAGGACAAAGCCGCCAACGACAGCCAGGATGAATCCACCCGCTGCCAACGGAATGAACCAAGCTGCAGTAAGCAGCGGTCCAATATGCAAGACAGATTCGATACTATCCAATATGTTAGTTCAGTTTCCAAAGGTAATGGAGAATGGACTTACTAGAAGGAGGCGTAGAACAACCACAGTCCGAAACAGCCGTAGCACATAAATAGTGCAAGAACCAGTCGAGCCATGTACTTTGTCTTGAATACCTCAGCTGGCATAAGAGGTTGGCTGGCTACCCATCCTTCAATGTAGACAAACGCAGCCAAACACAGAATTCCGATGATCAGAGTAACGTAAACGTAAGGCGTTCTCCAACCCTGAGGAGCATTCCCACCGTCTGTCAACGCAAACACCACAAGACTCAGGCCGGGAATAACAGTGGCAGTGCCCAGCCAGTCCATCTTCAACCCAGGCGTAGGATCTCCATGACTCTTCGGAATGGTCAAAACACCAGTAATGAAGATAGTGGCACAGAAGAAGGCACCGATGAAAAAGTACCACTTCCATCCAAGAACTTGAGCAGAAAGGGCACCGAAGAAGATTCCAGAGTAGAATCCAATACAAGAAAAGGCGCCAAACATGCTAAAGACAAGATTCTTTCGAGGACCGGGTCGATAAATTCGAGACATTATAGCCACACTCGACGGCAAAAACGCAGAGGGTCCCAGACCTTGCATAGCCCTCACAGCAATCAACATAGTCGGATTCTGACTAAATCCGCCGACAATACCCCAAACAATCAACCAAGCATGTCCACCAAGGAAGATGAATCTTCCACCATGAATCTCAGATAATCTCGCAAACGGCAGTAGTAGCACTGCCGTAGTGAGATTAATCACAGCAGCAGGCCACGTTCTGACAGAATCCGGTATTTCGAGAGAGTTGGCGAGCGAGGGTAGGATGATGTTGAAGCCTGAAACGAAATATTCGCTAACCATCATTGAGCCCACGACTGCGAAAATGAAACCCAGTTCGGACCAGAGGGATGGGAAACATGATGGGCGTTGACGACCTAGACGATCGAGTTCTTTTTGGTCGATGAGGGAAGGTGAGGTGCTGCGTTCTGGGTCCAGAACACCAGATGGCTTCTCGGTCATATCGTCGAGAGGTGAGGTGAAGATTTTGATGAGATGGTGAAATCTGAAATCTTCTGTCTTTGTCACTTTATACCGATTCAGTTGTGGGTCAAAGATTGGATCCGCTTGGGATGGATGAGACGGGACTGCTTCCGATATCAATAGCGGTCAAAGATGAACATTCAAGTAATGTTTTATATCTGCTTAAGACATCTGCACTTCTTCATATAATATTGAGAAGATTACAAATTTCAGCACGAAAAATATCGAGTCTGTACTGACGTGTTGAAGATAACGGACCTTCGGACTTTCGGACTCAGCTAGTCTGAGAATGGTAGTTCACCGCGAGTCAACGAATAAGCTTAAACTGGTGCTTCGCTTACGCTTACTACTGCACTTCGGTGAGACTAGCGTAGTGGAAATAAAACGGACAGATGTGGAGATTAAAAGTCCGATACTGAGAATCTCACTTTTATTGACCTTGATGGATATAGGTATGACTCTGCAGTCGTGTAAGTCATAGTCCACTATTTCTGACATGTGAGAGTCTCAAAAGAAAATGTCCGAATGCGAGGTCTAGACGGCTAGACAAGGCTCTGAGCTGCATCTGGCGTTGCAACGTCGTGATTGTACAAGCTCTTGCAATCTTAAACGCCTGGAACTGATGAAAATATCCAAAGACGCAAGTTGTTGATTGTTCCATGCGTCAGTATTTGTTATTATAGACGAGGTTGAAGTTTTGAGAGTTTCTAATGAATAGCCTGACTGTAATGGGAACTGTATAGATCTGTTTCTGCAAGTTTTGAACGTCAGAATAATTGGATGCCTCGAACTGCAGGGTAATTAGCAAGTCTTGGCTGAAGATTGGACGTTAGCAGATAAGATAAAAGCCGATAAAAGAGTGCCGGGAAGTGGAGACAGGTACCCCCCACATTGTACCTGCCGCTCGGTTGCCCTGTCACCTTCCAATTAACGCGTGAGGACGCGTGCCCCTGCCATGTTCCTGGATCTTGCCGCGAAAGGACGCGACATCCAAATGGCAATTTAGTTCAGCGATATTGCGTCTCCCAACCTGAAGCTCCCATCCACACTTCTCAACTCACCTTACCTGACCTATTATTCCATTCCATCTTGACTTTTTTTGTATTGTCAATCGATTGCCTTTTATCTCGTAGGCGTCATAGAATTCTGTTCTTTATCACTTTTGGGTGATTCACGGTTGTCCCGGCCTTCCAGTACCCTCAATCAGCCAATTCTGCAGGATCCGTTCACCATCATGGCGAGCGACCGATCAACGCCGGCGCGAACGCCCGCTAAATCGACCAAGGCTTCTGCGCCGCCTTCTTTAACAAAGCAGCGTTCAATCGTCTCTTTCTTCTCAAAAGCTCCGCCTTCGTCCCCCGCTGCCGCATCTTCGCCCGTGGCAAAGCCTTCTTCCACGCCCAAGCAATCTTCTTGCTTGAAGGAGACCACAAAAGCCGACACTCTTCCTAAGAGCACGCCTTCCTCCAAGCCCAAGTCAACTCCGACAACCGCCAAGCAGGCCACGTCCGTTCCTGACAGCGACGCCATCGAGCCTCCAAGCTCGCAAGAAAATCTTGATGCGACCGTCAAGGTAAAGCTTGCACCCCTCACCGAAGGCGACAGAAGCTAACAGATCACTAGAAGTCTGCCTCTAAAATGAAGCACGACGCCCTGCCCAGTAGTCCGACTCGAAAGGTGAGAAACTCGCAGCGCCCTCCCCTCACACCAGTCACTAATGTCCCGAAGGTCAAGAAGGTTGTTAGTTATGCCGAATCCTCCGACGAAGATGAGCCTTTCCAGTTTGGTGGCGCCTCCACACAACGACGACGAAGAGCAAGAGTTGTACCAGTCGTCAAAGACGAGGATGATTACGAGGAAGAAGAGGAGGAAGCAGTACAAGATGAAGATAGTGGTAAGAACACCGTTGACCACAGCGCAAACTCCATGCTAACAGCTGCAGATACTATGGATGACTTTATCGCATCAGAGTCAGACGAAGATACCTCCCGAGCTAAGAAGCGAAAGCGCCCCTCAAAAGCACCCGCTCCCCGAAAACGATCCAACAAGTCTTCACCCATTCCCGAACCCGAGGTCGACGTCAGAGAAAGCATCGTTGAAGAAGACGAGGAGATGGAGGATGCCGAGCCCTCGACTGCATCTCAATGGAATTATAACCCCAACTCGACCGATAAGCAAGCAGTTGTCAAGCCAGCTGAAAGGGCGGCGAACAAGGACCCCAAGTTCAAGGAGAAGGCACATACAAAAGATCCCGATCAGAGATACGACTGGCTTGCCAATATTCGAGACAAAGAGAAGAGGAAGCCTGATGACCCAGACTACGACAAGCGAACCATCTACGTCCCTCCTTCTGCTTGGAATAAGTTTTCACCATTCGAGAGTCAGTACTGGAAGATCAAGCAGAACCTTTGGGATACCATTGTGTTCTTCAAGAAGGGCAAGTTCTACGAACTTTACGAGAACGATGCCACTGTCGGCCACCAGGAATTCGACTTCAAGATGACTGATCGAGTCAATATGCGCATGGTTGGTGTGCCCGAAAGCTCGCTTGACTATTGGGTAAACCAGTTTATCGCAAAGCAGTACAAGGTTGCTCGTGTTGATCAGATGGAGACCAACTTGGGCAAGGAGATGCGTGAGCGACAAGACAAGAGCAAGAAGGCCGACAAGGTCATCACTCGTGAACTTGCATGCATTCTTACCGCGGGTACCCTCGTTGATGGCGGCATGTTGCAGGATGACATGGCTTCATACTGTGTGGCTATCAAGGAGTCTGTCGTAGACGATCTCCCTGCTTTCGGTATTGCCTTTGTTGATACTGCCACTGGTCGTTTCTACCTCTCCAGCTTCGTGGATGATGTCGATCTGACCAAATTCGAAACTCTGATTGCTCAAACCGGCCCCCGAGAATTGCTCCTCGAGAAGTCGCACCTCTCGACCAAGGCATTGCGTATTCTGAAGAACAACACCAGTCCTACGACCATCTGGACACATCTCAAGCCAGGTGTTGAGTTCTGGGAAGCGGATACGACTCGACGCGAGCTTGACGTTGCGAACTACTTCAAGGCCGAGGGTGCTGACGAGGAGGTCTGGCCCGAGACTCTTCAATCCCTTCGCGATGATGACGTTGTCATGTCGGCGATTGGAGCATTGATCTACTATCTCCGTTTCCTCAAGCTCGAGGGACCTTTGCTATCGCAGGGCAACTTTGAGCTTTACAGCCCTATCCAGAAGAATGGTACTCTTATCCTTGATGGACAGACACTCATCAATCTCGAGGTTTTTTCCAACTCCGTTAATGGCGGTTCCGAAGGTACGCTGTTCAGTCTTCTTAATAAGTGTGTCACGCCCTTCGGAAAGCGTCTCTTCCGTTCATGGGTGGCTCACCCGCTTTGCAACATCGATCGCATCAACGAGCGTCTGGATGCTGTCGAGATGCTCAACGCCGATCAGACAGTCCGTGAACAATTCGCTTCGCAGCTCGTCAAGATGCCCGACCTGGAGCGACTCATCTCACGAATCCACGCTGGCGCTTGCAAGCCCGAGGACTTTGTCAAGGTTCTAGAAGGCTTTGAACAAATCGAGTACACCATGGGTCTTTTGGGAGCCTATAAGGGAGGCAATGGTCTTGTCGACCGTCTCATCTCGTCCATGCCAAACCTCGATGAGCCTCTGAACTATTGGAGGACAGCCTTTGACCGAAACAAGGCTCGTGAGGAGAAGCTTCTAATTCCCGAGCGTGGCATTGAGGAGGACTTCGACGAGAGCTCAGACCGTATTGAGGAGATTAAGCAACAGCTCGAAGACCTCCTTTCAGAGAAGAAGAAGGAGTTCAAGTGCAAGCTTCTCAAGTTTACACATGTGGGTAAAGAGGTCTACCAAATTGAGGCACCGAAGAGCGTTAAGGTCCCTTCAAGCTTCCGTCAGATGTCCGCCACAAAGGACGTCAAGCGATATTACTTCCCCGAACTATCTCAACTTGTGCGGGAACTCCAGGAAGCAGAGGAGACTCACTCCCAACTCGTCAGAGATGTTGCTTCTCGCTTCTTCCAAAAGTTCGATGTTGACTATGAGACCTGGCTAAACGCCATCAAGATTATTTCGCAGCTGGATTGCCTGGTAAGCTTGGCCAAGGCATCGGCTTCCCTGGGCCAGCCTAGTTGCCGGCCTGAGTTTGTGGATGAGGAGCGCAGCACTGTCGACTTCCAAGAGCTTCGACACCCTTGCATGATGAACACTGTCGACGACTTTATTCCCAATGACATCAAGCTTGGTGGTGAACAGGCCAAGATCAATCTCTTGACCGGAGCCAACGCTGCCGGAAAGTCCACAGTTCTTCGAATGGTATGTATCCTTCAATTCTATGTCACTGTACGAAGCTAACAATTACTCTAGTCTTGTGTCGCTGTTATCATGGCCCAGATCGGTTGCTACGTCCCTGCCACATCCGCCCGCCTCACTCCTGTGGATCGCATCATGTCACGTCTTGGAGCCAACGACAACATCTTTGCCGCTCAGTCGACCTTCTTTGTTGAGTTGTCCGAGACCAAGAAGATCTTGTCCGAGGCTACTCCTCGGTCGCTGGTCATCTTGGATGAACTTGGTCGTGGAACCAGTTCTTACGATGGTGTCGCCGTTGCCCAAGCTGTTCTTCATCACGTCGCTACTCACATCGGCTGTGTCGGCTACTTTGCCACCCACTACCACTCCCTTGCGACAGAATTCGAGAACCATCCCGAGATTCGAGCACGCAGGATGCAGATTCACGTCGATGAAGATGAGCGACGTGTTACCTTCCTCTACAAGCTCGAAGACGGTGTCGCTGAAGGCAGTTTCGGTATGCACTGCGCTGCCATGTGTGGTATTTCTTCACGTGTGATCGACCGCGCTGAAGTTGCTGCCAGGGAGTGGGAGCACACTAGTCGACTCAAGGACAGTTTGGAGAAGGCAAAGACAGGATGCTACATCCCACTGGGTATTCTCAGTGACGTCGGCGCACTACTCGGCGACAAGGGAGAAATGGGCGACGATGGAGTCGACGTTCTTCTCAACGCCATTGAAGCACTTTAAATTACAAATAATAAGACGGACAGACAAGATTAGAGGGATATTGGCTTTTTTTGCTAGGCGTGTTGGGGTCGTCTTCATGTAATTGGAATGAGACAACCTCTGATAGAGTTGTCGTAAAGGGATCAATAGGCGTTGCAATGGAGTGTGTCCGCCATTAAGGCGAAGGAAGGATTGGGACTTCTTAGATCAATGTGACGAGAGGCAATTCAGATAAAATGAGATCTATTCTACGGTACAATAAAGTGTCAATTGTGTTCATTCCCTCAACTCCGTATCCATATCCCTACTCCATAATCAAGTACACATGGCGCGCATCTTATCACCAAGTGTGTCACCAGCAAACCCTAAATAGTACAAACAAACATCGCCAGATAATTCACAAGCGCGCCTTAGGATTCTATCCTTCAGAGTCCGAATTTTCCTCAGCGACAGAGGGTGCCTTGGATGTTGCCTTGGAAGGCGTCGCAGACGGAGCCGACGAAGTAGCCCTCTGCTGTCGAATTCTACTCGACGCTCTAGAAGGCGGTGCGCCGCGAGTCTTCTTAGCCCTCTTGGCTTTCGGAGTCTTTGTCGGTGCTACACAAGTCAGTCGTCAATCCAACATGTCAAAAATAGGTGGACTTACCAGTCTCAGTGCTCTCCTTCACTTTCTTCGGAGCCGGTCCGGCGGTGTCATCTGCATCAGCAGCAGGTCTCTTCTTCAATGCCGAGGAGCTCGCGTCACTCTGGACGGCCGGAGTATCATTCGCATCAGACTTGGTGGAATCCGCCTTAGTAGCAGGCTTCTTCCGATGCTCAGGCTTCGGCGATTTCTTCTGGAAGTTCGGGATGTCATTTACATCAGGCTGAATGTCATCGCCAGAGTCCGAGTCGCTCTGGTACTTGTAAAGACCATCGCTGGGTTTAATTCCAAGGAAAAAGTTCCGTCGACGGCGACCGCTGGGGGTATCATCCCAAGGTCCACCGGGGGTATCCCAATCACCCGGGAAGGGAGGGAAGCCTTCATACGGAGGCCAAGGGATGCCATGCCACTCCTTGTTTTCGTCATTATTGGGATCTGAAGCCCAAACGGTAGCATTGTGGTGGTTGTCGTTGAGGGGATAAATGGTGCGCTTGTAACTTGGGTAGTGACGGAGGAACTTCTCCTTGATAACGCCCAGCTTTCCGGGAAGTTTAGACTGGGGGATCCAGCCGCTGCGATTGGGGAGGTTGTCTGTTGAACCGATCCCGTTGCGGATGCGACAGCATTTATTCTGGTCCCAGTGAGCCTGAAGTGCGTTAGTATATATGTGAGTTAGAGATGGGGTATACTGACCTCTACTTCTCTCGCGCGACCGATAGGTGAGCGGTTAGGGCTCTTACTCCGCCGCTTAGGCGCCTTTCGGAGACACTTGGAGCAGTACATGTTGTCATCGGGATCAAAGTTGGGATCACCAGGGCCAAGCTCCTTCACCCAGTCAGGTGAGTTCGCTCGTTGGCGATAACCAGCCCATTCTTCCTGCATCTCCTCGTATTCTTCGGTCTCGTAACCGTCATCTTCGTAGTCACCATCATTTTCTCCTCTAGGGCGACGGTTCTTGGCCTTCTTAGGAGTTCGACCTCGGCCTACTGTGTTGGAGCTCTTAGACCCGCTACCAGCGACTTCGGCTTCCAAGGGTTCCAAGGGTTCCAATTCCGTGTCTGCATCCTCTGAATCATAATTCGCTTCTTTGAGTTTAGAGGGGGGTGGTCGTTTAGACTTTCTACCACGAGAGACTGAAGAAGCGGCATCACTCTGTTTCGCATCTGACTCGCCATCAGTGGCTGTAGGAGTCAGACGAATTGACTTCTTAGTCCGCTCAGGCTTCCCAGTCTTCTTCGGTGTCTTAGTCTTCTTGGGTGCCTGAGCACGCTTGGGTTTCTTATCGACCGCCGCGGCAGAGCCAGTAGATGCGCCTGACTCATGATCAGCAGCCCCGACACGAATACTGCCATTACCACTGTCACCGCCATCATCTCCCTCATCATCATCGTCATTAGCACCACCATCCGCATCATCATCAACGTCCTCGGATTGCTTGTCATCATCTTCCTCGTCTTCATCAAAGATGACATGCTCTTTGGGGTGACACTGGCGGAGATGGTTGCGGTACTGTTCGTCTGACATGGCTCCAACAATACAACCACACTTCTCGAAGTAATGACACTTGTCGAGTAGTCTGGAATCAGTATCCACTACTTGCTTGGTTTTGGAAGTGGCAGATGGACCAGCAGTCGCCTGAGTAGAAGCAGTTTGAGCGTCGGATCCCCGGACAGCACTAGTTCGAGAAGGTGCAGCTCGAGTAGTCGTGCTCTCAGCGCCAGCAGACCCAGTAAGTGCAGCTTGAACACCAGCTGAAATAGTGGGAGGTGAGACTTGAGTAGTTTTGGGCTGTGTATCAGCCGGTCGACGAGGTGCAGCTGGGGGAAGAGTTCGAGACGTGCCAGCAGCAGCATCAGCAGCCCACCTAGCAGCCATTAATTCGTCCTGCTGACGTTGCATCGCTCTCCATTTTTCCCCATTCTTCGACCTTTTTTCAACAAAAGTAGGTACCATACTGCGACCGCCAGGCAATTTCTCTATCTGATCCCAGAGCTGGTAGATATGACAGTCCAAGTGTTTGAGACATTCTCTCTGGTCCCGCTCATCAACATATACAAGGCCATCTTCCGTTTCTTCCTTATCATAAAAGGGCAACTTGCAGAATGGACACTCATTCATCATTTTCTTGACATCGTGAAACGTCTTGAAGTGTTGCAATATACCATGAGAGCTTAGATGTCCGATCTTTCGATGAGTACAGTTCCAGACCGGGCATTCCTGAGGAGGATCTGAATTGGCAAACGTTCCGCGGTAATCGTACCAGTTCAGAAGAGGAGGTTTGAGTTGGCGTGGTGGCTCTTTTGCCTTCATGTGCGGCCCCCATGTGCCGTTCCCAGTGGGAGATTTGTTGGAGATTGGGGAAGCCATAGTGGGCTTGGCAGGAACTGCCAAGGTCGCAGGTTTTGCGGCGGCGGATGCGAAAGATAGGCGAGAAGTCGAAGGTCCGCTGAAGGAACCTACAAAAGGATTTGGGACCTGGCCCTGGGAAAGGGGATTTTTGGCTGCTGATGCAGCTGTGGACGCACTAGGCGGGGGCGGAAGCACAGGTCCAGGAGCATGTCTTGGTGAAGGGGCTCCGAACGGGACAGTAGATCCAGTAGCAGGTCTAGATGCGGAAGCTACTGGCGGGACGATAGGTGCAGCAGCAGGTCCGGATGCACTAGGCACGGGTAGAACAGCAGGCCCAAAAGCAGGTGTCGATGCCGGGGCTCCGAAGGGTACAGTAGACCCAGTAGCTACGGCCGGGGCAGTAGATCCAGTCGCGGGTTTGGGTGCAGCAGCTACTGGCGGGACAACAGATCCAGCAGAAGGTCTAGATGTAGTAGCTACGGCCGGGGCAGTGAATTCAGTCGCAGGTCTAGGCGCAGCAGGTGTAAGTCCCAACCGAGAACGCTCACGAGCGTTGTAAGCATGCCAGTCGGCTGCAGCTTGCGGGTTGACCTCTGCCATAACCTCCGATATCCTCTTCATTTGCTTAAGATGCTTTTCTCCATAATGCTTTATCCTTTGTTCCTCATCGTAATATTCATATAAACGGTCCTGGCAGAAGGGACACTTGAACCTTTCATGGGCGGCCAAGATATGCTCATCCAGCTTTAAGGATTCCATGAGTTTGTATGTAAAGTCGCACTTCGTCCAGGGACATTTGCCGATACGCTGCAGCGTCACATTGCATAAGTCGTTGAAACTGTGCTGTAATTCGGCTTGCTCAGTGGGCGTGAGAACGGCCTTGGAGAACATGGGAACGTTGCTGGATAGACGATGCATCTTCTCGACTGGCGGTGCAGTTTGAGGAAGACCGATCTCAGCGTTCGATGGCCAGGCTCGTGAGGTTTCATTGGTGAAGATGCTGGGTTGGGTAGCCCATGTGTGTTCTCGGTGATCTGGACCTGCAGGCTTCTTCTCTGGCATGGGAGGCTTGGCAGGAGCCTTCGGAACAATAGGAGGATCGGGACTCTTAGGAGCAGAAGGGTCGTATCGAGGAAACCTCTCGAAAGACTCTTCAGGTCGAGGCATCCCCCGTATGTCCATTTGTCTATAAATCTCTCGAGCAAATGAAACGTCTGGACCACGACTCGGTTCCCTTGAACTACGCTCGGAATTATCCGAATTGCTGTCCTCATCTGAGTCGCCAGCAAACAGGCTTCCGTCGGGTCGCTCATCCAAGTCCATAGGTTCGTGCTCAGATGAAGCCTCGTGATCAGGCTCCTGCTCACTCTCAGATACATTCTCATCAATCTCATGAATACTTGATTCAGCATCGCTGCCTTCAGATTCGGCAGCTGGAGATGAAGATTGTCCGCGTGGAGATGGGGATGGGTACCAACTGCAAGGAGGTTGAGCAGTAGCCAAGAGACCAATATCGGTTTCACCTTGCCCATCTGGAGTATGTGTGCGTTCAATTTGTTCCGTGGTGGGAAATTGAAGACGGTCTGCAGCTGGCTCATCCTCGCTGGCCTTAACGTGGAGCAATGGGGGTGACTTGAAGGCCATCTTTCGCTTTCTTGAAGGTGGCTGGGATGAACCGTCACTCCATGGACGCGACACATCGTCTTCGGAATAAGGGTGCCTGATTGGTACAGGGTCCTGAGGATATCCCTGGGAGAGATCGATGGTCTGGTTATCCAGGTCCTGCACTTGGAGAATATCCCGCTTCAATCCCGACTCACTCCCAGCATACTGAGTCATATCCTCATGCTCCATTCGTACACCCCAAAGATTATGTTTCCAGATAGAAGAAGCCCAGTCAGTGTAGTCCCTCGTGGCCTTGAAGACTGATATCTCAGGGGACATGATAGATTGTCTGATCAAAAACCACTCGTCTTCTGTCGTATCAGGTCCGACGATAAAAGACGGCCAGTCCATGTCTTGGGTTGCCAGAATCTCGTACGAGCGTGGGTGTTCCAGAAAGAAATAGTCTTCTCTGGGATCGTTGCTGTAATGATTAGGAGGTGGTGCAAGGCTGTACAACTCCGTGATAGCTTCATAGAACTGATCCAGTGACGACGTCAGGCGAGGCATCTCAACAAAGATATCTTCACCCCGATACCAATCCGGGAACAGTCGACAGTGTCCAGGAAGCCAGTTCGCATGGACGATCCTATAAGCACTTGGAGAGCCTGTCAGCTTTCCGGCCAGACTTGCGCCGCCAGTTCCGTCGGATTCGCGGTGGTCGATTTTGACTCCATCAATTCCATCGCGGTTTGACCCGATATGGTTAATACCCTCCATAACAATAACCGAATCTAACCTTTGGCAGTTCATGCTATCGAATGCCTCGGTTGTCATTTGGCAGATTTGTTGGTATGCATGTCTCAAGCGAAGCACATTATCCTGTCCATCGCGAGAGACCAAGTGCGGTTCGGGTAGCGGATAGTAGTTGGGCATGATGAGAGCTTCAGTACCAGGTGAGAGCCAATGGCACTCAACCATCCAGCAAGCATCAGGGGAGTTGAGTGGATGAAGAGCATTCCAAACCCATTTGGGAAAGCCCATGGCGCCGTAGACAATGGGGAACGTGCGACTGCCATCAAGGCTATCCATCCACTGACGAATGCCACTGGTGCCGGTATAACTGACATCAGGCCTGTTCTTGTCAAACAAACGGAACAAGGCATGGTGATATAATTTGTCCTTTGGCGCGCTGAAAAGGACGTTCATCGTCGCGCAGAAGTGAGCGTTGTACTGATTTGAGCCATGGCCAATGACCCAGTATTCTTCATCAGGCTCTGCTCTAGGGAGAGCCAGGTATGCATAACTGACAACCTCTTCCTCAGGTCCATTTGGAGCATGACCAAGGGAGCGTCCAATTCTGATAGTGTCGGTTTCGAAGTCAACGGGAAGAGGTTCCCATTTCATCGGGCCCTTATTAGTCTCAGTATGACCAGTGTCGACGAACAGCCTACAGCACTCATCATGAGGTCGTGCCTTGGCAAAGTGCGATTGCAGAAAGGCCATAACCGGACTGTCCCTCTGCAAGGGCAAGGTATCGTGCACCATCTCTGGCTTACCACCCTTTGGATCGTACTTGATAAGGGTGAACTCTTTCTGAGTATCGTTGACAGGGTGAAGCAACTGTCGTAGAACCTTCGGAAACGAGGACCACTTGGTTGGAACAAATGGCAAGCGCCCGTTGAGGCCGTATAGATAAGTCCATTGATCCTTGAACGTCGCATGCTCTTGGCCTGCGTCGATGTAGTCGCCGGTCTTAGTATTGCCATCATCATCGGTTTCTCCTCCACGGAGGCCCATAGTCGGCTCCATTGCCTTGGGAAGTGGTAGGGGATGGCTCATAGCTTCCTTGACTTCAGTGTGTTAGTCTCATGGCTTTAAACAAACGAACGTATCGACTTACCCTTCAGACTATCCTTTCCCCAGCTGCGATGATCATGAGCCGTGAGGAAATGCAATGGTGACTTGACATTGTATCTTGGGACCTCCTCATCATCATGTCCCAACATCTTGGCAATTTCCTCCAGGGGATTGTCCATAGGAGCGGCGGGGAGCCCAAACCACATCATAGTCAACTTTGTCGCTAGCGAGTCCTCGACACCCTTGAAGCGACGAGTGAGCAGTGCCTTGTATCTCGTCGTATTGTTGGCTTGTATCTCTTTGACATCGGCGCGTTCGGCGGGCGCCAACAGGCGATACTGATGATGGGTAAAGTGCTCCCGTATAATAGTCTTAATAGGGATGTCTTTCTCCAAGAGATGCGTAAAGTACCTGTGTCGTAACTTCCACTTCTTGTCTTTCGGTCCAACTAACAAGTCCATACGATCCGCAGGCGGATCGGCTTCCTGTAACCAGTGGCTTGTATCCTCTGGCTCGAAGGCCGTTGGGATCGGAAGGGCCCCCGTCGGGTGATCAGACATGGTGAGAATTGACAAAGGAAAGCGCTCGCGAAAGCGAAAGAGTGGCTAAGCGACGGCTGTCTTTGGGTATAATGCGATATGAAAGAAAAGACACAAGGAGATAGAGCTCTAGTAAGAGGATGTAATCGGAGTGAGTTGAGTTCGGTTGATGAGAGAATAAAAGAGCGAAAGATGACAAAAATAACGAGGATATAAACGGAGACCAAGACAAGTGAATGATGGGATGCCAGAGATGTTAAGTTGTCGGCCTGATGAAAGAGCGTCTTTGAGGATGAAGCTGTTTGAGTGACAGCACTGGCCCAGGTGAAATGCCATTGTTCTCGGTACTAGCATCTCGCGAGTACCAAACGTGGTTCTTTGTGGTGTCGAGGACAAAGAGAGGTACTTGGTTCTTTGACAAGTCGTCGGAGTGGTCTGTGTCGTTGGTCGTCCGGCACCACCGTCTGTTCTTTGACCGAATTCGCCTGGCAACCCAGACATTGATGTGCTGACTACCTGTCGCAAGGCTGCGACCAAACGCAAGGTCACTGGCGAAATCGTGAATATCTTGACATAGGTACTGAGAATCCGTCTACCTTGTGAGAGTGCATTGCATTACAACGATGATTGCGAGTGAAGAAGGTATGTCGCTGAGATTAATTGACCTAACATCCAGGTACAACCCAAACAGGACGACAATAACGCCTGTTAGCACAAAATTAGCAACAAGCAAGGCCATAGCTTCTCGTACCTTTTGATTGAGCCACAATCCAGCCTCCATTTATTTGAGGTGTGCCTGTTTCTTTGTCTGCGATCCAAGCGTGGTCACTCGAAGGAGGGGCAGCCGAACAAAGAAGCTGTAACTCGTCGAGACATGAATAGCACGTCGCAAGTGAGACTCGATGTCTTTGTTAACAAAATCCTCCAGGGGTTTGCAAAATCACGAGAAGGCGATGAGCAAAGTCGTGAATCAATGAAGTCGTTCATTATGGTATTGTAGATGTCTGCTTTGTCCTGGCCTTGTAATTGACGTCGAGTTTGCGGCGGCCATTCACTCATCCTGCGTATTGTCGCACCAAGTCCTCCAGCTTCTCCTGGCAATCGGAGAAGTAATTGATAGCCTGAATAATCTTACCTTCGCTTGTGCCAAAGCCGCTCCTGGTGAAAGCCATCCTCCACTTGCTTTCATCTCGGACCAGAGCATTGTAATCCCTTGTTTCCCAGCTCTTGTTGTCTGGACCCTGTGCGAAGTAGCCGCCAAGCTTTCCATCCCAGGACGACAGTTCGGTAGAAGCAAGGCCGTTGAGTAGGTTTGGTGAGATGGTGATGTGTTGGATACCGGCAAGTTGCATAACTTCGTCCACAGATGTGAGCGACGCAGCCAGAACCTGTGTACGGAACGAGTGGTTGATGTAGTAGGCTTGCGCTTCACGACAAAAGTCAAAGGCTTTGTGCTCATCCACGTATCTGATGTTGTTTAGTAAATGGAAGCGAGCGCAATACTAAGTATGAACTCACCCTGCTTCAAAATGAACCTTAAGCTCATTGACATAGGGCGCAATGTAAGTGCACTGCGCCTCAGCAGCCAGAGTCGCTTGCTCCATGCAAAACATGGTGGTCGCAAGCGTAGCAATTCCTTTCATCTCGAGTGTGCGACACGCTTGAAGGCCCTCCCAAGTGGCAGGGATCTTGATGCATACCCTTTTCGAGTCAAAGTCGGGGGCTAGCGTCTTGAAGATGTCGACGATTCCTAGACTCCGTCAGTATCCACCACGACAGGGAACGGTACGTAGCTTACTGTAAGCATCGCTTATTGTGCCTTCAGTTGAGTAAGAAAGCTTTGGGTTGGTCTGAATGTGCACATAGCCTGTGACATTTGGGACGATCAACAATTGCAGTTTAACCATCTTTACAAGTTAGCCACGTCCTTTGTATCGGCATCCGGTGTCTTACCAAGATCTGAACGACAAACTCCTCGAACGTTACAGATCCTTGAAGTTCCTTCAAAGCTCCCCTCGCGCCGTCAATGGCATCTTTGACTAAGGCATTGTGGCGCAAAAGAGGTTCTCCCGCAAGCGGCCTGGAGATCTCTGAGAACGCAATTGCCTGGACAAACGTTAACACCACTTTCAAGAAACAAGAATAAGAGCGCATTTACCTGATTGGAAGTGCAATCCACAAATGGACCTAGTTGTTGAGCGACTGCATCAAGTCAGTAAATGTAAGTGTCGGAGGTGAGTGTTATGTGAGTACCATTGGCGTCAAGAGTGTCGCAGTCGACCTGAGTGGTCTTTCGGAGAGCGTCTAATAAAGTCGTCATGTCGAAAATGGCAAGATCAATTGTAACTGATTGAAGATATTCTGTATTGATTGCTATAATTTTCAAGCCGGCAGTCGAGTTATTTGACTGTATCGTGAGAGTCGTTGATGGAGTCGTCCAACTCCAGTAAAGTCAACAACCCGAGCTAGCCCCCACTAAGATGAGCGCATCTGACGGTAGTTTTTGCTCGGCTTGGCTTCCCAAAACGCCCAGCAGCGTCGTCTTTTCGCCTCCATTTCCACTATAGCTGGGCCACTGTCGTCGCATTAGTGTGAGGGGCCTTCCTCCGTAGGCAGCCGTATTTCATCCGTTGAAGAACTCAGTTGATGGAGTAGCTGTGACTTTCTGAGCCAATCTCGAGATAACGATGTGGTCATGCGGGGAATGCGTGGGTCAAACGGGTGGTTCTTGCAAGCCACTCCATCGCTGTGGTCTCCGAATGTACGTTCCTCTTTGGGGATTGGGAAATCCAGCCGGCAATTGTGCGTTCCTCTGGCTGTCACAGTCTCACAGCTGGAGACCAAAAGGGTGTCTTGAACCCGAAAGCATCGGGTTAGCGGCGATCAATAAGAACCCGTCGATTAGGAATGAAAGTGCCTGGCGGGGCAGTCTCCAAAAGCTGAAGTCTGCACGTGACAGATCACGTTTCCTTTCCCCAGGAATTTCCCAATCGGGTCATCCATTCAAGAAATCTGCCATCCATTGCATCTCAAAGTCGAACCACTCCACCAGTAAGCTCAAGTTCAAGCTCAAGCTCACGCCCTCCTCTCACCTCGGCGTGTCGCTCATGGACTGAGTCTCGACGACCATGAACCCATTCGTCAGGGCATAATGCGACCACCAAGATGCCTCTTCCCCGCCGCGGAGATCCTCCTCAAGGCTCCTTCGAGTAGACGGTGCATGTCCTCTGCAGCAGCCTTCCAACCGCCTAGAATAGTCGCTGCCACACAATGGAAGGGTTACGGATTTTTCTTGTCGAATAGGATGTTTGATCGGTCGACATGCCTCGATTTCGTTATACTGCGCAAAGCCAATGGCATTCGATCGGCGTCTGCTTCAGCGACTGACTCGACATTATCTTCCCCCACCACGAATTCTTCTTCCGAACAGGACATTGCTCCTCATAGAAAACGACAGGCTCAACGTCGCGAAAAGGCTGCCGCTGAAGCTGCCGCCCGAGGCGAAAAGCCACTTCCTCCCGATGCATCCTCTTTACTCGCAGAACATGCTGCTTCGCAGTCCAGTTCCGGCCGCCGCTATCTCTCCGCATGTCTCTCGCTCTCGAAACCTCGATTGACTATGCTCGTCGTTCTTACCGCCATGGCAACTTACGCTTTATACCCTGTACCCGAAATGCTCTCGCCGAGCACTACCGAAACGCCGAGTTTGAGTCCTTTAACATTATTATTCCTTACGATTGGCACGACTCTTTGCTCAGCTAGCGCCAATGCTTTGAACATGCTTTACGAGCCCTCGACCGATGCCAAGATGACCCGAACTCGAAACCGACCTTTGGTGCGAAATCTCATCTCCAAGCGAAGCGCTGTGTTGTTCGCCATTCTTTCTGGATTTGTCGGAACGGGCGCTTTGTACTTTGGTGTCAACCCAACCGTTTCCGGCCTTGGTTTTGCCAACATCGTTATTTACGCTGGAATGTACACGCCTCTTAAGGCTGTTACAGCTTTTAACACCTGGATCGGCGCTGTGGTCGGCGGTATTCCTCCTCTAATGGGCTGGGCTGCGGCTGCTGGTGAAACTGCCACCAAGGACGGTTCATGGCGCGAGCTTCTATTCGCCAGCGACGGATCTTCGATTGGTGGCTGGGTCATGGCCGGTTTTCTATTCGCATGGCAGTTCCCCCACTTCATGGCCCTCAGTTGGCCAATCCGTGAGGAATACAAAAAGGCCGGTCTTCGCATGCTAGCATGGACAAATCCCGCTCGCAACGGCCGTGTCGCTCTACGATACAGTCTCGTCTTTATTCCTCTATGTCTATCACTCTGCGCCGCAGGAGTAACAGAATGGTCATTCGCTGTAACCAGTTTCCCCATTAATGCCTGGCTCATTCGAGAATCCGTGCGCTTCTGGCGATTCGAGGGTGAAAAGGGCAGCGCGAGGGGTCTTTTCTGGGCCAGTGTGTGGCACTTGCCCGGTATCATGATCCTTGCTCTATTAAACAAGAAGGGCATGTGGAGCAGAGTCTGGAGGAGCGTATTTGGTGAAGAAGAGGGAGAGTGGGAGGAGGAAGAGCTGGACGAGATGGTCAGCATGGCCGTGGCAAATACCAACAGCCAAAAGTCTATAAGGTGACGTGTAGGATAAATGAACGAATATTGTAACAACAATTGTATGTATGTGGGAGGTAAATCTAGCATTTTGGCTGTGGCATCATCTACGCAGCTCATATACTATCAGTGTAGATTATCTTATGAACATGAACACCAAAATTTTGAACATCAGTATAAGTTTAAATCGAGTGCGTGAATTGCAGAAAGATGATGCGCTGCTAAAACCCCATGCATCCTCATGTCGTGGTATCTCTATCTCTAGTATACAAAGGAGATGTACTCTGACCATTTCGTCTCGCTAACCACCATTTTAAAAGCAACAAAGACATAAATAACACGCCCAAAGCAAATAATTCATGCGTTATTGTCGTTATAATCGCTCATAACACCAAACACCATTGTAACCCATGTTGCTCGCCATGCAGTAAAGAGAGTTGTATGCTGATTAAGGATTGACAGAAGGAAGGGACGGCGAGATTAGGGTGAAAGCCTGATAAGGCTGAAGTCGTAAAGATTCGCAAAATGTTGAATGAAGAGAAAGACGATAGGGTTAGACACCTCGTCCTGGCCTGTTAATAAGATTCCCAATACCCATATCCGAACTCTGCGGTCGCTGCGCCATGTACTGAGGACTGTTGCCCTGGCTGTGATGATGTCCGTAGGCGCTGGAGTTGGAACCCACGCTCGACGAGTATCCGTGGCCGCCGTACCCAGGGTTGTAGGCAGCGCCGAGGCTATACTGGACGGGAACGCCCATGTGGTGAGATTGCATTTGTTGTTGGTAGGAGGTGCTGACCGAGGGGCCCACCATGGAGGAGGCGCTCGTCTCGGGGCTGCTATACGATGCGTCTATATCGTCAACCGGTGTTAGGCCCATGCCGGAGATGCCGCTGTCGTCGTCATACCCTGAGAGAGCGCCGGACTCGAGTCGGTCACGACGGGCTGCGGCGCGGGCGGCGCTTTGCAGATTCTTGAGGCCGTTTGACATGCACTAGAGAAGATGTTAGCAAGCAGTTACATCAGAGTTGAGGGTGAATACATACCTTGGCTTCCACAACGTTCCACTTCTCGCCTGTTCGAGCAGCGAGACCACTCCAGATCTCTTTCCTCATGGCCATGTACTCCTTAGCCAAGCGCTGAAGTTTGAGATTGTCCCAATCATCAGCACCCTTACGCTCTAGCAATCGCTCGTGACGCTTGCGGCAGGCATTGGGTGTTTTGGAAGGAAAGTAGTTCGCCTGGATCTGGCCCCAGTTGAGACCCTGCATCCGTGCAGTGAGTAACTGCTGGTCATCCTGAGGTCCCCACGCTCCCGAACTAGCTCTATGCTGAACAGGTTGCTGAGGAATAGAAACAGGAGGTGCTGAAGATGAAGCATATGTTTCGTATGTGGGTTGTTGTTGTTGCTGCTGTGTTTGTGCTTGAAGAGCGAGAGAAGAAGCAGCAGAAGTAGTCATGCCGTAGTAGTTCGGCATGGTCATTCGTTGCTGATTGTACATTGGAGAAGGGGCCAAAGAGACTGGGATAGCGTTGTATCGGTTCTGTGAGGAGCTAGGAGCTCGAGAATGTTTCGGCATCATGGAGACGGGTGTGTAGTAACGAGTAGTGAAGGGATTCAGAGTGAATCCTGGTAACGAGATTACGGATTAACGTAAGAAGGGTAAGATATCCGGGTCAACCGGGTCTGGTCTGGTCTTGAAGGTAGGCGGCCCAAAAAGAAATGGAGAACTTTCCGTCCCAGCGAAAAGTCGTGTAAGTATGGAGTAGTAGTAGCGAATGGGTTCTGAAGAGTCAAGGAAACAAGCCCAATAGGTCAAGCAAAGCGACAGATGGAAAATTGCGCCAAGAGAAATGACAGAAGTAAGGAAAAAAGGAAAAGGAAAAGGTAGCGAAAGAGTTGTTGCTGTTGTTGTTGAGTGAGAATGGAGAAAGAAGGACGAGGCCAAGGGAGGCCGGATATGAAGCAGCTTTAAGGCCCAGGGACGTGGACCTCGAGAGTACTCGGATTAGACAAAGACCAATCTCGCCATGGGCGGCTCTGGCACTGAAACAGGAACAGGAAGCTGAAAAAGGCAATGAAACAGCACACTCGTGTCTGAAAGAAGTGGTTTTCTTGGAATGGGTCGAGGATATTGGTCACGTAGGGCGTTTGTTTGGGCGGTTAAGACCAAGAGACAGAATGGGCGGCTATGAAAGAGGAAGAAGTCTCCACGTAGTTTACTAGAAGAGATGATTCAAGACCCTGTTTTTGACAGCCTTGACTGCTGGCGCTTGCTCAAACCTCGTAGCACGGGATGAAGATCAAGAAGCATGGATCAAAAATGGAGAGTCAAAACGGTAGAGCTAAAAGCGTAAAAGAAAACGCCAGGATCTCGACAGCCAGCCGATCTGCATATGTCCATCAGGCCCATGACAAGTTGAGCGCCTGGGGAAATTGAACGGGGTCGCTGCATTGCATGTGTGGGTGTGTACACAAGATGATCAGAAGCGCGAAAGACGGGAAGCAAGGGCGGGAAGACTAAAGTAACAGGGATGCGCATCATAGTTGCACCGGCAGATGAAACATGAAGGACTTGTTGTTGTCTAGAAGAGTAAACAATGACATTCAGGGCAGCTGAACAAGTCTCCCAAGTCTCCTCCATACAAAGAGTTCATGGTGTTGAGATGAACTTGGGTGGATCTCTGCGGCCGCTAATTGGCCCTCTGAGTCTGGAGGCGCGCGTTTAACTCAAATTAGGCGACTCCCGAAATAGTTAGCTCGTCTATTTTGAGATCGATGGCGGGTCCCAGGTACCGCTTCTCCAATTATTGGTGGGGGAGGTACTTGTTGTGGAATGAGTTACGAGCGCTTGCGATGGGCCTCTTGGGAGGTCTTTTGGCGTATAATGAAGCAGATGCCATGTTTCAGGTATCTGTCCATGATGGATTTTTACCTCGTGATAAGATTGAATGACATCTTGTCGGTGGAATGTTGTTCCTGGATTCGACGTTGGGTTGAGGATGGGGAAGGGAAGGGAAGCGGCATGGCGGCTCTTGCACTGCAGGGATTGGGATGGAAGCCAACAGCCCAACTTGTTATACCAGTTCCCTCTCTATATCTTTTCTCATAATTCTTAAAAATGTGAAATATATTCGTTTATCTGAAATCGATTATTTTTATCCAAATAACGGTAGAATAGTTAAATTAGCAGCTTTGTAGAACCTTTCGCGACAATTAGTGATGTCTTGATTGGCTAGAACCACTTTTTCCCGTTCCTGCCCCCTGGGGAACCAGTAACTCCGGTAATGGCAGGAGCGTTAACTACGACCGTTAATTGATCAATTGACAGCCTCAAGACGAGGAAAGTCAGACTCTTGAAGTATCACGATCACAGTCTCGATATTTCATGAGTGGCCAAGTGGACACTCCCAATATACCGTTGTACACGTTCTTCTCTTCCCTCTGGAGTCAATTAACGCGTCGCAACGCGATGGCCTCCTCCCCTGTCCTACGAAGGTCTACTCGTGTGCACCTTGCCGGCCCTCCAGAGGACGAAGACTCCAAGGATGAGATCTCAGACCTTATCATCGTCTCGGAACAAAGACAGTCATTAAGGTTTGCAGTGCCACCAAAGACTGAGCCGACTGAGGACCCTGTCGTATTGCCTTCACCTACCAGTCTCACCACCAAGCCCGCCAGTAAGGCAACAGTCACCAAAACCCCAGCCAGGCCAATCTCCAAATCACAATGTCAAAGCAAGCATCAACGCCGTGCCTTGTCCGACGCGCGCATAGCAAGGAAGCTGAATTGGAATATGCGTCGTTCTACATCCGGCAAGCGCGTAGGCGATGCAGTCCGGAGCATCAAACTCCTCACAGGCCAGTGGCCATGGGAATACCTCAAGGGCTTCCTACCTAAAAAATGGGGCATCACCATGTTGGAGGATATGAGAAGACTACTGAGAAGCGTCTGCAAGAGCGCTAGGATAAATGGGCCTGGACCTCATACCAAGATCACTCGAGACTTTCTCTTTGGGTGCGCAAAGAAGCGCGATGCGGCGGACCCGGCGTTATCGCTCTGCGATATCCTGGATGCTATTGATCACTTCAGTGCGGATTTCTATACGAAAGGTCAGGGTATGTCTGTTAAGACTTGCACGACACCGCCTGTCAAACCGCTGAGCAGGGGGGTTGTTATACCGGAGACAGACGACGAGGATAGCGACATGGACAGCGAGGATGGTGTTGGGCTGGCATCTGACAGCGAGTGGGAAGACTGGACTGGCTACAACTTCGATGATGATGACATTGAGGTGGTCGGTCAGAGAGAGGTGCAGACGACAGCTCCGGAACAACTTCCGACATCATCCATACCAGCCCAGATAACAGCCTCAACACAAACATCGGCAACAGCCCAAAATGAAGTTCAGACAACGGGATTAACTGAAGTCCCAAATTCAACGGCAACCACGGGCCAGGATGAAGTTCAGGCAGCGGGCCAGGAAGAAGGTAATGTGGCTCTCAAGCGCTCTAGGTCGCCTTCGTTGTCTCCATTGCCGCAGAAGCGTCCAAGGCTACCAGATCCAAATATTACATCCCGTAATACGAGCAACAACGGTGCGATAGGCTGTTTGGCAGCACCGCCTATCAGTACATGCAATTGCAGTCATAACACAGTGTCACAAGACATAGCACCACCTGTAAGTCACCTTACACTCTCCACGACCACTCGTATTAACATCCACAGTCACAATCACAAACATATCCGTCAATAGAACGCTCAAGAAATTGGACAGACATCCTCGAAGACTTCGAGTTTCTCGAGAGCGAAAAGAGGAAAGAGTTAGACGCAGTCACACATTCTCTCCACGAAGTCACAACCTCAATCGAAGCCAGCGAAACAGGCGACACAAAACTAGGCAGCGAAGCAGTCGACAAGCTCTGCAGCGACGTAAAATCTTACGAAACAGAGCGCGAAAAGATAATTAAAGGCAAGCACTTCGTGGAGCAGCACCACGAAGAAATGGCCATGAGCGCCGATGACTTGGCGAATGCAGTACACAAGTACACGGTCCGATTAGAAGAGTGCGACGCGTTAATCGCAGAGGCTAATTCCCAGGTGCTCGAGGAGTTGGAGGCTATTGCGCAAAAGGACTCCGATCTGAGAGCGGAGGAGAAGGCTTTGAAGGCAAGGGGGAAAACGGTGTTACAGGAAGTGGAGTACTCGCGAGCTGTTAGGATGATGATGAGGTTGGGGCCTGAGGGAATGGCGATGTTGTTGGCGAGGTTGGAGGCTAGAAATATTGGGTTGTTTGGGATGACGGAGGATATTATGATAGAGAGGGGTATTGCGACGGTGGAAGAGATGATGGCTGAGGGGAGGTGAGGCATGTCCACGATATACCATTACAAGAGAAGCATTATAGCGTAAATGGAGACGAACAGAACTTAGACAATTGTAATTCCTCTAGATGATTTCATCCACGGACTCTTCCAACACTGTCAATACAGAAGTCGTGTGTAAGTGATGCGCGTATCTGCCCCTGCTGTTTGTCACGTCGCAAACACGGTCCTCGACACGACGCGGCAAGGACTACATCATCTGTAACTTTAGCACAAACTAACCAGCGTTTTTCTCCATTTTACCTTTAATACAACACCCAACTCGAAACTACGCCGTTTTCTCTACATAGCACGAATCTTTTGTAACACGAGGGAGGTCAATCAGTCTGCCTGAGGGATGCTCAACACAGTGTAAACTTAGCCGCCCTGATCGACCTGTAAAGCACTAATTTGACGAGATTACTTGTGCGAATGGCTTTTTTACATATGAGAATGGCTTTTTTGCTTGCTAAATAGCCAACGCTAGTGCTTATATAGTGTTTCTAATTAATAGCAACTAATGTGATTCTAGTTAGGTTGTTGTGATAACTCACACATATAACGTTCTAGGTTGAGTACCTCATGGAGGTTGAATGCCCGTGACTATAAATTGCCCCTCACCACCCCGCGTACCGCGTCATGAAGATAACGCCATCCTCTTTTACTTCATGTCACACGTTCACAGCATATACCATACACCATAGCCATGTCCTCCTATGTGAGACAAGGCAGACCAATCGGCAGGCCACTTGGCAGCAAAGACTCATATCAAAGAACACGCGGACCAAATGTCTCGCCATTCATCCCACGGCGACATGGAGATTTACCACCAGCCTCATCTCTCACCTTATTCCCCGTTACACAAAGAGACATCAACTTAACTGATGAGCAAATCGTCAGAAAACTGGATAAATAGCCAAAAGAGGATTCTCGCGTCGTTGCTTGCAGAGCTATCTTCCAACTCACGTGCCAGTGGCCCTGGGATTGGGCTGCTGGTTTTGAACCTGAGAGCTGGACTACCTTGATCGTTAGAGACCTGCGGATCTTGTTGCAGGGTCTAAGAAACAACATCAATGAGGATCCAAGCATGGTTCAGGATGGCTATAAAGTAACAAAGGATTTGCTGCGCCAGCACATCAGGGATAGGAATAGCGAGAATCCGCGGTTGTGCCATAAAGATATCATATGGGCTTTGGAAACTTTCCCTGTCGATCTCCCGAGACGATCGTGGAGCAGGGTTGAGCGTCTCTACCACCTCCAGCCCCTATAGCTCCAATGGCCCCTCCGTCGATTTCTCCAGCCCCTATGTCGGTTTCTACAAAGATAGACCTGACGCAGGACCATATGGATGAGGGTATAGAATGCGATACACCTCAAACACCATTCATGGATGAAGGATTGTTCGATGATGATGGCTCGGACTCTATGTCTATATCATCGGGCGGCAGCTTTAAATCGCATGACGAGTCGGTGCAGTTTCTTGGATCATCTCCCCGGTGTTTTCAAAGTCTGAAACGCCCTCGCATTGATGAGCCAGCAGAGCCATTCGAGATGCACATATATAATGTTGCTTCTATCGAGCTTTCTGAACCAGAGTCAGAGCCAGAAGCGTTTGAAATGCACATCTATGATGTTGCGTCTTTCGAACCTTCTGCAGAGGAATCAGAACCGGCACGACCGTTTGAGATGCAGATATATAACGTCGCTGCTATCGAACCTGTTGAGACTGTCCAGGAGGTAAGTTTTCAATATCAAATATATAAGCGTCATTATCTAACGTTACATAAAGCCTACACAGTGTCAGCCTCGGGACATCTCAGACCTCATCTCAGGCCTAGATCTTCTCGAAGCCAAAGAAACGGAGGAACAAGACAATATCACAAAAGAGCTCGCCCAACTGAAAGAATCCATTCCACTCAATGAAACGCAAATCCTCAGTCTCGCACCAGAGATAAAATGCGAACTCATTGCAAAATGGAATCAGACTCTCAAATCTCACAAAAAGCGCTGCACGACCATGCAAAACGGTCGTGTGTTCTTTGAAAAGAAGCAACAAGAGGAGCTCGACAATTCAAACCCCACAACTATTGAAACTATCCAACGCTATGATGCTCGAATCGCACAGTGCGTTGCATCAATCAAGCATGTTGAAGAGCAGATCGAAGGCAAAAAGAAGAATGACGCACAGCTTTTGTTGAATTTGAAAGTACAGGTTTGGAAAGATAAGAGAACGATTCAAAAGCTGGAACCCAGGACCCAAGAGCTTGCCAATAATCTGGAGTATTATAAGAATCTTAAGGAGTTTGTTAGTCTAGGGGCTGTTGGGATGGAGACGTTGTTGCTGAAGCTCAAGTATGATAATGTTCCCATACTGGAGATGATTGAGGAGGTCAAAAAGGTAAGTATTGCTAAGGGCGATTATTGGATTTTGCTAACTTGTGCTACAGAGCTTTGGTACTACTCCAAATGCTGCACCGGATGCTGCTCCGGATACTGCGTCGGTCGTTTGAGTGACTGGATCACCGAACTTCACGACAAGAGAATGAACTTGAATACATGTATCCTGGCGGTGCATGGGATAAAGGAATAATTGTGATAACCGATGGCTGCGTCCAGGTCCAGCACCGACGCGTCCATTTATAAATATAATTTTAATGTGTTATGGTCTTATGACCACCTTTATCTTTCTCGAGAACCTTCCTCCTGGGCCGTGTTTGTTTGGTACTATTCAAGCTTTAGGGGATCAGATCCTTGAAAGTGTATGGACGAACAGTTTCTTTGGTATAGTATCGATTGCGTGTTTTGGGAACGTTGGCGTGATTGACTTTCGTATCTCTTGACCTCAGATCAGATTGGCATCAAGGCTGAGCAAGAGAAACATAATGCTCCTTCAGACAGATTTTACGTTCATTGGGTATTCAGATCTTTTGACTTTTTATCTTATCTATATCTTAAGCTCAGATAGATTGGCGGTCTCTTGACCAAGGCTCGGCGCGATATATCACTTTTCTCCAGACAGATATTCATTGGCCTCGTTTCAGGCCGATACACTCCTTAGCAGTTTGAATTTCACGTTTTATCAATTTCCTACCGTACCAGATTACGTTTTGAGACTATTGATATTACCACAGACTGTCAACTAATTTTTATCACATCAAATCTCAGTTATTGCTTGTTCCAACAAATTTATCATTCCAATGACTAGAAGAGAGGAAAACAGTCCTCCTTCTTATTCGTCACATTATTCTAATATCTATATATCATTTCCTCAAAGTCCTTCAGTAGTGCTCTCCCATAGACGCTGCCTCTGGCACAGCAGCAGGCATTTCCGCAGGAGCTGCAGGCATCTCAGCTGGGGCGGCAGGCATCTCGGCAGGAGCAGCGGGCATCTCGGCAGGAGGCATGACAGGAACCTCAGCGACGGGAGGGGCGGGAGGAGGGGTCTCGGCTACAGGAAGAGCAGGAGGCGGGCTCTCGACAACCGGGGGAGCTGGGGGAGCGGCAGCAGGTGTCTCAGCTGGAGGAGCAGGGGCCGCAGGAGGACTTCCAGCAGCAGGAGGGCTTTCAGCGGGTGGTGCAGGAGGAGCAGCATCTTCAGGAGGAGCAGGAGTGAAAGCAGCTTCAGCCAGAGGAATCTCCCCAACTGTTCCACCAGTAGCTTCACCGGCATCGACATTAGCCAAAGCACCGTTGGCCTTCTTGTTAAACTCGACCAAGTTGGCCTCACTGGGACTATCGAAATGTTAGCAATTGCTTCAGTGTCAAAACAAGATAGACTTACGGGTTGATGGCCATCACCTGACCAAGCTGGCAGTGAGGTCCAGTAGCGCAGTACAAATAGATAGGCTCCGTGTTGGTAAGAGGAACATTGAACGTTCCAACGGTAGTCTGTCCATCCTCGAAAGGAATATGACCACTATGAATCACATTCGACTGCGTGGCCTGAAGAGGCTGACAGGGCGAATCCTCAGCGCTCTGCGTAACGGTGTGGTTTCCATTGCTGAACTGGAACTGAATCACATCACCAGCCGCCGCTCGAATCATATTAGGAACAAAAGTATCCTGAGGTCCACCGACAACGACAGGGATGATTCGATTAGCTCGAGGGGCCAGAGGTGGATTCTTTCGAACTGCGAGATGTTAGACCCGTTTTTACTCCAGAGTTTTGGAAGAAGTGGACTTACTGGCCAAGGGCTTGTTCTGTTCCATGGAGGACAGCTCTCGAGCGGAAAGTTCGACAAGAGGCATGGCAGACACGGCTGCAGCCCACAAGAAAGTCTTGATCATCATAATGAATGAGTTCTGACGTGATTAGATAGAACTAGGGGAATAAGGAGTGGAACGACAAAGAAGGTCCAGCCAACTGATTACAAAAACCTCACCAGGAGGTAAAAGAAAGAATTGAAAGAAGATGAAAGAAAAAGAGAAGCAAGAGAAGGCTGATGATTTCTCAGTCAGACGATTTCAATCAAAAGTCATACGTGCTCATCTTTATATTTTTCATCTCGTCTATCATGAACTTTTTGCCCAGTCCTGGGCGAAACCATTCAAGTGTTGAAGCTGATACAGGCTCCAGCCTTTTGCAGAGCCTCAAGCGTGACAGGATACGATGAGCGGATAAGATTGGACGAATGTGGTTAATACTTGCGAAGGTTTGGTTTTGGTTTGTTTCAGAACATGTTACAAGATATTGCCGAGGGGCTTGTTTCACCAGCCACGATGGCTTTAAGTGGAAAACAGAGAACAGAACAGAACAGAACAAGGTTTTTATATCCGACGTTGTATTGTTTTGCGTAATGATTTGTTTGAAGATGCTGAAACAACGGGATGTGGGAGGATATTCGGGCTCGGCAGTATCAGACAACCTTGCATAGATCTGATAAGCTTATCGATTAACTACTTAAGGCTATAATATGGATCATATTATACTTGGGTTTGAGTATCATGTGGAAAGCCTTCAGACGAGCTTAATCTTGGTAGAGTGACATGCACCACTTTATAAGCAATATTTGTCATTTTATATATCGGAGCCGCTTGATGCGACGTTGCAATCGATCTTATGATCTGATATATCGTCATTGAGCCGCATTTGGCATGTGAGGACGTTAGAGATGTAGGTATGTGACGTTTGGTCTAGGGTTGTCTTCCTTTTTGCTTCTTTGCATAATGTCAAGAGAATTCGGAGACAATGGCAGTTTAGGCATTTGTCAAAAAGAAAAGAAACGCAGCCTGCATGGAAAGTCTATGCTATTTTTTTTTAGCTTTTCCGAGGCGTAAGTCCCGAGGTATACAGGTAAACAAAGGATTATGCAACTTTCACTGCTTAGTCTTGAAGTATCGAGATATCTGACAAATGTCAGATGTCAAGAGCACATCCTAGATTCACTCAGTTGCTGACTAACCTTCTCGGGTACTGCTGTCAAGGTCGGAACCTTGCCGCTGGTTTAGGGTAGTGGATGTCGAAGGCCGTGTTCGGCCTTCTACCAGATAAGGTTGCTGAAGATATTTACAGTTTAAATGAGGCATCATGAGTTCTCTGCCTACGCGGAACCTTCTTTTTTGCCTGCCCTTAACATAAGGTTTGAGCTGGCTATAAAATGTCTTCCCTTCGTCTTTCTACTGCTGGATCACGTTGATCTTGCTTGCAGCACCATGAGCGAAGTTCGACATGCGGAGACATGGCTGCGATGAGCCATGATGAGCCTGTAGTTATCGCCACCACAACCACCACCGAAGCAGCAACAACAGCAAAAACAACAGGACACTCAAGGCACAGCCCTATCTGCATGCCTTGAGAGTTCATCTGGTGTGCTTCATGTCTTTCTCCCATCACACCCAAACAGGACAAACCACATCTGATCCGTGGTAGTAAACGCGGTGGGGAAGACGCGGGCCTCAGACATCACATGACATACGTCGCGCCCATCAAGGCCGGTGTTCGTAACATTGTCCAGGGTCAGTCTCAGTTCTCATCTAGGAACTGTCAGGTCAAGACTCTCAAGGACTGGCACACAACTAGAGAGCAAACTCGCGGTAATCAGAGCGTACATTGACTCTGCAATCAGCAAGGGAACCACGGGAGTGGACGCAGATGGCCCGGACCAGACTTGATCGTCGTGGTAGGGGTAAGATTCAGACTCGGGTTTGGCCTTGTACCGACAAATATATGTAGGATTCTAATCTCATTCTGGTCCTGTGTCAGGGACCGTGGGTGCATGAGAACTCCGTAAACCTCGCCAAAGACGGGAGTCCCACGAACCATTCTTACCTGAGAAACCGGCACCACGGTGCCTTTCATTATTCCCGAGATCAATCCTCCACCGGTTAATATTCCTCCTTTTCTAATCTCTCTCTTGGAGATGCGACAGGGTGAACAAGCACAAAACACCCAATTTGTTCTCGATCACTAGAGAATAAGATGGACCAGAATCACCAACAACAACCTCGACACTCCGAGCGGCCATCAATCACCTGAAATTCGAATCCGACAGACCATGGACACGGACAGAGAAGACCTAGCACAGATGGCCTATGAGGTTATCTAGGCCAGGTCGAAGTCGCGACTCATAACCGATGGCCCGTGGGTAGTGCGGCCTTGAGTTTGTCGTAGTATCAGCCAACTCCGACTTTCGTCCAATGCAATACCTGTCTTGAAGTGGAAGTACGGACTGTGGTGTGGGAGACAACCTAAGAAGCGGAGAAGCTCTGCTTCATCCCGGGTATTCTGCGCGATATTGTGCGATCAGCTAGCTTTTAAGTCTGATCCTTCGTCGTTTGGCAGCTGCCATCACGGACCCTCGGTCCCTATAACTCACGGAGCGAGTACCCTCTACCGGGCCTGCATCTGATCGCCCTAGCTGCGTCGCTACGTGTGCTGTCAGTTACGCGATCAGATAGGGCTTAGGTACAGCATAAATGGCCTAGGGGAGGCTCTTTCCAACATCCCAGAGGCAACCTTCTATGCACAGCTGCACCTATTTGCCTACAGGGTATACCTGTGGATAGGGGCGAAAAAGGGACCTTCGGCAAGGATGCCAATTGGGCGTACGGGGTCATCAACCTCTTCGAGTCAATGTAAGGGATGAAGGAGTCATCTTGTGTTTCTTCGCTGGCGTTGGAAGGGGAAAATTCGGTTGGCAGCTAGGCGTTTAGGCAATTCACATCAAAATACACACTTTGTTGTCAGTTACGCGATAGCCGCTGGGACTCTAGACCAAGGACCTCTATCCGCAACCGAACCAGCTCTGTCGGTAAAGGAGGGGTCGTTCACGTAACACATACCGCAAGAAATTCGCAAGTTTATACAAGGACGGAGATGACGATTCAAACTTCTCAAGTCATCGTTGATTATAACGAGTTCTAGTACCAGTCTGGTCTAGTAACTTCGGCCCATCATGCAACTACATCGCAAACCGGCGCAAGCCCCATCATCGGGGAATCCAGCTCAGAGGGGTCCCGGGGTATAGTCAACTCGTTAAGGTCTGTGTCCTCGCCGTCGTCCGAGGAGTTGGAGAACATGGGTTGCAGGACATTTAACTTCGTATCTACGTTCGAGTTGTTCGCCTTGTCGCATTTACCGTAGGCGTGCCGCGCCTTCAATCATCGCCACAGACCAGGAGCCATGACAGCGATACTGGATCACTGAAGCCAGTGCAGATGTGTTCAAAGACATCTTGCAGGTGATGAATAGGGATTTGCCTTAAGCTTAGTTGGAAGAGGAAGACAGATACCCAGTGGCCTACCCGTATAGATTGAGATATGATAGCTATATGTAATGCGATGAAGCAGTCTATTCAATTGATCAAACGTCTTGAGATTTAGAATAAGTTGCGATAAAATTATCTAAATATTCCGTCTCTTATGCTAAGCCAGTATTTCCATTACCCTAAGGTGTGCTTCTCAATGCCAACTAATCACGATGTTCAAGCTCCTCCCTGACCTCCGCCTTCTCAACACGACGCTCAAGGTCCTGTCCAGCCGCAAACTTGGAAGTGTCCATAAGAGGAACAAACAAGGGCGCCTCAGTGAAGAGATATCGCATCTCCTCAAGAGGACGGTTAGCAGTCTCGGGAAGGATAGCCCAGAAGTAAAGAGCATTGGTAAAGTTGCAGACCTAAAGACGGTTAGCACAGAATAGGTATCTGGCATGATCAAACTTACAATAAAGAGGATGTACCATCTCCAGCCAATACCAGTCTCGTCATCAAGAGCTACAGATGTAGTCTGCCCAATCATAGTGTTGAAAGCAAACGACATCATAGTAGCAAGCGACACACCCTTGGCACGAGTCTTCATATCAAAGATCTCAGCAGGAATGATCCATGACAAAGGACCACATGTAGCGCTGAAAGAAAAGTTGTAGATCCACGTGACGACAATGAAGCCCCAACCAGCAGAACCGCCACCATTCTCAGAACCGGGAGGGAAACTGGCGAGAAGAACAGTCGCGATGATAAAGGTGATACAGTTAAGGATGTTGCCGCCGATCAAAGGCCAGCGTCGTCCTGTTCTGTCGATGACGAGCATACAGATGAACTGTGCCACGAGAGCGATGACGGAAGAAATCATCTGATAGCGAAGCGTCTCGTCGCCTTGAATACCGATTTTGGCGTAGATGGCGACAGAGTAGTACTGAATAGCGCTCACGCCGGTCATCTGGGCAGCAACCTGCACACTAATGGCAAGCCAAAGACGTCTGAAGCAAGATTTATCTGTGAAGAGCTCACTGTAGCTCTTGGCAGAAGCTTCGTGCTCCATGGCCAATCTCTCCAAGATCTGGTCATACTCAGCTCGAACCCACGCATCATTCACGTCACCGTGAGCGTGGAGCTTAGCCAGTGTCTGAAGACCTTCCTCTTGACGGCCGTGGTCGATCAACCAACGTGGTGATTCGGGGAAGAAGAGAATAAGTGCAGCAAGGATCACAGCGGGGACGTTCTGGATGCCCAGAGGAATACGCCATTGGCCTGAGTTGTCGTCGCCGAGGCCCGTGTAGGTGCCGTAGCCGATCGCTGTAGCGACGAGAGCACCTACTCCGAGCATGAACTGCTGAAGGGCTGTTACACGGCCGCGGATGTCGGGGTGGCAGAGTTCTCCTTGGTAGACTGGGACGATCATGACGAGGAAACCGACGCTGATGGTGTTAGTTGAGATACCCAACACGGAAGAGAGGGAGCATACCCAAGACCTGCGAGACAACGACCGGAGTAAAGATAGTTGATATGATCAGCAGCAGTCTGAAGACTTCCACCAAGAATAAAGATGAGAGCACCGATCATGATGGTCCATTTTCGTCCAAGATGATCACCAGCGTAGCCAGCGAACATGGCGCCAAAGAAGGCACCGCCTGTGAATACCGAGACTACCGCGCCTCTATCAGACAATTAGCTATGTTGAAGTAAAGAAGGAGATAGAAGACGTACGTAGCATTGGGATCATCGCCGAACTTGCTCTTAAAGTTACCAGAAGCAATAACCTCAGCAATAACACCAAGATCGTAACCGTAAAGCAGGGAACCCAATGAAGCAAACACTGCAACGAGGAACTGATACCATTTTGGTGGAAGAGCCATGATGAAGATGTGGATAGTGTTGGAGATGAAGAGTGAATATCATCGGGCGATCAACGTTTCTTATATAGACTACATACTCGTATACTAACAGGGGCCGTTCCGAATACCCGTATCCCGCCCTCCTTTGGTGATTCTTACAAAGTTCCTTGCCTTAGTTTAGGACAGCGGATTGACGTAGTCATCGAATGTCTGTCCCATGGGGATGAAAAACTGGAGTTCGCCTAAGGGGGGCTTCCCCACGGAGGTGGAGAAGTCGGGAAAATATGCTTGATTGGGGTAATAATCTTTTGTATGGAGATGTACGGAGTGTCCTGTTGTTCTTTGCTGTCTATCTGTCACTCGGAAATTAGGGGGGAGATGTCAAAGTGCCGTATATTCCGATTGGAGCGCGCAATTGCGGTGCGGCTGAGAGAGCGTGAGCCGCGTTGATGGGATGAAGGACCTGAGGAACTAAACATGGCCTCGGTATTGGTTTGGTTGGTGCGCGAGGGGAATGGAGAGGACCAGACTAGAGGATTTGACTTACATGGTTTAAACTTGTGGAGAGGCCGTTGATTAGAACCCTGTAAGTCTGGTCTAAAGTCAGGGACCCATTAGCCTCTACAGTGGGCATCCATGTGAAAGACAAGTAATCTACAGAGTGTCTTGGAGTCTCATTGTCCAGAATATGTATATCTGCAGGGTATAAACTCTGTCATCTTCCATGATAGAGTCAATTCACTGCCTCTCAAAGTGCACATATCATGATGGCAATATGCAGAATACATCATGACAGACAACGACAGGGATCAATAGCCTCGGAGTTCAATTCCATCCCCGGCCGAAAGCCTCACGCCGTTTGGTCTCGTGTTGGAGATTCCATCAAGCGCACCAATCATCATCCAAGACCCCCTCAAAGAAGCGCGCGAACCAGCAGGGGTAACAAACCGACGACTGACAGGTTTTAGTGGCATCTCTATTGAGGGGAAGTTGTAAGTGCCAGATAGTAATAAACTGGGCAAGAAAGATGGAGTCTTAAGAGAACATAAATTGTGAGCTTGAGGTCTTTTCGTTTCTCTCTTTCTGTAACTTGCATTCTTGTGAGAGGATTGAGAATCATCATGGCTACCTTTACTCGCATTGCGGACGATGAGCGTCCTACCATCTCAGTTGATCCCAGTGCTGTTCTGTCCACCATTGACGATAACATCTATGGTGGTTTCACAGAGTATGTCTCACAATGTCTCACTCTGCAATTACTCTCATGCTAACAAACTCAGACACATGGGTCGCTGCATCTACGGCGGCATCTACGACCCCGGCAACCCTCTCTCCGATGAGAATGGCTTCCGAAAGGATGTCATCGAGGCCATGAAGGATCTCAACTGCCCTGTTGTGCGATATCCCGGTGGTAACTTTGTCGCTACGTATCATTGGCAAGATGGTGTCGGTCCTCGAGAGAAGAGACCTGCCAGGTGAGTTTTACACTGAGATTCATGAGAATGGGGGCTAACGGAGGATAGACCTGAGCTTGCTTGGATTGGCACTGAGTCTAATGAGTTTGGTACGGATGAGTTTTTGAAGTGGTGTGAAGTTGTCGGCACTGAGCCTTACTTGTGCCTCAACTTTGGAACTGGCACTCTCGACGAAGGTTTGTCTCACTATACCTGAGTTCTTGGGACCAAATCTAACATTTACAGCCCTCGGATGGGTCGAATACTGCAACTCCGACCGCCCCAGCTACTACGCCAACCTCCGTCGTCAAAACGGCCGCGAGAAGCCTTACAACGTAAACTCTCTTACTCTCCCTCTTATCTCACTCACTGACATTGTGTATAGGTCAAGTACTGGGCTCTCGGAAACGAAATGTGGGGACCATGGCAAGTCGGCCAAATGACAAAGGAAGACTACGCAAAGAAGGCCTACCAATGGGCAAAGGCCATCAAGCTCCTCGATCCCAGCGTCACTCTCATCCTCTGCGGTGAGACAGGCCACAGTACCTGGGACTCGTACGTTATCAAGGAGTGCATCAAGTTTGACGTGCACGGCCTTGGAGGCAGCACCACTGCTAGTCTCATTGATCAGCACAGCATTCATATTTACACTGCTAGCTCAGATCATTACAAGAACGCTACCGGTAAGTGACACTCTACAACCCAGGTTTTGGTGAGATATTAACAGTTACAGCCCCCCGATCTGCTGAGAGAGCCATCGAAATCACAGCCGGCCTCATCGATCTCGCCCGCATCGAAAACAACGTCCCTCCCACCGTCCCTCGTCAAAAGATCTGCTTCGACGAGTGGAACGTCTGGGATCCCGAGCGCGCCCCCGGTGAAGAGGGCGCTGAGGAGAAGTACAACCTCTCCGACGCCCTGGCCGTCGCCATCTGGCTCAATGTCTTCGTCCGCCAGTCCAAGCACGTCGGCATGGCCAACATCGCCCAGAGCGTAAACGTCATCTCTCCCCTAATGACCACCAAGGACGGTATCCTCAAGCAGCCTACCTGGTGGCCTCTCCTTCTTTACAGCAAGTACATGCGCGGTTCCACCATCGCCGTCAACGTCCGTGGTGGTGAATACCTAGGTGACACACATCCCAAGTGGATCCGCGGCACTATCGAGACTCCTTGGTTGGATGTCAGTGCGGCGTTGGATAAGGATGGCACTGTCAACCTCGCCGTGGTGAACATCCATGAAGAGAAGGACTTTGAGACCGAGTTGAAGGGCTTGGTTGGAAAGGACGTTGAGGTGCATAGTGTTAGCGGCAAGGATGTCAAGGTTGTCAACACGGCCGAGAAGGAGGAGGTTGGTATTAAGGAGTCCAAGTGGAATGGTGAGGGCTTGTTTACGTTCCCCAAGCACTCTTTTACTCTGTTGCGATTCAAGCAGTAGATGGTTTAGAATAGAAAGAAGAGATAGACATAGATGTCTAGATGCAAGTCATGAATCCATTGCACCTATCACATCATCCCTTGGTTCCTCAGTAGCTGTAGCACAGCAATTGCACTTGTCGTCAGGTTTACTGTGCATTCTCTGTAAGAATAAACTTGAGATTCTCATGTGTCAATATCTGCTCATAAATCGTATAGGTAATCCGATCCCGTCAGTCCGTCAATCTGATCTTCAATCCTTCCAAATAGACCTGATCAAACTCCTGCAAGTAACTCCGTAGCAAACTCCCCGACCGCCCCCCTCAACTCATCCAAAACACCCTCCTCATGCCAAAAATGTCCCGCCGTCTCAATCTCAACAGCTCTAAACCCAGAGTCGGTCTTCTCTCGCAATTTCGTAGCCCAAGACCTAAATCTGGACGCAGCCGTAAACCCATCTTCGTCTCCATAGACCACCAATGTCGGATTCCGGACCAACTTCTCCTCCGCTGCCACGTCGTGAGGATCCCTATGCTTTGCTAGCGCTGATGGGATGAGAGATAGTGTAAGTGCATGCATGATTATGCCCTGTGGTGGTGAGATCATGAGGTAAGCTGGTCGCGGTATGGTGAGATCCGTTATCCTGGGAAGAGACTCTCCTGGTTGAGGCTGTTCAGGAATTGGAGGCGGATGAGTCTGCGACACATTTCGAGAATGTCTTCCCACTCTGGTCTTGGCAATGAAATCATGAACACCCCGTCGAAACCTCTCATCATCCAACGAAAAGCTCCTTCTTGCGCTGGAATGGCTTCGTCGGGGACTTCCGCTTTCATCACCACCGACTCTGACACCGCGCTTACTCCTCCCCCTCGCCGACCCCTCCATCATAGCGGACCGGGTACTCGACAGAATCACGTTCTGCTGCTCCGCCAGATGCGCAGCTCTTAGACGAACTTCCGCAGCATCCGAGCCCGCAATTGGAGAAATGAATGGTTGAAGAATCGCATCGAGCGGGGGTATTCTGCTCGTTACGAAGCCGCCGTATGAGTATCCTCCCATAAGCAAAATAGGACGTATCCGAGGTGCTGAAGTGATAGCCACATCTAGGCCAACCGGCATGTCTGGACTCGTCGGCGTAACAGGTTCGCTGTGTAAAACGGTTTCAAGGTGTGGTTTGAAGGGATCGAGGAAATGAACGTAGTGTAGAACAAAAGCTACAACGGTCGCATAATCGTCTCGTTCAGGTTTCGAAGTCCATGAAGTCCGTCCCGCGGATCCATGCGCACCTCTGTACAGATTAGCACCCGCCTTCTTCAGCAAGTCACAAAACAAACCGAAAGTTGAACGTCGCTACCAAAAAGCCCTTCCGTAGCAATTGCGCCGCCGCAGCGCCTACAACAGGATCATCATAGCATCCTCCCATAGGCGCATACGGATGAGCAACCACAGCAGCATGTTTCAGCCACTTGGGCGCTTCCGGGTTCGCGGACAGTGAGAGAGGATGGTAGATGCGACAATCTAGAGGAGTTCCATCGTTGATGCTAGGGAGAGTGAGAGTGATTGTTGGTTCTGGAAGCATTGTGTTCGTGTCATGACATGTTGAGTGAAAGTGAATTGAAGCTGAAGGAGAAGAGATAAGCAGGAACAGAACAGGAAATAAGAGATGGGAAAGATGACATGGGATTGTGGAGGAAATACGTCAAATCCTGGGGAAAGCTCGGAGCACGGACGCGGCATACAGCCGAGATCCGGAAGATAGCAGTGCTACGTAATTTTACTTGGCGAAAGATTACTATTTAAAAGATGATCTACTTAAAGGGCGTCATTATTGGATGGAGTCTAGATTTATGATGTTATCTTGTTGAATTTGATTGAAACACGTACGAACTAAAAGGACCAATGGGCAGCTCTACAAGGTTGTGGAAGACAGACTCAAACTCAATTCGTAAGGTTCACAAACAAAAAACATAATATTATACTCATATCTATACATCTATATCAATCCATAACATTCTTTATTGAGCCTTCTTCTCTCAAGCATCCTTGGCTTTCTGTCTCCTCCTCTTAATCCAACCTCTAAGCTCATTAATAAGTCCCATCACCAGCGGCACACCCACCGGTCCAAGAAGCGGCAAGTAAACCGCAATCTTATGCTCATCAGGGAAATACAACTGTCCAACCATGCTCTTCTCAAAGAACGCCCTCTCTGCTTCCTCCTCGGCGATTCTAGCGTGGAGAAGTCCAGAAGGCGCGCCGAGGCTGGCACATGCTTGTTGGAGATGCTCCATGCTGGAAGAGACACCGTCAGCGACGCTGCGAGGAATGGAAATAGAAGGCAGGGCAAGAGATAGTCTTGCTAGTGAGCCCAATGTTGATGAAGCGCGAAGAAGGAGATCTGCTGAGCGGATACGGGATAGTGTGGATAGTCTTAGAGGCAGGGATCCTGATTGAGGAGTTCCCAAGAGCGACAGCAAATGGCCAGTGAAAGTCAGCATCGGTTGCTTCAACGTCTCACTAGACACATGTGTCGTTGTCTCGGGAAGACTGAGAAGGTACACACTGCCCCATTGAGGAAACATCCACGACTGAGCTGTCTCAGCCTCCGAATCAAGGCCAATCTTCTGGTCGCCAATGTAGATAACAAAGTTGACAGTAGGGGCACCAGCAATTGAAGGTGATAAAGGCCACTCAGCAGCATTGATGAAGGATGCGAGGTCCTCCTTGCTCAGTACTTGGGACTGAGCACCAGGTGTCGCATAGAGCTGCACCTGACTATCAATTGTAAAGTTGTGGATAGGGCCCAGCACATCGAGCATGGGCTTCATGTATTCCTCGATCGCATTTTCGATGTCCCAAGTACTAGGTGTAGCGCCAGCGGTAAAGAGCGAGAAGGTGAGGTGGTACGTTGGCGAGTATCGCAGTGATCGAGTAGTTCGCTTGGACAGCATATCGGTTATTTCGGGGGTAAGGCCTTGAGGCTTCGCATCCGGCGCGGAAGACGTCGAAAGGAGGTAGGAAATGATGGATTGTTCTTCTCGGAAGGTCGATTGGAGCTCGTTGGCGATGTAGGTCGCAAGGGCTGAAGAAGACGATGAAGCGGATGGGACTGCATTCGAGGGATATGCGATGTTGAGGATGGCCGAGTCGGGGTCGAGAGAGGCAGAGTTGCTCTCGCCGGGCGCAAGTTGAATCGTTAGAGCAACGTGCGATTCGTCGTCGGTAGCAGGCGAAGGCGAAGCGCCGCCCTTGGGAGCGAGCTGAAGACGGAGGTGGTGACCCGAAAAGTCATTATGATCATCGAGAGCATGCTGAGTCAATCGCACCAGATTCTGCGCTTCGTTATCTTGCAACGTATCGGCCTTGACAGAGATCTGTAGAGGAAACACAGGGCGACAAGCCTACCAACATTAGCACTGGCGTAACCCACCCAATCTCTCAATCTCACCTTTCCCTCAGCCCACTGCATCATACCATCAAGCGGCAGATTCGCGCGATAAATAGTTGTCGTCTTCCACCATATCGGTACACCAAGACAGAAGACAAGCAACCAAAAGGAGATGACGATGCGGGTTCTCCTTGAAGCGTCGGAGGGTTTCTCGGGTGGTGGCTCAAGAGTCTGAGGCGCCGCAGAGGGTTCCTTGACGTCGCTGGGCGCCATCTTGTCGTCGGGCATTGTGGTTTCGGCGGGGGAGTTTGAACGATTGCTCTTATCAAAGCTCCCTGTCGCTTCGATGGTCTTGGTGGAGGGATGGAGCTTAGACTAGCTTAGACACGACATCACGATATCACGTGAGGACGGAGAGTGTAAGCGCCGATGCCGATGCATGTCGAGTTGAGCTTTGAGCGATCAGGCTTGATGATGATTGTCGTCTTTTGTTGATAAATATCTTGGAAACAAGGATTGAAAGACGATTGGTCTAGCTGTCGTATCTTGGTGTCAGCAGAAAGACTGTCGAGTTTATTGTCACAGTGACAGAGTCTATGTTCATATGCTCTACTGTGACTCGCAAGCCTCAATTGAGTTGTGACGAGAAACGGTACACAAACCTAAAGTTCTTACAGCCTCTTAATGTCTGACTTGAGATAGAAATAGACCAATTGCAAAATGTCGGCAAATTTCCCATCACCGAGCATGCCCTGCCCCGGAAAGATGTCAGTAAAAGGAACATTCATTACCTCGCCTTACTCACAGACATGAAATCCTTTAACAAATAACCCTACACTAATTCCACACGATGATACTCTACCAAGGTACACTCCAAAATTCGAGAATCAACTCCTCATCTGATCTAGTTCAGCCCTGTAGGAAGGATGACCGCATCTCAGATCCAATTCAGATCGTCAGGAACCATCAGCACTTTTGTCATCACCTTCTACCCTGGAACTACGAGCATGAGCAGGGTGGTTAATCGTTTCGCTCCCCCATTTCTTGGCGTTCAGAAGCCGAGGGAGCATCTGACAGTCGGCGATCAACATGACTTCTAAGCCATGTCAAATAATTTGCTTACGCGTATGTCTTTGAGATTCAGTCTTGGCGTTGAATATAAGCATCATTGTATCACAAGAGCGTCCTCTCTTATAATCTGTAACCAAGAAATTTGAGACTAGGTAATTGCTCGCATAAATCCGCTCGGCACTTCCCAATAGTGGGGAGCTCTGGGCTGTCGTCACTTGTCGCTATCAGCTCATATAGACCCACGTCACTGACAAGACCAGCCCATCTCTCCCTTCCCTTCCCTTCCTTTTCTTCCTCTCAAACCTCAACAATGCCTAGTAAGTTGCTCTATACCTACCAGCACTCTATTTCCTTCTAACTCTCTCAGTCCCTCTAGCGATAAGCGTCCCCGTAATCACGGCGGTCCTAGCCTACCTAGGTACCAAAGCCCACACATGGTACGACCTCTTCCTCCTCCGCTGCGTCACCTTCGGCGCATCACGCATGTACTACCGCGAATGGACCGACCGTCTAAATCTTTATTACCTCCTCGAAAATATCGCTACGAAGCCGTCTACAGCTGATCGCGCGCTGCTCATCTTTGAAGGAAAGCGTCTTTCGTACAAAGATGTCTACGAACAAGTCCTCAAATACGGACAATGGCTAAAGAAAGAAGCTGGTGTAGAAAAGGGAGATATTGTGGCGCTGGACTTTCAAAACTCGGATACCTACATTTTTCTCTGGTTGGGTCTTTGGAGTATTGGTGCAAAGCCAGCGTTTATCAACTATAACCTGTCCGGTGCTTCGTTGGCGCATTGTATAAAGGCTGCTACGACCAAGCTGTGTATCGTGGACCCGAACGTTGAGGAGAATGTCAGTCAAAGCGTGAAGGATGAGCTGAAGGATGTTCGCTTCCTTTTACATACACCAGAGGTTGAGGCGCAAGTCGCTTCTATGGAGGCTGTTCGGGTACCAGACTCTGAGCGATCCGAGAAGAGCCTTTCTGCTATGGCTATTCTGATCTACACCTCCGGAACGACCGGTATGCCCAAGGCAGCTATTGTGTCATGGGGCAAATTGATCGTTGCTGGCTCAATGGCTGAACAAATGCTCGACCGATCAAAAGGCGACATTATGTACTCTGTAAGTGTTCACCCTTCGCATCCCATACTCTACTAACCATCTAGTCAATGCCTCTTTACCACTCCTCCGCAACAATCTTCTCTTTCAGCGCAACACTTCTCTCAGGAAGCACCCAAGCCCTCGGTCGAAAATTCTCCACAAGAAACTTCTGGAACGAAGTCCGCGCCTCAGGCGCAACATCACTCCTCTACGTCGGCGAGACTCTTCGCTATCTACTCTCTGCACCACCGCAATATGACCCTGAAACAGGTGAATGTCTCGACAAGAAGCACAATGTCAAAGTTGCTTTTGGTAACGGTCTACGACCCGACATCTGGAACGAGTTCAAGGACCGGTTCGGCATTGAAGGAATCTGCGAGTTCTACGCTGCTACAGAGGGAACATTTGCGACGTTCAACCTCAGCAAGAATGACTTTGCCGCTGGTGCTATTGGCCGCAACGGCTGGATCTACAGTCTGATTTTGAGTCAATCCGTCGCTCTCGTGGAAGTAGACTGGGACACCGATCTTCCCAAGCGCAATCCCAAAACGGGAAGATGCTACAAAGCACGAAGCGGCGAACCTGGCGAGATGCTCTTCCGTCTTCCCTCCAACAACCCCTACGGTCGTTTCCAAGGCTACTACGGCAACCGCGCCGCCACAGAAGCCAAAGTCCTCCGCGACGTCTTCAGCAAAGGCGACATGTGGTTCCGAACAGGCGACGTCATGCGCTGGGACAGTCAAGGCCGCGTTTACTTCCACGATCGCATCGGCGACACATTCCGCTGGAAGGGTGAGAATGTATCTACTGCTGAAGTAAGCGAGGCGATGTGCAAGCACGACAGCGTCAAGGAGGCCAATGTCTACGGTGTAAGTCTACCGCATCACGATGGACGAGCAGGTTGTGCATCAGTGCATCTTGCGTCAAATCCTACACCCGAGACAATGCAGGACATCGCGGCCCATGTGCGCAATGAGTTGCCCAAGTATGCTAGACCTTTGTTCCTCCGAATTGCCACTGAGCTTGGCGGAGGACAAATCACGGGCACGATGAAGCAGCAGAAGCACGCTCTACGAGAAGCCGGTGTTGACCCTGCCAAGAAGGAGCTTGGCGAGGTATATTGGCTCAAGGACGAGGGCTATGTCCCGTTTACAGAGAAAGACTGGAATGAGATGAACGGCGGCAAGGTCAAGTTGTAGAACACCTATAGTGATATGTATATAATTGACAGGATACCCATGAACATAATATATTGGCATAGTTTAAGCTTGTTTCAACGTAGACTATAATTCATGCCAGGTGCCAAGTTATTTGGTAGTCTTGATGAAGGACTATTGACGAATAAATTCATCCATAGACGTGATGATATGATATGCTATGTAAATGATGTGATATGTCCATCAATGCTTCATGTACGCTCCAACTAAATCCTCCTCTTCTACATAGTCCGTGACTGGTTTCATTACACGTCACAATATTTTAGTAAAAGTCCATCCACAAATGCTCTCCTCCAATGAATGACCTCAAGGTGGTCGTGTTTGATCAACTCATGATCCTGCTATACCCAAACCAACACGTTGTTGGCCTTGGCCGCCCTGGTAGCTTTGACTCGTGCCATTTCCTCCAGGCGCTGTACCAGTTCGTTCCCTCATCCTTCGGCCCTCCATGAGCCCGCGCAGTCCTCGCTTCTGCAATCCAATCACACTGCTGAGCTCGCCGTTCCATACATAGTTGTCGCGCTCACTGCCTCCAATCTCGGATGAGCTCCATTCCGATCCGCTCTGACTAGTCGTCGCAGACAATTCGTCACTGGAAGGTCGGTTGAATTGTTGTACATTCGTGTTGAGTGATAGACCCTCAGTTCGAGTCGCCAGATCCGACGAGTAGCCGTCGCCACCAGTTTGACCCAAGGAAAAGTCGGATGTGGCTGTAGGCGAGCCAACAGGGTCCAGGGTTCCGACAAAGAAATTGGGGTTGAGAGATCCATCAATACCTCGGCCGCCACCAGCCGCCATGGCTGTCGCATTGAACACAGCGGCGGCATTTCGGCTGTCGAGTAATGAGTGGAGTCGCTCAACTACAGCTTCTAGTAGTCCATCAATGCGGTAGGGTCGAGCAATTTGCAAAAGCGAGCAGAGAATCTGAGGTGTGCAAAGAGGCGACGTCGGTGGGGGCAAAGAGCTTGTGTAAAGGAAGTGGAGCAATGCCTGGATGGTAAGGTAAGTGTGAGGAAGGTAAAGGCATCGTGGCCGTGAGTTTGGTGGTAATGAGTGAGGCGTAGGTGCCGCATTGATGTTCGATGGGTTTGCTTCGTGACCCATGGCGCCCGTTGAGATACTTGAAGCAGCAGTGCTTGGTGGAATGCCAGAAGAGCCCAAGGATGAGCCCATGATGCTCATCATTGATGAACTATCTGCGCCTCTCGTGTTGGGTGTGATGGTTATGGCTGATGCGCGTAAGGGATTGCTGGAAAGACCTGACCGAAGAGTTACCGCATCACTCCCGTCTTGTGTCGCTGTTCCCTCGCGGAGCAGTTGCACGAAGTAAGGACCCCATCGTCGTCCAACGATTCTTGAATTGACAGGGATTCGCTCGCCTCCAATGCAAAGAATATCCATATCTGCGAGTTCCCGTATAGCGAACGCTTTCTCTCCAAGCTCCTCGCTCGCCCTTGAATGATATCGGCCACCCGCTGTGCACCCAGCTTTGCGCGCCAAGCTCAAGCCAGGCCCAGCGTAGGGGCTGCTGGCTGAAATGAAACCGGAAAGAGGGCTTGTCTTCCGGGGATTGTCGTAAAAGCCAAATGCCTCGAGCTCAACCATGCACACATTAGAAAAGTTGATACGTCGATGATTATAGTCATCGACGAGACTTCTTTTCCGGTTGCCCAGGATCACAAAAGTGTTTCGTCGGTTCCACAAAACTCCACGATTCCAGCTGCCCTGGCTGAATACGCTTCCTCCAGCATCGATACGGCTCCACGTCAATGTGCGCAAGTCGAGAGCCCAAAGCGCGTACTCTTGTCGAGATGAAGTGAGATAAGTTCCGCTAACAACAAAATGCGTATCGATAACTCCACCGTTCGGGAATCTAAGTCCGGGTGGTGAGTAGTTACCAGACATGGGTCTCTCTGTGAGAGTACCATCCGGTGACCGAATTTGTAGCTCCAGCTTAACGTCCAAGAAATTATAATTGCAGTAAATCAGCATCGATGCGCCTGGTTCGCGCGCTTCCTGGCTGATACCTCCATCTTGGCGCATTCCGTTTGACTGCTGTTGTCGGCCGAGCTTGGAAGCCACTGAAGGAGGCAGAGGGGCAGTGACGCTCCTATACGCGCCCCAGCTCTTGTTCAGAGGCTGTGTCGACGTCCATTTGAGACTTCGCAAGTTGAAAACGCTGATTTGTTCAATGTAGTTGTTTCTGCCGTCTTGCCCACCAACAATCACCATTTCAGCACCTCCAGAGCCGTCAATATTAATGCCGATTCGTCCCTCATTATTGCCGGTCGAAGGATTATGTTGTAAGGCTGAAAGAGGTGCGCGATGCGAAGAGAATGAGGCGGCAGAGGGTAAGATGCAGGCACAGTGGGCGTATCGGCCCTGTGGGGGGTCCTGCGTCGGGATAAAAGTCCAGGCCTTGGTGTTGACGTCGTAAATGTAAATGTCGGACATGACAGTGATTTCAGGCTGCTGCGCATCGGCACCAGGAGGTTGATTTGGAGCAGGTGACATGCCTCCGTAGCAAACCATCTTAGTATCGCCTAGTGCGCACATGGAATGGAAGTATCTCGGAGGGGGAATGTCGCCTGTCGTTTCCAATTTCGTCCAGTGTCGTCGAATAAGGTCCAGCTCGTACATGTCTGATGTCAGCGGAGCAGGACGACTCCTAGACAGAATCCTTCCTCCAAAAACATAGAGCTTGTCTCCTAAGATGGTGGTCGTGGCTCCAACAAGCGCATGGGGTTCGCGTCCGGTCGTTCGGTGAACATTGCACATGAGGCCAGATAAATGCGTGGAAGGTCCGCTACTGGAAGGTCCACCCACGGGTTGGGCTGGGCGTTGCGCGACATTTGGCGATGGCCCAGCTGAAGTTGAGGTACTCCTAGGCTTTAGGTCGTTGTTCGGATCCTGAGAGTCATATCTGGCACTTGACATGCTGCTCATGCTATTGTTGGTTTCATGGCCGCCGTACGGGTGCTGCGATTGCGCAGCAGAGGCAGATTCCATAGTGCTCGGTCGGCTATCGAGGTAGCTGTACCCTTCTGGCTTCGGTGGTGGTGTTGGTAAAGGTGATGTTGAGGGAGATGGGTCGGGGAAACACAAATCTGTGATCTCCCCTTCTGGCACACTAGGTAGATTGGGGGAATTCGAGTCGTGCGGGGATATCGAATCTCGGCAAGGAGGCGACTTCGGTAGAGGTTTCGCTAGGCTGTATTGAAGCGTCAAGTTTCTAACATGCTGAGGATTTTGAGTCTCGATTGGTGGCGGAACACTTGAAGTAGAGGAATGCGCAGAGTGCAGACTATTCGACGAGCTCTTTAAATTCAGTCGCGAGGGGCTTCGTGAGAGCTTGACAGACGGTAGTTTTCGAATACCTCGATAGACGCCAGCGAGGATATCGGGGGTATATCGACCGGTTGGTTTGTCGTCGACGGTGATTTCAGAAAAGCGAGAGGTGTTTTCGATATTGCCTACCGAACCCTTACGGGAAGTTAGTTCTGGAGAGTCTTCCATTGTGCTCGACTTGAAGCTGCAAGTGGCACAGCATGAGACGAAAGGTGTCTGGACAAAGTAACAAAGGACATGTAATGTAGTGGATGGCGGGGAAGAGGAAAGGAGCTTGCACAAGTGGCTAACCAAATAGGAAGCAAAAGCAACTTGATAACCAGCGAGACGGGAGAGCCAAGCTGGATATGCCCGAGAGGTTGCGCTGGAGATCGTGAGTGCGATCCGGTGAGGACAGGGGCGTCACCGCCAAAGATGGGTCAAGGACAGGGCAGCGAGGGCAGGGTCAGGTAGGGTTAATTAGCGAGGGGGGAGACGAACAAAGGGCTCCAAGGCTGATGGAAAACGTGGAAGGGCTGAAGCTGGAGTCGTTAACCAGCAGGCGGAAGAACGGAAGAGTCGATGGTCGCGGGGGAAGAGGCTCCGTCTGGAGACAGGACCGAGATGGGTGACCCGAAGGAGGATAAGAACGACAGGGACGGGGCGGGACGGAGAAAGAGAACAAGGGGGGTTTCGAGAAAAAGGGCCACGCGGTGGAGAGAACAAAAACAAGACAGGGCCTGGGACAGTGACGAGATGAATTGGGCGGGACAGCGTATGCAGCACGTACTGTATGTGATGTTTTACTGCAAGGGAATGAGCAGCCAAGATTGATCGTCGTGGAGGAGGATAACGAACGATGCAAGGTCTAAGGAGGTTGGGAGGAGAAATGTAGGCAGGACACAGTAGCTTCGTCCAATGTCAGCGCTGTGTCCCTTTTTTCCCGCTGTGCTAGTCTAGTGAAGTGACCAAACCGACATATGCCAGGAACGGAACAGTACAGCACAGCATAATCACAGCAATCACAACGCACAGCGGCAACCAAGCGAAGGCGCACGACTGTGGACGTGGACGTGAAGGGATTAGGGATGGATCTGGATCCAATTCGATTGGATTGAGCCAATACGATGGCATATCCTGGTGAAGAGTGACAGGGTTAGACTGACTTGTCCTCTGGCAGCTGAGTGCACGGGCCAAGACGGGACACCAAATGTTAGGGAGCAATGCACCTATTTGTTTCCTCTAGATATCTCCCTAAAATGGAATAATCGCACTGGGTGTACTGTATAGAATGTTCTTATCAATTGTCCAAGATGGATGTCTGATCACCCAGTTACATCCTCTCCTCAATCGACAACTGATGATCAAAGACAAACGTTCCCTTCAACGGTAGACCTGATGGATCCCTGATCCCCTAAACTATCAAAGTCCATTAGCGCTCCTGACACTTTAGTCTACCCTGGATTGGACGGCCTGGTTTCGGATAGAGTAAAGCCCTGCAGGGGCAACCCTCGATCCAACCTATCCAATGCGATACCACACCACAAAGCTTCTGGAAAGAACCCTGAAGGGGCCGGCCGGGTGGGATCGACTAAGTTCGACTTATGACGACAAAGGGGCCGTGTTTCAGGAACCCATGGATGAGAAAAAAATCCGGTAGTTAAAGGAGAATGCAGGATCCATATCAAGAGTAACCATCAAAGACAACGCGTGATATATACGTATTGGCACCTATTGTATCTTTCAGAATTTCCGCGGACTCTAGGCGATGGTGACTTTGGACGGAGAGACATTCAACTGCGGCACAATCTCATCAGATGCTGACTACTAAGCGCTAATTTAAGCCTCAGGAGAAACAACCCAGGATGAACCCTCTCTCCGGTGCCTCGTACATGCAGGTCCCCTCACAGAAAAACAAAAAGGATCAAACGAAAACATTCACCGAAACAAAAAAAAAGCCAGATTATTCAATAAGCCAAGATATTAAATCGTGGTATTATTATTAACATCCTTGCTATATGTAATGCAAAGTCAGGACGATACCTGAACCCACTCGCTATGATTCCTATGGCGGCCGACCAATCCAATTGCCGTCGGGGTTCCTCCTGACAGCGCGCCCGCCCTTAGCCCGCCCCCTAAAAGAAAAACCGGTAGCGCCTAGAATTTCGGGTAGAAGGACGTTGACGTTGGGCGTGTTCTTTTTTTCCTAGTATGTCCGACAAGGGTCACCCAGAGAACTGGGTTCGTTCAATCTCGGGAGCGTACAACGGCCAATCTCTTTCCGGCGACTAGTGTCACTTTATTTCACGTCATGAGCCAAAACGGACGTAAAGACGATGACCAAGAGGTTTGTCAAGATCTTGCTGTGGGTGATCGGACGGATACCCAAGGCACCGAGTCCGAGGAGATAGTCATGCTTGCAGTGGATGGTTAATAGAGTCCATACTATCTTATCGCACGCTTTGAATCCTGACCTTGTATATCTGACGCCAAGATACTTAACCTGGAGAGATATTTTATACTCTGAGTTTATATATACAGCAATTTTATATAACAATGACAAGTATAGTATGCGAAATTTGATTCGCTCTTAGAGAGATTGTAATTCATGGCATGAACCATATCACAAGGACTTGGAGCTGTAGAACAACAAAATCAAGTTGTCTAAAACACTTCCCGGCTTGGCTGAGATCACAGATATGAGACATGTTATAGATGTCAAGACTTTTAGACTGTGGTCCAGACCGTAAAATTCGAAACAGCTGGCTACTGGTTCCAGTATGATCGTCAGTATATGCCATCCACTATACTTTCCTATCATGGCAGTGTTTGTCCCTACTTGGTAAAGTCATACAATTTCGGTTATAGACATGGTATTTGTTTATCTTGTTGTTTGAGTTTTACGAAACAACCTGTAATATCAAGATATGTCAAGAGCTTGAGTAAGAACATCGCTCAGTTACGTCAGTAGTTTCACATAAAACAACGTTGTTTTACATGGACCGTCTGCTTCATAAATGATCAGTAGTTATTTCTTTGTCGAGATGCCAACTGGAGGCCCACCGACATCTTCTGTACATAATGAGAAAACGTTACGGGTTGTTGTCTCTCTCGATGCTATTTTTGGACGTTGGTCAATGTGTTACTTTCACCTGCCACTATCAAAGTTTAAATGTACCCTGGAGCCGGGTAGCTGTTTACCTGAGTTTTCGTATATCTTGGCTAAAACTTACGGCCCGGAATCCGATTGCATGGGATATAAACTTGCTCAACGGCGGCAGGCAAACAAAGGGTCCCATGAGAGCTAGCGAAAGTGCTAATTGTTTATCATGATAGCACGAGAGTTTCAAGGCTGCTATAGATTTGACAGAGAAGCTATGACCACCAGGGATGACTCCAAAAGCCGAACCTTGGTAAACATCACAACTTTCATAAAGTTATCGTTGATAATGATGTTGAAGAGACTGCGACGAAGTGCTTACTACATTTCCTTCTTAAGAGACAAGATATGTATGCGGCACGGGCGATCAGATGCAGACCCTCAAGGTGCAGCTATCTAACATGATTGTCCCACCTTCCAATTACGTATTGTCAGACATCAACTTCAACCCCGCATCCACGACAGCCTACGAAATAAATCATCCATCAGAAGAAGAGAGAAGAAAATGCCAGTGTCAAAGCAAATCGTAGACGATGTGCTAAAGGCGATCCCCTCCCGCATCCGCGGTCCAGGCGGTGCCATCGCCGTCCTCTCAGAAGGCGCCCTCATCGACCATCGCGTCTGGGGCTACGCCGACTTCAACCGTCGCATCCCCATGACTCCCGAGACGCAAATTCCCATCTGTTCCATTTCGAAGCAGATGCTATGCGCGCTGGTCGTAGATCTGGAGCGCAATCCGACTGAGAAGCTAAAGGCGGGAGGTGATGTGAGGGAGCAGTTTCAGACCAAGCTGGAGGAGATTTTACCAGAGTTGGCTAAGACGGGAAAGTTGAGGCTTGATGATCTTTGCAACAATCGATCTGGTATTCGTGATTACTGGGCCATCACGTTGCTTTGGGGTGCCAAGCCGGAGGATCCTTATTCTTTGGCTGAGCATAATGGTCCGATGCTTGAGAGTCTCAAGTCTTTTCACTTTGAGCCTGGTACCGAGTATTCTTACTCCAACACTAACTACAACATCGTAGCGCGGGTTCTCGAGGCTACGACCGGAGAGTCACTTTCATCGCTGCTCAATGAGAGAATCTTTGCGCCTGCGGGGATGAAGACTGCAGCGCTATGGCCAGACTCGGCGAAACTGCCTGCGCCGATTGTTGGGTATGAAGGAGATGAGCAGCGAGGGTATATTCCCGCCGACAACCGCATTGAATGGGCCGGAGACGCTGGTATTATTGCTTCGCTGACGGATATGATCGCTTACGAATCCTTTTTGGATCGTGCCTTGTTTGATCCTGAGAGCTGGTACCGCAAGATCTTCCAGCCTTCTACCTTTAGTGATGGTGTACCTTCGACTTATGCACAAGGCCTGGCGCATACCGATATTGGAAGCCTAGGAGCTATCGGACATGGAGGTGCTCTGCGTGGCTACAGGCTGTACCGAGCTCACGTACCAGAGGAAAGACTGTCTGTTGTGGTCATGTTCAACCACGAGGCCGATGCTGCGACGCTATCAGAGTTCATTATGAAGAGCATCCTGGGTCTTCAAAAGCCACCTGCACCAGCTCTGGTTGAAGCGTCTCCTTCTTGGGCTGGTATCTATCTCGATGAGGGTACTCAGCTGGCCATTACTGTAACCCTCGGCCAAAAAGGTCATGTCCAGGTTGTATACGCCAACTACGTCGAACCCGTCAAACTGACCGATCCCGAACGCGGCGAGTCTAAGGGTATGGCGGCCGTAATTGACGGTGACATACTCCGCATCCAACGCCTAAAGGAGAACAGAACCATCACTGCCAGGCGTCTCAAGGTTGATACCGTTGCCATCGACAGCTCTGCATTCGAAGGCGACTTCTACTCTCCAGAGATCAACTCAACTTTCCACTGCGTCAACCAAGGGGGCCTCGTGTTTGGCACTTTTGATGGATTCTTGGGTGAGAGTCCGGCTCAGTTCATGAGATATCTGGGTGATGATGTGTGGGCGCTTGCGAACCCGAGAGGTATGGATGCGAAGCCGCCTGGTGACTGGACATTGGTGTTCCGACGGGACGAGAAGGGTGCTGTTGTTGGAGTGACGATTGGATGCTGGCTTGCGAGGAAGATTGAGTATGTGAGGAAGTAATTGTATGAAGGGAACCACTCGGACGTGCGAGGATTCACATCCCGAGACAACGGTCAACGTTTTGGGCGTCCAGCGTTTTGAGAACTTACACCCAAAGACCAACGGCCACCGCCCATCCTACATGTGCGGAAGTTTAATAGGTCCGCCCATAAACAGTGGCAAATGTAGTCCGAATGTTGTACATTGTAATTAGCTATTCTATTCATGATATATGTATACCCAACTATCGTCCACCCCAGCCCACCAACTCATCATGGCACTCATCCCATCCATCAAAGTAAGGTTTCCTCGCCTCATCTCCCGCACCACCCACACGCGCAAGATACTCAAGCACCATGTTTCCCCAAAGCCAACTCGCAGGTCCCTTTCCAGGATGGGTCTTATCCTTATACAGCATCGAAAGGGAAGTAATCATACGTCCCCATTCAAAAACCTCGTGGCCCGCCTTTGCTGCAATCGCACGGGATAATCTCTCGAGATCGTAAATGCTTGCATCGGTGGCGTCGCTCATACGGTGCACTGTCATGCTGCGGAACATGGTTGGCGAGCCAGGGAATTCTCGCTGGATGCGCTCGACGAAATCACGGGTGCGGGCGGCTGCGAAGCGGATTTCTTGCCAGACTAGCTGGCGCACGCGGGTTCCCATGGGATACACATCGATTTCGTGGTTCGCTTCACCAGCTTCCCAGAAGGCGCGCTGGTCCCAGAGTCCGTTCTGCCAGAGAATAAGGTCGGGTCTGTTGTTGGGCCCGCGGACCTGGTCGTACATGGGCGTCCAGTACTTATCCCAGCGCTCTTCAAAGGCGATCTCTTCCATGTCGTCCATCCACCACCACTCGGGTCGGTATGTCATGGAGCCAGCATGATGCCAGTGGGTAAAGGTCAGGTTGAACTCGGGAATGCTGCAGCTGGCGATTGTGTGGGGCTTTGGCTGTTGCATAGGACGCTTGAACTCGCTGCAGAAGAACTGCATCATGAATCGATCGACGGAGTCACTGAACAGAATGATGCGACGACCCCAGAGCCAGCCGAAGTCACCATCATCCTTCATAGATGCGAAGGCATCGACCTTGGTCTTGCCATCGGCGTTAATAGCCTTCTTTCGACGAGCGCTCTCGGCGATAGCTTCAGGGAGCCATTGTCGCGGTGTAGAAGAGTGCTTGGCGTAGTCAGACTCCGGTTCCGTCGCGTTGAAGATGACTTCGCCGGCTGGGGGATAGACAGCATAATCGGGAGCGGCAGCATCAAGAAGGTCGTCAGAGAAAGGAATCCATTGTGTCTTTTTGTATTGGTCGGTGCCGTTTATATCAGCCGGGATATAAAGGTAACCAGGTTGACGATAAGGGTCTTGACAGTTATGTACTGAAGAAGTGGTGTTTTGTCTGTGGTGAATTAAAGATTGTTAGCGTGAGCCAAGATGATGCCAAGTTTACCGACAGCGGGGCGAGATGCAGCCACCAAAGGCTAATTGAACAGGGAAGGAATAGAAGAGAGACATACGATGACGATGTTGAGTTTGTGTTTGTGCTTGTATCTGTGTTTGTGTTTAGATACTCTTCTGCTTTGCTGTGTACATAAGTCCAAGGGACTTCCAGAGATTCTTGGAAGAAAGTAAAGACGACGAGAAAAAGAGAGACGCTGGCGGCGACGATAACGCAGGTTAATACTGAGGGGCGCGACATGGTGAACATCATCCTCAAGACGAATGTTGCAGGAAAAAAAGAATGGATGGCCCCTTGCAGGTTAAAACAGAAACAAAAGACAAGAAAAGAAAAAGTTTGGAACAAGAAGGAATAATCGTAATGTAAGGTAATGTAATGTCTGGGGTGTTTAAAGTCCCCAGTCCGATCCAGATAACGAAGATCCATGCCTCAGTTACAACCTTTCTCCACTGCAGTCTGCCCCTTAATACACAGCGCCTCATGATTTGATGTCGACCGTCGATTGGAAACAGGGAAAGCATGCTCCGACGCGTGGCATCTGCACTTTCTTTTTGCGGTAGGATGATTTAGCTTCTAACGACCCGCGGGTTTCAGATTTTGGCACAGTATTTTCAGCCCTGGCTGATTTGAGCTGAGGCGATCGTAATGAATGTCACCGAGCTCAATTAAACCATTGCCTCACGATTCTGTCTTTTCACAAAGTATGAGGAAGCACTGGAACATGGGCAGGGCTGAGTTGAGTTGAGTTCTAATTTTAAGCTTACTCCTTCCGCGCCCCAATCCTGCATAAGGAGAAACCAAAAACCCAAAAATAAGCCTTGTATGTCTCACAACGCCACATCTCCGTTTGCACATGGAGCTGGAATGATATATATAGTGCATTTTTAAAATGCAATGACATAGTGCAAAAAGGCAAAAACAATCGACCACGCCAGGAGTCGAACCTGGAATCTCTAGAGAATTTGATTTTGGTGAACCGAAATCTAGCGCCTTAGCCATTAGGCCACGCGGCCGGATCTTGTTGTTGAAGACTAGGGTTGTGTCGCGGACTAAGAGCGTCAACATTTGGGTGGGGCTAGTCCCCGTCAGAGAGCAGCCCCACTACCCCACCAACTTTGGATAGGTTTAGGATGTCAAAATTAAGCTAGCCTAAACGTGGGACTAAATCTGCCTAAGGTGATCAAACTATTTCGTCCCTTATGGCTGCGGCGCGTAGGTAGTGAGGAAAAAGCTGCGCGATATTAAGCTCTCTTATGCTATTTTCGTTGAGGTATGCGATGAGAGTTCTCAGTCCAAAAACCCTGGATATGCTGTCTGAATGGTGTGATGGCGATTCGAGTTTCGTTGGTGCTGAGAGAGGCTTTCTTTAAATCCGTTACTGTATTGATTCAGCAACCGATATGGAGGCATCAAAGACCACGACACAACATGCTTTGTACTAGAATAGACTGATGCCCGCTTACTCAAGCACTAGTGATGTGAATAGCTTCCATGGAATCCAATTGATTTCTCATCTGAATTACCAGACTGGAACTCCGAACATTTAACTACGTGTTCTAATTTCGTATCAAAATACCCTAGAGTTCAGCACTACAGGTGCCGGTCGGCTCGGGCGGAATATTTATGCTTGGATAGCGCAAACTCTCTGAAAACATACCAGATGCGAGAAATGCCATGACACCACGATGGTTTATCATGGTGTCCTCGAGACAGGTAGTTGATCCCCGACTTCCGAGCTTACAAATTTCCCCGGGCCATCGCATCACCGATTTGCGTCAGGAACAGGTCGATGGCAGCATTGCCGCGCCAGATGGCACCATGCGTTTGAACCAACCAATCAAGACGCGTTTGCAGCACGCAATACTGAGCCTTGCCCCTCTGGGGTTCAAGTGAGGGGCGGGCAATGATACGGATGGTGGGGGAGATTCTTGTTCCATCTTAGTGAGGGGAGACGTCTTTGTTATTTTGGCGGGGTTGTCATGATGAACCTGGGGAAATGTATGAGCTGAGATTCAGTGATAGAGAAGAATAAAGTGAATAAAGACCATTCAAGTATTCGATAATTATATGCATAATACGTAAACCTGAACAGTATCATGATTGCATCTTCACAAACATCTTCAAGTCATGGAGGGGCACGGCTGCAACGCCAACACCAATACCGGAGACCATAAGCTTGGCTCTCCCAATCATCAATATCACAGGCCTCGTGGCGTCTTCAATCAGCACGGCCAAAGAGCCCAGATCGTCATTCCCTAGCTCCTCCCTATCAAAAGGTGCCACTATTTTCTCCAACAAGGTGTCCTCTGTAAGCCAGACTAGGCAAGTAAACAATTGAGGCACTTCAGTTGCTAGGCCACCTCTTTCCTTCAGGTTCCCTCCTGTTCCTGTCTCACTACCTGTGTATATAATCCCTCTCCCCTCCCCCACTCGCCCTTCTCTTCTTCCTCTTCATACCAAAATCTTCATCTCTCACACAACACAAAATGTCTGCTCCTGCTCCCCTTCGTCTGGGCTCTACCGCCCCCAACTTCCAGGCCGAGACCACCAAGGGAAACATTGACTTCCACGAGTTCATCGGCGACAACTGGGTCATCCTCTTCTCTCACCCTGAGGATTACACCCCCGTCTGCACCACTGAGCTCGGTGCTTTCGCCAAGCTCCAGCCTGAGTTCACCAAGCGTGGTGTCAAGCTGATCGGTCTCTCTGCCAACACCATTGAGTCCCACGAGGGATGGATCAAGGACATTGGTGAGGTTACTGGCGGAAACGTCGAGTTCCCCATCATTGGCGACAAGCAGCGCCAGGTCTCTCTCCTCTACGACATGTAAGACACTGCCTCAATTATAGAGTTATTGCGCAAACTAACAACTATTAGGATCGACCAGCAGGATGCTACCAACGTCGATGAGAAGGGCATCGCCTTCACCATCCGATCCGTCTTCATCATCGACCCCAAGAAGACCATCCGCACCATCTTCGCTTACCCTGCCTCCACCGGCCGTAACGCCGCCGAGGTCCTCCGCGTCATCGACTCCCTCCAGACCGGAGACAAGTACCGCATCACCACTCCTATCAACTGGGTCCCTGGTGAGGATGTCATTGTCCACCCCTCCGTCAAGAACGAGGAGGCCAAGACTCTGTTCCCCGAGTTCCGCATCGTTAAGCCTTACCTCCGATTCACTCCTCTTGCCAAGGAGAAGGTCCTCCCCCAGTAAATTAATTATTTGTCACAACAAAAAGCATGAGAATTTTATGATACCTTGCAGATGAGCGCAAAAAGGATGAGCTTGGGAATTGGGATTAGTACGACATTTGAGAACGTGTTTCTGCAGTGATGGAAAGACCATTTCCCTTCATAGATCAGTCTAGATTTGAGCCATTTGCGATTGCTCTGAGATGAAGAATAAATGAAGAAATGACCAAACTTTTGTCCCTGAACCCTTAAGATCGTGAATAATTAATTGAGCCCCTCAATTGTGACATGAGGTAAATTCCGGCTGCGGGGTTCCGGACCATCGCTCGCCGATGCCGGCGTTAAGCGTGCCCGGAGCTGGAGCTTAAGCTTTAAGGGTCCACATGAGCTTCGTCCCTCGAACCTCGGCGATAAGATAGTGAGTGTGAAGTGTTGATTGTAAAAGGGTACGTTCAATTGCCAGCCACTGATGTTAATGTTGAAGTTGTAAATATTTCTAGTAAAATTTTATCCTGAGGTAATGACTGTTTTACGTTCTTTGAGGCAGCGGAGGCGGTCGCAATACGCTCCTTACGCTTTTCCTTGATGGCTTTGGCCAGCCTGGCCGTGGACTTGGGTGGTGTGCACACAGGAGGCATCGTCGGCTCGAAAAACAGAAGGGATATATCAAGTCTACAATGATATAGCAAACAGAAGCTCAAACCATGTATATCAGGCTCGTTGAGCCTGTCGAAGGGGTTGATCTTGAAGGCACATATCAGTTACCGGCGGCGATGATGTTACGTTCGCACAACCTAGTTGAGTAACGCCCAGGACCGAACCTATACAATCGCAACACATGCAGATTTGTAACGCTTCCCTGGAAAGGTGGGCATTAGAAGAATTATATTCTAAAGCTTAGGCTACAGAAATAAAGTAGCCTAATTGCTAGCCTAAACTTGCATAAGATAACCTAATTATTTCGTCTCTTATGCTCTTGTCCAATTCTTCTGATACTGTAACGCCCTTGAACGTTCATCTCATATGCTCGCAATTCCACGAATCCTAATAGCGGGCCTGAAAGACGTTGTGAAAGCTCTTTTACCCTCGCCACAGCAATTTACCCCCTCACGGCTGAGCGTATCATCTAGAAGTGTCTGCATAAAGATGCGAGCAGCGGTCGCGTAGTCAATCTTGACGTCAGAGTCTGTTGGGCTATCGTCGTCTTTATCCAGCTCACGGTAGATATCGGAGTCACAGTCAGCCGTGGACTGCGCTTCCGGGCCATCTTCCGCCTTTTCTTCCCGGTTTTGGATGTTTTGTTAGGTGGCATCATCTAAGCAGGGAAGATTAAAAGCCGGTGCAAGCTGTTCGCCAGCTGTCAACTACTCAATGTTTCTCTCTTTTAGTAGGTGATTCCAAATGCCTGCCAGTGCCAGCTCCAGCATTGCTCTAATCTTATACCCCTAATTCTCTTCCAGCATAGAATCCACCTCCAATCGAACCAGTTCAATGTTCATCTCATGCCCCAACTCGTTCTTTACCATTGTTAAATTTAAGCCTGAAGACGTTGCGAAAGCTCTTTTACTCGCGCCACAGCGATGTCCCCCCTCTCAGCATCCGGTGCTTCAACCTTAAAGACCAACGCCAGCACAAGCGCAGCGTCCAATCTAAGGAGACACTCTTCCCGCGCCGTCATTTGCGGAAGATCTGTCATCTCAGTGTAGCCCTTGATGAAGCCATCTCCGAGCTGACTAAACTCTAGTGTGCGATATATGTCGATGGCTGCTGGACCGATGAGTGCGTTTGTCCAGTCAATGACGGCGCTGATTCGACCTTTGTTCTGTCGAAGGTTGACGTCGCGAAAGTCCATGTGAAGGAGGCTTGACGGAAAACGCTTGAGTCCTTCGAGGATATTGTGAATATGATTCCAGTCATGGATCCAACCTGAAGCTTCAGAAACCGACCTCGCCAACACACCAAAGCGCCGTTTCATCCTTTGCTCCATTGTGGAAAACACATCCCCCGTCTCCATCGCCACCGTCCTCCCCAAATTATCTCCCTTCGTAGCGTGTATCAGTGCCGCCACACGTCCCATCTCCTCATCCGAGACACTCGTCCCATCATCATCCACATACTCACACAACATAGCCGGATAACCATCTTGTTCAAGATATTTGTAAGCCTTGGGAACAGGAACTGGTCCATCTTGTAGAAGTTCATAAATGCGCAGTTCTTGCTGGATGAGGCTTTTTGCTTCGACTGAGGAGTCGTTGGCGTTCTGATAGACTTTGACTCGTGGGATTTTGAGAACGACGTTGTTGTATGTTGGAGATTGGGCTTTGAAGACCAGACATTCGAGGCCTTGGCCGGCGGTTTCGACGTCGGCTAGGGACTCATAATCAATGAACTTTTGGACTACTTCCATTTCGATTGAGATTTGACTTGCTGTTTACAGGACTGATAGATATCTTGAGAGGACTTTATGTCGTTCAGATAGACTTGTCGTATTCGTGTTCGTAAAGCTTAAAATGAATCGTATTATCTGGTTCACTTGTTCCAGTATAGTCTATCTGCTTATCTTCCTTCCAATATTGGAATGGTGTTTGTCTGGACTTCATTCGGGATAATGGCAGTTAAGACGTCTTGACAAACCATGCAATATTGTCCAGACGTTACCTCCATTTGCTCTGCCACGATAGAACCATGATACGATCACTATGAGCTCCAATTAATAAACTTACACTTTCGTCAAAGCATCATAACTCATTTGCGTACACATAGCCGTTTTCTTGTCCTGGCCTGATACAAACCTTTCATTCGAGTATGTATAAAACAGCTTCCCTTGCTTGCTTTCTTCCTATCTGTTTCTCTTCACCAACATCACAACTGCCAACACAGTCATCCTTCTCATCACTTACAAGACGTCTTCAAACCACAGTTGTCCCGGTTTGATGGTTCAGTGTTGCGATCATGAGCCTGCTGACCTGTAACTCTGATTCACGGAACGACATTTGGGCAAGGCGAAGCAATTCGAACGCAAACACGAGGGAAAATGCTGTGGCATCCTCTTGCTTTCCAAGTCCTTGGACGACAAGGAGGACAAAATCCTTAACGAAACGGCTCTTCTGAAGGACCTCTCAGAGCTGCATTGGCTTACCGAAAGACCTTCCATCTCCGACGAGGCTGTGGTCTCCCCCGTTCAGTGGGTTCTCCGACGAACCGAGTTCCTTGCAGCCCAAAGTCGCCTTCTCCTATTGGGGATCCAGCGCCTCATGATGACCAGGAACAAACTGAGTGAGATCTACCTATTCCGCAGGGTGTCAGAGGAACTAACCGCCTATAGCATAAGGGACGAAATAATTCAGT